GCAAAAAAAAAAAAGAGACGAGACTGAGACTGACATTGACACGCACCAAATCGAGACGAGGCGAGTCGAGTCGAGATCGGATCGTGTACGCGTGCGTGCCTTGATTTGCATTCATCGCACCTGCATTTGCCATGGTTACTATGAGGCTTTTTAATATGTTGCCCAGGCATTGATGATACATTATACTCAACTCAACGACCATCTGTAAACAGTCAATCAACACTGAACCTATCGCCAATTCCTCTTTAGGGAATCGTGCCTTGGAACGGTTGGTGTGATACACAAATGCAAAAAAGTTGACGGGATTGCTTCATTGTTGCATGGAGCTTGTTGTGCCGATAATTCTCATCTCAGTGGTCATAATCTGACCCATCCCAGCCCCTAGATAACCGTGCGTGCAGCTTCGCAAATGACTATCACGGCGTCTGCATTACCTCCTCTTGTCTCGTTTTTTGTTGTCTCTCCTTACTCTCATCTGGATGGCTGCTCCACCATCGCCCACACCACCACCATCGTCATTGTTCATCCCAAAAGACTGTGGCCTTGGTTGTAATCGACGATGTATTTGTATGTAGCCAAAATCTATCCTAATCATCATCTGAAGTAAAGGTAATATTTTGAAATCTCATCTAAACTCGCATTATACTCGAGACACGGGTACTTACCGTTAGACACGTTAGCTGGCCTCGCCTGGGCTGTCAGTTAACGTACTCCATCACCAACCAGCTCAGCCTGGTTTACAGCTCCCGTCTAGAACAACTCCACTTTGTTGTTCCCCGGGTCATCCTTCGTCGACGCTCTCATCATTGGCATTCCCAATCCCATTATCCTTTTTCCCCACTGTGCTCTACATACTCTATTGTAGCTTTGTCCACCCATTGGGTCTTTTTTGCTTTTCATCACCCTCATTCCACCTATCAATACTTTGTATCTAGTATCGTACCTTGTCTCCAATCCCCTTCCCCGGGCATATCGAGTGCCGCTTACATCGCCGTATCCCAGCGCCACGCTACTACGTCCAACACCTCCACACCAAAACACTTTGCCCCCCCAGCAGCCAGGGCATCCTCATTCGAGCTGCCTTGGATTTGGACTCAACTTGTACCTAACATTGTCGCGATTCATTTCCATCGATTATCGTTTCCATTCCCTTCGTCAGTCGCAGCCCGCTGCATCCCCGGTCGCGACTTGCGAATCGCATCGCATCGCATACAGTCAGATTACACAAAGCCTCGCGTGCGCATCGCGAATCTCTGGCCGATCGACTGCGCATCTTTGCCACGGAAACATAACCCTCGCACATCGAATCCACCCCCCTCAATCGTCGCAACATTGCCTTGTCGAGCACATGGGTTCTCAAATCTGATTACCACCGGCCGCTCGACTATAACATATTCCCTGCTCTCTTGGGTGTTGAGCATTGTTCTGTTCTGGTAACCAGGCGCTAGACCATCCATCACCATGGATCAGAACGGCTACAACTCCTCGGTGCTGCAGCGGCCACCGCGTAGAGGGGACGATGGGGACGATGATGAACGAGACTCTCGTCCGCATCACCACCATCGTCACCACCATCACCATCATCACCACCGCCACGACGGCGATTTAGCTTCGGGACCTGCAGCTGGAGAAGCGGCGACAGCCTCATCGAATGCAGGCGGCGCGAATGCGCATCAGCACTCCACCTTTAGCCTGCGCTCACCCAAAAGCGAATATCGCCCGCCTCCCTTCTCTTCTCCCAACGGCCATAATCATAATCATAGTCATCACAACACCAGCACTCCAGCTGCCAACCATTCCCTTCAATCCCCGCCTCGTCCGGCGTTGCCCAATCCCTACATGTCATCGTCCACAGGCGCACCCGGCGGCCCCGTCGCTCCTTCTCTGCCACCTCCTGTAGGCCTAAACTCGTCTTCATCGCCTGGATCATCGGCTGCTGGACTTCATCAGCATCATCACCAATCTGGAGTACCAGTTCATCAACACCAAGCTTCTGGTCCTCCGCCCGTGTCGCCGCTGCATCCTCCTGCTGCGTACTATCCTCCCTCATCGAATACGGATATTTATATACCTCGTGATCCCAAACCTGCATCGCGAGGTTTTTACGACCCTACAACTGATACAACAAAGGAACGTCGAATTTCTGACGCGGCGACGCCTGGAGCCTCCTGGCACAACGCCAACGCCAACGCGCCCCCGGCTGGCACTCCGAAGGTAAGGGGGGCAAATCCACTTCTTTTTTGTCTTTGACTCTCGTTTCGCCCAGACTCGATTTGATTAGATTGATTGCACTTGCTGGCCTTTGATTTTCCTCTTTCCTATCAACCTTCAATTCTTTCTTGATCATCGAGATCTTTAGCCATCACACACAGGCCATCAATGCCTGTTTTATTTCTTCCCTCTTGTCGAGCTTAATTTCCTTTGGCTGCAACCATCACATCACCTTTTTAATTTCATCATCACACTCCTTAACTCTGTCGTATAATCTGCTCCTTCCAATCCGGAGTCAGAAACGCCATAACCACAAAAGCTTGCTGACGTGGAGCTAACTTTTCTCTTTTTCACACAACAGACCCGCGATCCGTACAGTTATTCGCAAACAAACGATCAACAGACTCCATATTACAACGGGTCTTATACATCTCCTCGAGGCCCATCATCATACACTCGCCCGCGTAGCCCTTTATCACACTCGCATCAGAATCCTCCAGCTGGATCCCTCAGCCCTCCGGGGCAACAACCTCTCCTGGCTTCTCCGAGTGTGAGACATGGTACCACAGCCAACATGAACTCAACAACTAATGGCAATGCGATGCCGCCCTTCAAGTCGGATCTCGCGGCTCCGTCACCTCCCAAGCCCGCGCCTTCATCAATGGTAAGTAACCAGGAATACACAAATGCTTTTTTTGTACTAATATCACCAAAGACGTCAAGAGCGAACCCTATGTCGTTTGATAGCATCCTGTCTAGCTCCGAGCCTGCGTCGAAGCCCAAGGAACCTTCTCCCGTTGTTTCCCGAGAACCAGAAATTAAACTGGAACGAGAGCCTAGACGTGATCTGGAAATGAGACGCGATTCACGGGAACCCAAGCAGACAAAACGTTCATTAGAGCCCGAACCCGATCACGACACCGAAGTCGAGAAAGATGTCGAGACAGAACCTGAACCCATTCCTAGCAGGGAAAAGGAGAAGGAGCCTGCTAAGAAACGCGGAGGTCGCAAGTCAACCAAAGGTCGCGCTTCTGATATACGAGACGCTGCAACGCCCAAGAATGGTCGTAAATTATCAGTCAAGAAGGAATCACCAACGCCTCGTCTGCCGGCTAAGCGACAGGCTAATGGCCAACCAAAACCAAAGACTTGGTCGCCAGAGATGGAGAAGAAGATCCAGAATGCCGAGACCCAGATCGAGAACAAAGCCGCAAACTTGGACGCCGAAGAGTTCGACGAACAACAATATAAGGAACGAGCCCAAAAGCGACGCCGCGTGATGAGTGAGCTCGACGTTGAACATGGTCTCTCTCGACGCGATGCATTTGCGACCGCCGTCAGTAAGAAATTGATGCTTCATGCTGAACTTGGCAAACGACGATACGACGACGTTTTCTACGATGAAGCGCTCCATGAAGTACGCGAACAAGAAGTCTATGCTGAGAAGGAACGGAAGAAGGATATGCAACGCAAGCGACGTCGTGAGAAGTCTATGGCAGTTACCATGGAGCAGAAGCAAGCAGCTCTTGCTCGTGCCGAAGCCGCTGAAGACGAGACAGAGCGCCAAAAGCATCTTCGGGATGCCGAGCGCGCCGGCAAGAAGGCACAGCAAACGAAGCTTATCCTGCAGAAGGGTATCAAGGGACCCGCCCGAAATCTTGAGATCAACTTGGAGGGTGGCACCATGTCTTCGTTCCAAGCTTCTGACGTCGAATCTGGAGAAGCAGGTACTCCATCCGGTAAGCGCAAGGCTAAGGGCCGCAGTGGACCTCGTCTCAAGAAGTCAAAGGAGCAAAAGCAGGCCGAGAAGGACTCCGCCGAAGCTGCACAGGCCGCGCTGGATGCTGGAGAAGAGCTACCGACCAAAGAGGAGAACCGGGTTCGCATCAAGATCAAGAAATCCAAGAAGGACGTCTCTGCTGATGCCGAGAAGGACAAAGATGAGGGCGACAAGACCGATGAAGAGCCTGTCGAGAAGAAGACCAAGAAGGGCAAAGACAAAGACAAGGACAAGGAGAAGGTCGACGACATCCCCGACAACGAGAAAAGATTCATGTCCAAGGGTTACAACCAGATTTATGACCAGATTTGGCGCGACATGGCCCGGAAAGATGTCAACAAAACCTTTAAGCTTGCTGTCGATTCTTATGCCACTAAGGCCTCCAACCTCAAGAAGACGGCTATTTTGGCATCGAAAGAAGCCAAAAGATGGCAGCTGCGAACAAACAAGGGCACCAAGGATCTTCAAGCTCGTGCGAAACGTGTCATGCGTGATATGATGAGCTTCTGGAAGCGCAACGAGCGAGAGGAACGAGATCTGCGCAAGGCTGCTGAAAAGCAGGAGATCGAAAACGCTCGCAAAGAAGAAGCCGACCGCGAAGCCGCTCGTCAAAAGAGAAAGCTTAACTTCCTTATCTCTCAGACCGAGCTTTACTCTCACTTTATCGGCAAGAAGATCAAGACTGATGAGGTGGAACGAAGCACGGACAACCCCGAAGTTGCCAAGGATGCCCACCGAATTGATCAGCAGATGCTTGACATTGATGAGCCTACTGGTCCCGTCGGTAAGGTCACTAATTTCGAGAATCTCGATTTCGAGGAAGGTAGCGACGAGGCTCTCCGTGCTGCCGCCATGGCCAACGCTCAGAATGCCATTGCCGAGGCTCAAAAGAAGGCCCGCGACTTCAACAACCAAGGTCTAGACATGGATGATGAGGGCGAGATGAACTTCCAGAACCCTACAGGTCTCGGCGATGTTGAGATTGAGCAGCCCAAGCTTATCAACGCCCAACTCAAGGAGTACCAGCTCAAGGGTCTCAACTGGCTTGTCAACTTGTACGAGCAGGGTATCAACGGTATTTTGGCAGACGAAATGGGTCTCGGAAAGACTGTCCAGTCCATTTCTGTAATGGCTTATCTTGCAGAGAAGCACGACATCTGGGGACCTTTCCTCGTTGTCGCCCCTGCTTCGACTCTGCACAATTGGCAGCAGGAAATCGCAAAGTTTGTTCCCGAATTCAAGATCCTTCCATACTGGGGAAGCGGAAGCGATCGAAAGGTTCTTCGAAAGTTCTGGGATCGTAAGCACACGACTTACCGAAAGGACGCACCTTTCCACGTGTGTGTTACCTCGTATCAGCTGGTTGTCTCTGATGTGGCATATTTCCAGAAGATGAGATGGCAGTACATGATTCTGGATGAAGCCCAGGCCATCAAGAGTTCACAAAGTTCGCGATGGAAGGCATTGCTCAACTTCCACTGCCGAAACAGATTGCTTCTTACCGGAACGCCCATCCAGAATAACATGCAGGAACTTTGGGCGCTGCTTCATTTCATCATGCCGTCACTGTTTGATTCACACGACGAATTCAGCGAATGGTTCTCAAAGGATATTGAGTCACACGCCCAAAGTAATACCAAGCTCAACGAAGATCAGCTCAAGCGTCTGCACATGATTCTCAAGCCCTTCATGCTCCGACGTGTCAAGAAGCATGTGCAGAAGGAACTTGGTGACAAGATCGAGCTCGATATTTTCTGCGATCTTACTTACAGACAGCGTGCATACTACAGCAATCTGCGAAACCAGATCAACATTATGGACCTCGTCGAAAAGGCAACAATGGGAGACGACCAAGACTCTGGTACGCTCATGAACTTGGTTATGCAGTTCCGAAAGGTCTGTAACCACCCTGATCTGTTCGAACGCGCCGAGGTCAACTCCCCATTTGCTTGCGCCTACTTTGCGGAAACCGCATCATTCGTTCGTGAGGGCAATGAAGTCGCCGTCGGTTACTCTAGCAGAAACTTGATCGAATACGATCTTCCCCGTCTTGTTTGGAGAAATGGAGGTCGAATCCATAAGGCCGGCCCAGACAGCCAGGTCGCAGGCTGGAAGAACCGAACATTGAACCACTTGATGAACATCTGGAGTCCAGACAACATTCGAGACAGCAGCGACGGGTCAAAGGCATTCTCCTGGCTCAGGTTCGCGGACACATCCCCTAACGAGGCTTACCAGGCCACCCACCAAAGCTTGATTGTCCGAGCCGCTAAGGAGCTTCAAAAACGTGACAGACTTGGATATATGAATGTCGCCTACAGCGATACTGAGGATGCAAACTTTACTCCCGCTCATGCCCTGTTTCAGATTCGTGCTCGACAGAACCGAAAGCCTGTGGCGGAAATTACCGGCGAGGGTATTCTCAGCCGACTGATGAATGTTGCCAAGGGAGACTACAACGAATCTGGACTCGGTCGTTTGGAGCCTGCTGGCAGACCTCGGGCTTCCGCACCTCCTATTCAAGTATCTTGCCGCGGCTGGGGAACCGAGTTCGAGCGCAGTGAAGTTTTGTTCAATGCACCAATCCGCAAGATTCTCTACGGCCCTACGGTCTTTGAAGAGAAGGCATTGGTCGAGAAGAAGCGTCCCCTGGAGATGTGGCCCACTCGCGAGATGATCCCTAAGCCTGATCATGAGAAGAAGGGCTTCACCAGCATCAGTGTTCCTTCTATGCAGCGCTTTGTCACTGACAGTGGCAAGCTGGCCAAGCTTGACGAGCTATTGTTCAAGCTCAAGAGTGAAGGTCATCGTGTACTTTTGTACTTCCAGATGACTCGCATGATTGATATGATGGAGGAGTACTTGACATACCGTAACTACAAGTACTGCCGACTGGATGGTTCGACCAAGCTTGAAGATCGACGAGACACTGTGCATGACTTCCAGACTCGTCCAGAAATCTTCATCTTCCTTCTATCTACCCGTGCCGGTGGTCTTGGTATCAACCTCACATCCGCTGACACTGTCATCTTCTACGATTCCGATTGGAATCCTACCATTGACTCTCAGGCCATGGACCGAGCTCATCGTCTGGGACAGACCAAACAAGTCACGGTGTATCGTCTCATCACCCGTGGCACAATCGAAGAGCGTATTCGAAAGCGTGCCATGCAGAAAGAGGAGGTCCAACGTGTTGTCATCCAAGGTGGTGGTGCAAGCGTGGACTTCTCTGGTCGCCGTGCTCCTGAGAACCGCAACCGTGATATCGCTATGTGGTTGGCCGATGATGAGCAGGCTGAGATGATCGAACGTCGCGAGAAGGAACTTCTTGAGTCGGGCGAGTTAGAGAAGCAGCAAAAGAAGAAGGGCGGCAAGCGACGCAAGGCCGAGAACACGGCCAGTTTGGATGAGATGTACCATGAAGGTGAGCAACGCAAGTTTCGGTTTTATTTTCTTCCAACTAACAGTATTTAGGCGAGGGTAATTTCGACGATGGTTCAAAGGGTGTTTCTGGTACTGCCACTCCAGCTACGGCTGCAACCCCTGCCGACAGTGACAGTAAAGGGAAGAAGGGTCGTAAAGGAACCAAGAGAGCCAAGACGGCCAAGCAAAGGCTGGCAATCGCTGACGGCATGATGGAATGATGGAATAGAGAGTGAGCGGTGTCTTAATAGATGCGTAACTTGGAGCCTCATAGGCTCGTGGGTCATCAAGGGAGTTATTCGTTTATTTGCTACGTTAGGATTTTCTTTGTCTAGTCATGGCGATGGACCGTCAATAGGTGGAGTTGGAAGTGAAAATGCCTAAAGATAACAAGGCAAATCAGCTATGGAACGGGACGTGTACATTACTATAGACGGAGGGTAACAAAGTGTGTCCCTGTAACAAGACCAAACGTGAAGAGTGACTGATGTTGATGGAGGAGTGTGAAGTATGTGTTGAGGAGTTTGCCCGGCGCTGTACATGGTTGGCGATATCTCCACAGCTTCCAACAATAGCCGTCCGGTATGGTGTAGTGGCTAACATTTCGCGCTCTCACAACTTGAGAGATCAGTTCCGCGGAGCCCAGGGTTCGATTCCCTGTACCGGAGTTTCTCTTTTGCAGTCTTGCAGCTCAGGCGCCTCTCTTTTTGTTGAAGACTGATGAACTTTTTGAGGATGCTGGACTGGTAAGACCGTTTGGCGGGCATAACGGCCTGAAGCTTATAGCGATGCTCCGAACTTAGAACGTATACTGTGTGGTAGCAGAGTTATACTCTAAGCTTTAGAGTAATAGAAAGAGAAGCCTAAGTTTTAGCTTATATTTGCAAAAAGTATCCAATTCCTCTTGTCTCTCATGTTAGCAGTCAAATCCCTACTTAATGGACGTACTGCATGCATGCCATCCAATATACTGTTCTTTCACTAACTCTACTTCTGCCTGCTTACCTCTTCTTTGTTAAGTAAGCTAAGCATATAGCAATTCAGGGCAACAGCACAAGGCAGTACGAGTTCACAATCAAAGACGCTCCAATTTTGCGCACACCACTGGAAGGTTAGTCAGCGATAAAATAGAGCATATGATAGAAGCGCAAAAAGAAAGGTCTCGGAGGGAGTCGAACCCTCGCTGGCGGAATCAGAATCCGCAGTCATAACCGTTAGACCACGAAACCAACGCTTTTAACTTGATGGTAGTAACTGTTAGTCTCGATTAGGAATTCTCGCTCGTCATTGGATGGCTGATCGTGAGCTCAAAGCTTCACAGGGCAAGACTTGATAACGAAGCTTTACGGCGCTGTCGCCTGCTCTAATTCGCGGGTCGTTGATCATTCCTGCCTCTTCTCATCTTCTCTCTGTCAATTATTTTTCGCCTTTGGCTCCGCCATCGTCTTTATCCTGTTCTGGGTTGGCGTCGATGTTCCTGTATTATACACGGACGGTTGATTCGATTGAAGTAAGTGAACGGAACAGCATGGTACTTCTCCCGCATATATAAGTACCTTTCAAATATCACATGTCATTTAATGCAGATGTTCTCCTCTTCAAAGTCTACTCGTCAAGCTGGAATGGTGTAAACAAGGGAGGAGAAGCATCTGTATTACCTGATTGGCCTGAAACCCTCCGGGAGGGATCTACTTGCCGTGGAGCAACGTATGCACCAGCACATCCCCCACGTCATCCCCGGTCAAGCTTACCTTCTTATTAGGTACCTTACTGTCAACATCATCTTCCCTTAGCATCTTCGAGAATTGTGCTATAGATCAATTCTTCATCGATCATCGATCACACTCCTTAATCCTCTCGCCAATTGAAGTTAAAGAAGCAACAATGGCTCCAAGCGCAACAGACTCGTGGACGCAGTCGCAAGACGAGAAAGCAGCATCTGGTTTCATCAACTATGCGCGTAACTCTGTCGATCGAGTCGTCCCTCCTAGTTCACGACAGAAAGCTTATGATAATACTATGTCCTTTGCTTCCTCGCGACCTATTCTTTTCGTGAGTCTTCCCTCGCTTCCTTCGCTCTCAACTCAGCTAACAACAGCAGTCTTTCATTGTATCACAGCTTCTACTTTCATTCCTGCCTCTTCTCATCTTTGTGATCTTTTCTCTGTCAACTATTCTTTTCGCCCTTGGCTCCGCCATCATCTTTGCCCTGTTCTGGATCGGTGTCGCACTCTTGATTCTCGTCCCCGCGTTGCTTGTCACCTCGTCTATTGCAGTACTTGTCTGGGGCTGGGCAGTTGGCAGCTTCGTCGTTGCGCGATGGCTGTACAACCTTTCTTCTGTCAATGTGCAGAACGGTGAGGTTGTGAAGAAGGAGAATGGCAATTAGTTTTACGCCTACACCTCCTGGCAACTTAGCATTGGGGCTGATTGGGACCCTCATGATATGTCTGCGCTTTGGGATCCGTGTATAGGTTATGGACGGTATCAAGGAGAGTAATATTTTTCTTATGTGAGGGCAGGAGTTCTGTGTTTATTCACCAGGGTAATGGAATATTGGTATCGCCAAGTCAGAGACACTCAAACCAAGGGTTCAGGTCAAAAATGCGACGCTGCAACACGATCATACACTTTACATCGAGTCCTAGGCAATTGCCGACCTAGAATTAATGCCTATCATAATAACTTGCACCAGAATTCGCTGTTGTTCAACCTCTATTCCTCATTAAATGACCGAGACCCATCTATGTCCCAAACGCGCTGGTACATTACAAATACAGACCCTCTGGCTCACCCTCCTGCTTTGTACGGAGCACTCTTTCACGCGCTGATCGGAAGTCCGCCATCTGCACCCGCATTCTTCGCTCTCGAAGGGCCAAAAGACCAGCCTCGGAGCAAATGGCCTTGATGTCGGCACCTGAAAGGTCGTCCTTCTGGGAGATGAACTCTTCCAAATCGACGTCGTCGTTAAGGTTCATCTTGGAAGTGTGGAGAGTGAAAATCTTGCGCTTGGTGTTCTGGTCGGGGTTTTCGAACAGAATCTTTCGGTCGATACGTCCAGGTCGAATCAGAGCGGGATCCAGAGTATCGATCTTGTTGGTGGCCATGATGACCTTGACGTCACCACGATCATCGAAACCGTCCAGCTGGTTGAGAAGCTCCAGCATGGTTCGCTGGACTTCTCTCTCACCACCCGATGTCGAATCGTAACGCTTCGTACCAATGGCATCGATTTCGTCAATAAAGACAATAGAGGGTGCGTTCTCGCCAGCAACCTGACAATGTTAGCAAAGGTCGAATCCTTCAATGAAAGTCGCATACCTGGAAAAGCTGTCGAACAAGTCGAGGTCCGTCACCGAGATACTTCTGAATAAGCTCACTACCCACGATACGTAGGAAAGTGGCAGATGTTTGATTGGCAACAGCCTTGGCCAGTAGCGTCTTTCCGGTACCAGGTGCACCATAGAGAATGACGCCCTTCGGGGGCTTGATACCCATCTCCTCGTAAAGCTCGGGGTGAAGCAGTGGCAACTCCACTGACTCTCTGACTTCCTGGATCTGTTGTTCCAAACCACCAATATCGGCATATGACTCTGTCGGCGCCTTGTCGAGCTTCATCACACTGACGATAGGGTCGGCGTCATCTGTCAGAACACCAACAATGCTAACACTCTTATGATGTAGTAGTACACTGGCACCGGGTTCCAAAAGGTCCTTGTCGACAAAGCTCATGATGCTGACGTAGTACTCAGGGCCGGTAGTGCTACTGACGATAGCATGGTCGTCATCAATGAGCTCTTCCAGAGTTCCGACACCCATGGGGCTTCCTCGCATGTCATCAACACGACCACGCTCATCGGCAAGTCGGTCAACGTCGGCGTCAGCGCCAGCGCCAGCAGTTTGACCTTCCTTGGCTGCCTTAGCTTTGCGTAGACGCTCCTGGTTCTCTACATATTCCTCCTCGAGCAAAAGATGATCGTGGATTCGCTGCATTCGCAAGAGTCGGAGCTTGCATCGGCTGGTAGGATAAACGGCGGGAAGCTTCTGAGCGGCGCTGGTGCCACCGGCCTTTCTCTTCTTGCGGCCAACTCGCGTTGTAGGCCTTGGCGGGGGCTCGTACTTGGGCTTATCCTTCTATCAGGTTGTTAGAAGAGTTATCCAGAAGTTGAATGCGAATTGCTTGCCTTCTTGTCCTTGTCATCACGTCCCCCTTCTCCCATACCGGATTGTCCTTGACCCTAGATAACGTCAGTACTTGCACAGCGTCATGGCGGCAATATAAAACTTACCATCCTGTCAAATCAAGCTCCTAGAGCTGATTCTAGTCTATATCAATAATTCGTGTGTCGAGACCCCTCTACGTGAAAGAGAGCTGTGATGGTGGTTGTGTTTTGGTGTGGAGGAGAGGTCGAGGTCGAGGCTCCAGAGCTTAGTGATGATGAAAGCGACCACCAGGCGCCAGGGAAACACGACAGCAGCTCCAGCCTAGTCACGTGCTAGAGCTAGCTAGTCACGTGCACCTCTCGACGACGGCGATAACCTGCACTCTGATTTATAACTAATTGAGTAAGTTCTTGTTGATATAAATGAATCGAGCAATATTGCTGTGTTTTGTAATTTTATTCGTGTTTTGATGTCTTTAGTTTTGAGAAATGGACGTCGTTCTGTTTGTCCCACCTGGTTCTTGATTCTAGCTGTTGCAGCCTTTCTCATTAGCATCAGCTAGTAAACACTGAAGAGGACTACATTTTTGTATAGAATCAGCTCGTGAAATGCTTTTATAATTGCATATCGGTGTATTTGAGTAGGACTGCAACATGTTTCATCAGTGCTGGAACAAGAACTTGAATATCGTGCCATTGGGTTTGGAAATTTATCTACTATAAGACGCCCAATGCACCTTGATAGTCAATTCAACAGGATGCGAGAATGCGAAAGACGTTGGTGGAATGTTCAAATTCAATTACTTTTCTGTAAGGCGACCCAGGCTTCATTTTCAGTTGAGGCGTACGAAATGTCTTTGCTTCTGAGCCGCGGCCATACAGACCAGGCGAATAAGCATCTTTACAGAACTTAGGTAGGTAGTAGGCAGGGGTGTGGCCATGTCACTTTTTTGCATAAGGGCCTGGTTGACTGCCTGAATGAAGGCTTGTAAATATTATGTGAGCCGTATATATGATATGATCTATGCATGTAGCATGCTTTTCCTCTGTATTTCTGACTCGCCTTCACTGTCAAGAGAGAAGAGCACAGAAACTCACTGTTCCTAGGTCGACTTAGACATACAAAAAGGTGGTGATCCATTCATTCATTCCCTTCTTGTCCTTGGTCTATTTTTGAACGACCCGACTGCTACCACCCCCCGCAGGACGCTAACTTTCAGTGGAGTGACGTCGGCTGAGAACGCTACGCCACAGCCTGACAAAAATCAAGGACCCCTCCTTCCATCGCCAACGCCAACGGAACCCAACCCGCCCTTTGCACACGATCAGCTGCAGTCAAAAGCTTACGCCAAAAGGCGACATCTTTTCTTCTCGCTTCAACCTGATATAGTTCCAAATATCATTGTTTGATATCTCACGATTCCACAACCGACATCATGTCAAGAGATCGCCGTATCATGAAGGAGCTTGCCGACATCCAACAGGATCATGACAGCTCGGGTATTATTGCTGCTCCCGCATCCGAAGGATCCATGAGACATCTAAAGGGCACCTTTCCCGCTCCTCCCGATACGCCTTACTCTGGGGGAACCTACACAATCGACATTCAGATTCCTGATCAATATCCCTTCAAGGCACCGGTGATGAAGTTCGATACAAAGATTTGGCACCCCAATGTCAGCAGTCAGACTGTAAGTTGCAAAATCGGATGGGCTGGAATGGAGACAAGGGATCCATCCTATGTTTTGAAAGGAAATCAAGAATGGACAAACCAGAGACAGAACCTTGGTCTAGGAAGCAATCACAGACAGGCAGTTACTGACTGAGCTTTCTTTAGGGTGCTATCTGCCTTGACACACTTAGCTCCAACTGGTCTCCCGTCCAGACTATCAAGACCGCCCTCCTCTCCCTTCGTATGCTACTCGAATGCCCCAACCCCAAGGACCCTCAAGACGCAGAGGTTGCAAAGATGATGCTGGAGAGTCCCGAACGGTTCGCTGTCATGGCCCACGAGTGGGCAGTCAAATACGCTGGGGCCCCACGAAAAGAGGTTGATTTGAGTCAGTACCGTCAAGAAGGCACTCCCGCCCCTCCCAAAAATGATAACGCTCGGTATGTACCCAATACGAACGGAAACTGGCTATGACTAATCTCAAATGCAGTTATCAGGGATACAACAAGGACCTCGTGGAAAGGTTTGTCAACATGGGCTTCGCTCTTGAGAGTGTTGTTGAGGCCTTCATGTTTTTCGGGATAGACCGCAACGGAGGCAGGGACTACGAACTGGAGGAGGCATATATGGGTGATGTTGTTGCCCGACTGCTTGGCGAGCAATAATTCACCGCCACTTGATGTGCAAAGAGAAGGAATAGTGTTTCTACAAACAATTTTTAGCATGGTACGGGGAGTTAGACTGCGTTCCGGATTCGCTTCTTTTTGTTTCCTCTTTATTTGTTTAGTATAGACTGGCTCCAGGATGAAAGAGCTGTGAACTGTTCCCAAAGGCCATCGGTTTAAATGGCGGCCGTATGATAGCAACTAATTCGAAGTCAAACATGATGTGACATTATGATTCGATCAACGTGCAGGATGCATATCTTCTGAGACAACTACGGCATTTTCACGTGCACCAGACCACATGCTCACGCAGACAGACTCCTGATTAAAAGTTGCTTGAAACACTTTTCGACATTAGATAGTTCATGGTGTAATGTGACATTTTGGCGCATTGCGTGCTGAGGGTTATGGTATAGCACGCACTCGCCTGCGGAAGGTTGATACTCCTTTCCACAATCTAGCCTGCGCGCGAGCCAGACTATCCTTGCTCTATCAGGTACGTACGAAGAAATCATGCAATATGATGCAAATAGCCCTCCATGAGCGAGTCTCGGTCAACATCTATGTACCGGACTCTGCTGACTCACTTACTTCCCCTAATTCATCTCATACAGACCTTGTCTCCCAAAAGGTTTAGCCCCTTTAAAAGACGCAGACGTAATTTAGTTATAAAATTATAGCAGGTCGCGGCGGACAAACTCGTTGTAGAGAGCCTTGCCCAGACCAGCGGGGGAGCGCTCGACAATGACACCGGCGTCCTCGAGGGCCTTGATCTTGGTGTCGGCACCACCCTTACCACCAGAGACGATGGCACCGGCGTGACCCATGCGTCGTCCAGGGGGAGCGGAGATACCAGCGATGAAGCTGACAACGGGCTTACCACCGTTGACGGTGTTGGCCTGCTTGAGGAACTCGGCGGCGTCCTCCTCGGCGGAACCACCAATCTCACCAATCATGATGATACCGTCGGTGTTGGGGTCCTCGGTGAAGACCTTGAGGCAGTCGATGAAGTTGGTACCGGAGAAGGGGTCACCGCCAATACCGACGACGAGAGACTGACCGAGACCGGCCTGGGTGGTCTGGTTGACGGCCTCGTAGGTCAGAGTACCGGAACGGGAGACGATACCGATGCGACCGCGCTTGTGGATGAAACCAGGCATGATACCAATCTTGCACTGTTCGGGGGCGATGATACCGGGGCAGTTGGGACCGACGAGACGGGTCTTGTCTTGGGTCTTGAGCATGTCGGTGATGCGAACCATGTCTAAGTGGGCCCTGAGTTAGAAACCTTCACAATTGGCCTGAGATCGACATGTTCAAAAACCTACCGTGCTGGGGGATACCCTCAGTAATGCAGACAACGAGGGGAATCTCGGCCTCGAGGGCCTCCTCGATACCGGCAGCGGCCAGAGGAGGACTGAAAACATTGTTAGGGGTGTTTTGTTCGTTATGTGGGTGTGGTTGGGTAGACGTACGGGACGAAGAGACCAGTAGCGGTAGCGCCAGTCTCCTTGACGGCTTCTTGGACGTTCTTGAAGACAGGGAGGCCGAGGTGAGTCTGGCCAGCCTTCTTGGGGTTTGTTCCACCGACAACCTTGGTGCCTGTTCAATCCATTGTCAGTTTATGTTGTCGTTGACCCCTGTCACATGTATATCATGATGTGTGTCGAGTTCGATATAGCGGGAAGACCGTACCGTATTCGATAGCTTGCTCAGCGTGAAAACTACGTCATTTGTCAGTTTAAATTGTTCCTGCACATAAATTGGAGTCTTCGCAAAACTCACGTTCCCTGCTTTCCAGTGAATCCCTGGTAGATGACCTTGGTGTCGCTGTTGATGCGGAGGTTGTTGATAGTCTTGGCGTACTGCGATGAAGAGTAGGCGCGGCGGCCAACATTTTTCAGCGCAGAAGCGCGAGCGGCTCTGGTAACGGACTGCATGATGTCGAGGATATGGAAGGAGAGGGAGAAAAAAGGAGAAAAAACGCTGCTTTGAATTTGCAACGTTTAGAGATTGGATATGAGGATATTGGTTGGGGGGTCTGTTCCTGGGGACTGGGACTGGACTGGAGGAGCTGGAAAGGAAAAACGTCGATACAGGAGCTTGTTCTTGTTCGTATCAAGATTATCCCGTGGCCGGGATGCAACGGCCTAAACCAGAACGGGTCGACTCACACATTTTGCAAGGTCAGTTTACCTTAGCAGTGTGTCAGTTTTTTGGTGCTTGACCTTGACGCTACGGGTGGTGTCGGAGGCACTGTACCGAGAGGAACATCAATGATCCGGTCTGAAGTGTGCTGATAGCCACTCACAAGTGCCCGTGGAGAGGTGAGCGTTTTGGTACACGGTTAATCGCGGGATCTCGGTGAGAGCGATAACTAACGGGAACGTGCGTCATTGGGCATCGTGGGGGCTCTGGACCCTCTTTTGCCTACGGACTTGTAAGTCCTAATGATGGATTTCGCGGAGGTCAAACGAATTTCGATTAAACTCGCGGACATTGACAACCTGATCCCGTGGGAATGAATGAGCGTGATGTAGTATTCTACTACCAGCTAGGCGTCTACCGATCTATCTAACAAACGAGTGAATTCTACCTATTAACAAAAGAATGTGTTCCTTATCTTATTCAATCTTTATTTCAATCTGTCTCCCTCCCATCCTGTTTCAACCAAATATTCCAAACAAGTGTTTAACGAATGTTGAGAAGGTAATGATACCTGGTTCACTTCCGAGGAAGCACCCCAGCAAAAGTCAGTTGATGCATCCGCCCTCATATGCATGACCGACTCGACAATTGATCACCGGACCAATTGCGACCACGTCGGCACCCCTGAATCCAAAAGATGTCGCGCGCATGACATTTCAGTTCATCGCACTCATCTTCAATAAAGAACGCTCTTAGTAGACGCTCTTTACGTTCCAGCCAACAGCCATCACCCTCGCAGCGAGGAAACAGGCAAGTGCCAATACATACGACAGTCCATCGAAAACGATAAGAGCTGTCCAGCCTGTTTCACCATTACCTCCAGCCTCGAGAAGAGCACCGGCGATGGGCAGACTGCTGAGAGTTCCGAAGCTAGCGACCATGAAGGCCGTGGAAATGAAGCGTCCATAGTCGCGCGGGTCGCAGAGTTGACCGACACAAACAGGTGTCAATCCAAGGTTCGAGCCAGAGGCGAAACCAAAGACAACGGCGAAGGCGATGATCATACCCTGGGAATCACCAGCTGGCAACCACAGGGCGAAAGCTGAGATGATGCACAGCCCAAGAGTAAGAAGAATGACGTTGAAGCGGCCAATCTTGTCGGCTAGGAAGCCAGGAAGGAAACGACCGAGTAATGAGCCAGCATTGAGGATCGAAATTAGAGTGTAAGAGCTATTGGCGTCGCCAGAGTATCTCCCCGCATAAGACACGATGTAGGTCAACGGCACGAAGAGACCCCATTCCATAAAGAAGATCCCTAACGCAGCGAACGTGAACTTGAGGTCTTTGAAGATGGTAAGATCTGGCCAGACAGAAGTCACTTTGTTCTGTCGAGGGAGACGCGACCGCATAAAGAGGGTAGCCGGGACGGTAAGACCCAGAATGATGAACCCGAGGATGCGGGTTGTCCATGCAAACCCAATGGTAGGGAGTAGCTTCTGTAGGACAATTGGAAAAATGATACCACCGATTGATCCGGCGGTCATTGCGCAACCTGTTGCGAGACCGCGACGGACATCGAACCAGTGGGCGATGGATGCATAGGAGGGTGAGTTGAGGAGAGCTCCTCCTAGACCACCGACGACTGAGTACGATAGGAGGATCTGATAGAACTCTGTACACAATGATTAGAGGTTGTAATAAGCCACGACGAATTGAACGACTCACCCTCGGAAACACTGAGGATAAATAAACTGGCAGAGATAAGTAAACCACCAGTAAGAACAATAAGTCTGGGACCATATTTGTCAAAAACAGGCCCGACCTGAATGCCCACGATAAAAACGACAAACAAGTACAGACTAAAGATCCATCCAATCTGAGAAGACGAATAGGCTCGGAGTTGATTCTCAGAAAAGTACGATTCAAACACAGCAGCAGTATTAATGAGTCCGTAGACGGAAAACATTCCGCAAAAGGACCCAAAGACTACAAGCCATGCTTGGAGACCGCCCTCAGGAAACTCAAGATCGGGCTCATGATGATTGTCGGTCGGAGTGTCGCTAGTGGAGGAAGATTCGATGGCTCCGTACTCGAGGCCGGGCTGCTGCTCCGGGGCCGTTACCGGGGCCGAAGACTTTTCGGGATCTCCACGCGGAGAAGGGGAAGGGTTAAAACTGATAGACTCGTCCTGCGCAGGGCAAGATCCGTGCTGGTTTTTTAGGCAGCTGTCCTCTGCATTGTGTTCGTTGTAGGTCATGTGGTAACTAACAAAAACCTTCTATGATCACAAAACGAGATTTTTACAATGGCAAGTAAATTCACATGGAGTATGACTTGAGAGAGAAGGAAGAGTTGATGGGTTCCGCGGAAGAGGAGGGGAATGGCAAGAATTTATGTGCCGGGATGCGTAGCCGATGGAGTTGGCTTGGTTAATAATTGCCATTACAGGACATTACATTGCATTGCATGTTGGACTAGGTTGGGCGCTATCTACAAGTGACTCTTACTCTAACGAAATCTGTTTGCTAGTTCAAGGGCGTAGAGCTGCAGGACTTGGCATTTTACTGTAGGCTATTCGCTTATTACATGTTTGATGACTCAAGGAGACATCAATGATAATCTCTTCTATGACGATGAAATGAATGATCTGATTCACTGACGGATGTCCAGTTACAGTTGCAGTTAGAGCCCGTTTTGCCCCATCTTTGAAGCTTGAGCTAACGTCTGGGGCCGTCGGATGTCCTAGCCGTGATCAATTTAAGATCGGGCTCCGAACGAATCACATCGATTGGATCTTGACATAACATGCACCGATACCCGTTATTGTACTGATCGATATGTGCGAGTCCGATTTGTATCTGATCAATCATTCAGGGGGTTAAGCTTATGTTACATTATCATTCAATGTTTGCTCAAGCTGCATAGGAGAAACTGGCCTCAACTCGTTATAACGCTCACCGGGATGCAGGGTCTTCAGCAATCAACAACGGCCATACACATAAGACTATTGTTTGTCGCTGACGAGTCTCCAATTGAACGGTGTAGGCTATGTTTAGTGAATTATTGTTGGTGTGAGGTTGAATTAACCGTTGCATTGACAGCAAACGTCTACCCTTCCCGTACCACCGGAGACATGCATCCCCTCCCGCCTCAGTTTCAGCCACTCAACTTGACAGACCCTGTCGAGTCTCTTATTGTACATATGCTGTAAGTTTTCATCGAATAACATATGCGCCAATACATGTAAGCATTGGTGATATATAGTCGCAGTGTGAGGCGCCCGCCATCACCATATGCCGTCAGAAGAGATGGCCGACGAGAGCATAAGAGACGAAATAATCTGGTTACTTTAGACTAAGTTTAGCCACCAGTTAGGCTACTTTATTTCTGTAGCCTAAGCCTTAGAGGTTGTTTCTCCTATTCCCCACCTGTATGCGTACCTGCATATAGCAAATAAATTCTTATCCTGGCATGGAAGTAGGGATGAACGATGTTCACGATTGGTATGAGTTAGGCTATAGTAATATCTCTGAATGAGACGCATATGATTTGTCTACAAGTGGATTACATATGCCGTTGTCAAGTTGAAACACCAAGAATAGAGACCCAATAGGTTCACAAGAACATCGATACCTGAGGGCGAGAACTCCTCATAACTTTTAGTGAAACACCAACATACACTCTCACGCCATATGTAAGCCTCTCAAACTCATGCTCACTGTACTTACTTGTGGATCTACAAAGTCATAATCGGAGAACCTACCGTGGCTGCTAATGGTCTAACCGATGGGTATGTGTGTAAAGGTTTGGAGACCAAATAATACAAAACCCCCTCTGCCCCTCCTCGTATTCTATTCAATAACTATACTGGCCAAACTGTATACAAACAAAGCGCCATAATTGTCCTAAGTGATAGACAAACTAAACCTTCAAAGACCATTGCTCTTGCATGAGAACACGCCAGACACCTGTCCAGCTTCAAACTGGTCTATGATACCCTGAACACTGACATACGTTCCCAAAGTGAGGTACAGAACGCCAGTCAACATGATGATGACGTTAAGAGCTACAGATAGGTAGTCAAGCACAGGCTGTCTTGTCCTTCCCACTTTCTTATCAGCATTTCGCATGCGAAAGTAGGCCAGCGCCCAAAAGATGAAGCCAAACCAGCAGTTGAACAAGGATGACATGACCGATAACACTGCAATGCTTGTGAGTAGTGTTCAGAACCAAGCCCGAGGGTAATGACTTACATGATGAGAAGAAAGGAATGACCTCGGCGATAAGGAATGAGGCAGCCCAGCTAAGAAATAGAATGAAACCCCACCAGGCCCAACCCTTGATGGTGTGAGAAGTGAGATGTACGGAGTCTTTGAACATGCGAAAGAAGATGAACCTGCCTGTCACGCTGGCGTAAAGGCATCCTACAAAGATAATGGTAGGAATCATGAAGGAGTACGAGACCTTCTTGTACAGATCGCCGAGAACTCCAAAAGCTGGCGTGACCATGTACTGATCGCCTGTGTAAGCGTAGATGACAGCGCCGACAACGCTGAAGGTAACGATCTCGGCACAAGTGCAAGCCCACAACGCCTTAGGGAAATCCCTACAGAATTGTTAGCAATGTTGAATTTGTCAATTGACACTTCAACTTACCGGGGATCACGCATCTCAGCGATAAAGCTGGGAATGGTAGTTTGGCCGATGAACGTGTAGCTCATGTTCATGAAAGCTGACATGCCCGTGACGAGAGTGGTGCTGCTTGGCGTCCATATAGAGATAATGGGCTCTCCTTTGTTAGGATAACCAGCAGGTGTACCTTGGACGCCCGCGAAGACTGTTGCTAGAATAACCGACGTGAATGTGAACACGGTCGACGCAAAGGCTAGCTTTGACAACATGCTAAAGGTGCGTGGGAGCGATCCGATCCAGCTGATGGCGGTCACTACTACGGCGAAAATAACGGTTCTGCAGCCTTTGATGTTGTCGGCCTCGGTCATGGTGTTTAAGTAGATTGCGCCAACCAACACGTGGAGAGCTTGAATGAAGGTATTGTTGAGGACGAACATGGCTGCCGTCCACCACCAAGCCCATTTCCCGTTCCACCAGATCATCTGTCCAATATCGCAAACATCGCGGACCTCGGGGTGTCGCAGACAGAACTCCCACAGAATAAGACTCGTATACAAGACCAGACCAGCGACGACAGCTGTCAGGATCAATCCAGGAACAAGGCCAAGAAGACTGTAGGACCAAGGAAAGCTCATGATAGAGAGCACAATGTACTCGCTAAAGAGAAGGCCGGCCGTCTTTTGCCAAGAACATGTCCTGTATTGGATGGCATTTCCCGCTTCGGAAGCTACCTGCTTGTCGTGCAAGTCTGCGGCTGAGGTGCTGTCTGTTTCGGAGAGAAGGTTGGATGCCAAGTGCTCGGCGAGGGGTTCGACGCGGGGACCAATAGTGACTCTGGAACCTCCAAAAGCTGATGCGAGCCAAGGCGATCTACTCGTGGTTCCTGAGCTTGGCGTGCGTTCAGCTTCATCAAGGGTGGAGGTTTTGAACTCCATGGCGACTCTGAAAATGATACTGCGCGGGCGAAATGATGCAGATGCGCAGGGGATCGGATAAAATATGTAGGGTGGTGCTAGAAGATGCAAATGAAGAGAAAATCAAGAAAAGAAATTGATGGGAGTCGATCACATATAGCGAAATGGCAGTCACGAAAGTACCTCAACATGGGAAGGAGTGGCCGGATGTACCTGCCTACCTGATGCTACCTCTAGTCCAAGTCTAATTGAGTCAATTCCAAGGTAGCGGAGGGGAAGGAACGGTAGTACTTTTGTAGACTGCACGAACTCCCCGAGAGCCTGCATGAGGAGGCGTCAAGGCGTCGAGTTCCATGGCAAATCAAAGCTGAGACGATCAATCAACTGCGGAGACTTGGTTATGGATCATGACATGCTCAAAAGGTTCAACCATGTTATCATCAAGTCCTAAGACGATCCCTACGACTGCAGATCGAAATGGAGTCGTTCAATCACGCAATGCGGCAACCCTCACTCTCCATTGATGGTTATAGAAGAGGGTGTGGTCTAGCCTAATGCACTTTGGGTTTTAAGCTTACTCCATAAGCTTGTTTTTCTTGCTCTTCAGCTTCTACTGGTCGCTCAACGGAAATAATATGCAATACCCGGCGCCGCCGAACGCCCGACATATGAGCGACTTCGCTGTATACTTGCGTCACTGTTCTAGACATGACATAGGTACTGCATTTAGTAGATGAGTGTTAATGAAAGGATACCGGAGAGGGGGATCGGCGATAAAAGAATTGTCCTGTAAGGCTTGGGCCAAAGTAGACTGAGTGCTGGTCTAAAATATGTAGCACAAAGTGACCAAATTGATTCGTCTTGCTTTCGGCGGTCAATTCTTCTGATCCTCTGACGAGAGAGCAGCAGGCTTTAGTTGATTGTGGTAGAAGTACGCGACAGTAGTTGTCAAGGGGAGGCGCTTAGCCAATCGGGGTATTATAGAAGCCTTAGTAATTTGGCAGAGGCGTTTATTGGGCGCAATACAATGCCTCTTATCTACCGGTCGTTAGGCGAGCCTGAGAGACGAAATAATTTGATCAACTTATGCGTGCTTCGACTAGTAGTTAGTTGGCTTTATTTAAGTAGCCTAAGCCTTAGAGAATAATTCTTCTGGCGGCCACCTAGCCGGCCTATTGCAGATAAAGACTATACGATCAATCGCCGTTCATCGTATACTATGAGTATGAGACCGTTGTGGTCCTAGTCTGAACAATTGCTTTTTCTGAACCGGAATCGCCCTGACTTTGCCCCGAGTTCCGGCGCATAAGGTTGTGCACCCCTTCACTCTTATCTATACGCATACTAGAGCCTTCAGCCTTAGAGACGGTTTGTAACGGATACATGGGATCTTCATCAAATCGTTCGTAGTGACCGTGTCGGAGTCTCCCATTCGTAGGTATCGCCCCAATAGTTGGTGGTGCATTTGGATCCGATAAGCCATTATCTGATCGTATGCGCAAGGTGCCTAGGATTCGGGGAGCTATACGTTTGAGGAAGGGTTTAAATGTCGTCAGGCTAGCGCATATTATCGAGAGGTTGGCCTCAGCAAAGCTGTCATAGTAAGCAATTAGACATGGCTACCAAGACAGACAATACTTACATCCAAAGCAGGACAGGTCCTCCGCCCCAAGATTGGTCTTCATTGCCCATGGAGTTGATCAATGTGATAAGTCTCATGATGGATGTGAAAATAGTACTGTTTAGGTCTCAGTCAGCTTGTTCCTTGCTCAGGCTCAGGACAGGAGGGGAACTCACACTCCACCGATGCAGAAGAAACACAGCAACCCAACCTTCTGTCTCCAAGAGATCTTGAGAGGCACCACTACTGGTATAGGGATCGCAAGGACCATAGCATCAGTAATAGCGCCTAGGATAGCAGTAGCCTGATACACTGCAGGTCTGTCAATGCACTTGGCATCAGTAATAGTGATATCCCAGCCCGATCGTACCGGTCGGCATGGAAAGATCGTGACAAATGTTATCGCAACTGAAGAGCCGACTACAACGAATCCTGTGATCCAAATGAGCATTTGGAACCACTTCAGTGGCGCGAGTCGACGGTAGACAAGTACAAGGGCAAGTTTGGCACCGCATTGGACGGGGTTATAAAGGATAGGGAGCAGGTACAAAGCGCGTGCAAAAAGGGCGAACTTTGTGATTGGCATTTCCCATCCATGGGTTCCCATTACTCCCCGAGTGAAGTCACCTGTATAGTGTTTGTCATTAGGTAGTGATTGTAATAGGAGGGGATCTCGCACTTACGTATGATCAACGTTTGTAGTACCACAGAGAATACCTAGACGTACCAATTAGTGAGTGCAAATATTTCACCAGGAAAGACGCATATAGGCGATACCTAAGCAGGCTACTGATATTAGCAGACCGCCGAAAAGATATGGGCGTTGGACTGAGCATCTTCAATCCGGAACTTCCTTTGTAAGAAGCCTTTCACATAGACTCTCTGCAATATGAATGCAAGACTCAGGAAATTACCGATGCCATAAAGCCAGTACGCTTCAGTGACACTGTTTCGCTGCGGGTTCTCGAAGTTTACTTTGTAACCGTCAGGTGGTGGGATAGCGACTGGAACGCCATCAACGACAGCAGCCATAGTAACTTCCAGCTCACGAGCCTAAGGAAGAATAGAATAGAAGATACAGTTTGCGCTGGTTGAAGTTCACGAGGAACGGTATAAGTTATCGTTTGCACAGACAAATCTCCTAGGGGTATTCCTTGTATTACTATGTATGGAAGTCCGGCATCTCCCACAGGGTTGACCAAGAATGCTTCAGTCACTCATAGATTCAAGTTTCGTCGAGTGCTTGGTAGTAGGATCTATATCCTGAGATATGGTGGTACTCAAGTACCTTTGTTAAAACAGGGTTGATGCATTAGGTTCATACAGTTGGCTCGAGGCGAAGAAGACAAGGAACCGATACGGCGTGACAACGAATGAGAAGAAGGCGACAAGACAAGAAAATATGATATCACAAAAGTCAATGTTACAGATCCTGGCTGGAGGAATATTCAACAGGACGCTAAGGATAAGCGAGCCTTGAATGAACAACCCGATAGTTCTCAGGGAGAGTATACGTTAATTAACAAAGGAACAATCGAAGAAGAGAATTCTTCCAGAAACTAGACCTCAATTGCTTTCTTCGTGAGATCGATTCCTGGTTATTTTGGAAGGGAATAAGGAATTAGAAGACCTAACTATCAAGTTGTGAGAGAACATGCAAGGGCTGTATGCATGTTGGTTGACAAATGCAACCTCTTGGCCCTGCAAGAAAGAGGCAGAATCAATTGGCGAATAGACCATCACCAAAAATTCCAGGGTCCTGGGTCTTGATCCCATGGGGGAACAGCAAGACCCCGAGACGGAAGAAGAGCTAAGTTCCATACCGGCACCGAAACGACGTTATCTATGTGCATGGCTGCTGAATTGAGTATCTCGCCCCTATCATCTTTTACATTGTCTCTCAAACATGACTCTCCTTACCCATCAAGCGTCAACGTCAACTTACCAGGCCAAATGCCTCGTGGCAGCTGGTATTGAGGCTCGTATCCTCGTACCAACTGATGCCGAATATAAAGCTCGTCAAGAGTCCTACTGGTCCAACAGCGCCAAGGTCGAGCCCGCTTGCATCGTCCAGCCTCGAACCCCCAAGGAAGTTGCTGCTGTCGTCAAGACTCTTGTGGCTGCTGGTCAGAAGTTCGCTATTCGCAGCGGCGGCCATACAAACTGGGCTGGCTCTAACAACATCGAGGGAGGAGTCACTGTTGATCTTGTTCACTTGAACCATGTCTCTTTTGACGCCTCCAATGAGACAGTCGATATTGGTCCAGGTTGTAAATGGCGAGATGTTTACTCTCAATTGAGCAAGCATGGCCGTGCTGTCGCCGGAGGCCGTGAAGGCAACGTTGGTGTTGCCGGTCTACTCTTAGGAGGCGGCAATGCCTTCTTCACAGCACGACAAGGTTTTGGATGTGACAACGTTGTGTCATATCAACTCGTTCTCGCCAGTGGTGAGATCGTCACTGCGGACGAGAACACCAAAACGGACTTATTCCGAGTTCTCAAAGGCGGCTCTAACAACTTTGGCATCGTGACAAACTTCACCATGAAAGCTATCAAAGTTGACCGTGTATGGGGTGGCATGACACTCTTCCCCAAACAAGTCATTCCTCAGGCTATTGATGCTCTCTTCGAGTTCACAGATAATGTGCCCAATGACATCCATAGCAACCTCGTTACTATTATTGGTCATATGCCCGAGCTCAAAGACATCGGTATCGCCACTCTGTATGCTAATATGGAGGGTATTGAGAAGCCTGCAGCATATGAGAAGTGGCTCGCTCTGCCTGAGATTACTAATAGTGTCAAGAACACTACTATCTCCGCAATGGCCTTTGAGTACAATATCCCTGCTAACTACTAGTGAGCCATCCCACTTCTTGCTACCTTTCGACTGTGTTAACCTGCTGATATAGTGATACTTGGTTTACATGCTGTTTCAAAAATGATACCCGAATCCTCACCAAAGCCTCAGACTTACACGACAAACTCGTCGAGGAATTGAAAGAGTTTATCCCTGATGGAAATTTCGTTACTCAATGTTTATTCCAACCACTGCCTGCTCTCTTCGGTCAGCGCTGCGTCGAAGCTGGTGGTAATGTGATGGGTGTCGAGCGCCAGAAGGACAACAGCATATTGTTCCTTGCTGTCGCAATGGTCAAGACCGCCGAACAAGAAGCCTTTGCAAGGCCAAAGGTGCAGGCTTGGATCCAGGAAGTGCAAGACTTTGCAGCGACTATCGAGGGAGGAAACCTTGAGTGGACGTATCTTAACTATGCGGACAAGAGCCAGGATCCCCTTGGCAGTTATGGGGCGGAGAATATTAGGAAAATGGAGGAAGCGGCGACTAAGTATGATCCTGATCAGGTTTTTCAAAAGCTGGTCCCTGGAGGTTTCAAGATTTCTGATGTGAAAGATAAATGAGCATCTTATGATGAATATAAACTAGAGATATATGTCCTTACTATCATAAAATCAGAGGTCCGGACGATCTTCAACAGATCACCAAGTTTAAATGTGTGAAGACCTTGGTAGATATATGCTCTCTTTAACTTTATTATGGGTAGCTCTCTTCGTATCCAACATTGCAACATCATCTACTGGTATCTACTACATAGCGACCAGCGATATTTCCTTCAATCATCATATCATAAACCTTCTGAAGCTCTGATAGACCAACAATCCTGAAATACAGAGTCAGTCATCTGTGGTGTACTTATTATAAGTTAACTTACTTATATGGCGCTTTGATAAGTCCCTGTCTGTAAAACTCGATGGCTTCGGCGGTATCTTGTCTGTTGCCGACATAACTACCTTTGATATTGATTTCTCTATATCATTCTTTGTCAGTTTGCATCCAACAGACACGGTATCACACTTACCGAACAACAGTGTCAAACACGGGGGCCTTGACAAAAGCATTGGCTGGCAATCCCACACAAACGATGGTTCCCTTACTCTTGACATACTGACTCGCCTGTTGGAAAGGCTTCTCACTCGCCGCTAGAAGCAGAACCCCGTCAGGTCCTAAGCCCCCAGTGGAGTTCTTGATCTCTCCAACGATATCTGTAGAAGTTTTGAAATCGACAAAAGTATCAGCGCCAAGCTCAGTACAGACCTTGCGCTTCTCCTCGCCGCCGTCGAGAGCTGTTACACGCAACCCCATAGCCTTAGCGTACTGGATCGCAAAAACACCAAGGCCTCCGCCTGCACCTGCAATAACTACGCTCTGTCCTGGACGAACACCAGAGGACTTGAGAGCTTTGTAAACAGTTAGGCCAGCACATAGGATAGGCGCTACACCAGCGAGGTCGCAGTCCTTGGGGATACGCGCTACATGCGCTGCCTTGCCAACGGCATACTGCTGGAATGAGCCATCGACTGTGTAACCAGATAATGAAGCGTGAGAACAAAGCGATTCGTTGGACTGACGACATTGTTCACAGCTCATACACGAGCCATGAAGCCACTTGAGACCTACATGGTCGCCAATCTCAACGTCTTTCACGAGTTCTCCTCTTGCAACTACCACACCAGCACCTTCGTGGCCTCCGACCAGAGGCATCTTGGGAGCGAGTGGCCAATCACCATTTACAGCGTGAAGGTCTGTATGGCAAACTCCGCTGTACCTGACGTTGATGAGAACTTCATCTGATGCTGGTGTAGGAACTGGGATCTTCTTGTATTGGACAGCTTATTGGTTAGCTCTATCTGTCAAAAGCTGAAGAGCTCACTTACCTCCTCCAGTATTTTCTAGAACTTGTGCCCATTGCTCAGTAGGAATGGTTGGGCTGGCTGTTGTTGCGTATGCAGCATTCTTGCTCAGGCTGGTGGTATAGAAGTTTGTGGTGATATTGCTGGCGCTAGCACGACTATTCGGCTTGTGACGAGGGCATGCCTGAGCCCCAGAAGTTGCACAGCCTGCACAAAGAGTTCTTTGGGTAGTTGAAAAGGTTCGACGATTTGCCTGAATTGTTGCTGTTGCTGAGCGTGCAACAAGTACTGTGTTTCGGGTGGCTGATCTCCCTGATCGGAGGACTTGAGTTCGCAACATATTGCTTAACGACAACATGCCGATTGTCTTGAGTTAGGTTTTAGTGACTGGGGTATATGGTAATTCACATGCATTCAATTGTATGAGTCAATGCTCGCTAGACTAGCGACTTCGCTTCATCTTATAACACAAAATCCTCCATCAGCCCATTCTGATATTGCTATGGTGCCACGTCCAAAGAGTCAATTGACGTCAATCAGATCATATCACATCAGTCAAACTCTAAACCTTGGAGCGGAAATGCGAATAATCGAAACGTAAATTGTACGTTGAGCCGCGCTTGAATGTACCTTTATCCGCGGAGATGCGGCAAAGCCAGCTGACCCCGTGGGGTCAATAGCCTTTTTTCACCCTGGTTGATTTGGTCTCGTGTTTCCTTCCAACCGTAAAGTTATCTTATAAATCTCCGCAGTGGGATCATGAGTAATTCCCATAAGGAAGTGAGCTGATTCGGACTTTGATGGGTTTCAGTTCCATCACTGAGCCGCAAGCAGACTTCCGCCCCCAAAGAGCTTTTTGGTAAGAATTTTGGCTGTAAGCAGAAGGTGACATATCTGTTAATCCCAATTTGCTCCAAATGGTGTGGGGAATATCTCCTGTTACCATCGGCGTCTGGCGGCTGTACAGTTTCGTTCTTGTGCAGTACATCAAGAGGCAAAGCAATTATCCTCTTCACCCGCACCAATATCGACAACTCCAAACTGGTGATTGACGTCATGAGAGGTATTAAACCCTTTTGAAAGAAGCAATACCTTCGAAATGGATTGTCAGCGTCGCAATCGCATAGAGACGTACATGCAAAGATCCAGAAGCGAGATGACGATGTCTGGAGTTCAAGTTCCTCCAACCCACTATGGAGCCTCCCACGTGTCCGGACTTCGGAACTCATAAGGACCTGCAGTAGTAGAAAGTGCGTTTGCCAGTTGATTTCCAGAATGGAAGTATGATTCCGAGTCGAATTGAGGGAGGATTCAACACCCCACTAAACATCAGCAGATTTGGGATATACGTCACGCGAGGCTGTTGGCTCAACCAACAAGACTCGTGGAGTTTTTAATTCAAGTTCCGAGGATCGGAGATGTGTTCTCTTTGCATTTCCGGTGATTTTGGATCGTGTTGATGTCACCTATCTCTATGCATAACACTGAGTGAGAACGCCTTTTCTACAATAATGAATTTCTATACAGTAAAACACCAAAAGACGTCACAAGCCATCGAGACATACGGATATGGTTATGCCACAGAAAGGGATAGTATGTAGCAAGTACAAGCTAACGTCTGAGTGACATATGGTGACTGAAGTATTGGGGAGTTGGGTGAGATAGTTCGAATGGATTCTAAAACACCTGTCCCAAGTTTCGAGGATAATTCGAATATGCCCTTCAGTATACATAGCGTTCTTAAAAGCATCAGTGCTATTCTAGGAATTTCTAAAAAACGAAACACGACGAGACATCGTATTCAATGATTTATTCGTAGCGTTAAGTGGGGAGGTTATTTTTGTAAAGATGGTCTCGTTTACATTCCAAGTATGGGATAACAGGTATATATATATATATATATATATAGACATACAATATGACGTCAAAAATCCTAGGCAGAAGTCATTCTCTATTTCGTCTCTTGTTGTTAAATGCTGGCATGAAAACGCCTTGTCCAGGTAGACGTGGCGCAGCTACCAAAGTACCCCGTCAACTGTCTTAATAAAATATCCTGCCGTTTCTATTGGTTAGACTGACATAAAAATAGCAGTCTAACTAAGCCTCCAATGCACTTACACACAGGCCAGGCCGCCAGGACGTGCCTTCCTCGACACGTCTGGTGAATCCTACACATGCGTCATCTTTTTGTTTCTTTTTTTTGTTTCTCATGAACACAGAACGAGGATGAACTCAGATCTCGAAAACATCACCCTCCATCTCACTTCTGTCAAGACGCCATGAACGCAGCAGCCGACGTAACGGATGCCGCTTCTCGGCTCGCCGAATTCGCCGACGAAGCTATCCATTTCTTCCAGAAACTCTTTTCTCATGAAGAGTCCGCTTTAAGACGAGTCAAAGAACTGGGGGCTTTATCGAAGCTAGCAAAAGAGGTTCATCTGAAGCCTTCAACTAACGACGATGACAGTCCAGAAGAGCTTGAATTTATGGAACAAATGTTACTTCATTGTTCTGAGATTATAAGAGACATCTTGGCTGAGTTTAATTGGAACAATAATGACCGCGATCTCGTTCTGAATGAGTCTGGGCTGTTGAGTTTATATGATGATCTGAATGGAAATAGAGCCAGCGGCCTCTTTGAAGATCTAGAACGAGAACAAATGTGCCTTACAGCTTTCCGAGAGTCAGAGTGAGTAACAAGAGAAAATTGCTAGTTGGATGAGCTAACGATTCGAAAGATTCAAAACACTCTCTAGAGTGCCTAACGCCTCTCCACTTCGCCTGAAATATTCCAACTCTATTAGCGAACGCGAGAAAGAGCTTTTGCACTATTTGTTCGTCACAGACCCACGGCAAGACCTGGCATCACTTGAACTGGTAAAGGGCAATATTCTTGAAGGAACTTGCTCCTGGATCACTGAACAGCTTGAGTTTCGTTATTGGCTACTATTTCCCAGCAAGTTTAAAGGTCTTATCATTGAAGGAAGCGAAGGTACAGGCAAGACCATGCTCGCCATCTATCTCGCCAAGCAATTGGAGCGGCTGTACAAACGCATGCCTGACAACACAGTTATCTACTTCTTCTGTAACCAAGGCGACATCTTCAAAAGCTCTGCAACAACCGTTCTTCGTGGACTTATATGGCAACTGGGCAAATTAAAACCAGAACTCTTATGTCACGCGCTGAAAAAAGTTGAAGCTCATGGTAGTGAGCGAGTGGTTATGGCAAGGGGTTCTTTTGGAACCATGTGGCAGATTTTCGTGGCAATGATCCGAGATCCGTCGGCAGACAACATCACTTGCATTCTCGATGGAATCGATGAGTGTGATACATCATCGGTCAAAGCTCTGTCAGACCGATTTTCTGACTTGCTGACCATGCGAACAAGCCCTCAGAACTTCAAATTGCTCTTAACTTCTCTCTTGATACCCCCCGCCATGAAATTCAAAGACGCCTTTTCGAGCTTGTCTCTGAATTCTGAATTACAAGAGAACATTACCAAAGACGTCGAGCTCTATATAGAGACGAACGTCAAGAGGATTGCACAAGATAAGAGCTGGCACCAAGAACTTCAAAATCAGGCCATGGAGGCCTTCGGCACAAGACCTAATCAGTCATTTCACTGGGCGACATTGGTGATTCTCGACCTTGAATACGAAGCTCAAGCTCACATACCGATGTACCTCAAGTTCTTAACCAATAGCACCGACACAATCTACCACAGAACGCTACAGTATTGCCCATTCAAATACAGAGAACGGACACGGCTATTACTCATCTGGGTATTTCTTGCATTCAATCCCCTCTCTCTTGAAGAACTGAACATCTTGATGGGCGATCAAATCTCAGCCCCAGATACTGGACTTGAGAATCTCAGGACATGCGTAAAATTCTGCAGAGCTTTTCTCTTTATCAGGCCGGAGATCAGGAAGTCTGGCCTGGGATATGAGACTGTGGAGACGGTTCACTTATCTCAACGCTCACTCAAGAATTTCCCAACTCGATACGTCACGGGCGAAAATTCTGGTCCAGGAATCTTTCGAATATTTCCCGAAAAGGATCATGAGCGTGTTGCGTCTCGGTGTTTGGATGTGATGGAGGAGTTACTTCCCGCCTGGTCAAAAGGAATAGCAGACGAAAAATGCAATTTAGTACTCCCCTATGCGACACGATTCTGGTTTCGACATCTAAGAGAATGCCCCCAAAAGCTTCAAGATGAAAAACTAGCATCAAGGGCAATGTCTTTTTTGACGCAGGGTCATGTCAACCGAGGACTCTGGTTCACGTACCTTTCCGACCTCAGAGATGCACAAGAACACATAAAGGCTCCGTGGACTGCAATCAAACACGGTCATCACTTTCCCACTATCAACGGACTCGGAGTGATCACTGATATCATCCTTTGCGAAGAACCGAAGGATTTTACCTCGGCAGATAAGCTCAACGCTTTACAACTAGCTTCACTGCTTGGCATGACGCCAATTGTTCGCAAGATTATCGATACAATAAGCTTATTGAGGTACTTGAGACAAACCAATATTCGGTCTTCGCTCTACGGTTTCTTTTATACACAACCCAGGGGCGAGGCTCGTCTGATAGGCACGCGGAGAGGCTGTCCACTGTTAGCCACGGCAGAACTTGTGGCGATGAACCCTCTCGAACTAGCTGTTATCGAAGGCCACAAGGATGTCGTGGCTCTTCTGCTGGAGCGTCGCCCTCATTCTAGCTTACGGCCTGATTCGATCTTTGCCTTAGAGACTGCCATCAGTCGATGCGATAAGAATATTGTCAAGTTGCTGATAGGAGCTGGAGCCCCGAAGATAAGATCTCCTAGGGGTTTAGAAGGGCCTATCAGTACCGCGATCGCGAACGATCGTCCAGACGTGGTTCAGTTTCTCTGTCGCTCTGATAATACTATTTGGGCGCAGAAAACCTCAAAGCGAGATGAAGCCACGCATGCTTTGCTACATCTTTCTAACGACGCCACACCATATCCATACGATGGGTCCAGGTTCGAGCAACATGTAACCATTTTAGTTCGAGCAGGCGCATCCCCGGACGGTATCGCATCATATAATGAAAGTCTAGGGTTAAGGAAGTGGAAGCATGGAGTGTTACAGTTCCTACATACTCATGGAATCACTTTCCAAGCCCTGGGCCCGTTTCCAAGCGGTAAAACACCTCTGATGCTAGCCATTTCCTCAATGCATCTGAGTTGGCCTGATGTTGACCCAAAAGACATAATACAGCCCCTTTTGGATTCTGGTGCGTCCGTTAATCAGACCGATCGTCGAGGTTGGACTGCTTTACATTATGTTGCCAACGAGATTACTCTGGGAAGGGCGAGGAGAGAATGGGAAGAGATGGATGATGGGGAAGAGTACAAGTTATATCAGATCGCTGGACTTCTAATCGCGGCTGGTGTTGATCAGGATGTGAAAGACAAGCAAGGTCGAAAGGCAGTTGATATCCTCGGAGTTGTGGGTGCACCGGTTTGGAAGCGTGATTTTACGAAGCCAGAGGGCTCGAGGATTAGATCTACAAGAAGGATGTCTCTGGAATAGATATTTAGACTTGGAGCATATACACCAAACCTATAATGTTTAATTCATAATACTTTACTTGTTACAACCAGTCTTAGGACAATATCAACCAAACATCCACCTAAACAAGAAAGGAGAATCATTTCCGTATTTCGTCATCGACATCAGAAGAAAACCACAAAGATAAGAGACTAACAAAAGTGACGATGTCGATCTGTATTTCCTGTCAGCCCCAATCCGCTAATGCAAGGCCCCAGCCGTTGATTCGTCTTTTGATTTTAGCGTCTCAGGGGTAAACATGCTTGTTTCTTTTCGCATTTATCGTGATCAACAAGAAACAAGAAATAAAAGTGTTAGCTGCAGCGCCAATTTCAATAGTTTGTGCTTAGTTTGGTGCTAGACATTCTGGTCTAACCAACACCTTGTTTTTGTACAGACAATGTCTGTGCACTGATCTCTATATATCTAGAAGCAAAGTACTGGGTTTTTGTTATTTGATTGGAATCATCCTACCACTCGTTTCTAACAATTCATTCGTTAAAATGGTTTCGTCAAGACTCTTTGCTGGCTTCGTTGCCCTTGCTTCCATTCACGCTGCCAACGCTGGAGCATGCCGTCCCAGGCCCAGCTCTACAATCGTTTATGGGACAGATACCACTCTCACAACTGCTGAGACCTCATTCCAAACTTCTATTGAGGCTGAGACATCCGCCACCACTCTTGACGAGACAACCACTCTTGAAGAAACCACGACCGCTGAGACCCCGTTCCAAACTTCATTCGAGACTGAAACATCCGCTATTACTGCCGACGAGACTACTACTCTTGAAACCACGGCCGCATTTACAACAGCCGAGACCTCAATTGAGACATCTTTCGTGACAGAGGATGACTTGACCACCACTCTCGAGACCACCCAAAACCTCGACTTTACCACCGATATCACCTCTTTCATCACTCTCACCGCTGATCCAACCACCACTGAGGCTCCTTCCACTACTTCTCGTGCCCCGGTCCCCGCCGATATCTTTCCCTGCATGTCGGATTCGGAATGCGAGGGTAAGATGGTTGAGGTTTGTGACAGAAGTCGGTGCGGATGCGTCGACGGCTTCTGCGGGGTTCTGCAAGTCTCTGTTAGCCTCCCAATCATTGGGGACTCTATGACCCTTCCAGTCATCGGAAACTAAGTTCCATCCCCATTCATATCACGGAGCTATGGGCCTCATGTTCATCACATGGAAGATACCACGAAACAAACCTCATATAATGTACCTACCCGATTAATGATCTTATATATAATAAAAGCCTCCGGGCTATCTTCCAAATACCAACAAGAGATACTCTCCAAGATACAGCCTACATGTTCATATCATGTGAATTGCATCATCCTTGATGTTAACAGAGCCTCTACGAACAGCACGATAAAGCTATAGTATTTAAAAGACTATTTATTCGTAATTAAAGATAAACTTAACATAACTTATTCCCTTGGAAATATATCCTTATACTGCAACAAAGCCTCCTTGTAGGGCTTGGGCTTCCTTCCCGTCAACTTCTCAACACTATCTGTCGTCTTCGCCATGAATCCCCTCGCTACCATCTCACCACAGCATAAAAGATCACCAATGCAAAGCTTCATGGGCAATTTGGAAAAATCACCAAAGAAGTCAGTCGGCAGTCCGTGATCCAACCACCAAGTCTTGAGTTCTTCGTCAGGCATATCGACAATCTCTCCCTTGTAGCCAGTCTGCTCGCACATCCATTTGAAAATTTCTTCGTTGGTGACAGCTTCTGGGCCACTGACTTCATAGACAGTATTCGGCTCTCCTCGACCGAGAAGCAGAGCTGCTAGGACGTTGCCGCAGTCTTCTCGTGCGACATATGCACCGGCTTGGCCGTGGGTGTTGACTAACCAGCGATCACCGCAAAACTTCCACGACTGAGCGAACAGAGTTGGGATGTTGTCTGCATAGAGATAGTTGCGCTGGATGTTCCACTGCAATCCAGAAGCGTAGATAATCTTCTCGATAAAATGGTGATCCCGAGGAAGAAAAGGAATATCCTCCTCATTCTCAGCCTCGATACCAGCCCCAACGAAGGAGGTGTAGCAGACTCTCTTGACACCGCATTCTTTCGCAGCATCAACGACAGTCTGAGCCTGACGGCGTCGACCTTCACCAAAGAGCCATGTTGAAATCAGTGAGACGGCTTCAGCACCTTGGAAGACTGCCTTGAGGCTTTCGATATCGTCGTACGTAGCGGTGACGATTTTTGCACCTTTGTCGGTCCATGATTTTCGAAGATCGGCAGGGATGGCCTCTTCTTTGTAGGTGGTGAAAACGAGTTCATCATCAGGCTTGGCAACCTCCAAGGCGAAGCTAGCAGCGATTCGGCCAAGGTTGCCGTCTGCACCTGTGAGAACGAATTTTGGCATTTTGATTTGTGATAGATGGAATTGATATCAGCGAGTGAGAGAATACTATGGAGTATGGTTTGGACTCCTGGGTCTGTTACACTTGTGCTATTTATACGCTCCTCCGATGCCTTGACCGCATTATCATGGCCTGACCCATATCGCGAGACTTCCCTGTCTCACCGGGCGATCCGTGTCTCAATGGAGTCGTGTAATTCCGAGATTTGCCGGTCACATCAGATCTGGACCCAGAGCGGCGGTAATCCCGCCGCTAGTAGTCGCTAGGGATAGCATCAGATCATGTTTATCAACGACATTCGACTCAGTCTCATGTTACAGAGGCAAAGGTCTGCCATGGTGCTACTATTTTCGTCACCAGGCCAGAAGGATTTGCAGTTTAGAAAAGCTAGACAGAAATCAAACTTTTGAAAGGTGGTTCATTGTGACGTATCTGGCATATCATCCCACGATAGGTAGTCAGGGACCAGGGTGGAATAGACTCATCCTTGTGCGGAAAGCCTCAGCTGCTGTGCAGCTTTCGATATGCGTTATTGCCCGATTGACCATTTTCCCTTCATTGGCCGTACAAGAGCTGTTTATGATATCTCATATGTACATGACTGGCCCTTGAAGAACCACTATCCTCAGCCCTAGGAATCAGGTCATATCTCCATCAGATGGAGAGACGGCGTCGAATGATGGTACCAAATTGCAGCCTCCCTTGGCATCAAACAGCCTAAAAGCCCTCCGGTATGGTGTAGTGGCTAACATTTCGCGCTCTCATAACCTGAGAGATCAGTACCGCGGAGCCCAGGGTTCGATTCCCTGTACCGGAGTTCCCTATTTTTGCCCTGCTGGCTATCTCTCAAGAGATTGTAGCTTTTTACTACCATGAATAGAAAGATGGAACGAATGTATTGCTTTTTGTTGCAATGTCCTTTTAGTTAGATGCTGGCTAAGGCGCCTTTCGCTGAGTGTATGTTCGTTGAAAGTGAGTAAAAGGATTTATCTTCACCAGTGACTCTTTATTCCTCAAATAACTAGCTGGCATAAACGGAGTCAAAAGTTAATAAAACCATATTGTGATTATTATTCTGCTCTCAGATATCTCTTGTCATACATACTGTGACGCAGTACAAAAATCAAAGACTGGAGTTGCCCCTGTGCAATAAAGGTGATCATCCTGGCTATATGGTTGGAAGATGCATGTCGGAAATGTATATTCTTTGCTAGATTCAAGCATCTACATATATGTCTAAAGTTCATTCAACGGATCTGCTATTCAATTTCTCGATGCCAAGTCTAAATGATGTACATCTCCATCTCCTTCGAGTCTCGTTCGTGGTTCCATCCGCCAACAAGATAATTCGTGATATATCCTACTCGCTGATAAACATTTCCAAACTCCCGAACCTCCTTAGGTAGTCTAGGCTGTAAAAGCCCGTCCTTCATTGCCTTCTTCTTCTCTTCCTCGTCTAGTTTGTTAAACTCCTCTTCATCCGGCTTATTCAACTCTTCCTCATCTACCTTCACCAATACTAACGCACAATCATCATCCCAGGCGTTTCGCGTCGTGTAACTTGAGCAAAGCCTCAGACACAACAAGTCTTTAGTCTTCAGATTTCGTAGACGGAACAAACTGTCCGGTCTTTCGAATGGTTTCCTGATAGAACTTCCTTGCTTTTCTAACCAAGCATTATCTCCGTCGAGGGTGAATGTCATCGGCATAGCGCGACCTGTGATAAATATATAACCAGATTTTACCTTTCCGAACTGGTTTTCCCCTTTGACGATACAGTTTGTGCGATTGAAGTCGACCTTAACAAAGAATTCGTCATACTCGAAGCTGTGTAATCCCCATGTGACACCGCGATGGACACTAAGCCAACTCCAGCTTGGTGCAATATACTTATACTCGTCACCAGTATCTTTCTCGTCTGGCATCCAGCGCAGACTATTGAGTAAATCTCCCTCCCAAAGACCAGCAAGATATCTCTTAGTCAAGTTGCCGGACCATTCCGTAGCCAGTCCTGCAACAGCGGGGAGACCATCAGTCCGAAACGTGATATTCTTCTGAGAATATTGAACAATTAAATCACGCCAAAGCTCATGGTGTTCTTGGAACTCCTTGGACTCGCCTTGAAGAGGTTTAGACGGCCTGAAAGAAGACCCTCTGTAGCTATTGGTGCCTTTTATGTACTTGTGGCCTGTCTTGATAATTCGACGTGCTGGAACGAGGGGGTCGTCTTCATGCTCTTCAAGTGCCCCGCACTCACAGTCCATGGCTGAGAGACAGTCAAATATCATCTCGCTCTTGGTGTAGTGGAGGATCCTTGTGGCTAACAGTCTCTCTTGAAAGCACCAAGCACGCGTCAACAGAGGGTGGTCTTGGATATCGGACACCCTGGTTCCAGTGATGGGATTGGAAGAACCTTTGGCCACGTTCCGATCCGTATTCCATCCAAACGCAGAATGTTGAGATATCTTGCGGCCATAAATATCAAACGGCTTCCCATCAGGGAATGTACCTGACACAGTGACATAGGGCTCACGGGGAAACAGGCAACCTCCAGATCCATCGACTGATCCAGTAGCCGACAAAACGAGCTCCGCGCCGTTGTAGATGGATGCCATCTTAGCAGCCTCTATTTCCCAGTCTTGGCTATCATCTTGGACAATACAAAGAGAGTCTATCCAGACATATCGTATACCAAGTTCTCGTGAAATGACAATCGCATCCTGAAAGGTTTTCGCGAAGCGAGTGAAAGGGATGTTTTTCTTCCACTGTTCAAGAGTGGCCTTCTCTGACTTCAAATGCTGGGTTCTACCCCAACAGTGAGACAGCGCGATATACGGCTCGGTGATCTGCTCCTTGGAGTCATCATGGACGAAGATGTGAATCCCATCATTTGACTCGGGCCCAATATCGACTACTCGCTTTGGTAGCCTTGGCTTGGAGGCAGCCTCTGCTTCAGAGCAGATAGTATGCTTCTCTTTGCATGTTCGAATCCAATGCCTCGCTCTATCAAAAGATGAACGAGAACTAGGGTCGGGCTCAATATGCCCCGCATGTCCGCCAATTTCAGCGTCAAGACTCCAATCTGGTCGTTCTAGATTCATACAAGAGCCGATGGTAGGCCATGGACAAGGAGAACCTGATTGATGGTCAGCCTTTGCTCTTTGATCTCACTTACTGGTCCTATTACCGGGTAGTGTGTATATTTCGTAGGTCTCGATAGGAACACCTTCGGAGCTATCAGCGCCAGAAGAAAACATATCGAAATCATCTTCTGGCGGACTTCCACGAACTAGTCTGGCCCTTAAGACATTCCCTTTGCAGAACACTATTTCTAGCCAAAGTTCAGGATCACTGCAGTCCAGCTTCCCTCGATTTAGCTTTGTCAGAATGCCCTGAAGCAGAGAACAGGAAACACAGCCTTCCATCGCCGATCCAGGGACATCAGGAAGATAAACTTTGATCTCCCAAGAGGCATAGTCAATACGGCCCTGTCCGGCCCAAGTGGGCTCTTCATCAAGGTTACCGGCCTCAGCAGCTCTGAGAGAATTTCTAGTGCCGGCATTTTCGTGCATAGCTATTCCAGCCAAAGGCAGAGCGGATGAAGCGGATCCTGGATAGAGATTCCAGCATACACGGCATAGCTTGGGATCTTTCCTGATCTCATCATCTGTATCGCCTATCGGATAAGGTGGACTTTTGAGGTCTAATGAAGCCATACTCGTTTAACCCCGCACTAGAGGTCTCGCAAGCACAATAAGGTCCGAAGTTGGGAGGAATCTAGAGAAATTTGAATCGTAATGTGTAATCAGGGAGGAGAAGATATGAAACCAGGCTGAGGCCATACAAGAGCTGAGGAACATAGAGTAAGCCATGGGGCTGTTTCGGCCCCCACCATCATGTGATACCCTGGTCATTCTTACCAGGGATTCACTTCGGTCTCACGCCGGGTTGTTAAAGCCGCTGATTCTCTACAACAATCCGGCAGTAGGTTTGTATGGATACTACGGCAATTAGCGAGTGGTACAGTTCTTTTATTAGTTAGAGAGCAATTTACTGATAGCTATTTCCATGATAGCATCAGTTTCCTAGGCAAGTGTGGAGAATATCCGTTGACGTTATTTTTAAGCAGTAGTCTTTACTTTGAGTAAAACAGTCTAGATGACTCTGGGTAAAGATAATTGGAAGCAAAGTTGGCATCAGAAATATGTTTCATCTCACTCTTCCAAGACACCATTGATATTTATGTTAAAGGATAGAGGTGGTACTCAGTTTGAAGTCCCAAGTCTCAGAGAAACAAAGTGCACTATACAATTTACAAGATAATGGACTAAGTCGCAGCCGTACAATGTCATGTTGGAGTTGAGGGGTGCACGTGACTGTCTCATTGACCTTTGCGCATCTCCGCATTGGGTGGGGAAAACCTAGAGCCCCACCAAGATTTTTCCATCTCAAGCTTCTTTTGGAGGGGCAAAAGATCGATTAACGAACTCCATGTCGGTTTGACGCACAAGCCCAGCAATTCCATAACCACTGCAAACGGCTGTCACGACTGCCAAACGCCACAGTTATTAGAACCCGTCAATCGAAGTAATAACATTCATCATGGCGACCGCCACCATGACAGTGACGGCTGTGCCGACCAAGAAGAAGCCCGACATGGCTCCCGAGAGCGAGCGTTTCCTACGATGTTGCGCCGACGTTGCGAATGCCCTCATCGAAGATCACGAAGCCTCCAAGGCTGGCCGTACCACACGCGACATTAACCTCAACTCGCTGCGAAACAAGCTCGCCAAGAAGCATAAGCTCATGAACATCCCACCTTTGACCGCTATCATCGCCTCCATTCCCGAGCACTACAAGAAGTACATCCTGCCAAAGCTCATCGCCAAGCCTATTCGAACGTCTTCTGGTATTGCTGTTGTTGCCGTCATGTGCAAGCCCCATCGATGCCCTCATATCGCTTATACCGGAAACATCTGCGTTTATTGTCCTGGAGGACCTGACTCCGATTTCGAGTACAGTACACAGTCATACACCGGCTACGAACCTACTTCGATGCGAGCCATTCGTGCGCGATACGATCCATTTGAGCAAGCCCGTGGACGAGTCGATCAGCTCAAGTCCCTCGGTCACTCTGTCGACAAGGTCGAATACATCATCATGGGAGGAACTTTCATGTCTCTGTCTGAGCAATACCGAGAGGAATTCATTGCGCAGCTTCACAATGCCCTCAGCGGCTACCAAACGACCAACGTCGACGAGGCCGTGGAGGCTGGTGAGATGAGTAATGTCAAGTGTGTCGGTATCACCATTGAAACCCGACCCGATTACTGTCTGCAGCCTCATCTTTCCGACATGTTGCGATACGGCTGCACTCGACTTGAAGTCGGTGTACAGTCTTTGTACGAAGATGTTGCACGAGATTCCAACCGAGGACACACGGTCGCCGCGGTCGCAGAGACCTTTTGTCTTGCGAAGGACGCTGGTTACAAGGTTGTCAGCCACATGATGCCTGATTTGCCAAACGTCGGTATGGAGCGTGATATCGATCAGTTCAGAGAGTATTTCGAGAACCCTGCCTTCAGAACCGACGGTCTGAAGATCTACCCCACACTAGTCATTCGAGGTACAGGTCTGTACGAATTGTGGCGAACAGGACGATACCAGAACTACACTCCCAACGGACTGATCGATCTTATCGCGAGAATTATGGCTTTGATCCCTCCTTGGACCCGTATTTACCGTGTTCAGCGTGATATTCCCATGCCTCTGGTTACATCCGGTGTCGAGAATGGTAACCTGCGTGAGTTGGCTTTGGCTCGAATGAAGGACTTTGGAACAACTTGCCGAGATGTGCGAACACGAGAGGTTGGCGTCAATGAGATCAAGAACAAGATCCGACCTAACCAAATTGAACTGGTGCGAAGAGATTACGTCGCCAACGGCGGTTGGGAGACTTTCCTCGCCTATGAAGATCCCAAGCAGGATATTCTCGTTGCGCTACTTCGTCTGCGAAAGTGTACCGAGAAGTACACCTACCGTGAGGAACTCACAGGCCAGCCCACGAGTATGGTTCGAGAGCTTCACGTCTACGGTACTGCCGTCCCTGTTCATGCTCGTGATCCCCGCAAGTTCCAACACCAGGGTTTCGGTACCTTGCTGATGGAGGAGGCCGAGAGGATCGCACTCGAGGAGCATGGCAGTGACAAGATCAGCGTTATCTCTGGTGTTGGAGTGAGGAGCTACTACAAGAAGCTGGGTTTTTGGTTGGATGGACCGTATATGAGCAAGTGGTTGGATGGCCGCGAGCAACCCGAATAAATGACAGCTTCAGGGTAACGAATAGCATGAATGGCATTGGGAATACCTCATGGTTGGGGGCTTTTGCATTTATAGACGGCGTACATTGGATGGGAATGAAAAGTTACGACGATTTTACACATGGTGTCTATGTTTGCCTAAAGCTTGTGATGATTGTGAATTATTTGGCGGGAGCGTAATTTCAGGTTGTTTACTGTAGAATATGACGTATGTCTCTCCATCTAACTTCATGAGAAGTCAAGATGATGTCCCTTTCTTCAGGCTGTTCCTTTTTCCCGAGCGTCCAGATCGTTTCGCAACGATTTGCCTTATCCATGTTCAAGGAAGTCTTACAACTTCAGGTCACCTGGACCATCCAGGAGGATGCCTTAGATCTCGGGACGGGAGGGATGACCGTCATCTGCAGCACCCGATTGGTCAACGACGCTTAGTCACCCACTTCTAACCTCAGCAAGCCCAATCTATCTCATCCTCACAGGCTGCCTCTCGTGCTTAACTCCTTCTTAGAACCATGACTCTCTCAACGCCATGAAACCTCGTCAACATGACGTCCCGGATTATGGAACCGGCATCCTTCCGGTAATACCTCCAGACGCATCTTTACCGGACCGTGATCCACGCAGCAATGCTGCTACCGCCGCTTCAGCAGCTGGTGCACGCGCTTTGAGTACCCAACTCATTGCCTTTTACTTCCGTGCACCGGCAAAGGCTTTCTTCAGAACGCGAGTGGATTATCTTGCGTATGCGAGAATTATTCATCAGACGCAGACGAAGCTATTGATGAAAGCTGCCGCAAACGACGCTTCTGCTTCGGCACTGACTACCTTCCTTCGTCAAAGTTGGTTATTATTAAGAAGTACGACACCTGGAGTTTTGACGTCAGCTATCAAGCATCAAGGATGGGGAATTGTGCCAAATCAGATTCTGCCGCCTCTTATTGCGAATGTCGGTGTTGGAGCAGTCTTGTACACGAGTTACCTCCAGATTTTAGGACAACTTCATGAAGAGAGCGGCCAAGCACGGACAAGAGTGTATCCACCACCTCACCCAACGCATACCTTCACAGCTGGTCTACTCGCTGGTGGTCTTCAAAGTGTTTTAGCAGCACCTTTAGATGCCCTTCAGGCACGGTATGACCACACAGATCTTATGCCGAACGACGGCAGTGGCAAGCCCAGGAGTATGTGGAAATTTGGCTGGGAGAAACTTCGAGAAATCGGCCTCAGAGGAATTTTCGCAGGATGGGGCTTGTCTCTTGCGAAGGATAGTCTTGGAAGCGCCATTTTCTTCAGTACATTCGAATACGTCAAGGCACAGGGTTACTACCGCTTCGTTACATGGTACTATGGTGGTCTGGCACAGGATATTGTTGATGTGTTAGCCATGAAACGCCCGACGCACCGCCATCGTGAAGAAGAAGGCATCAGGCTCATCCGACCACATTACGCCCTGGAACCCATGTTTCTTCTTCTCGGCGGCTTGAGTGCTTCATTCACTCAGCAGATTCTCCTCCATCCTTTGACGCATTTCCAAGTCAAGCACTGGGACCACCTCGAAGACCTTGATGCGAAAGCTTCCAAACTGCGTGCTTCCCAAGTAGCAAATCCCGAAAAGCCACATCGACGATGGAGGATGCTGCGTGCCTACTACCGCGCTTATCAGGAATCTCTCGCTGTTTGCAGAGGCGAAGCAGCAGCAGAAGGGTTGAGTCTCACGAAATGGCTTTATCGCGGATTCTGGTGGAATGCGATTCGTCAAGTACCCAGCACCAGTGCAGGCTTGATCATTTTTGAATTGATCAGGCGCAAGTACGGACTTGGACAAGGAGAGGTGAGAATCACAAAGGATGGGTATGACATTCTACTTCACTAAGGGCAGGCCTGGTGTGACGGCGTTGGTGCTGTATGATAGACATTCTCCTCTATTTGGGCTTATATATATAGATAGGCTGGGTACATAGAAACAACAGATACCTCTCCACAGTATTACCGGTTGACTTGATGCCTTGGTACGATTGTATGGAAGGTCTAAGCAAAAGCCTTCCACAACATCTCATAACTTAATCCATCAGCCGCCGTCCTCCGGGGAAAGGCCCCCCTAGGGAGGCAACAGAAGAAATGTCCTCTAAAACTTAGGCTACAGAAATAAAGTAGCCTAAATGATAGTCTAAGGTAGCATAAGGTGATCAAGCTATTTCGTCTCTTATGCTTTCAACGGTCAATTCTTCTAACACCCTGCGGCCCCCCACTACTTTTCAACTAAGAGCGACCGCGGTGTAATCATGGTTGTGTCCCAAAGATCGCAGGTTTCCGCTGACAATCGTCAAGCCAAGCAAAAGTCTCCCACAACACGTCACAGCTGAACGCTTCAACTGCCGGTCCCCAGAGGCGGACTCTCTCTACTGCGGTCAACAATCCAAGCTCGCGAGCGACGGTGACAGGTTCATGCTTCCACTTGAAAAGTTGGACATGCCAATTAGGATCTTCTTCGTTAGCACTCAGGTACTTGTCGTCAAGGGAGACGTGAGCAGAAGGGCCCACGCCGGAGTATCTTCCAAACCAGCCATCGCACCATGCTTCTCGACTTCCGGAGCCATAGTTCACCAAGTCGGTTTCAAGTTGATAGTTGACAGAATTTAGCTGGAAGAGTAACTGTTTCCCGTAGTAGTCTCCTCGTTTGGGTAGGCTCGCAGCTAGCCCCTGAACTCCGAGGGCGAAGAAATCGTCGTCATTGATAATGAAATCGAAACCCCCCTTTTCTCTGTCTAGGTTGACAATAGCCCTTTGTGACGTTATGAACAGGCGTTGTCGCTTCACTAGCCATTTGAATGGCCGAATATATATCTGGTGTGGCTCATCGACATAGCTTCTGACGAGGTTCTCGACCTCTTCGTTCTTGGGGAGGAAACCCTCCCTGTATAGATAAGACAGCCTATTAGCCCTTGTCTCGAACTCATACATCAAGAATTCTCGTTGCACGAGAGCAAAAAAGTCTGAGTTGATGGGTTTGCCTGCGATATCCGTAGGGCTGCCCCCAGGCGGGTTTCGGTTGGCGGAAACCTGGAGACCATTCCGGATCATTTCAAAGAAACGCAAGCTCTCACAGCGTTCTGCACCTGTCATTAGAGCTCCAAGAGGGATCATCTTGCGAGCTCGACAGTACATCATGCTCCAGTGATGCTCAGGATCTGGAACTCCAGCAAAGGCCGTAGCAAGCTGATTGACATTGTCAAGAAACTCAATGAAATTCTGCAGGTTCTCCCGTATGTGTAAAGGGCTTGTGAAGGCTTCAGCCTCCCAATCAATGGGGTGAATGAAAGAGAACCTGTGGATGTTGAAGTAGGTGAGGGCGGGTACCAAATTTTGGTGAGGAACATATTGTTCGAGTATCTGAATTACTCCAGATAGATAATCCTCTCCTTCTGGAGCTCCTAATTCTGCGACTTGTCGGTGTATATGGGCGGCTCTTGAGTCCCGTTGTCGGATAGACTTAAGAATATGTGGGATGTATGGGCTGGCGGTTTGTGCTGGACGATACATGTCGATGATTCGACTGAGAGGTTTTAAGAAGCTTTAATATGTTCGAATTATTGTGAGTAAAACTTATGCTGAGAAGTCTTGCTTTGAGCTGGTATAAAGGTATCGGGAGGTTTAGCATCAAGACACAGTTGCCGAAGGACGATGTAAAGCTGTGATGAACAGTGATGATGGTGAGTGAAGACAACAGCAACATGATGAGGGGACATAGGACACTTTATACAGTGAAAAAGAACTATAAAATGTGTAAATGAGTCAAAAGCGTAGGTTTAATGGATGCAATGCATTCACCAAAGCATAACAAATCTTTTCATGCTACAGTCTATCGCAGAGTTTCTAAGCGGCGATTTAGGTAAACCATAAAGAATACACTCTCTTGTTGCATAGTGGGATAGAAATATCTGGTATAGTGGTTGAAACAATATGTATAGACGAGTGTGCATGTTGAATAGCACCAACTCCTTTTCTCTACTCAAGTTATCCGAACTTCCCCATGGCCAAGACCATACTCTTTGAGCCTCAAAACTGGACTTGTGCAATTGTTGCAATGGAGTTAGAGTCTCTGATACTTCTTAAGCTATATTCTTATGGACAAGCTTGCAGTGTTGCTATGGACCCTCGGATGAGTCAACTCAGGTCTAATCCTTAGATATCAGAAGGTTCGAAGGAAGACAATGGGAAGAGCTCTGATTCGAGCGCAAAGAAAGTTCTTGCGATGTCGAGTGGAATCATATGCGCATTCATAGTTTTATGACATGCGTTATGACTCCGGAACCCAATGGCACTGAATCTAATAGTGTTCTTCTGGAAATGTGTAAGTTTAAGCCACTCTTAGACTTACAATTCTCCTACAAAATACAAGATTATGTGCAAATCGAATTAACTTTGCAATGAGCGATCACTAACTTTTACTGAAGCATGCTCAATACAATCAATGCATACTACCCAGTCGACATCACAGCAAATCACATGGCAAAAGATATAAACTTGGTTTGAAGATGCAAAACATTGCGAATCAATTCCTACAAATCCCCCAATCGGCTCCCCTTATCTTCGCTTCTTGTATACATACCGCTGGACACATCATCCCTCTCCCATCCGTCCTCCCATCCCCAAGAACCTGCAAGATCCTTAAAACTCCATGACGCAAAAACCAAAATCACTACATCCAGATGCAACTATAAACACATTTCCCCCTATAAACGAAGGATGGGGACCCCGCCCTTAGACCCGTGGCTTCTTCTAGCTACGTGATCCGGGTCCAAAGTCGGGTTCGCGCTCAGGAAGGTGCTTTTTCTCTTTGCGCCCCTTGATCACAAATTCAGACATGATCTGAATATGATCGGCAGGGAAGTGCCAGTTAGGGAAAGCGGGCACTCGCTTGAGATATTCGGGATCAGGAGGTCCTAGTAGGTCTACAACCTCGAGGGTGTTTGTTGAGTACCAGATGTAATCAATTACATCGGCGAATCCGGGCGTATAGTTGGTGAATGGCATTTCGTCGGCGGTTTGTTTAATATGGGCGTATGCATCCCTCAAGCTGAAGGGGTGTTCGATACCATCGCGTGTAAAGCTACCGTATTGGTAGCTGCTCAAATCGAAGTGATCCGGAGGCACACGTCCCATAGACATCAGCTCGTACACGGAAGAGTCTTCCGTTGAGTTGAAATCACCACAAACAAGTAGGGGAATTTCGGTATTGGTGCGGTACTCTTGGCTGGGACCTGGTTCGGCTTGAGGGATAGGCACTTCGTCTTCGCCCACCGGTAGCACAATCATCTTCTTGTCCTTAACAGCTGGCCACCTAGCGTACTTCTCGGCAAGCTTAGTAACGTGCTCCATCAGGATACCGGTTTGGATAACCTTGACATCAGCCAGAGCAGAGTCCCAGGTAAGATGGGCGTTGACCAGGATGATTCGAGCTCCAGTAAGGCGGGATTCGAAGAAGCAGATGACGGCAATGTTGTCCTTGGGCATGACACGGTTGAACACGTCGTGCTGGTTCTTCATATCGGGTCGGTTGATGGCGATAGTGGCGAACTCGATCAGCTGCTTGTCGAGGAGAATGAACTTGCTCTGCTTATAAAAGACGGCGCAACCATCAACAGATTGGGCATCCCTCTCTGACATGGTCTTGGCTCTTGACTTGGGCCAGTGAACACCCTTGTAATCCATCTGAGCCAGATCGGGACTGAGATCCTCCTTGAACGCATCTGTGGATACCTCCTGAAGGGCAAGGAAATCTGCATCCCTGAGTTGAAGTTCCTCCAGGATACAGCTTCTACGATAATTCCAGTCGAGAGCATCCGTTGGTGTGTAGCCATAAGTTTGGGGGGTCGCATACTTGTCGCAAAGAATGTTCCAAGAAAAGACCTTGATCCGTTCCAGATTGGGCGATACATCCTCTTGAATGGGAACGAGCTTTCGAGGTGCGGGAGGAGGGGGACCTACAAAGGTTATTAGCACAAACACATATCACATAAAATTGGGAGCTGACTTACAGGGGGCGTTTTCTTTTAGGTAATTGATCAAGCTCTTTGTCCCCTTCTCCATGATCTCGTGTTTGATATCAGAGTTCAGGGGGTTGCCCTCGACTCCAAGCATTTCAAGAAGGTGAAGCGATCCAAGTTCGTTGGGCAAAGTGTGAATTTGGTTGTTAAAGAGCAGCAAATTCTTGAGGTAGGTACACATTCCAATTTCGGGGGGAATCTCTACAATTTTGTTGTAGGAGGCATCGAGATGGCGTAATGCTCGTAGTTCTCCAATCGCGTTCGGCAGGACCCTAAGCTTGTTGGAAGCGATGTAGAGCTCGTTCAAGAACTTGTACTTGAATAACTCCGGTGCCAAGTTTCGCAAGCCTTGTCCACTCATATCCATGTTGTGCCAGTCTTGTCGTCTTGTTTCCTTCTCCACTGTCAGGGGTCGTCTTCTATCGACACCATCGTTCTCGTCGTCCGGCTGAGCACGTAAACTGTTTGGGGGCGGGCCGCCTATGCCTCTGTTTTCCGACGCCTTGAGCCTAGCATAGTAGTGCGGTTGTTGTTGATCGGTCATGGCAGCGTGCGCCCGTTCAGCATCTTTGTGCATCCTCAATTGTTCTTGCCACATCTCGTTCGGGGGAGGCTGACCTCGGTTTCCAGCTGAGTGCCCATTCTGAAGCGCATTCGGAGCGAAAGGACTCGAGTTCGAAAGGCCACCGGGGGTGAATGTCGAGTGATGTCCCAAGCCATTGACGCCGGACATGCCATGGTCATGTTGAAGGCCTTGATGGTGTTGTGTCTGAGATGGGTGTTGGTGTTGAGTATGCTGGTAGTTATATAGCATGTTTGGCATGCCGCCTCGCCCAGCGCCGTTCAGCCGAGCATGTTGACCTTGCCCGGAGTGTTGAGGGTACATTCCGGTAGGTAAGTGTGAGGTGATTATGGTGGTTATATGTAGTAGGGTGGCGGGTTAGGAAGTTGCGCCGGCGAGCAGCACGGCAGCAGATATCGTTGGTCGGCAATCGTTATTGAGGGAGGTGAATATAGCAAGTCGCTGGAGTAGCTCATCGGCCGTTGTGTAAAAGCGCTGGATGAATTAGGTTCAACAGCTCGCGTAGTCAATTGCGCGGGGTGATTTTGATCAGTGACGAACGGCTCGACACTTCACCCAATGTTCAAAAAGAGAGAAATTGAGGTTGACTCGCGTTGACGCATTAGCTTTTAACAGCCAGGTCGTATGAGAGATGGTTGCTTGGTGGCTCGATTGGGGAATGTTGTTTCGTCGATAGGTCAAGAGCTAATGGGAGGTATGGTCGCGATAATTTCGTAAGGTCTCTAGCTCGGTGACGGTGGGTAACCCAATGCCTAGTCACTGACGAAAGAATCGAAGCAATAAGGGTTCTGTGGTCAAGCTGAACAGCAGAGCATAAGAGTTCAGAAATACTGCAAGGATAATGGTCAGTCAGAGCTTGAATGAAAGAAGGGCATCATAGGGAGGGGGATCCGAGCTTTCGCGAACACGTTGCGGTGTCTGTTTTAGCTCGTGCGGGGCCACACACATGTAAGGAGCGAGCGCAACAATGCATATAATGTGTGAAAATCAACTGATACTTGAACAGAGCAAGAGTAATAGATGGTAAAGGAAGCACGAACTTGGAACACAACCGTGATGCTGGCCGACACTGCGACGAACACACTGAAGCCCAAGGACCGTCGTTCCATGAGTCACGTGCAGCTGCTCCGCATCTGATGGCTCGTGCGGGTGAACATAGGTCACGTGTAGTTTCAGCCGCTCGCAATTGTGAGATCCAATTCGGATTACTTGAGACCATCGTGGTCAGCCTTGCCTCCATGCAAGGTACGGCTGCTACGAGTGAAACATGACACTATTGCATGTCAAGTCACTTGAAGCGGAATATTACAAGAACCAACAACAATCCGACGAGACACATCTCAGAAAGTTGTAGCCTTGTTTGCAATATTGGACCCGAGAACTGCAGCATGTTTGCAGCGTCAAAAACGTGTACAGGAACTCACGCAAACTCATACAATATGCTTCGGCAATATATCACGTTTTGAGCTTACTCCAAACCTTGGTGTGGTCTTGTACATAGAGGGGACCGTATGTTAACCAGAAGTTTATCACGATATCACATTGGGTTAATCAAGAGATCTCGCGGATCCTCTAAAAGCCATGTAACTTACTGCATCTATCTGCATGTTCCAGGAACAATAGTATCTTTACCTTCGGAAATTCCGCGTTACCTGCAGCCAAGAATCGTGAAAGTGACGCCATTACTGTGGTCTCATCTTGCAAGGCGCCATGGCGTCTGAGACAAAATCACACGATACGCCTCTGTATTCGATATCAATCGCTGAATCATGGTCCAGACTGATATGCTGACGGTTTCTTTCATGATTCGATAGTAGACAGGTGAAATCAACACGAATCTGCACCCCAAGCTCAGAGAGGAGAGGACGGGCGCGTCCTACCTAGTCCAGTCAATGGTTCAACCCGCTAACACGGACCGCCCAGGTTGGGAAGGCTAGAAGCCAAGAAGCATTGCACTGATTCATCCGCATGAACGTCGCCCAATCATTTGAATACTCATGTCATGTCACGGAGCCTCGAGCCGCAATTGCAAGACTTCAGCCCAGAAAGGCATGTGCAGCAGAGAGAATTGCCATTCGGCCGAGAGTAGCACCGTTGGACATGCTTTACCTCCAGGTAGCCCTTGTTAACCTGGACTGTTGCGGAACAAGAGTAGGGTTCTGAAAGGACAAGAGACGAAATAATTAGTCACCTTATGCAAGCTTAGGTTGGCATTTTGGCTACTTTGTTTTGGCAGTCTAAGTCTTGGAGGACAAGTCTTCTGTTCCCTCTAGTACCTGAGTACTTTACAACCTACAACAAGGACTTGGCAGGGAAAAGCTGGGGTATACCTGTACTCCCTTCGGCTATCATTCATGCAAACGACTCCCCCGCTTAGGCTATGTTGCCCAGACCCTGAACGATCAACAGTTGTGAGAATGCAGACATCCATGGATGAATGCATCTACGCTGTCAGATTCTGATCACTGCAGCTGCAGCTGAAATTGCATGTTGGATCCTTCAGCATGGATTGGAAGGGAAACCCAACTCGATGTACAGTACCTGGTCGCAACCTGCAGGAATCATAAGTCTTTTTTTATTTTTTATTTTTTTAAGCAATTGTTCCGCTCTAACCAACCAGAAGGACCTCGGAACGCCAGGGCTGGAGAGGAAGCTGCTAACACGATACGCGTCAATAAAACATCAGGCAAAGAGTCTAATGTGCGGGGGATCATGGATCTGATGGCCAACCGAATTGCGACGCTCCACACCTTAGACACTCTTGAACTGGGGAAATGGACATCGCCTGGATCCGAGAAACCGTTAACCGTAAGGGATGTGTCCTGTTGCGAGATTCCAGATGCCGTATATAGAAAGTGACCTCTGCCACCTCCATTTGGACGGGACTGTTCGATTGTTCATTGTTTGCCTGACCTGAAACTCCCTACTGTACATACTGCACAGCGCATGCGGTTTGCTACAGTATCGTCCTTCCACTCGCACTCGTACTCGATCTTCACGCGGCTACCCGTTTTGTTGTTACGCCCAAGTTCTTTTGACGACTTGAAACGGCATGCGTATCTGCGGCACTTCCCGTTATCATTTCTAGGGACAACCAACGAGCAAATATTCACGACATCAAACCATTGATACGGCTTGCTACCTACCTTCCAGAAACGCCGTCATCGAGCATTAGTCTACGTTGGTTTCACCGTTGATTCCAAGGTCACTGCACGACGCCAAAATAAACGGACTGAGAAAATAAAGTTGTTGACGAAATTGCGGATAATGACGTTTGCTCTTGTAGCAACCTTCAGCGAGAGAGATCTTTGACTTTACGGGAAGGTCGATAACTAGTTCTGGATACTAAAGTTACAGGACTTCTCTACCTTCCCGGATTGCGGGAATTCTTGTCTTCAACATAACGCTGATCCGAAATCCTGGCACAAGCGATTTAAGCGACATCCTCTATCAGTCGAGCATCGGCAAAGCCAAGGACTACCTAAACATCGGTTCCTTCAGCGCCCCTGCATATTCCGGGAAGCAATCCGGCGACCACCCGGACTTGGGAATCCAGTTACGCGGGCCAAAGAAGGGTTCTAGAAGAGCCAAAAAGGTCTGCAACCGGCCCAGGGGTACCAATTTTCCCCCCTACAGTGCCCTGCCTGCCGCTAGAGGTACGCTCCCAGCCCAACCCAACCCGTATCACAACTCGGTGCGGTACGGTGCGGTGCGGTGCGGCTTCAGCTCGAGCCTCCAGTGTTTGCTAGCGACGGTGAAACTGCAACACCAGATTGGATAACTCAGCCTAACAATTGCGTTTCTGTGCCCGCCCGCGCTGCGTTGCGTTAGCGTTAGGTCGCTATCATTGCACTGTACATACAAACGGTACAGTCCAGTCCAGTATTAGGACACCCCTGTCTGGTCTGGGTAAACCACCCCATCCCCATCCCCATTCTATCCCTATTCATCGGCAAGCTTGCGCCAAAGAGTATAGTTAGTCCCAGCCCACGACGACAATGTCGGAATGGAGTGGATTTTACTACGCTTCTACCAACCCCTTACCCACCTTTGCTCGACGGACAAAGGCTGAAAAGGAGTGGCAGCGCCCTGAAACTCCCCCACGATCCAACTTGGCTTCACAAGACATCAAGCTCAACACAAGACGTCCCTTTCGGCATACGAGGACCTCTAGTGCCAGTGGGAGTCAGGATAGCAGTAGTCGCTCGTCGCACGAGTCGTCTCTCGTGCATTCCAGCTCCAGCCCCATAACCAAAAGCGGCCCCGCCCTGGGGGAAGACAATTCTCATTACTCGCACTCAAAAGTCCAATCATCTGACTCGCGCCGACAATCTTCGACAACATCGACGTCAACTTCAAATAGACCTCGTCTTATCTCAACTTCAACCGCCAGAGGCGCAACAGCACCTTTGTCCTCTCCTATTATATTCAATCGCCCAGTTATCATCGACAAATCACGAGAACGCGAGCTTCTATCCCGTCATTCAGGCGCGACTACTCCAACTTCCGGCTCCATTGACTTGAAAAATGTCACCATGTACTCCCAGCTGGAAGCAGGCAACAAACCTATGTCAGGGACAACCAAGCAAATAAATCTCGATTTTCCTCGAACCGAGTCCGTGTCTTCCACAAGCGGCAACACGACAATCTCAAACCACACAATGACTTCAACAGATCCCTCTAACTCGTCCGATTCTGCGACGAAACCATTTATCGTCAAAAATGGCCGCACTTACTTCAACGAACCTACATCGGCATATCCTCTCCCTACCGATCTTACGGAGCTCCATCGCCAAAGCTTGCGAACGCTCTTGATGATTCAGGTTTATGGTGCACCCGTCTACACACCCTTCATCCAAAACAATCCTCCACAGCGTGTATTGGAAATTGGTTGTGGCACAGGTTTCTGGAGTATGATGTGCCATCGCTACTACAAAGACCGGGGCCACACTGGCATACACTTTACAGGTATCGACATCGCGCCTTTGGCACCGGGCAGCCCAGGATCTCCCGCCGAGCTCTGCAAACCAGACAAGGACATGAAGTGGAGGTTCATTCAACACGATCTTCGTCAGAGGCCATGGCCTTTTGGTGATGAAGAGTTTGACTTGATCATGGTAAAAGATGCATGCCTCATGGTCCCCAGTCATGTCTACCAACTGTTCATTGAAGAGTATCTGCGCCTGCTCAGACCTGGTGGAGTACTGGAGATTTGGGACAGTGATCCAACATTTAGAATGTTGCGACCACATGTCCCGAGCGCTTTACCAGGCTCAGAGGAGGCAGAGGAGCACGAAGCTGCGCTCGATCTGGGCGCCTACCTCATGACATCAAAAACGCCACTCTCTGCGCCATTGAACTCATTTCTAGTCGAGTACAACACATGGCTGTCGCGAACTCTCGAGGGTCGGCAACTTTCGCCCGTACCATGCTCTCTTATTAGCGCTTTCCTTCACCAAGAGGCAGAAGATATGATGGACATCAAGTCGAAACGCCTGGCCATTCCATTAAGCGAAGTTAGATGGGAGCGCGAAGGCGTAGGTGGTGTTGTCACCAAAGATGGCAAGTCGTATGTGGAGATGAAGGCCAAATCAGCACCAAACCAAAAAGTCGAAAAGAAGACATTGACTCCTGGACAATCTGCGTTGCGCAAAACGGCGCTTTTGACTGTTGCGCAGCAAGTGTCAGCACTTGAACCTATTCTCCGAGACGCGAGCGGCAAGAGCCAAGATGAGTGGGATGCCTGGGTAGCCAAAATGATGGCGGATCTGATGAGCGAAAGTGGAACAAGCTGGGGAGAATGTCTCGAGTTAGGAGTATGGTCAGCGAGGAAGAGGCTGCGCAAGGGCGAATCTTGACTAGAGGTTGTCATGAAGGCATTTGAGAGCAAAAGCCAGGATGTTTCATGTGAACTCTAATGGCTGTCTTGGCACATCTATGTCTCATGATAGCTGCCGCCGCTGGAATGCATCTCTGAGAACCGAGTCTCCACAGCGACCCTCGCTGGTCTCTCTCTACACACACATACCCGTACTCCTCCATTTACGCGTCGGCGTCATAACGTTTTCTCAGTGTGCGATACCTTTTCAAATAGTACCTATACCCAGATGATTAGTAAAAAAGCAGGTTATTGGATGGATGGATGGATTGGCTGGATGGAAACTTGGGATTTCAGGATAATGTAACTTTTTAGGAGAAATGGATTCTTTTCGGTATTGGGAGTTGATGTTCGATCTTGTGATTGTTAACTGTGTCACTCGAGACAGCCAACCACATGTGCTTTGTCCAACGTGAGATACTTGCTGAGATACTCATAGACTTACAAAGCTTCAATCTCTATGTCGCAGGTCAGTGAATGTCATCAGGTTGCCCACGTACAACATACCTTTCTTAACATATTCAGCCTGGGCTATCCCCCGCCGAATCTTATCCTCGTCGCGCTCTTCAGCTTTAGAAATAAAAGCCTTGTGTAGCCGAGGGCGGAAGTAATCGAAGCCGAGGGGATATTCTCTGCCCAAGAACAGAAGCTCTATCATAGGTATATCAGTTCACAGCTCCGATATCAGAGGATGACGTTTCCGCGAACCCTTGTAGATGTTGATGACCTGGCGTCTCAATTGCGGGTTAGAACTCATTGTTGCTGTGTTTGTGTTTGTGCATTGTTGAGAAGCTCATGGCAGATCAGCTCTTGGGAGATGCATACCAATGATGCATGATGCCGCGGTACTCCCCAGACTGTGGCGCTAGGTAGGTAACGCCCCCACTTGAACAAATGATTATATCAGCCTTGCGATAGCTCCAGCCACAACAAAATGTTAGACTTATAATTGCGCCATCGCAACTTGACTCTCAACACTTCAGCTCAACTCTTTTACTGTCTTTAGATTGCGGCCTCGCGCCAGTATACACACTGGCTCAGCCTTCATAGCAATGTCACCCAGAAGCATCGGAGTACTGAAAGGTCTGAAGCCGGGCCCGAGATCCCCCGTCCGTTCCAAGAAGACCAGAATCCCCAAAAAGGAACGACGATGGCCAACAGGAAAAGCAGCCGGGACGCCAATCAAAGATTTTTGGAAACACGAAGACAAGAAATACGTCGTGCCAATCACAGTTTACAACGTTCCAAACAATTCCTCGGTGTATACAAAATGGCCGAAGCTTAAAGAGTTCAGGCCTGCGCTGAATCCGCGAGCTCACAGAACAGTAAAACTTGACGGTAGTGAAAGACCAGAGGATGTTATACCATTAATGCCTTACATGTATAGCGATCTCGGTGTGATGGTCTTTGAGGGTCTCGATGAGAATCAGGTCAAGGTCGTGGGAAACTTGCTCAAAAGAATCGTTAAACATGAAGGCAGGTTGCAGTATTGCACATGGGCTGATGATCGGGATAAAAGGATCACCTATGATAAATGGAACATATATCGCCTGCCGGTGAATCCAATAGCTCATATCGACGATAAGTTGAAGCCGGAAGTACGTAGATACACCACGAATTGAACTAGAACACCTTGCTGATTTCTGTCTAGAGAGGCTTTTTGCATCCGAGAGGTCTCGATGAACTCACCGATCTGGCAGTTCAGAAATGGAGAGACGAGTGGCAGGCCAAAAGGGATTCCCTAGGGAATGGTCCCAAGCCAGGACTTAGGTATATAAAGGACACCAAAAAGCTGTGGCTACTGAGGAACATAGACGGCATGGGCTTGATCAATGTGAGTTTCACTCATCTGCGTACCGGACATCTGGCGCACTAACAGTCAATCTCAAAGAATACCATCAATGGACCCCGTATCACTTCAGTGGATGCCTACGTTGCCACGGTCGTCTATCACAACAGAGTCCTCGTGGATGTTGAGCTTCACACTGTCGGCACTAAGCACTTTCTCGGCTGTGCGAGCTACAAGTTCGGAACTACGGCTGACGCGGAAGAAATCGACCCTGACGAACCTGAAGCGTTTTTGCAGAAGCCAAAGCCCAAAGCAAGGCGATTGTACCGCGATGAAGCGCCGGCCTCGATAGCACGAAGACATGATATTCCAATTGCCGTGATGAACAAGGTGTTGAATCTTGAGAATAAGGTCTGGGGAAGGATAGAAAGAAATGCCAGACTGGAGAAGAAGCGGGAAAGGAAGGCTCAACAAGAGGCATGGCGACTAGAGAGGATACAGAGCGAGGATGAGATTAAGATGAACGCGATCGTGGATGATATACCCGTACAGCTTTCCGAAGGGGAATCTAGGGAGGAAAAACCTGTGAGAGACAATGTCGCCAACGTCCGATGGCTTGAAATATTGAGATATATGTACACTTAAAATTGGCATGGTCCTTGAAAGGCAACTATACTACTCCTTTATGCCGTTCCACTATCTACAAACACCCGTAAATATAAGGAGCCTTAGACTCACAACTTTACTCATCTATGATATCCATCAACACGCTCAGAGCAATACTTATGATGCTGAGAACGCATTTGGGAAAATGAGTTGGTACGTCAACCAGATGAGGAATGAGATTGCATACTAGCAGGCAGCGGCAGACGTCAGGAATCTTCACCTAGATGGCCTCATAACGTAGTCACATGTCTCAATAGAGCGCCTCTTTGGTGACTGGTGCCTAGGTCTGCCACGCGTAAGATGCAGGCATCAAACACAATCGGCAGCAGCAGATTCAAAGGCCTCGGAATCAACCAAGACGGCCTGACCCAAAGTCAAAATAACGAGCCTCAGAACAGTGGGCTAAGGAAGACCTCACCAAATGCTGAGTGTACCTGCCAGGTGCTAGACATGAGACACCCAGAGACAACGGCTTGCCTGATCAGGCAGTATAGTAAGTCAAAGCATCCGAACAGTCAAACCGAAAGATGATTTATTCGTTTCTGAAGCTGTATAGGCAATATCCATGTTAATCCCCCCGGAGAGAAAACAACGCAACGGAAACACGGCCGGAAAGCGTGATATCGGGATATATCACAGCACATCATGTCATGTAACGCTTCCGCCCATCCAGACAGGGCTGGTTCAAGTGGCGTCCATCATGCAGCAGCACGGGGCATCCCGCATAACATGTTGAAGCTCCAACGCTCCCCCGCCTCGAGCAGGGTCTCAAGTACCGGAGCTTATTACTTAGCTATTGAATAGCTTCAATGTAGCATCTGGAGATTGATGTCATAGCCTTGAGTATCGATACGATGCTTCATGATTGATGTCGAAGCACTTGCCTCTGAGACATCATCAACGATCCTTATCCGCAGAGGCCGGCTCTTTATCCGCTCACCGTCATTTGACACCATCTCGTGGCCTGGCACACGAAACAAAGTGCACAGAAAGCTAATATGCAGGGTTGCGAGTGCATTTTGATAGGGCGAGCCGTAGACACAAGTGCGAGAAGTGCCGACGAGGGGTGGCAGCCAAACAGATCGCCCCCGTTGATGGGCATGAGGCCAAGCAAGACCTGAAGGAGGTGCTGTGATTTGCTATGGCGGGGTAATTAGCGATTACAGTATCGCACTCCATCATGATGTTGTTCATTTGTGGTAATGAGATCGTGGGGTTGGTGCTTTTGAGACAACCAACGTTGTTCAAGGGTGGTAAAGAGCCACAATACCCTTATTACAACTTTGAGTTTGTTGTAAAATTCTTCCATGGAAAACGATGACAAAGTCAACAACTGCATTGTGCTTGTTTTGCACAAAGTTCAACATCCAGGAGGCTGTCTTCATTCAAAGCTGTTCCCAGCTTATGAATGGACGAGAGTCAGCAGTAGACTTGCATAAGTATGTGGGAGCACGGCCATTTGAGTCGTGGCAGCAGATCACTGTGCGATGATCTCTTCGTAAATAAACCTATGCGGGATGATCGGCGTTCTTAGTTGTCGACTGACGACACACGGAAGAGGGGTTTCATTGGTGTTGATGTACACAACCGCTATCTCGAGCATTCTGCTCAGCGTTCAAAATAAACAGACGATGTATTGGTCCGGTTGTGCAGTATCTTGTCCCTCGCGTTATCGACGGTCCGACAGCTTCATTCCGCGTAGGTGCTGGTGGAGTATATCAAAGAAATTGTATGCATTTGTCAGGGAATAATTGGCATGCAAATCGTTCGATGTAACCAAGCTCAAAATTGCTGCCCTCCATCGGCTTTTATCCATATCGAGACGAAGCTCGTTCTTGATCGTTGCAAAAGGGCATGATAAAAGCGGGACATCAAATTAGACCAAAAAACGGGCCAAGAAAAACTGCCGAAAGTAAATCCTGGACTGAGTCTAATGACTCAAGTACCGTCCCGGGGAGTTGATCATTATCGGTGAGTCGGGAAATAATACTGTTAGTTGTTGGTCAAGTTGAAGAATTCCGATAAACTTCATGGGGCCTTGCAGAATGATGTGCAGTGCAGTCTTTGGACTGGCTTGGCTGTCGAGTCTTCCATATACATGTCGAATTTTGGGAACAAGACTCGCTTCGTTCCGTCGTCTCATTCTCATTGCAACTCTGGGTCTTTGCCGTGCCCTTGTCGTGCAGGTTGAAGACCCCAGGACACAGTTAACCAATCCATGTTGTTCTAAAATCTTTCCCCTTGAGCCAACTCAGAGCCTTTCCCACAATGGGCAGCCCGTGACGCCCACGACGTCAGCGAATCCCCTTCCAAGGCATTGGCTGCAGTTCCAAATCTCAGAGGACGACAGCCTAGAGATTAACGTTTGGGGGCGATTGCCTGCCTGATTCGTCCATCTTGGTCCGACATGTGTCTATCGGAGTGTACCGAGGAAAGGGTTTGCCTTGATATCAGTGCTAAGTTAGAGTACAGTAGTGATGATTTACCGTAAGATGAGGCTGGAATTGGCGATGGTCTTTTCCTTTGCATTGCGGAGAAGCCCTACTATGTACAGTAAGAGCAGCACGGCAGAGCCGGGGTGAACCCTGGCCAATGCTGGCTCGTCTAACAGAGCTTGTAAGCGATGGCGTGCGCACGCGATGTGTTGCATTTGTTCATGTTGTTGATGTACTATCGAGATGAAGGTCAATGGCAGGAAACAGACACAGTCTTGTTGAGCCATTGGGTATCAGGTCATCAAAGGGGTAGATTTGCAAACAAGTGTCGGCGCTTTTGTCAACGATTGGAATCACTCAGTCAATGTCCTTGTGACGAATGTGGACAAAGACTTTAGTTCCTGCCAATTACTTGAGTTCTTTCGCCTCATCTCATCTCTGCTAAAAAGCAGGGTTCACACAGTACAGCGCACGGTGTGTTTCATGGTGGAGCATGTGACTCCTCTTCAGTTGCCGGTTGTTTTTACTTGAGAAAAACTCATGACGGCGCATTTGCTAGTAGACGCTTTCACAAGCTGAAGTTTTAAACCTGATGATCATTCTAAAGGTAATGGCAAACTCAATGAGTGCTATGACGGGTCTATAGGCAGATCGTTGGCTTGTAGACAAACCAGCCAAGCAGCCCAGCATAGCGCCTCATCTTGACCAACTCAACCTTGTTCCTGGGTACCTGATCCGTTGGCATTTCAAGACGCCAAAATCTCCCAGAAGCGGAATCTTGTCTGGTAGACGATCCACTTTGAAGATCTAGACATTTAGAACGAAGCCATCGTTAAGAGTAAGTGAACGTGTAGATACTATGACAGGGTCATCATTGTCAACTTCAGCTCTCATCAGCACAACTCCACTGATATCGGATCCCCTTTGACGCGCCTTTAGCGCGCACTTTGGAATAAGCTGGCCCCAACTGCCCCAATTGCGCCCCATCTCATGCGTCTCAAAGTGCCATCCATTGGCAGCTGGAGCTTTGAGATCATGCGAGCCACTAAGACTACAGTGGATTCCAGCACTCTTAGAGCGTCAGAAACAGCCGCGAAGGCACAGTGTGAGTCTTGGCCCCCGCTATTCCCGTTCCCGTCCATCCTTCCATTATCCTTTTTGCGTTCGGCCACTCCATTCCTCTCTGTTTCTTTCAATACCTCGATTCTTCCACAAGCACGAGCCGGGCTTTGACAGCCAAAAAATCTCCTTACCTCCACCAACAACAACCCTACCTTGCATTACTTTTTTTTTCTCTTCCTTTGCCGTCCAACATTTTGTATCTATCCACTTCCAAAATCCCACTGTAAACCACGTCGTAACCAGTCAAAATTCGTTGCAACATTACCTGCTCTCTGCGGCCCCCCGGCCGATCTTAGCAGGTTTTGCTTGTTGAAGTTGACTTTGACGGTAGTTCCCCTCTTCTGTCGTCGCCCTTATCATTTGATCATAGCCTTGTCCTGTCTTGTCGTGTCTTGTTCCACGACCGTTCACAATTCGGATGCACATGTCGGTCTCGAACTCTCTTAACGCAACGGCCCGCCTTCCAACTTTACCTTCTATCTTCCCGAGATCCGTTCTTCTACCCGTCGCATCGTGTTAAAAAAAAACGGCCGAGACGCCATATCGCTCGAGTCGCCAACTTCCAGTACCAAGCCCTTGACTTTGAAAGGCTTGTCCCGGCTGCCGGCCCTGTTCCCACGTGGTTCTCGGGTTCGACAGACTGTGGCAGCAAGACAAGTCGTTGCGCATGCCTCGCGCTCCAGGTTCGAGTAAGCGACAGCAAGGTGCCGCCAACCATCGCGACAATCGCCATGAGAATGGGCTTGTAGGTCCTGCAAAGCGTTCCAACGACAAGAAGGGCTCAGGGCAGCTCGATAGCCCTGCCCGACGATCTGACCAAGGTGCCTCCGGAGCCCCTGGACAGTCAACACCTGTCAATGGTCATGCCAACAGCCCGTACAAGCAGAGTGTCTATGATGCATCCAACGACTCCCGAACCGACGACAACCGCCGCTCCTCCCTCGACGCTGTCTCCGAGATGTCTTCCGATTCAAGCAACACCAACGGCCTTAGTGGTGTCGACGCTGGCCATCGCCAGATCGACGTCAATGCCATGAAGAACGCTGATGTCCACCGCGACTCGGGACCATTCGACCTCGCAACTACTGTTCTCAAGTCGCTCCCTATTCAGGACACGCTCGCTATTCTTATTATCCTGATGCATGTTCCATCGCTCTCGCTTACCGTTATATATACCATCTTTACGTTCCTTACCTTTGTTCCTCCCGTCACCACCAGTTCAGGCATGAACATCAACCTTGCCGAGATTTTTGACGGCAACTCTACAATGCCCTCTCTTGTGACAGTTTTATGCGTCGATTTTTTCTTCCTTCTGATATGGCTCTTTCTGTGGGGTCCAATCCAAGACGCTATCTTGGACTTTGCCAAGCCAGTTATTGCTATCACTTTAGGAGGGGGAACGAGTGCAAGAGATGGAACCTCCAGGGGACTTACCACCTGCTTCACATGGGTGATAGGCCACCATTTGCTCCGGGGGACCAAGGCCCATTGGGGTCGTGTGGCTCGACACATACCGGAGCACTGGCGGCTACCCCATGTTTTCAGCAATTCACTTGATTCTGCTTCCAGCGCATACGATAAAATGAGTGCCTACGGTTGGGTCCGAAGTGTTCTAGCTATACACATTCTGACTCAAGGCATCGTACGATACATCCGAGAATGGTATCTGAGGCGTGAAAAAGCCAACGCTTCCGTTGGCGCCAGCGACCCGGAGGCCGGAAAACCACCAAGCGTGGCTGGAGACACGGCCAATGAAGGAGGATTCGCAACGCCTGATACTGAAACAGGATTATCGTCCACGTCTACGGTACCCACAAGCAAAAAAAGAAGAAAGCAAAGCACTCAAGTTCGTCTTCAGCAGCCCTTATGGGCGGCATTAGCAAGCACCAAAATTGTGGTTGTGAAGGAGTATGAGCTGTCCCATGCAGCTTCAGAGTCAGCAGGGACTAATGCTACCGATATTCACAATCTTGGCAATGCTCCGTTCAACAATCAGCCCAACCAAATTTGGATTTCCTACATTGGCAGCGACGAAGTATGCTTTAACACTAGCTATTTCCCCGAAATCGACGACGACGAGACCCGCTCGGTTGAATCATCGGGCGAAGATTCGAGACCAGCCAATATCGATACCTCGAAGCCATTCTATGTCAGAGTTAACAACGCTGTTTGGCAACCTACACGCATGTTCCCAATCGACGAGTCTCCCGAAGAGTCTCAAGGAGGCGTGAGATGGACGGGCGATATCTACGGACTCAGGCCTGCGTCTAAATATGTCTGTGAATTTGTTGACAGCCAAACTGACGAGGTTCTGTTCTCAACCAGTATCAGAACCGTTCAAGCCACTCAGCGAGAGGCAGATGGCGTTCCGCCACCTGTTGCCAACGGCCAACGATCTCTTCACCCGGACTCCCCTGCCACGACTTTACGAACATCGATTGCCGCAGTTGAAGCCAAACTTAGCGAAGAAAAGCTCCGTCTCAAGAATCTGCGAAAGGAATACAAGAACCGCGCCAACACCCTGCGAAAGGACAATGAGGCAACGGACAATCAGCTCTCCTCGGCCGGAAACCATGACGAAAAGTATCGGCAGAAGATTCGTCAGCAAGAAACCCAGAAAGCCCAAGCAGAGCGTGACACCCAGCAGCTTACTGAGCAACTGAAGAACTTTGATACTGCTCCTGAACTTGCCGAACGCAAGAAGAAGGTTGAGAAGCAGTACAGTAGCGAGAAGAAAGTTTTTGAGACAGCACAGAAGGCCTTCAAGGAATACAAAGCTGGACTGGAGAAGGAGATCAAAGCCAAGGAAGTCGAGAAGTCGAATCTTAATACTCGTCGAAACAAGGTCGCCACACGTATTGCCAAGGTTGAGAACGAGCTTGCCAACATCGCCGATGCAAACAACCGTGGCCTGGACGAGGCGGAGCGACGCAATCAGGAGCGTTCTCACTGGCAGGGCCATGTCGCTGGTATCGAAGCTAACTACAACGAGCGACTGGCTCATGTTCGTGCCAATAATGCTGGTAAGAGCGAAGAGATTCGACACCTGCAAATGCAGTTGCAGAGCATGCACGATTTTATGAGCTCAGGCAATGGCATGCCCTACGATATGATGCCTCCTCTCGACGCGGGTCACCCGCACCTTGGCCCACCTTTCCAGCCTACGACTTCGAGTACTTGGAATCCTGATCCCACGGCTCCTCCTCACTACCCAACTGGACACTGGACCGCTTCAGACAACATGCTCCCATCGGTTTCTGCTCCTACGCTCCCTTCTCTGTCCCCGTGGCAGCCTCCCCCAACCGCCCCACCGTTCGAGCCCCGTATGACTCGTTCTCGAGGACGCAGCTCAAGCATGCTTAGTAACATCAGCGGCTTCACGCAGTCGAGCGGCGAAGAGTACGCATCTCCGCCTATGGACTCCCACCGAGTCAAGCACATCTGGGCGAGTCGCACCAAGGCCAGCGGTGGTGGTAGCAGCGGCAGCGGCAGCAATGGTGATCCGACAAGCCCCAGATGAGCACAATACAGGCATGATACGTGCTGGAATGGAGATTTTGGCTGATTTGGAATGGGTGATCTATGACCATTGTAGAAGGATAGTGGCTATTGGTTCAACTTCGGCAGGCTAGGCTGTTGGATAGCGCTTTAGTGAATAAAAGTAGTGCTCTTGTTACAGTCCTTTATCTGTTGAACTATGGTGTTCTTTGTAGTGGCGATGACCTGTGCCCTCTGTGATGCTTAAGAGATCAACCACCACAGCCAACTGCCGCGGCGGCTTTCAGCAAAGGAAACATGATGACAGTAGAGGTTGTTTCGTGATGATACGGTAAGACTGACGAACAAAGAGTTCTTCATTGTTCCTGCAGATCATGCTGGTACACGGTCCGATGTGTCTGATTGAGTTATAGGAGGTCAGCCAGGGGTATGCCGTTGAGGAAGTGGTGATACTCAGTGAGCTTGTCTCCCTTATCCCTTAACCGTCGGATCTATACATCTACCTATCTAAAAGTACGTAGGTAGGCACTCACTAAGCACAATATTAAGTTGGATAGATAGATCTGTAGAAACATACCTAAAGAGCTTAACCGCAGCACCTAGATAGGGGGGCACCGGGGGGTGCTGGTCGTACACTTCGCTGCCAGTTACTGCCAGCTGCCAATGACCGGCATTCATTCACCTTGGTTGTTTTTCACACCCCGAACTGCATACTGGAGGACCACCTTAGCCATCAGTTGAGGGCACTGGCACTGGCGCGCACGCGAGTGTTTGGAGAGCTTCCATTGACAACTACTCCCCATCTCCTCTCCTCTCATCTCCTTGCATTTCTTTTCCCTTTTATATTCATCACTCGGTCTTTGTTCTCTACCTTAATCAGCACATTCCCTCACAAGCCTTCCTATCAAGATGCCACGACTCAGACTTTCTATCCGCCAACGTGCTGCCATCGCTGCGGCCATGGCTGATGCCAAAGGCCAGGATGCTAAAAGCCAGGATGCTAAAATGGATAGCGCGGAGGCGCATCTTCATCAGGTATGTCTGCTCCTTTCTTTTCCCATCCATCCTCGACTGCACTTCCCTCGGAGCCCCTTCTTCCCAGCACGAGAACCAGAAGGGCCTTCGGCTGTATTCTAGGTGCTTCTTTGAGCACCTCTAAGCCCAGCTTGGATCTACAGCTTGAGTCGCTTCCAGATACTTCAAGTCAAACCCCTAGATATTGCTCGGCCGAGGCTATTATTCGAATCCTTTATTTGAATCCCTTATACTCAAATTCTCCATGGGAAAGAGTTTGACTCGTCGAGGATCACGATATCTTCCAGGCTCAGCCTGGGTCCCCCTAATCTTGAGTATCGCGGGTCTCGTCCAGTCTATTTATGGGCGTACAGCTCATACTGTCTTTAAGATTCGTCTTGGACTTAGGTATTGCTTCGGCATATCGCATGAGGGCTGCCAGCAGGTCATCGACTGAAATGCGCTGGGACTGGAAAGCAGGGTTCAGTAGTTGCGGCACGAGAAGACCCAAAGTGTATATCGAGGTGCAGACATACTCAGCTTAGAACCCTTAGCTGACGGATGTGACTAGCAGGAACCACCCCTTGAACAAGTCGATACCTTCCTTGAAGCCATGCAAATCCAGGCGCAGATTGAGAAGTATCGTCAGGATATCGCTGAGAATGAGAAGATGCGCACAGACACTGTCAACAAAGTCAAAATTCTCGAGAATGATAGGGAGGCAGTGGATCAGGCAATTCGGGATAAATGCCACTGTGAGGATATACTCATCAAGGAGGACTTCGACCAGGTGGAAGGTCGAGGAGAAAAAATGAACAGGGAAGTAAGTATCTCATAGGCTTGAGTTTTCCCATGGGACTGCGGGCTAACATCTGGACTTTGTTACAGATCGACAACTTGTGCAAGACGGATTACTTTTTACTTGAGGCAATCGAAGACCTGCGTGAGACGATTTGGCTCCTGACCTTCAGGGCCACAGATCTGAGCACCGGAATGGCTGACATGCAGCGACGTCTCGATGATCTAAAGCTATCTATGTCCGCCAACTGATGGGCTATGGACGTCTATCGTTCACGAAGTGTTTGGGGATGAATGGATAAGATGTAATTCGATATGCAGCAGGACTAGAACCGTTAACAATGTATCTGGTACTGGAATGTTTTGAAATATTTCGCTTTGGAAATACTGGCAAGGGGCAGTTCGGCAGCTCTTTCTTACCGTCAACGGTCGGCAGTCAACGATGGATCGTTTCGTCAGTTGTGGGGAGGTTGAGAAGGATGTGAAATGGTGCTGGCTATGGTGTAACGGAAGATTTGGGCCTTGGTTCTTATGTCATGAGATTCAAACAATTTGCATTTAGTCTTTCGTCCCAAAGAAACCAAATTCATTGTCAAGTCCGATCCCAGTGAATACTGATGTTGTTCACGTTTTTGTGCAGCCATCCCCTTGCGATCTGAACGTGAGTGCAAGCTCCTATCAGGTATTGAAATGTCTAACAGATAAAGGGTGCGGTTCTTGAGTTGTCATATACGGGAACACCTTAAGCTAGGAACATGAGATGGAGCCAAAAGAAGATGACGAAAGCTTGCTTTCGAATGTTTTCTCAATCGAACATCTTCACCTCGATTCACTGTTCAAAGAATAGGGGTCGCAATTCCTACCCTGAACCATCAGCCACACCCCAGCAAAGCCACACAACGTCACGCCACATGTCCACTCAGTTGTCTGTCTAGTAGGTACTGTAACGACACAGGGGACGACAGCTCTTAACCCAACAACTTACTGCCAATCTGCGCGGTGCCGTTATGTGGTCAAGGTGACCTTATTTTCCTAGCTATAATCGCCGGGAGATGAATCCAACACCGCCATGGATTTCGTGAGTGTCTTGTCACCATCCGTCGCTGCAACCAGGACGTCCAGCTAATCGTCTTGCATAGTGGTCGCGCCTATTGAGCCCTCTCTCGTCTGGGGGCTCCCGCAAGGACCTTGGACAGGATCCTGCGAAACGACTGCACCGATTTGAAAAACAATACAGCCGCTTATTAGTGAGACACCAGCGGAAGTCGTCCACATCCGATAGGCACTAACCACTGCAGTCCGCCTGGAGAGCGTCGTCCAATTTGTCTCGAGATAGCGACGCTGCCGAAACCCTAGAAATCCGCCTCCAAGAACTCACCAATATTCTCAGCGACGAGAGCCGACGGCCGTTACCGCATCCATGTATCCAGTACTGCTCGATCAAGCAAATCTACGTTCCTATTGGCAAGATCGCCACGACCTCGTATAACGAATGGATCATTAAGGAGGCCGTCCTTTTCTTTGCGACTCTGATCGAAAGCGAAGAGGAAGCTTTTGTCGAGAACCAGACCTTCTCCGCCAGTCTGACAAACCTCCTCGTGCGAATCACCGGTCTAAACAGTGTGCGACTGGGCCTTGATACCGAGTCGCGCGTCGTCGAACTTGCCTTCAATATCACCACCAAGATTCGCCTGGACCCTAGTATTCTTCCAGCATGGTTCAAGACGCATCGCGGCGTAGCGCTCCAGAACAGGGAGAAGGACGACAACAATCGCGATACTTTTGTTGGGCGAACACAAAAGGCCGACTTTCCTCTCTTCTATATCCTCATGGACTACATTCACCATGAGGGAAAAGTCGGCGATTTTGCGCGAACAGGATTACTCTACATCATCGAAGCAGCGTCGAGTTCGGGACCTTTGGAACAATGGATTGTCGAAAGCGACCTGTCAACATTGATGGCGACAGGACTTGGCGCCTTGTACAGCCAACTGAGCCGCAAACTAGTCGTTGACCATCTTCCTCACAACCTACCCCCTATTCTCGCCTTTTCCGATTACGAACACCCTACATCCAACTACGAGGTGATTAGCTCATGCTCCCCCGAGTTTCAATCTCACCTTGAAGTTTTCCTATCACACCTGTTGTTCTGGCAAGACGTTCTGAACCACTGCCGGTCGGTTGAGGTCAAGTCGACTCTGCTGGAGCATTTTCAAGTCATTTTCTTACAACAGTTATTGTAAGCTACTCTACTCTTCATTGTGAGCTTTGCTGACAGATTAGATACCCCTCGCTGCTTGAGTCCTCTGATATCGACGGAGGTTCATCAGTCGCTGTTTTAACTTATCTTCGCCGTATCCTAGAATCTCTCGACCACCCTGACATGATCAATCTTATTCTCCACTACCTTCTAGCATTGCCTGATAATATTGCCTCCGCTCGACCTGGATCCAGCTCGTCTGTCAGTAAGGCTCGCAAGCGAAAGTCGATGGATCTAGCCACCATGTTGGCGGAAAGGGCAGAACCCGCTGCGACTCCTCTACTCTTCAACCTGGTCGATCTCATTCTTGCGTGTCTGAGATCACGGAACCAACAGACTATTCATGTTACGTTACAATTGGTGTCAGCCATTCTCAAGCGACATCACCGATATGCTATTATCACTCTTCTGAGAACCGATCATGTACCAGTGCAAAATGCTACGAGAACTGTCGGTGCTCAAGAGCAAGAAGTTGAGTTCTTCATGTCGTTGGCGGGGACAATAGGCGGCGAAGATGATTTTGATGAAGTATATCAGCTCGTCCTTCGAGATACTATGACTAAACTTGAGGCCCATCCTTGCTCGCTGAAGCTTGTGGCACCGAGGGCATCTACGAATAACCAACGGTTGCCCGACAGTCTCCCTGGCGCACCTAAGGATGTTGGAGACCATACTCTTCGGCCGGACGATCCTCTCCTCAACTCGCTGTTGGACCTTCTGGAAACATTCTTTGTTAATCAAGTAGAGACAAATCTCTCAGTGACAGAGACTCTTGTTGACTTGGCTATCTGTGGTTTTATGAAGATCGAAGGATGGTTGACACGCAATCCAAGCTCCTATATATATGAAGAGGCCGATAAAAAACATACGCCTGAAGGTCAGGAAGCCGCAGAGAGCGATGATGATGAGGACTTCGAAGACCTGCCGTCTCCAACTGCCGAGCAAAAACAACTCTTAGCTATGGAACAATGTCGCCAACGCCCGCAATGGTCTGAAGCTTCATTACCACGTGTTTATGGTGTCCTCAGACGATTGGAGGAGCAAGTAGCTTCTTACAAAAGGACCATTCCTCGCTTTGACGAGCTCGTGCAACAACGGCGCGACGCTTTCAGGACTGCGGATGCAATGTTACACCACGCGGGTCCTACACCAAGGCCGACCCCCATAAGTGAAGACCCCCCTGATCGGCGCAGCTTTGAAGAGATATCACGCAACACGTCGCCTTCCCGTCCATCGACGTTGGAAGGCCTAGCGCACCGTCTCCTATCTGAATTGGGAACCCCAAGCCGCTCCAATAGTCCGCGAGGACGTAAGGAACCTGGCCGCCCTCCTGGAAGCGGAAATGCGACACCCGGAAAATCCGGTCTAAGCTCTTCAAAGGAGGCGTCTCATAGTAGGGGACGAGGCACTTCGGGACGAAGCCATTCTCCGGGTAGGGTTCAAGATACTATCGACTCAGTACAAAAAGCAAGGGAGGAGGTGCTTGCTCGACAGATGGCAGAGTTTGCAGCTATGGACCAAACTATCCTCTCTAAGAAGGTGGGATTGCCGGAAGTCAAGGTTGAGCCTATTCCTGTCACATCCGACCAGAAGACAATTCCCAAACCAGCCGAAACCACAAAAGGAGAGGAGCACACTAAGGTGCCCACCAAGGAAATATCCACGGGGGAAATATCCGCTGAGCACGATGCCAAGAAGGGTGAGCCTGAGGGCTCTGCAACTGAACAAGATGAGCAACCCCCCGCCGAGGGCAAGCTGGATGAGGAGGCAAAGTCCGAAGCTGATGCGACTGAGGCTGAAGTCTCTGGAACCGAGCCAGTCGAGACTACACCTGTATCGACTGAGCCAGCTGAACCAAGCGAGTCAAAAATCGAGGACGTCGAGACCACCGAGGCCATCGAAGCTGCTGGGACCGAAGAAAGTGAACCTGCCAAGGAGCCAGAATCCCAAGAGCCTGAGGCCAAAGAAATCGAAACCAAGAAATCTGAGGCGAAGGAGCCGGATGCAGAGGGCCCTACAGAAGATTCTGAACCTGCAAAGGTTGAGGCGCAAGAACCTGAGATGAAGGACACTGAGATCGAAGAACCCGAAGTCAAAGAACCTGAGACCAAGGATACTGAGATTGAAGAAACTGAGATTGAAGACCGTGAAGTCGAAGAACCCCGTCCTGAGACTCCGCGACCGAGAGCTCGATCTGAAATTCCAGAACCAGAAACTCCTCAGCCTAGAGAGCAGAGAGAGAACACAACAACTGCGTCAGTCTCTCACGTTGTTACAAACGTCATCATTCTACAGTCCTTCCTCTTTGAGCTTGCTGCCCTCGTACAGGTCAGAGCAGGTCTATTCGACGAGGTGCGATTTGTGTAACGGGAAATTGGTTAGAAGGTGCATTAATTGGGGCGAGATCGAGGAGATTCTCACGATTCATGAGCAGATGGCATTGGTGCGATTGTTTGATAGACCGGGAGGGAAGGAATACTTATATATAATGGATACCGAGACCGTAGACTCGGGTCTGGTTGAACGTGACATCTCTCACGGTTTGTGGTTGTGGATCGTAACTTCGTGTAATTATTCATGTGAACCAACGCCGGCTATATATGCATACCTAAATATGTAACATAATTCAAGTCTATGGGTTCGTCTCGTCCCATTCTATCCATCTTCTAATAACACCATCAACAGCTTTGATGCCTTCTCTTGTGGCTTCCACCTCGAACCATTCGCGATGCTCTCTACCACAAGCTTCACATTTAGCCGCATCTGCCTTGAGTCCCAGGCCCGCAAGCTCTATGTGGACCAGGCGCTCTACACGGTGTACATGTTGCGTCATGTGAGGGACCACACCCGACGATTCTTGCGACCCTGGGAGGTAGGGATAATATCGCAGAATCTCAACTTCATGACCACACTGACGCTGCCACTGGTTCAATCGGCGCTGTACGTTTTGTGCGCGCCCAATCTTGAGAAGCATGGTGTTTCCAGATTTGGACGAATTCGCAGCCGCGAAACTCGATACAGCATTACTTGCGCTTCGAGAGCGTGACTGGTGATTTGGTGACGGGGGTGACAGCAGTGAGCGCGCTGCGTCAACGGGCGCAGCAGATGCGGCCGGAGATGTAGGCGTGAGCCAGAACATGTATATGAAGCCGGGCTCTTCTCCATTACCGAATGGACGGGCTAGTTCAGCCATAAGCGCCGAGGCGGTAGCGGCGTCTAAAGAGTCAGGGATGAAATCCTTGATGGTTGCTGTTTGCGAGCCTGTTGATTTGCGAGGTCGACGGGGTGACTTGCCGCCGGATGTGAGACTTTGCTTTGAGTTGTGCTTGGGTGGTACAGGTATGGAGTTGTTTTTCTGAACTGGACGTGGTTCTGGTCGTGATGGCCGTGAAGATTCATTATCTTCAACAGGGACCGAAAAGCAGAAACAGCAGAGCAAAGATTGCTTCGCTTGTGGTTTCGGGTTTGAACCGCTTGGTTTGCGACCCGAATCAACCCTCTCTTTTCCATGCTTCCTCTTCTCCTGCAAGTCTACCAATCCCAATCTATCCGTCAACGTATCCAAGCTTGTGCGCCCTTCCAAAATCGGCGTTGAAGTGGCTCGCGGCCCAGGACTCGAATGTGCCGACATATTCGCCTGTTCGCGATGCTGCCAGCAGTAAAGGGACTCATCGCGCGGGTCAGGGGTGACAGGACGTCCACGCTTATCGGTCTTGGGATTTTGCTGGGCGACGGGGCGACGACAAGGTCTTCCGTTGGAGGTTATACCGCGACATGTTCCGTCAGCGAGTTTGGAGTCGGTTCGATTGAGAAAGGACTCGGGAGTATTTGCGACGAAGGGCATTGTATTGTATTCTCAAATAGCGGTGTCGAACAATGGGGTTATGTCGAAGAGCAATGAAGAGTCGCGGTTGGAACTGTACACGGATCGAGGATTCTGTATATAAGATGGGAGTTGTGGAGAAGTGATTCAGGGATGTAGAGAAGGGATGATGAGGAATGATTCAAAGCCAAGAAGGGCCTGACGGGAAGCTTGGTTTTTTCTCATCTTGGCTCGGCTTGCAGTCGCGACCAAGCCAAGGTCGAAGGCGGCTAGGGATCCATGATAGTGATGGAGAAGCGAAGAACCTAAGTGGAGAGGTGTGTTGTTTGTGGCTGTGCGTGGCTGTGTCTGGTAGGCTGAATCGCCTCTGTTGAGAGGTAGCCTCTGTGGCTAACAGCTATTACGGACAGGACATGAGTTGTCAGTGAACAATTGATGCTTTTCTACATTGTTTACATTCCATTTCGGTGAATTTGTGATGGAGGTTGAACAATGATGTTGTGTCGGAGGTTGGTACTCGATGTTGATCTGTGCTATTTTTATCAGCGTTGAAACGTCATTCGAGCCACGGCTGATCCCTGACACTGACAGATTTACTGGGAACTTTCCCAATAAAGGAAATTTGGCTCGCCTTGGAAATTCTGTACCTGATTCAGGGACCAGAGAGAGCAATGTCTTATTGCTATTGGTGCACCATGTACGCTTCGCGATAAGTATACCAAAAACAGCACCTCATAGGTCAACAGCGGTAATTCAAACAGGAATGATGATATGGTAATTCTCAATGAGTGAGTGAGTGAGCAACGAATAATAACAAAGCAATTGTACCCCGTATATTGTGATTAAACGCCGAATGAACTCCGTCCCAGGTCGCTTGCCTGTTCCAATAAATATCTTCCACGCGAGCAGAGTGACAACTTATATCGCCAGCAAAAAAGAGGACCCTGATAACATAATGCATGCAGACTGCCAATCCCAAATCATTCCGATTCACCCGGTTCGCATATGGTCAACCTTGATGGCACTGACCCTGTAGGCCAGCTCAAAAATGCTAGACCGCCCATAAAGGTTCTTTACTAGATTGACGATGATGGCGATGATGGGCAAGATGTTTCCTCGGGTAATTCTTGGCTCATAAAGTTGAAGCCGACGATACCTTCGGCCACAATTTTGTCTTGTCCTGTTGCGAGGCGCGAATAGACCGAAACTCGACGACCAATAATCCCATCGCCTCCGACTTCAAGAGATAGTGGACCTTGGAGCTGTGATTCGACAAAGTCGTCTGATGATGGGGGTGTCTTGAGGGGGAATTGGCGAAATAGGCCACATTCGCTTGCGTTTCTCGTCAGATCACCACTAGAACTTCCGCAATGTTAATATGTGTGTGTATCCCTCGGAGTGACTGCCCACTTACTGGATAACAACATATAAATCAAAGAATCCCTTCATATTGCATTCGTCGTTTGGGGTAAGTCTTGCGTGTGTCGCGTTGCAACTTGCTGGGCTGCCAGGTGTATGAAAGGCGAGGTCGCCGCATATTCTTGATGACATGGAGTTGGTAGGAGGGTTGAGAGCGACGAGAGCACCTCCTCGAGGACGGTTTGTATTCTCAGGACCGCACATGATGAAGGATTAATTGTTTGAGATTGTGTAGATGCTTGGTGAGTATGGATACACAGTGATAGATGATAAGAGAGAAATCGTCTTGATAATAATCCATCATCTATGTACCCTTTTGGTCTATTCATATAGTTGATCCCTCTTTTTAGCATCTTTCTCATAGTCTCTCATTCCAAAAAGTCGTGGGTTGTGCCGTCAAACGTGCTCACACAAACTCACCAATCACAAGGCCCCAACATGTAGCGGTGTTCCCGAATCGGGTAACTTCTGGGTGAGCAAGTTTGAGGGGAAATGCTCTCGAAACAACAACACTCCAGAAAGAGTACCTTGATGAACTAAGGACTCTCCAATCACCCACCCACTATCACTCTATACAGTCTTAATCATAGATATTAATAACTTTAGACTCTGACGCAATCATGTTCCTCCCAAAGACCTCACTTCTACCCCTCCTCCTTCTCGTCTCATCCTCATCTTCCTCTTTTGTCAACGCTGAACCCGATCGTCCTTCTGAGACAGACCAAGCTTATACTATCATCTCTGACAATATTCACTCTTATTCAGCCATGTCTGTTGGAACCTACTCTCTTCCGGCGTTGCCGTACGCCTACGATGTAAGCTCATCACCAATCCTCAACCCATAAGTTATAACACAAGCTAACGCAGTAAAGGCCCTTGAGCCCAGTATCTCTGCTCAGATCATGGAGCTACACCATTCCAAGCACCATCAAGCCTACGTGACGAATCTCAACGCCGCCCTCAAGAACTACGCCACCGCTACTTCGTCCAACGACATCGCTGGTCAAATCGCACTTCAGTCCGCCATCAAGTTCAACGGCGGCGGCCACATTAACCACTCTCTCTTCTGGGAGAACCTCTGCCCCTCAAGCTCACCAGACTCCAAGCCTGACAGTGCGCCTACCCTCAGCGCTGAGATCTCCAAGACCTGGGGTGGCATCGAGGCTTTCCAGGAAGCATTCAAGAAGACGCTGCTGGGTCTGCAGGGCAGTGGCTGGGGATGGCTGGTCAAGGATACGCAGGGCTTGCGCATCGTTACCACCAAGGACCAAGACCCTGTTGTAGGAGGGGAGGTGCCCATTTTTGGTGTTGATATGTGGGAGCATGCCTACTACCTGCAGGTAAGTTGTACAGCTCTGTTGATTTCGGTGCAGTACTAATATGAATATAGTATCTCAACGGAAAGGCTGCTTATGTCGATAACATCTGGAATGTCATCAACTGGAAGACGGCCGAGGCTCGTTTCACTGGCTCCCGGGAGGATGCTTTCAAGGTTCTGCGAGCTTCCATCTAAGTCGAGATGCACCATGAAGATTGAATAGTAATGATGCTACGCAGTATCTCCACAGTTATGCCATCTTATATTACTCTGAGACAGAACAAATAACAAAAAAGGCTTAATCTCAAGTTTTCCAGCGATGCAGTGATACTCTACAAGCCCCCAGCAACGTGCTCAACATCTGACACTCAGTCTCGGCTGGCTACCCACAACCGTGGCCTGCGTTTGACTCGCTCAGCAGCAATGCCGTACACCCGTATCTTGACCGCCAAGTCTTCTTTTGTCCTTTGTTTTGAATACGTATCTATTTATTTCGACAGGTCCTGTTCTTTCCACCCCCTTTCGATCGGTCTCGCTCCTATTATGCGGACATATGCACCTTTCCGTCCGTCGGCCCTAGTCATACGCGTGTTTGTCAACGCCACATATCTAAATATGCATGCACACAATGACTAAACCTGAGGCCTCGGTGATGAGTTTCGTGTCACTGTACTTTATCAGGTTGTAGATATGAAGCATGTGTCTGTACTCGTGTAACACGCCTCAACACAGCAGATGCAAGGCTCGGCTTCACGATCCCGCACAATGGGAAATTAACAACGTCGACGAGGCTTAAAAAAAGAACTTTTGTAGAAGGGTCAAGGTCTAGGCCAGGAATTAATGAGTCTGAATGTGCGCTGTAACTGTGAGACGTTGAACTGACTCTCGAGTGCCAGCTGGCATTGGTTATTCTAATTTCCATCTTGAAGTCAGGTACCTTCATATCAGATACCTAAACTTGAATGCTCGTAATGAGATACGGGATCGCTCGGCATAACGCATAAGCTGTAACGAAAATATCCGTTGTTGATGTTGTTTTCAAGGAGACAACATGGATAGCATGGCACCGCCGGAAGCCGAAGGGTATTTTGACGGGAGGATAATTAAACCAACGGCAAGACGAAACGTACAGTTCGGATAAACACATGCTTTCCACACCCTCTAATAACGCCGTGAAGATACTACTCATCACGGTCTTTCCGGTACCACGGCATAATGCTTCGTCAGGGGTTACATGGCAACGGGACTCGTGCGAGGCCTCATCTCCTGGGGAGGAAAGAATAGGTATAAAGAGGGGACATGAGTTTCCAAAGAAATCTTGTAGTGCTAAGATCTTCTTGTTCAGAAGTGAAACCAACCTCACTCTTTTTTCGTCACTCGTTTTCTACTCTCGTCTTTGGACTTCGTACTTTCGCTTCCCTTCTTGAGACATGGATATGTCTCTCCTCGTTCGATTGGCCCTCACGGGGTTCTGGTTCGTGTATCTCAATCTTGATCAAAGTCATTAAATTAACTCGTACAGGGCTTCAGCTGTTGCTGCTCAGAGCACCGTGACTGTCACCGAAACAGTTACCGAGTGTGCTTCGTCATGCTACTCCATCGTATCTCAGTGTACCTCGACTGAGTACATCGGCACCTCACTCATCGAGCTTCCAACTGTATCTTCGGCTACTCTGTCTGAGACTACTCCTATTGGGACTACCGACATTATCTCTCTGCCCACCGTCTCTGGTACCTCAATCTCGACCAAGTTTACCAACACTAGCGCTATCACCAGCTCATACACTTCTACTTCTATCATTGAGACCACCATTGCCATTTCGGAATCTACTGGTGTTACCATTGGGTCGAGCGCTCTCGCTGGTGAGACCTCGGAGTCGGAGTCTAGCTTGTATGGATACTCTACCCTGACCTCCGAGAGTCTTACAGATATCGAGACCATGCCTACTGTTGTTCCGAGTGCCAACTCCTCTTCTTTTGCTTCTGGTACCACCAAGATTACAACGGACATCGGAACTACTGAAAGCTTCACAGATGTTGAAACTATTCCAACAATTATCCCTACCGCCAACTCTTCAGCTCTTGCCTCTGGTACCACCAAGATCTTGACGACCGTTCGAACTACTGAGATTTTGACCACTGTTGGAACTACTGAGAGTTTCACGACTGTTGAAACAATCCCCAGTATTGTACCCAGTGCCAACTCTTCAGTTGTTACTTCAGGCACTACTGAGATTTTGACCAGCGTTGGAACTACTGAGAGTTTCACAAATGTTGAGACCATCTCTAGTGTTATCCCCAGTGGCAACTCTTCAGCTATTATCACTGGCACTACCGAAATCTTGACCAGCATCGGAACTATTGAGAGTCTCACAGATATCGAGACCATTCCTACTGTTGTCCCAAGCGCCGACTCCTCTGCTCTTGCATCTGGCACCACCGAAAGTCTCACAAATGTTGAGACTATGCCAACTATTGTTCCGAGCGCCGAATCTTCAGCTCTCGCATCTGGAACTACCCAGTCCACTGAGGCAGGCGGATCTTCTGAGGTCACTCAAGCTTCAACCGAACAACCTTCGGAGTCTGCCCCTGGTAGTACCGAGTCAGTGTCTACTGAGAGTACCAGCACCCATGTATTTGTTCCCGAAAAGAGTCGGTCGGTCGTTACTAGGGAGACTGGTACTTCTGTTGTCACTGGAGAAGCCTCCACAACTATCTTGGAGTCGACTTTCACCAGCCAGGTCACTGTCACTGAGAGTATTACTTCTGTATACTCTGGCACCACCGACTCTACTGAGCTTCCAGCTACCTCCGAGGCAACCACTGAGATCCCTGGAACATCTTCTCAGGTCGAGGGTTCCAGCAGCGAGACTGACCAAGGCTCTATGACAACTGAAGGTGTCACGACCGAAGCCACTGGTCTCACGCTGACATCTTCTATCACTCTCACTCGCACTGAGGCTTCATCTGCATCCGAGTCCGAGTCTGCTTCAGGGGAGACTACCCAAGTTGTTATCTCGTCATCTGGTACATATGTCTCTACTGCTTCTGAGACTGAGGTGGAAACTTCCAGCACTGTCGAGACTTCCTCTGCAGGTACTTCGGCTGTTAAAACTGATTCGACCGCTAGTGGCTCCAGCCCCGAGACCACAAGCGCTGGAGTTTCTACCGGTACTACTGAAGCTGAAGAGTCGACCACTTCGGACTGCACATCGACCCAGCATACTCACGTCTATGAGAACACAACTATTGTCCACAGCACCGCTGATGTGAGCGTCGAGTCGTCTGCTCTAGCTGGATCTTTCACGTCGACTCTTTCTGGTGGGACGGTTGTTATCTCCGCAACTTCGGATGTCGTTGAGCAGACTACCTTTCCCAGTAGTGACACCGGATTATCGACCACTGTGGGATCTGAGACTACCGGTGGTTCACCTGCCGGAGCTGAGACTACGTCTTCCTCCGGTGTAGCCTCCATCGAGACAACCCTCGCTCAATCCACTGCATCTGCCCCAACAACAACTGTCACCATCCCCTTGGAGCCAAGTTACCCTCGCAACTACGACTTCGGCTCTCCAAGCTCCGCAAACAACGGCTGGCCAACCTTTTCCTTCGAGTCAAGCGCCGATGCAGTGACAGGTTTCTCCTCTTTTACCACCCTTACTACAAGCAAGGTTAGCGATGCCGCTTCTGCTACTACCGGCATCAAGGAGCCCGACTACGAACCTCCTGCTTACGAGCCCCCTTCGTACCGTGAGCCTGCCTACGTTCGCAAGCGCTGGGGTTTTGGATGGTAAGCTGTTGTTTTCGTACAAAGTAGGCAATGATCTGTTGGATTCTTGTTCTTTTTACCTTCTTGGAATGACTTGATGTCTTTCTGCTTAACTTTGATTGATTCATTTTTATTTGTATCTGGAACAACTAGCTTCATGGGGGTAGATAATTCATAGAAAATACATTGGGGTTGTTGCTTTATCTTGATCGAACGTGAAGTGAATGTCTTTCCTGTGCTGCACTTGTCATAAGTGTCCATCGTTGTCTATTCCTTCGAATGAGTATAGGGCCATTGTCTACTATCTACCATTCGACTGTGGAAACTAGGCCATATAGAGTGGTCTCAAATTGCCAAGATCTTCCCATCAACATAGGTTCTGATCTAATCTAGAAGTGCCAAGTGTGACTTGCCATCCAGGTAGGCAATATGAAGAATGACCTCTGCGGCTCAGGCTGCAAAAGTAAAGTAACCAAAGTGTTCCAAGCTGGCAGAAGGTGACCAAAATATTCTATCTTGAGGCTGTCTTTGCGCCATCAAAAACATCGTTTTACCCCCCTACGCTCTCCCAATCCATAGGCTCAACCATCCATTCCCACTGATCATCCTCGGCCATAACCACCTCATCATCAAAGTCATCAGCCCATGACCTCCCCCGACTATCCATCTCAACCTTCCTCGAGGCAAGCCCATACCCAGCCTCCAACCCACTCAGAATTTGCGTCACAATCCACGTTAGATCGTACATCTTTAGCGGTGCCGTCTCTTTGCCGTTGCCATCCTTGACGTCCTTCCACTGATTTCGAAGCTCCTTGGCCTTCCAGAGCGCCATGTTCACTTCTCCCTTTCCAAGCGCCTCATACAGCGGTCCCGTCTTATTCTCCAAAGTGGTAAGGACGTCATGATGATAGCGGTGCTTCTCATCTCTTCCTCTTCTTGATGATTGAGGTACCATGATATCGAATACAAGAAGGAGAAGAACGAGCGCTTGCTCGATCCAGACGTAGAATTCATGAAAGTCAACCTTGAAGTTCTTTTCGGCTTCGCCCACCGGAAATCCGGATGACTCTGGGTTCAGAGCGCGATGATACGAGTTCTGCAGGTCGACATACTTCCAGCGCAATCTCTGACAAGCTTGCTCGAAGCGATGAAAAGCCTGAGACGATGTTAAGCGCGATGATGGCGGATTTGAGCTGGACAGTGGTGCCGGTGCCGGCGGTAACATAGCCTGTGTTGAGATAGCTTGTACTGAGACAGCCGGTTCAGTTGGCGCTGAGATAGTTGGCTCTGAGGTAGTTGTTGGTGGGGGCGGGGGTCGCGATGGCTGAGAGGAGGCGCGTTGCGAAGGGGCGTTTTGAACGCGAGAGCGACCTCCTACAGCCCAGATTGACCCTTTAAGTCCGGTTGACATTATGAAGAGTTGAGATGAGAAGACGTGGAGCGTGAAGTGTCGCGCATGAGAGAGAAGAAAGAGAGAGAGCCGCCAAAAGCCTAAGAGACGAGACAATTTAGCCAGCCACCTTATGCCATTTGGACCAACACTCAGGCCACTTCATTCTGGTAGCCTAAGCCTTGGAGGACAATTCCTCTGCTACTTACCTGAAGGAGAGACAAATGGTCTGTGAGTGATCCGAAACAGAGACGATGCCTTGCTTCTCTGACCCGTAACGCGCTGTTAAAAAATACTAGTGGGTCTTGGACAGTGAACAATCCAATTGAGGAGCTGTTGTACCAGAGAAATGATAAAGAAGCGATTGTGATATCATGAAAGAGAAAATATTGTGCTGCAAAAAGAATGGCTCAAAGATCAAAGAGATGTAAGGACGAAAGCGGCCAACTCAATCGATGATTGACAGGCACGAATTTGAACTCTTTGATTGGCTTATTCTTCGGCGGTTAACTGTTGGCTGCGGAAAGAGACATCCACCAACCCCAATCACTAGAATAATAACCAGTATCAATCAGGATGATCAATGCATGTCATAAGCATTTCAGGTATCGATATATACAATCTTCACTATAGACCTTCCAGACACAGCAAGCCTATGTCCTCGTCTACCCCAACCAATGTCCAGAAATCGTTCAATCAATCAAGTTTACTTGCTTGCCTGACACAAACACATCATAAGCTGGCCTAGGCATAGGCGACAGCTCTTAAACCATATATACTCCTCAACTCCTTCAATCCAGACCTTTCAGTTCCTGGACGCCCTATTCCACGCTATCCTTAATTGACCCAACTCAAAAGCAACAAAAGCACAACTCCTCTTGACATGTCAGACTTCTACGTCGTCTCAATATTCCACATGATAGTCTATAGGCCGGCCTATGTTGAATCGCGGACCTTCTTGGTGGCTTTGGCAGTACCAATATGTGTGTTGTGCACCTGTTCTTGTTAGCTTTGTTACAATCATAGCCGGGGAACAAACATACCTTTGTCGCAAACCGAAGACTTGTCAGTGTTTCCTTCAGATGGGTCTCGAGCGGCGATACCATGACAAACATCAGTGTCTTGCTGTTGCCGCCCAAGCTGTATTGCAACAAGTGAGTCAACTTGGAGTTACGGTATGGCACGTGGCCCGATCCGCGACCAAGAGCCTCAATGACGTCGCCCAAGCAGCTCAGACTCTTGTTGATGTTCTGGGTTTCCTTCATACGGTCGCCCTCAGCCTGTGAGTGCTTGAGACGCTCAGAACCTGCCAAGTCGACCAGGTTGAGAGTACCCTCACATCGCTCGCCAGTAGCGGCGTTTTCTCCGATCAACTTGAGGATAAAGATACTGTGGGATCGAGATGACCGTTCGTTGGCCTTTGTTGCAGCCACGGATCGGTTGTTCTGCGCCTCCTCCAGCATCATCTCCACGCTGGATGGGCTGTCAAGGCGTACCGACTTACAGTTTGTGATCGTCGTTTGCTTGCGAGTTTCGTCGTGTCGGATCTCCAGCCTTCTTGCCGCAGCACGATCGTTGGGTGTCAACAAGTCGTTGAGCTCCTCATTGTACACCTCGACAAACGAACCCTCCATGGTGTACTCCCAGGACTTCTCCTTGAGTTTGGTGATTGTGTCGTAGATCATGTGAGTGGCACGCGGGATCATACCATCACTAGAAGACATGGTGTGTGTCTTTCCAGATCCAGTTTGACCGTAACAGAAGATGCACACATTGTAGCCGTCAAGTGCACTCTGAACCAATTGAGAAATCTCGCCAAAGATTTCCTGGTTCTGGGTACCGGGGACGAACACACGATCGAACTCGAACGGATAGTTCTTTCTTGTGATTTGTCCCAGGCTGCTCTTCTCTTCAGGACCAGCCAGAACGATCTCAGACGAGGTTTTGTCATCAGGGAACGACATCTGGGCTGCCTCTCCCTCGCCGTTGCCCAGAGGGGGTCGGACACGACACATGACTCGAATGTTGCCCTTGAGCTCTTGGTACTTGTTGAAAAGTACTCGGCGCTCAGTCTCCTCCTTGATGAGCTTCTGCTGGGCCTCCTCAGCGATACGGAGGGCTTCTTGTAGACGTGCTTCCATATTGGCAAATGAGTCGGACTGTGCCTTGTTGTCGGATTCGAGAAATTCGACGTGTGACTTGAGCGAGTTAATCTTGGCCTCCAGGGTTGTGTTGGCTGCTGATAGTTCGGCAATGTTGGTTTGGAGGCTACCCTTCAAGGTGCGTTCCCGTTCGAGATCTCCACGAAGACTTTCCACTAAAGAATTGGCTTCTTGGAGTTCACGGTCCTTCCTCTGGATAGCGACGCCCATGTCTTGATGCTCGTTGCCCATTCGAGTTCGTAGTTCTTGGATCTCGCGGTCTTTCTTCTGTCGTTCTTCTGCCAATTCCTGGTGGTAAAGTCTGGTCAAGGTTTCCACCTTTTGCTCGTGATCTTTTGTCTCTTGATCCTTTAGTCGTTCTAGTTCCCTCCTGAGTTCGTCGACTGCTGCTCGGTGTTGTCTTGACATATCGTCAACCTTTTCTCGGTTCTTTCGTTCCTGGTCGTCTACTTGTCGTTCGAACTCCCACTTTTGCTTCTCCATCTCGTGTCGAATTTGTCGACCTTCCTCTCTTGCCGAGTCAAGATCTGACTTCAATGCATCATTCCTCCTGTCAAGCTTTTCTCTGTCGCTCTCCAATTCTTGCACTAGATAGAGTTAGTGGCCAATTTGGACCCTCCAAAGCAATACATACCTCGCTTTTTGGCGAGCTCAAGAGCATCGTCATGTCCTTTTCGTTCGCTGAGAGTGGTGTTCACCATCTCCTTGAGCTCCTTAAACTGGGACTCCATATCCACAACTCGGCCATCGACGTCCCATGCTACATATGATGTCAGATTCGAATCTTTGTTTAAAAAGCATTTGCTTGGGGATGGTGTTTTGACGGGGGACTGGAAGGTCTTGACAGGCGACAGAGCTAGCGACTCTTCGAACTGATCAAGCTTTCGCTTCACCTGCTCATTGTTCGGTGCTTTCGGAGGAGCTCCCTAAGCCCGCTCTGAAGACACCTGTCGTGAGGTGGCGCTCTTGTCGTTCTGGCCAGCTCGGCCACGTCGTTTGCAAGGAATATTGGAAATTTGAGATGTGATTGATGATTGTGATGATTGACGTGTCAGGGGGCAGGAAATCGCTTGACTCCCGGGCTCATGTTCATCTTCGAGGCTCATATCGTTGAACTTCGAAGTCAGAGAGCTGTCTCTGATCGTTGAAAGGGCCATAACGGGTTGTGAGATTCTTGTCTTGTGTCGAGGGAGCTGAACGTATGCTGGAGTGCAAAATAGTTGAAATTCTGTCGTACCATTACTGGCTGGAGGCTCGTTTTGTTCTTCGCGGATGGCATGTGCTGTGCGTGGGCGAGGTGCTTGGCTCTTCGATCGGGCATGAGTAGGGCGCCCATTAACTCCATTGACTCGGGTGGTGGTAGTTGTCGTCGCTGTCGTCGTGCCGTAACGCCCGTTTTGAGTGGCCTTGTTAAAGCCCATCGATGTAGACGCGCCGAATCGAGACTGTGTAGTCGAGGGCTGCTTGAGCTAGAGACATTGAATTAGCAACTGCGGACCCATGTTAAACTCGCAAAAAAAATGGACGGTCGTGTCATCCAGTTGCATATTCGCTGCAGCAACTGGGCAGGACAACATCGTTGTAGTCCCAACTGTGAGCGCAGTTTCAACACTGGATCCGTGTCGTCATGTCGCTTGGAAAAGTCGAATTGGTTTTGTCGAAGAGTGCTCGTGGCATCGAAGCTAGACTTTGAAGTCACAAAAACATGAACTTACCCCCGAAGACATGCCCGCTAGACTTTGAGGCCGCACATTAGATCGTGCAGCCGCTGCACCGCCGGCATATGTGGTCGCTTTTGAAGGATACTCGAGGGCGCGGTCAGAAAGAGGTTTGCGCTTGGGATCGGATTGCGATGCTGTATGATGTCAGAACAAACTTCCAAATGCGCAGCGGTGCGTTTACCTGGCTGAGGAATCTCGCGCTTGAGGTTCTTCAGAGCGGATAAAGAGCTTGCTGTAGAGGCAATGCGAGCATTGTGTTGCGACTCGCTCCATTCTGTAAGGCCCCCTCCTCCTATTGACATCGACAACGAAGAAGGCGCGGGTAGTCGGCTCATCTTTGAAGTTCGAGTCGGCTATGAAGATGTATAATGAGTGTCTGTCTTAAGTTTTTAGGTGGGTAAACAACGTACCGAACCCTCTCCCATAGTGAAAACAGTGCGCCCGCGGTTGAGAGACACCAGGCACAAGCACGGACAATAGGGAGCAACGAAGCGCCTTCACACTGTAGTAGCAAGAGACGTTGGCAATACACCAAAGATAATGAAAGCAGAAGCAGTAACAGCAAAATGGCAGACGCTCGGTGCTCAACTCATTGATGGAGCATTATTATGGTTGGTTTGGAAGGATCCTTTTGCGGGATAGCCTTGGAGATTGGCGATGCGGAAGCGTTACGTTGTTTATGTCAACCCGTTGCTGGGGCGATGGGCCAAATCCGCTTTTTGGAGACACCCCACTACGGAAAGGGGATTTCGACGTTAACATTATTGTAGAACCCAGCCGGGTAAGATGCAATGGAACCTCTTAATCAGGATAATATGGATAACCTGGTTGTCAGGTATTTTAGAGTTGTTTTCTCTTTCAACCGTTATTGAATATGACGTCTTAGTCAACGGTTTGTTGTTTAAACTCCAAAGCTTGAGCTTATTCGAAGTCTTTCAACCCTCCATGTTTGTTCCCATTCAGGTGATCCGAACCTTACCTAGGCTATCAACAAAATAATTTAGAAATACTTGGGCACTAAGGCTTAAGATACACTACCCTAATCTTTATGACAACCTTGAATAAATCTTGATTTTCCTTACCTATTAGGATTTCTATAGGGCTTGTGTCATTTGAGATTCAGAGTGCTGCCCCGCAAATCAGAACGAAAGAACTATTGACCATTTGTTTTTATATTACAATGCTGTGAAAGGGATTGGATCAGCTTAAATAGCCTTCTGTTCAACTGCAGAGAAGTGCGTAGCTATGTATCTCCAAGCCGAATGCTGTAATTGTTCTCGGTCTAACTTAAAGCTATCAGCTTCTCCGCTGACTCAGCATGCACCATTGACAAGTTTCCTAACGTGGGGGGCCACATGTTCACACATTCACATGTCACTCTGATACATCCATATGGTATGACGCTTGATAGTATGCGCTGTCGCAAAGTCTGACCTCGCAACGCCGTCACATTTGTTCTCGTCATCTTCAACCGAGTCGCCTTTCTTCTCCACAAAGGCCAGCCAGCAAACATAAAAGCGAAAAGCTTCTGAGCTTGCTCATGTCTCGATAGCTTACCCCTCCGCTTGTCCTCTTCTCTTACAGCACGCGATCACTATCACAATGGAAAAGTATAGCCAATTTCGCGATCGAGGTAATAACCTCCAAAAACTCAAGGTTGTCACATGCTGATATCTTATAGCGACGGGTATCGCGCCCTTTCTTCCTGTCTCGACACCCGTATCAGCGGTCGCAACATTCACCCACGCCGTTATCTTCCTCTGCCGCCTGCCATTCTTCATCACCTACTTTCTCGGTTACTTCCTCTTCTTCCACTTCCTTCCTTTGCCTGTTATCTTTAGAAAGGTTGCCCTTTGGGGGTTGATGGCTATACCGGGAATATGGTGGGTTGACCTGCAGCTCGACGGTGTCAAACGTGGCACCCTGGCCGACCAGCCCCGCGAGCGCTTCCCTCACCCTGGCTCAGTTATCGCAGCCAATTTCTCGAGTCCTGTCGATGCGATTTATCTCGCCGCTATCTTCGACCCCATCTTTACGATCTCGTATCCTGAAACCCGCCGTGTGCAGCGTGTTAGCTTGCTCGGTGCTGTTCTTGCAGCTCTTTCGCCCGTGCGAACTGCTCCTCCCCCGAACGCCAAACTCGTTGAGATAAAGGACCTTCTGGACAGCAATCCTGGACAGGTCATTGCTGTCTTTCCCGAATGTGGAACGACCAACGGAAAGGCCATTCTTCCTTTCAGCCCGAGTATTCTGCAAACGCCAGCCGATGTCCACATCTTCCCAGTTAGCATTCGATACACGCCATCCGACGTCACAACTCCTGTACCCGGAAAGTGGTTCCGATTCCTGTGGGATCTCCTTTCTCGGCCTACAACGTGTATCCGCGTCCGAATCGCTGAGGGCCAGATCAACACATCTGCTGCAAAGACCAACGGCGTCTCGCCATCCACCTCCGATGGGCTGCGTCAACGTAATGAGACGAGCGCGGGCGTCACGGCGGAAGAGCAGCGCGTTCTTGATCGTGTAGGCGAAGCTCTTGCCAGACTCAGCCGCGTTAAGCGTGTTGGACTCACGTTGAAGGACAAGGCGGCCTTTGTGAACGTACTAAACAACAAGAGATGATCGCGATTGAAGAAAATGGAAGGATTCTGGTTTCTCTCTCACTCTCCCCTTGAGGCACCTCATATCACTCAACAGCCATGGCGTACGTTGCGCCTATCTACCGCACCACAAGCATTCGCCAGGCGCTTCGAGCTAACGTCCTTGACACCGATATCGACGATTTGGTTGTAACGCAAGAGCTCCTCCATTCTGGTTTGAGATCGAAGGAGCGATTTTAGGAAAAGAGTCTGAAAAAGGAGTTGTCGCATTGCAAGGAGCTATCTGGAGGTTTCTATTTAGTCGGCCAAATACCCACGATCGTTGTAGAACAGCGTTTGTCTTCTGGGCTGGTCTTTGCATTTATTGACATTCAAGTTCCACGTTCTAGCTAGTTAGGTAGACTCTTCAAGCCCAAAGCATTTCACGCAACATCCATCACGAAAGAAGAAGCCTCAAGTTAAAACGAAAAACATTGGGATATAAATTCTGACCAAAATCTAAATTCGCCTTTTCCAACCCCCATTAAAAGGAATTACATCGTTACATATAATATTTTTGCTTGGCTTTCACGAGCCTTTTAGTTCTTGAGACCGCTGTCGGTGACACAACCCTCGCTAGCGTTTCTCACGAGCTGGGCATACTTGCTCAGTGTACCCTTGGTGTAACGGGGAGGGGGGGCCTTCCAGGCCTTGCGACGTCGAGCAACCTCTTCCTCGGGAACGACGAGGTCAATAGCGCGTGACTCGGCGTCAATGACAATCTTGTCTCCGTCCTCAACGAGGGCGATAGGGCCACCCTCCATAGCCTCAGGGACGATGTGGCCGATAATGAAACCGTGAGAACCACCAGAGAAGCGGCCGTCGGTGAGAAGGGCAACGTCCTTTCCAAGACCAGCACCCATAATGGCAGAAGAAGGCTTCAGCATCTCAGGCATACCGGGGCCACCCTTGGGACCGTCATATCGGATGATAACGACGGTCTTCTCACCCTTCTTGATCTCACCAGCTTCGAGACTGCTGATGAAAGCAGGCTCGGAGTCGTAGACACGGGCCTTACCCTCGAATCGGAGACCCTCCTTACCAGTGATCTTGCCAACACAACCGCCAGGAGCCAGAGAACCGCGGAGGATCTGGATGTGGCCGGTAGGCTTAATAGGGTTGCTCAAGGGGCGGATGATGGTCTGGTCCTCGGGGAAGCCAGGCATCTCCTCGACGTTCTGCTTCATGGTCTTACCGGTGACGGTGATTCCAGAGCCATCAATGATACCCTCCTTTAGCAGAAACTTGAGGAGAGCAGGAGTGCCGCCAATCTTGTGCATATCGGCCATGACCCACTTTCCGGAGGGCTTTAGGTCGGCAAGGAAAGGAATACGGTCGGAAACCTTCTGGAAGTCCTCGATGTCGAGCTTGATACCGACGGAGTCGGCAATGGCGATAAGATGCAGGACAGCGTTGGTGCTACCACCAAGAATGGTGGTGACGATCATAGCGTTCTCGAAAGCCTGGCGAGTCATGATGTCACGAGGTCGGATGTCCTCCTTGAGGATGTTGCGGATAGCAGGTCCAACAGCTTCGCACTCGGCGATCTTGCTAGGATCCTCAGCAGGGCTGCTGCTGCTGCCAGGAAGGGTAAGACCCAGGGTCTCAAGTGCGGTAGCCATGGTGTTGGCAGTGTACATGCCACCGCAAGCACCGCCACCGGGGCAAGCATTTCGGATGATGTCGAATCGCTGCTCCTCGGTGATCTCACCAGTGATGTATTGACCGTAGGCCTGGAAAGCAGAAACAATATCGATAGACTCGCCCTGCTTGGTGCAGCCGGGCTTGATGGTACCACCGTAAACCATGATGCTAGGGCGGTTGACACGGCCCATGGCGATGGCCACACCCGGCATGTTCTTATCGCAACCGGGCAAGCTGATGTTGGCATCGTACCACTGACCGTTCATGACAGTCTCGATACTGTCGGCGATGATCTCTCGGCTCTGTAGAGAGTATCGCATACCGGTGGTACCCATAGAGATACCGTCAGAGACACCAATGGTGTTGAATCGGTAGGGAATGAGACCAGCCTTGGCGACGGACTCCCTAACATGGGCAGAGAGATCCATAAGGTGCATGTTACAAGGGTTTCCCTCGTACCAGACCGATGAAATACCAACCTGGGCCTTGTTCATGTCATCCTCAGAGAGACCGGTGGCGTAGAGCATAGCCTGGGAGGCGCCCTGGGCCTTGGGCTGGGTGATGTTGGAAGAGATCTTGTTGAGCTTGTCATCGGCGCGGATGGCGGTGGTAGATAGGAAGCGACTACAATACGAGACATATTAGTATTCACGCACGAATTGATTGCATATAGGATATCGTTGGTCGTTGGCAATGGATCGTGATAAACATACCCATGGCTCCTGGAGGAGAGGGGGAAAGCTCCCACAGCTCTCGAGCGCAGCAGTGACCGGGAAAGCATAATGACGACTTGAGACGAAAAGCAAGGGCCAATTGGAGCTTTGACGACAAACTCAAAAAGTCACAGCGTGCGTGGGATTGGGATATTGATCAGTCACCCAGTGATCCCAAAATTCAAGTGATGATAAGTTTGTGGAATTTCTTAGATTCAACTGCGATGTCGGCTGCCCTTTTGATGGGCAAAATTTCCAGCTGGGTTCCCTGTGATCTTCCCTGTGACTTTGGCGCTCCTCCCCCGTTGAAGTGCTCCCCGCATGACAATTCGAGTATCGTGATTGGCTGCAAACTGGAATGCTTGGATCCGCCGGGGGGAGTTCTCCAACTCCGGCGGGACTTCAGCGCATTATCCACTTTGTCCACCAGAGTCATGTCATCGAAGCTACCGATACAGCTTGCGTATTTCTATCCTGCCGAGCTTCCGAGCGTATGAGACTACCTACTTGAGTGTAGACACTCCTGACACCATAATCTTCTTACCATGGATTGCTACGAAAGCCTCAGCTGTAACGATGAAGAGATCTGATTACGAACATTACGTTTGCCAAGAACTATCAGCGACGCCGGCGATTTTGTGAATCCCTGCTATGTGGTTGTGAGTAGCAATCAGTCTTAATAAGTTGTCTAAAGGCCATCATGATATCGGTGTCCTTTGCTACTGAAACTTCTATTCTATTGAGATCTATCAATCTATCAGCGTTGTAAATATGTTGAAGCTTAAATATATTCACCATACCCTTTGCATCCGAGAGTCGGCAGACACAATTTTGTGCCAGTATCAAGATAACCCATGCATTCCAATACACTCGTTCGTCTACTTCCTAGAAGCATGCTCCAATCTATTCAGTGCTTCTCTCATCTTCTCAGAGATATCTTCAATGTACTTGAACGCGAATATCTCGTAATGATGACCATCAATGTCCACCACCTCAGCAAAGAGATTCTTGTCGTACATATCCCAACCAAGGTTCCGATCCTCGCGGCTCATATCGACAATATCGGCTTGGCCTTCTTTCGTCGGCACGGGTTCCTTGGCGCGGAGAAGTGAAATTCGAGGGCGGCCTTCCTGGGAGTCCCCATCCCATACTGGGGGAGTCCAAGCTTGAATCATGCGGCGAGCATCAGCCATGGCGCGATCGGCAAGTATCTGGTTCTTATTCTTGCCCTCTTGCGAACCTTCACCGGGTCTTTTGCGATCTTCACTCGAGTATTTGAAGGGATAGATGGTATCGACCATAAGAATGCCAATGACTCGGATATCAGTGTCTTCAGGGTTGAGTTGCTTTGCGATCTCGAGACTCAGATGACCGCCCATGCTCCATCCCCCGAGAAGTATTTGGATCTTTCCGGCTGAGTTGTATCGCTTGGGGAAGTCGGGTTTCTCGACAGTCTCGGTGATGAAACGTGTGTAGAGCTTGGCCATGTCTTTGAGTCCTCCATCGAAAGGTTCTCCACTGTGGAAGTTTGGATTATGAATGCCGTACACAGGACGCTTCAGAGATTCCAAGCAGTGGTAGGAGAATGTTGTGCCGCCGCCGTCGTGGATGAGAAAGACGGGGACAGCTTGGCCGGCTTGCCAGTCTGCCGGCTGAATGCATTCGGGGTTGCTGTCCATACTTGACTTGCAGATGTGAGATGTTTGACGTTGCAAAAGCTTTCCTTGGGTTGAGTTCCTCGATACAGTAAGGAAAGATCAAGATCAAGTCTTCGCCGATGGTGATCCCTTATACCTTCCCAATCTGCTCCTGTAAACGTCCAAAAGATGAACAATAAATCGCTCAAACACTTCTCAACCAATCTTCTTTGAAGCAATTCAGTCCTGGACAAACGGTATGAGAAATTTCCAACGATAAGCGGCAAACAAAGGGAGACTTACGATCTTGTGCTACCGCAACTATCTTGAAAGACGGAACGGGCCCATCGGCGTTTATCGGAGGTGACAGTTGGCGCCATCGGCAAATGCGGGGCCGTACTGGGGGCCGGCCGGTACCTCAAACATCAACAGAATCGAGCAATCAGATAGGTAGGGGGCATATACAAAGTTTGCATATAATCATAGTATATTTCTATTTTACACTTTTAATATTGCCTGGGCTCGATAAGCTCTATTTGGGGCTCTGCCAAATATCCTTGCAACCTCCATAGTAGCAAAAACAAGCTTCGCATGCTTTCACTTCTATAGTTCTTCAAAACCAGCAGTTCCTGACCAACGAAATCCTCTGCTTCTTGTTTCAGTCGCTCAACCTCGTCTCCCAGTAGGAAGTTCAAGTCGTGCACTGCAACCTTTGCGCCGTAGTTGGCGCCTTCCACGTCTAGAGTCGCATAATTGTTCATATCATCTGATGGCTCTGTGGGTATATAGAGTATAGCCCCTCCGGAAACATGCTTCTGGGCTTCTTCCCAGCTGTCTACCGGCATGATGAACCTGTGTGGATCCTTTTTTGTGCCGCGGTTGCTAGAGCTTCTTGCTATGAGCGCGTCGGCAGCTTGGCGCTGCATCATCTTAAGCAGCACTTCGTCCATATCAGGCCGAAAAATTCGTTCTTCAGGCAGTCCTCTTGTTGCCATACCGTTACGTTGAGCTCTCATTTTAATTTGAAGGGATTTGCTCTTTCCGATTTGTTCGATTAGACTTTTGCGTGAGAGAGCGTAGGTGACGTAACGTCCGCCTCGGTGCGAGTCTTCTCTCCAGTTTTCTATAGATTCGCCGTCTTCTTCCAATTCTTCTGGGCGTGCATTTTTGACGTCTGCGGTTACTTTGTCTTCTATCAAGCCTCCCTTCGTTTGCGAAGTCATATCAGGCGTCTCGTCCTTTTGCGTATATGTGATGGTTTCGTCTTGCTCTACTGTCCTTGCGATGTTCCATGGCATAACATTGACAAATGATAGAGGACCTGGAGCGTACCACGCTTCCTTCTGGTTAGGATTCGGATGTTTGACCAGATCGAAGTCCTGTAAAAAGTATTTGGGAAGAATTGCATTCGTATTCTTACACCACCGCATCGGAGTCATCAATGCCTCAGCTATCGAACTCTCAGTCATTGTTCTCCTAAAAAGTATGGATTACATACCGTAAGGATTGTTCGAAAGATGCCGACGGAATTGACCTGACATTTTCCCTGCCTCTGGTTTGCGCGTTCGTCTCCTTTTAGCGGTCCATTCTGGATTCAGAACTGGAGATAATGGCAGTTCTCCCGATTCTGTTTTGATAGTCTTCTTCTTCGGATCTATTTGGTTCGTGCAGGTTTTTATCCTTTCAATCTCGGATTGTATTTGCTGGAGGACTTGTTCCTGGGACTGTTTTGATCTATCGTAAGAGATCCATCGTTTTTGGCCGTCGATAGTTAACCGTGAACTCCGAAGCTGGCCTGCGCAGGCCTTGGTACACTTGTTCATCGTTTCAAGTTATCGTGGTCGACTCATCGTATATGGGGATCGTGCTTGTTCAATCGCGAAGTCTGTGGTGGAGAGAAGATGAAGCTAAATTCAGGCCGGGGTCGAATTGTTATCGATAAGACGCCGCCGAGCTACGTAAAGCTCCCCCACCACTTCCGATCGGCCCCAGTCCTCCAACATCATCATCCAGGTACCTGCTACAATGTTTCTACGACCAAGAACGTTGCGCGTTTTGCGCGGCGTGTCGCAACAGCATGTGAGAGCCTTTGGGTTCTCCAGCTCCTCTGGTCAATCACCAATGACACCACCAATGGCTAACATCCCCATGCCCTATATTGAAGAGTCGTCGGTAAAGTTACTTCTTGATGCGAGCATCATTGCGCCTCGCTAACATGTCCAGGCTGCCGGGAGGAAAACATGTCCGTTTTATGTTGTCATCTAACTTTTTACAATAAGCTGATTGGGTACAGGGGACATCTTTTCTAAGCTCTTGCAAGTAAGTGCAGGCTATTGTGCTCGTGGTTTCAAATACTAACATTGCCAGGAACGAATCATCTGCCTCAATGGCGAAGTCAACGATTACATGTCCGCTTCGATTGTTTCACAGCTTCTTTGGCTCGAGTCCGATACCCCCGAAAAGCCGATCACGATGTATATCAATTCTCCTGGTGGCTCTGTCACTTCAGGTACTGCCCCCCTCAACTACGAGTTCCTGATCGATGCTTACAACCGGTTTAGGCATGGCTATCTACGATACCATGACATACATTAAGTCGCCAGTCTCTACGGTATGCATAGGTGGCGCCGCGTCGATGGCAGCTATCCTCCTTGCAGGAGGTGAAGCTGGCAAGCGATTTTCGCTCCCTCACAGCTCAATTATGATTCATCAACCTCTCGGTGGCACTCGTGGTCAAGCATCGGATATCATGATCTACGCAAACCAGATCCAAAAGACACGAGAGCAGTCCAACAAAATCATGCAATATCATCTCAACAAAGCCAAGGGTCACGACAAGTACACGCTAGAGGAGATTAATGATTTGATGGAGCGAGACAAGTACTTGACGCCGGAAGAAGCCCTTGATTTGGGGGTCATTGACGAGATTCTAACTAAGAGAACTGAACCGGACTCAGAGAAGAAGGAGGGGCAGTCCGATGCGCCCAAGACGGACTAGGAGTGCCCCGATGTCGCGAAGGTTCCGGGTTACTTGTGGAGGGATATTTTACGCATTTCTGGATGAGCTCTTGTCCTCACGCTCCTCAGAGAGTCTCTTTTCTTTCAATCGGAGTCAGGGTTTGCACAAGAGGTGGATTATTCAGCAAAAGGTTGAGCGCCCACATACACAACGGAATCAGACCCTTCTATTGTTGAGTTGATGCTGATATCAGTGAGTTGGGTTTGATGCTTAGCGAATTGGAGCAATTTTCTTTCACAGCAGCGACGCCACTTCCAAGATTTCATTTTGACTGCAAGGCAGGATATTCATGAATGGCAAACTGAGAATTGTGACTATATACGTATTCTTGCTAGAAACTGTTGGTCAAGGAAACCCACAACAAACTGCCGCCAGCTGAAAGAAAGCTATCTACAGTATTCATATCTCCCACTAGTTGTCGATTCGGAAAACTGCGATGTCGTGCTTCTCGAGCTTGGCCTGAACAGTCCTGCCTCTTCCCTTGGCGCCAGTCAACATCTCGGTCCATGAGTAGTCTTGGTCCTTGAGTCCAGGAACCTGAGAGAGGCTGAGCTTGGTATCGAGGTTGCCCTTGCTGGCGACAATGGCGACAACTGTTCCGGATGATAGAGGTCCGGACCAGTAAGGGTAGATCTCGCCGTTGCCCTTGGTAGGGGTTCCAGGAGGGGTGAAAGGCACGGCAGGCTTTGACAGGGGGTCTTGGTTGATAGCAAGGAGGCCCTTGATAATGCTGTCAGCTTATATCTATAGTGGAGGAAAGAATGGGATGTAATTACCTTGTTTGTGATGAGCTTGACCTCGTCGCTGTTGATCTTGGTCATATCTGTTCCCAAGATGATAGGGGACTTGGTGATGGCCCAGATAGCGAAGTGCGTTCGCTCCTCAGCTGGTGTTAAAGCACCGTTGGCAAGGATCTTTATCTCTATTAGTACTCATTCTTTCGCCGATAGGCATGGGAACTGTTGCACTTACCATCATGTCAAGGTCGTTGTAGCGACCAGGCTGGGTGTACTTGAGGATAGGCGCAGCCTGGTTGGCAATGCGCACAACATCCTCCCATTTACCCCAGTTGTCGACGCTCATACGCCACATGTGTCCGACCGAAGCACCCCAGGTCCAGACCTCATCCCAGCCCCAGTTGCAAAGAGAGTAGAGGATATCCTTTCCTGTGTTGCGGAGCATGTCTCTCATCAACTCGTAACCAGGTCTAGAGCTAGGACCCTTGTCGTCAGGGCAGGTCTGAATGTCGGCTGCGTTGCCTGTGTAGCACTCTGTGTAGCAGTTGTCGTACTTCCAGTAGTCAACGCCCCAGCTTGCAAGAAGTTGGGCATCCTGCTTCTCGTGACCTTGACTTCCGGGGTAACCAGCGCAAGTCTTTACACCTCTGTCACCGTAGAGGCCGAACTTGAGACCCATGTTGTGGATCTCATCGACGACAGGCTTGATACCCCTCGGCCACTTCTTTGGGTCAGGGACAAGGTTGCCCTTCGAATCACGCTGCTTTGTAGACCAGCAATCATCGATGTTGACATATTGGTAACCGGCATCCTTCAGGCCAAGTCTGATGAAGGTCTTAGCTGTGTCAAGGGCGACCTTCTCGCTGGCTGCATTGCATTGTCCTTGGTTCTGTTCACCATGTCAGTATCATCTAGGAGCATCTTCAACTAGATCAGCTTACCCAACCATTCCATCCCAAAGCTGGAAGCTTGCCAACTTCTCGTTCTGCGAGAGTCTTGCGCTCTGGAAGGGCACTAGTCAAAGTGGCAAGAGCCACAACTCCAATAGACTGAGAGAAGAGCATTTTGAGATGAAGCTGGAAACACTTGTGAATCTGCTACTGAGAAAGTCCAAGTGTTTCTCGTTGTCAAAGGCCGTTGTCTATCTTCTTTATATACTTTTCCATAGCTCCTTTCCAAGAAAGAGCTTTGAAGTGAATGACATCTGAACTTCTGAACTACCGGCTAATATGGATGAGTACCGAAGGTTAAATTCGTATAAGTGAGAAGATCTCCACAATCCCTGTTCTCCAGGTCCGGGGAAGTCTCACATCGGAATTGATCATCAGGCCAAGATTACTATGTGCTCTCAATCAATTGGTGCGGTTGGTTGAAATACTCTTTTCGAACTTCCCCAGCTGGGGATATGCGTTTCAAACTTAATTGAGTGCCTCCGGACGTGGCGATCCGCCTAATTCGGCATCGAATGCTACCTTCCTTGTTGTTTTCACGAATATGTCATTCGATGTAGATCAAAATTGACATGGTTCTCCTCACGACAAGGCTTGATTTCTTACAAGATGATGGACTATGAGACCCAATTCGGGCGGCAGTTGACCTTTCCCGGAGTGGCTATTTTACAATGTTCCCATGATGATTTTACATAGTATAAGCGGACCAAGCATGATTGAGTAGTGGTCATGTTCACCGCAAAGCTACCCTAGGGAACTCCCTTACAAGTTATAATATCGACAGGGGTTAACACGAAGAAGACGCTTGAGGCGATAGAATGGACGTGAAATATATAGTAACACGGCGCAGTATTTGCTTGTAACATAAGAAAGGGCCGATAATGTTTCCATAGACTATGCTCCAGATAACTGGTCCAGTAACACGGATTACATAGATTCACGTTGGTTTCCAGTTCGATACGGCCTTGAGAAAAGTGTCCTAAATAGGTCGTGGTGGCATGAAGCAAAAGTCCCAGGTGAACATGGACGTAATCTCTATACAGATTCGGAATTACTAGAAGTTCAAACCGAGATTAGTTGTTCGGACTTTAGTCGAGGCTGTTGTTGGGGCCGAGACTTACACAGCTTGAAACAGGTCTGGGGTAAGTTGCTTGTCAGGAATTAAGAACGAGAGTCCAAGCGTAACTACCCACAATGAAGGCTGTTTATCCAAATAAATGGAATCATATACATTAGGAAGGGCTTGAAAATCTTAGAATCTGATACAATACAGCAAACCTATAGTTATACAGAAGAATCCTGTGTACATGGATGTCTTGATACTGCAATAACGTCATACATCAGGCATTTATTTCGAGAATGCAAATCTATTAGTAAATCTTTCTTCTGACTCTATCTTAAGATAAGTAGCACAGTAATGAATTCGCGCATTGCTTTTTATTCCCTAAATTGGCCATTGAACATGTTCTCCAAGCATTCAGCTGAAGCCTCTCATAGCATTTCCCGAGCAGCTCGGCATTCCAGCGGTTTGACGTCAGATCCCAGATTCCCTTCTAAAGCCCCACTAAAAATGCCCCGCGTGTGCCCCTCCATGATGCGGCGGTAGAATGTTCGGAAGAACCCTTCAAGATCGCGACTTCCCGACGATCGATCATTAGACAAAAAAAAAGTTGACCTCTCTTTTTTACAATTCATAGCAGAAGTAATTCAAGATGGAGCACGACACCAAGACCCGTATGTGCTTCCCGACTCCACGATCGAACACGACTGACTCTGACTCCGCCGACAGCCCAATACCGAACTAGCGATCCTACCTCGTTTGCTAGCGAGTCTGTTAAGAAGCGATGGCCTGTCATTCTGGTGAGATGAAGAATATGCCTCATAGAAACGACTGCTGACGATGGTATAGACTCAAGGAATTGACGATGTCTACCGTGCAGTTACCAAGACCTCCGACTCCGAGAAGCTAGCAGAGGGCAAGAAGATTATCGAGAAGATGGCTGGCCTCAAGTACGAAGTCGAACACGACCGCAAGCTCACGTATGAGGCACCTATACATCCCTAGAAGGACTTTCGACTAACTTCTTCAGTCCGATCCCTGACGATGGCTTCACGGAAGAGATTGCGACCTACAATAAGGAGATTGAGGCTCTCGGCCCTGATGCTCACTGGTACGATGTGCCATGGCTCTTTGTCGAGTGCTATCTATATAGGTAAGAAGCAGAGGGAAAACAAGAAGACAAGGATACTCACACATCGCAGGCGAATTAGCGCCATCTTCCGCATGAGCGAGCACTGGAAGAACTATGACATTTTCGCTCGACAGAAGATGGACACCTTCCGATCATCGCGACCCGCCGTCCTCGAGCTCGCCAGTAACTATAGACAATTGGTCCAGCAACTTCGCAGCGACAAAGACTCGACACACGACCCTGAAGCCGAGAAGATGCTTTTCCAAGAGATGTTTGAGATCTGCTTGTGGGGTAATGCGACGGATTTATCACTACTCACCAACTTGACTTATGAGGATATTCAAAAGCTACAGGGTGCTGAGGCGCGTAAAGCGGCCGAGAAGAACATCTTGTGCAATGATCTCCCCAAGGCATACGAGATCCTCAAGAAGGCGCAGAGTGAGGGTAAGAAAGAGCGCCGTGTCGATATCGTTCTCGATAACGCTGGTTTCGAGCTGTATGTCGACATGATCCTGGCCGGGTACCTTCTCTCGGCCGGTCTCGCTACCCAGGTCGTTCTGCGACCTAAGTCTATCCCCTGGTTCGTCTCCGATGTTGTGCCCAGCGATTTTAGCGGCCTCCTGAACGCTGTCGCCAACCCTCGCGCACTGTACGACACCCCGTCAGAGGATGAGGAGCTTCAAGGCAAGAAGCCTGAGCCTCTTTCCGAAGAGGGTGAGAAAGACCTCCATTTCCTCTTCCAGGAGTGGGCTACTTTCCACGCTGAAGGACAACTTGCTCTCCGACCCAACCGATACTGGACTTATGGTGGAAGCTTCTGGCGGTTGCCCGCCGAGAACCCCGAGTTGCATGAGGACCTCAAGTCTGCGGAGCTTGTAATCTTCAAGGGTGATCTGAACTACCGAAAGCTCACAGCCGATGTAAGCTACCCCCGCGAATACATGAATTACAGTACTAACATTGCCCAGGCTGCTTGGCCCCCTACCACACCTTTCACCGAGGCTCTGGGTCCTCTCGGCCCTTCTTCGGGCGTCAATGTCCTGTCTCTGAGAACCTGTAAGGCCGATGTTGTTGTTGGACTTCCTGAGGGTAAGGATGAGGAGTTGAGACAACTTGAGGGTGGCGGCGGTGATTCAGGTGCCAGGAAATGGGCCTGGAATGGCAAATGGGCAGTTGTCAACCTTTCTCAAGGCCATTAAGCAAGTTTATTCAAATGCCTTTTTGTTTATATGATTATGATAGATTTGATTAGACTTACAAAATATATTGTAGAGAGAGTTTTGGGAAATTTTGATATTCTGAAGTCCGGGGGAAATGGGTGGGCAGACGTACAAACGCAAGTTTTGAAAGGGTGCACACGCTAAAACCATTACACAAACCGATTGTTATCGAAGGCGGTTGACCTTTTTATAACGAGCAAGTTTTTATTGAGTACCTAAAGCTTAAGAGGTATAATAAAGTTCAACAGAGAAGAGTAGCTCTTTCGGTAGCAAATGACACTGTTGACTCTCCTTGGTCTGTTCATGACCAGCAGATAACTCCGGCAGCAATCTTAACCACCAAGCACTATGCCACTTTGAACCCACGAATAAAGCGCCGCATCATCAATCACAAGACCCCTAGATTCCATCAATCGTATTTTACGTTGATTTTCTCGCTTGCTCGGCTTGTTTCTTTTTGTTCTCGGCAGCTTCCGACTCCTTTCGCTCTCGCTTCGCTTCTATCTGTGCGACGATATCGGCGTGAATGGAGTTGGGCGTACGGGCACCACTGTTTCGAACACGATCCTATTCCAGCTATTAGATATATCCTTACGAAAGGATGTGATACTTGAGTTCAAGTACTTGTTCAGGTCCAAGACGTCCATCGTGGTAGGGGTGTTCGCACCCCTCGGCGTTGGGCCGTGCGGCGAAACACTCATGTGCCGAGACTAAAGAATGGGCAGCTATTATGACAACTTAGTATGAGCTGGTAAAAGAAGATTTAGAGGGAGAGGGAAACGAACGGTTTGTTGTGCCTTGAAGAGGACCTTCGCCTTTAGCAGTAGGGGAAACAGCTTCCCACTGGTCGAAAACTTCTTTGGTGGGCATTTTGGAATCAATCTTTGAGAAAAGCTTGGAGTGTTAGGGTGATCAAGTTCGGATAGGTAGTTGAAGGTGTTGGTCATAGGTGTCTTGGTTAAGTTGTAAAGGAAGACGGGGGCAGACTTGAAGTGAAGGCAATGTCTAACCTTTGGCTGAACATTTTGACGTCACTTGGATGCAAAAGGTTCATAGAGTGCATCAAGTCATGTGTCTTTCATCCATCGCGGTTGCATTTGTACAACAGAAAGTTGAGGTAAGAGATAATTGTGGAAGCTTATTGGAGCTTTATAAGTCAGAAACTTTGGTTGGGAACGGCAGTGACGCCAGTCGGGAGACGAAACAGACCGGACCAGAATTATGTTCAAATGGCATAAACGTTTCCACCCTGTCATTAAACGAGTTATTGTGATGTAGGAACTGTCAACCTAGCGATGAACTACGTGAACTGCTATCTGGTGGTATAAGTCGAATCTGTACCGACAGCTTGGATCGCGCCAAAGGTGACAGAAAAGCCTAGAGTGCCCACTAAACATTGACGAGACTTAGGACGAAGCAAAGTACTGGAAACACACGTATGAATATTGTCAAGAAAGTCAATTTTCTTTTCAAATCAAACTAATTCCTTTCATCTCATCCGTATATGCTAACATAGAGATATGAATCACTGTCTTGAGTGTGTACCTACCTACCTAGTTTAAGAGGTTGGGGTAAATGTGGACTTTTTGTCACTTGATCGTGGTTCCTGATTTTCGGGAAGGCGCCCCGCAAATGAACTTCTCCCGCATCAGGTGACAGACGGTCTTAGCTTCTTCAACTTGTATTATACAACTTCATGTTTCTGCAGTTAATTGCTTGGTATTACCAGCGTTGGTTTTACGCGGTACGGATGCCGGCGATAAGTTATGAATAGCGAAAGACCTCTCATTCCACGCCTTTCAAGCGGTGTGACTTCCCAGAGCCAAAACCATGGTACTTCAAGTACACGCCATACAGCTTCGGCAAGGAGGCAGATCCGCTCACGCGATGGATGCTTAACATGCAAGTACGTACAAGAAACCTCATCAATATTCGTCTCTAATCTTTATGCAGGAGGCGGAAAGTCAAATGTGACGAGCAGAGACCTAGATGTTCACATTGTGAAAGACTCAATATGGAGTGCAAGTGGCGTCCCCAGCAACGTCCAGGAGTCCAAAGAAGACAAGCCTCCACCGCTGAATCACTTTCACAAACTCTGGAACAAAGTTTGTCACCAACGGATACATCGCCGGGAACGTCCGTGTTCCAATCGGGTCATGCAGTGGACGAAGTATTCGATTATGCAAGTTTCATGTGGGATTATGGGGACTTTTGGCAACAAGCTTCACCTGAAATGCACCAGAATCAGGGGTTTGAGGCACCCATGCTGGTAGGCTTAACGATCATGGTGTAAAAGCCCCAAACGGACCACGATAGTTTACTGACACAAAACAGACTGCTCAATCGCAGGTTGCATTCCCGGACAGGACGACGTTAGCAACATCATTTCAAGCACCCTCAACAATACACAGCAATGATAGCCGGGGGACCGATGCTAGGGACGGCAGCGAAAAACTGATGGATTTCTTTGCCAGCTCTGTCAATCCGCCTATCATTGCCGAAGTTGAGACCCAAAAGAAATGGATTTCGATGCGACAAATTGTCATCGGAATGGCCAACGTCTCCCCTATGGTTCGTCACGCAATCATGGCCTTTTCGAACCTTCTACTTTCTAGGAAAGATGGAAACTGGACTATGAGCGACGAAGACCATTACCAGCAAGGTGTTACGGAAATTAGAAGCCATGATGGCGTGTCCATGTCCGAACACACCCGTGAACGCGAACACCTCCTTGCCGCCCTATTCTTTCTCAGTTATATCGATATTCTGGAGAGTCGTCTTGATGCTGCCCACTCGAACCTGAAGCGTGCTTACACACTCTTCCAAGCGAGTAATAAGCACGGGTTGACACAAGTGGAAAAGCAGTTGCTCCTCTGGATACGGTTACTCGATGGTCGGGCGGTATCGGCGGGTGGTGACGGTCTGTTTCTGACCAAAGACGACGAAGTTCTTCTCGTAGAAGCTTCTCCCGCAAGCTTCGATGGGGAGCCTGACGACGTTTCGAGAAATGACCCCGCGGAAGATATCGAGGACGTGCTCTTCCAGGTGCTATATCAGCCTGGCGTTGTGTTTTACCAAAAAGTTCAAAGCTTTATGGGCAGGATATCCAAGATCGATCCATGGCATCGATCGCGAGGTACGGTTGAGGACGAAATCGAGGTTATGAATATCGGTACCGTCATAGCGGCTGATCTACGTACGCTGTATGAACATCGACCGCCGCTGATGGACTATGCCGTCGCAGGCAAGTTGACGCAACCTCATGTCTCGAAACACCTAGCCTTTGTCATCACACGAGCTTTCCGAACATACCTGTCGAACTATTACGCCAGCAAGGTTCATCTTCATCGTGTAGCCTACAAGAGTCTACCTCTGACAAAAGAGGCATCCGAAGCTCTGGACCAGATCCGAAAGCTCGCTCGGCAAATTGTAGCTGCATTGGATGCCGACGATACACTCCCAATCAATATGCTATGGCCTCTTTTGATGCTAGGCGTGGAAGAGCAAGACGCTAGCGAAAAGGCTTGGATTAGAACGCAGATTCTCAGAATGGAGAAAGTTGCTGGCAACGCACGCATCACGGCGCAAGTACTGGAAGAGGTCCAGGCTCGGCAAGATGCGGCCAAGGCACGCATGGACATCCGGTCTGTAATGCATGAGGTCTTCAATTCGAGTTTTGCCATCGTCTGAGGTCAGGTTGAGGTCGGCTTCCGACGGCTCGCTTCATCATGGTAGTTTGTGGACATGATTTCCGCGAAATCGGGGACCGTTCGTCAGGCACTCCCTAACTTACAATACTAATTGTCTTGGCTCTTGACAGGCGAACTAGTGACTTGGCTGAAGCGTCGTACCCTTGATGAATGTCACACGAGTGGTCGCTGTTATTCTTGACTCTCTGCTTTAACGGTCGGATCGAGGCCCCACCCACACTTGTCGAGCCGATCGGATGTGGTGATCTCCAACTCCCCCGCACGAAGCTAAAGTGGATGAAAGCTGGGGATGACCTCTAATGCACTTACACGACAAATGTCGAAGCGACCAGCGAATCGCAGCGCCCAGAACGTGCCATGAAGCCACTGAACCGACGAAGCCGATGGAGGTGCAGCGGAGACTAACCCCCACTAGGCCAGCGTCATGCTTGGAACAAAACCCTTGGACTAGCTCCTCACTGATCTTGCGACAATCCTCAATCTTTGCTCCAACTCTGTCTCTTTTGGCACCAATACTTTCATCATCGTCACACCAAGAACAACAAATTTACTTCTTATTCATTCAATATGGGTTCAATCTCGACACAAGGAAAGGCCTTCCCACCTGGCATCCATGTCCCTTCTTTGACTTGGTTTCAGAATGATGCCAACCAAGAGATCGACTGGGACCAGCAGAGTCGCCATATCGAGTTCCTGATCAAGTCTGGTCTTGATGGCGGTATGTACATTGATCAGGTCTTTTTGATCTGAACTAATAATTTACAGTCGTCATTGCGGGAACAAATGGAGAGGCGGTTACGTTATCAGCAGACGAGAAATCACGACTAGTTCGAACAACACGAGAGATCGCAGTATCTTGCGGTCGACCCGATATTACAATCACAATGGGAACCTCCTCACAAACAACAAGAGACGCAATCAACGAGACAAAGCTGGCAAAGGAGGCCGGCGCTGACTTTGTGCTTGTCTTGACACCCAGTTACTTCCACTTCGCTATGTCACAAGATGCCATCGTCGCATTCTTCGAAGAACTCGCCGACAACAGTCCTGTCCCTGTTGTTATCTATAACTTCCCCGGCGTTGTAGCTGGTCTCGATGTTAACTCTGAGATGCTCGAGCGTCTTGCTAAGCACCCCAACATCGTTGGTGTGAAGCTCACATGCGGTGGTATCGCAAAGGTCGCCCGCGTGGCAGCCCAGTTCAAGCCTGAGGAGTTCACTGCCCTCGCTGGTCAGAGTGACTGGCTTGTGCCTGCCCTATCTGTTGGTGCCACAGGTGCTGTCACTGGTGTTGCGAACTTGTATCCTAAGACTTGCCTACGCATCTTCGACTTGTACATGGCAGGCAAGACAAAGGAAGCTGAAGCTGCACAGCTTGAGCTGGCTAAGATGGAATGGGGATTTGCCAAGGGCGGTATCAACGGTACCAAGTGGGTTGTGGCCAAACTTCTGGGATACCCTGACGGCAGCTGCCATTGCAGAAAGCCTTACCCTCAGTATGTCGATGAGAGCAAGCAGGAGTGGATTCACAAGGTGGTTGAGCCTCTCTCAAATGTTGAGAAGAGCCTCGGTAAGAGGGGATCTGACATTTAGACAACCTTGACGAATTTGAAGCTATTTGACTATATTATATAACATTTCATGTTAATTTTCACAATGACTCTTTCTTGTCTGCTGCTGTTTTGACAAGTCACTCACTCAGGACAATTTATTGATTCTGATCTCACAAACGTGAATAACTACGACTCTACAGAATATGTATTGCAACATCGAAACGAATTCGATCGGAGGGCTATTCAAAATGCCCAAACAGGTCGGTCAAGTCTGCCAACAAAGGAAATACCTCCGCCTGAGATCATGATGCAACGTCAAATATTCGGAGCCATCTGGTATGATACCACTTGTTGGGGATCCATATGCATCGATGCAGTATGTTCCGATCTTGGCTTCTCGCTCCAATTCCGCATGCTATTGTCTTGAATTAAAACTCAGGCCATCATAAGCGAAGAAAATATGGAGGTCATGAGATTCAATATCATGGTTTTCTTCTTAGCAAAAAGATCTAGTTCCGCTATAAGTTACCGTTAGCCAAGCCATAATATTTCCCCGCATCGGCAAACCATAACTGTCCAATCGCCTCTTCCCCTCGCATCGGCTCGCCTGTCGGATCCTTTCTCCAAGAAAAGCATCTCCCATGAACCCTGCATCTTGTATGCACAACAGCCATGACTCGTGAGCAAGAGAAGGAAAAAACATGTTTGTGATGACTCTCTTTCTCCACACAATCCCCAGGTTTCCGTTTCCCCACGCCCCCGGATTTGTCAATTGGAGAGATTATGCTTTAAATACCGGTTCTTATCCTGGATGATCCTTCTGAAAAGGCATTGAGATATCCAGCAGACTGGTTCCACAGGGTTTCTTCTTATCTTTTAATGTCTACTTGAGCAATTTGCTTAACTTCAAGTGATATTTCTACTTGGTTATACAGACAAAATCATCATGGGTGGTTTTCGCGCTGTTGAAGATCGGCCTACGCCAAAGGAAGTTTACAATTGGCGTCTTTACACCGAGGCAGCAGTTATTGCTACAGGATCTTTGCTGTAAGCTCGGCACTGAGAATTCCAAGTTCATGTTACTAATAAGACTCTAGGTTTGGTTATGATTCCGCCTTCGTTGGCACTACAATCGCTCGTGAGAGCTTCAAGCGTGATTTTAACATTCAGCCTAGCGACCAGGCTGATATCTCATCGAACATCACTGCGACATTCCAGGCTGGTGCCTTTTTCGGTGCTATTATCTGCTTTCTGAGTATGTTTATATCAAGGGACATTTGAAGGTGAAATCGCTAATGGCTCGGGCAGTTACTGAGAAGATTGGACGAAAATGGGCCCTCCAGGCTAATGTTGTCATTTTCCTTGTTGGTGCCATCCTTATGACAGCCGCTACTCATCAATTATCCTATATCTGTAAGTCACTCTTCCAAAAAGGATTCATATATAGTCGTATCTAACAGCTTCAGACGCTGGTCGTGCTCTCACAGGAATCGCATGCGGAGCCATCACGGCTACAGTGCCCAGTTACATCGCCGAGCTTTCCATCGTTTCCATCCGTGGCATCCTCACAGGTCTCTTCGAAGTCACATACCAAACTGGATCCTTGATCGGCTTTTGGATCAACTACGGCATCAACCAGAACATGAACCCAAACTCTACTGCGGCATGGCGTGTTCCCATGGCTGTCCAAATCGCCCCCGCCGGTATTCTTTTCATCGGTGGCTTCTTCTTGCACGAGAGTCCTCTTTGGTTGATGCGCAAGAACCGCGAGGAAGAGGCTACCCAGGCCCTGGAGAGTCTCCGCCAGATTCCTCGAGACCACAAGTATCTCCAGGAGGATTTGGATATGATTCGCAAGCGTCTCGCCGATGAGGCCCGCGTTGCTAGTCGGTTTGGAACTGGACCTTGGGCTCTTTTCCGAGGTGCTATTTCTGAGCTTACCAAGAAGGGAATGCGAAACCGTGTCTTGCTCGTTTTCTGCTCTTTCGCTCTGCAGAACATGTCCGGTGCTGCTGGTAAGCTCAAGATATTCTTGTCGTGGGAGTAACTATGCTAAGCAACTTTTAGCCATCAACTACTACTCGCCCACTCTTTTCGGATCTCTGGGTATCCAGGATGTTGCTCTGTATACCGGAATTTACGGTCTCGTCAAGGGTATGTTCAACTAACCTCTGTTCACTGTGTCTCTGCTAAGTGTGGTAGCTGTCGCGTCCATCATCTTTTATGGTGCCCTTATCGACATGTGGGGACGACGAAACCCTACGATCATCTCTTCTGCCATGTGCTCTGTTTGTCTTTGGATCGTCGGTGCTTATGTCAAGATTGGACATCCCGCTACCATCATTGCCGAGGGCAAGGAGCTTTCCCCGTCGACTGCTGCTGGTGGCAAGGCTGCCACTGCCATGATTATGATCTACTCTGTCTTGTACGTTTTTGTCTGATATGAAACAAAGAACAGCATGCTGACTTGTTCTAGCTGGTCTTTCGGTCTTAACGGTATCCCTTGGATTGTCTCTGCCGAAATCTTCCCTGGTGCTCTCCGCACTTTGACAGGTACATACGCAGCCTGCGTTCAATGGTAGGACTACTCGATCACTCTTTTCTAACAAGAACTAACTCTCCCCAGGCTTACTCAATTCGCCATCACCAAGGCTCTTCCCTACATCTTCAAATCCTTCGGCTACGGAACATGGTTCTTCTTCGCATGCTGGATGATCACTGCCACTGTTTGGGCCTTCTTCTTCCTCCCCGAGACCAAGGGCAAGACCCTCGAAGAGATGGATATCATGTTTGGTTACATGCACGACAGAGCACCTGCCGAGAGCGATGATATGGGTGGCAAGCTTGGTGCACGTGCATCGGTGACTGAGCACAAGGAGGATAATGTTTGAAGATATTAGATATTTATGTATAGTTTATCCAAGGACATTGTTGCCCTTCGCATGAGTCCAAATGGATAGGGCAACAATTAAACCGTGCCTTGAAGTCGGCACAATAATATACCAAGTACTGAAGCTACTCTCTGGACTGCATAGCCTAGCCCAATAATAACTACCAATTCCATTTAAAGCATCATCGCCAATCCCATGCACCTAACTAATGACATAATCATGCACATTTCTACTAAAAGTTTCTTTGTTATTGGCGGCACTGCCGTGTCTATTTTGGGCATCTTCAATGTGCATATATACGGTGTAATACCCCTGCCAAGGGAACAAAGAACAAAGAAAGAGATGTCGTTCTGAAACGTAGACCAAGATATGTATGAGTTTATTTCATGTTGGATGTTCGTTTCATGTTTTAGTGTGTCTTTCGTCTATTAAAAGAATTTGTGGCGTGTGCAGGAGGTTGGTGATGAATAGATGTTCATGTAAGTGAGGTTATATAAGAGAGCGAAACAACGATCTTGTACGATTCGAAATACTCTAATTATACAAAAACTCTTCAATATACGATTAATATATAATCTCACTTAATTTTATCTGAACTCCAATACAGTCGAGTTCCCTTACAAGCGGCGGCCAACATGCAGACTATCAACCCATCATTTCTGATGCAAGGAGCATCCAACGCTCCTCCCGCTTCAAACAGACCCTCCAACCCATCGACTGCAAGTCGATTTGCTACTACAGCTCAGCAACCTCCATCCTCGCACTCCCCATACCGTCATATGAGAGGGCAAGGGGTTTGGATGGGAAGTGTCGGCTTCACAACTCGTTTTACCAGAGATACCATGGGGTATAATCGAGCACCACCAGAAATACAATCTATAACTCACGAGTCTGAACCTCTCCAACCCCTGTTCGGCAGACAGACGCATGTATTGCCACTACCAGAACCTTCGAGGGAGATTCCCCAGGTGCAACACAGGAACAGGTTGGGAGGTGATATGGAATGGGTACTTGGACAACAGCAGTCAAGTCAACCGCAGACAAGGACGATTCAACATTATAATTTACCGAGAATCAATACATGCACCGGCGAGCAAAGATGGGCCAATCAAAGGTTTTATATCACCACTGGTTATAGGCAGGCCGGAACGAGTCGGTAAAGAAGTTCAAGACAGGCATATCAGTATTGATCCGAATTGGAGCTCAGCATAATAGACTAGGGGTATAGATCTCATAAGTACATAATTCATAACTCATCTTAGCGGTTCTCAACTTTTTCATGTCCCTGTACCTGAACAACACTTACACCAGAGTGACTCTGTGCTTCAGCAAAAGGTTGCTTCTTCCAGTGTCGGGCAGGAATACCGTCTCGAAAGAAGCCATTAATCTCCTCGATGCTGCGGCCTGTGACTTCACCAACGCAAAAGTACACATAAGACAATGTGACGAAGCATAGTCCCGTGTATACAAAACCTGTCTTTGGACCAAGATCCGCCGAGTAGTATAGATAGGGCAGAGTAAAGACTGTGGCCCAGACAGTGACCCAAAATGAAGCGACAGCAACTGCATAGATCTTGTTGCGGTTTCTCCCAACTGCCATTTCAGAAGCCTAGAATTATGTTAGAGGGTGATTTCCTCTGAGGAGAGAAGACTTACAATGGTCCAGCCAAGAGGTCCCCAAGCAAAGTTAAAGGCCACAATCTCAATAATAACAAAACTTATAATCACCTTTCCAAAAGTCTCACTCGGTTGCCCACCAGGGATACCCAAACATCCCACTACAAAAATAGACACAGTCATGATACCCGTAGTCACTATCAAAAGCGGCCGCCGAGGCAGCTTGTTAGCCAGTAAGACAGCCGCAAAAACAACAAAAACTTGAATGACAAAGACAATGAGAGTCATTAGAAAGGGGTCTCGGAGACCAATTGCCTTGGAGAAGACGGTGCCGAAATAGTAGAACCATTGGATGCCGTTGATTTGCTGGGCGATCAGAGCGCCGGCGCTGTAGATCACTTTGCGACGCTCCACGGGGTCGGTAATTAGTTGCATCCATGCGCTCTCTACCTCTTCGGAGCTTTCTTGCGCTAGATCCTTTTCGATGTTTTGAATCACGGCTTGGCAGTCGTAATGCTTGTCTTCATGGTGAAGTAAACTCAAAGACCGCATGGCTTTAGCATGGTGTCCACGGCGCAACAACCATCGCGGTGATTCTGGTAACCATGTGATTCCGAGTAACAGTATCAGTGGAAATATCAATTGGAATCCAATTGGAAATCGGTAGGCAAAAGTCGTGTTGTTGTGGACGACTCCTCGGTTAATAGCAGCTGCGATGATCTGCGATATAGACAGGACAAGCTGCCAGCACATAAGAAGAGGACTTCTCAACCCTTCAGGTGCGATCTCCTACAAAGAATTATCACTTATAAGCAAACCGAACACCTTCACACATGTCAACATATAAAAGAGGCAGACATACTCCCATGTACAGAGGCGATGTAACAGAAAAGTTACCCACGCCAAAGCCCGCAATGGCTCTCCCAGCTGTAATGAGAGCACGGCTTGAAGTGGTGCAGAGCTGCATGACAACACCAACGATAACAGCAATAGTGCCGCTGATTATAGCGCCTTTTCGGCCGAACTGATCGTTGATAGGAGCTGCTAAGAGAGACCCTATCAACTCGCCCACGTTGATCATACTTGTCATGACGGCCAAGTTGGAGGGTGTAATCTCGTATTCTTCGCCATTAGAACCAGACACTGGCGTTCCAAAGTCGCGTACAAAGACATCTTTGATGAGTGTCAGTCAACTAGATCAAGATTAGGATAGAGCAGAGCATCAAACATACCGAGAGTAGAAACTCCGGTAAAGTAAACACCCTCGTACCCATACAGACAAGCTCCCAGTGCCGCAAAGCTACAGCAGAGCCAGACATAGGGATGTTTAATTCCGGCAAGCATCGTTCTGACTCTGACTCTGAATCCGGAGGTAAGCTCAGGCTCTCTGATTCAGTTGACTCGATTTCTTGCTTTCTTGTTATTTCTCCGCGGGGAATAGAATAGAAGACCGCGCGTTACAATACAGGGCTGAAGGGGATGGCTGCTCCTCGTTCTTGGTTTCACGGCAAAAGCTTTCTGGGTTTAGTATAAGGTTAGTACAGTCGAGTAGGCTGGGGGCCCTTGACCTGGGGGAGGAGATTGCGAAGGCGGTTCCGATGCAGTAGATTGATTAGTGAGTGGATCAAGGCGGATAACAGTTATCCATGAATTGGATACCTAGGATAGGATAGGGCAGGTAGTTAATTAGGAGAAGAAAAGAAAGAAGAGAGAGAGTGACGTTTTGAGAGGAGGAGAAAAGCTCCGGAAAGAATACAACGTCACATACGCACGTTGACTGTATATGCTGTTGGTTACTGTATGTTATGTACGTGCGTAACGACTTGCATGTAATAGATCACAATGACTGAATAACTGAAAACTTGTGTGTTTCTTTTCATGATGATCCAACAGAAGTTCCTCTGTATGTCCCTTCTCAAGCACCAACAATCTCCCTTTCACACTACTCTGTCAATCATTCATTCCAGAACATGATCTCTTATCAGCCTCATTCAAAGTCTTAAGTTTGGTTAATAAGGAATGTGTTGACTACGTAGGATCAGGCTTAGAAAAAGACGGGACTTGGGCATTCATCTCTCACATTGGAAACTTGAACTAAACCCACGCAAGTTAGGATCTTCAAAATAAAGTTTGAATCGAGTCTTCAGACTTAACTAGAAGAGGAAGCGCCGCGCCATGGTCGTGCCGGGGCTTTTCTCAAAAGGGACCTTTTAGGACCCTGTTGCCGACCGACGCGACCCAGCCATGGTAGCAGTAGTATTATTCCATGCCAACTTCTCTTCTTTTTCCCCATTCTCAATCAACACTGTTTCTTTTTCTCAGAGTTCTTCAACCCTTGCTCAATTCGGTCATGATCTTCTGATTATGATCCAGATGATCAAGACACAGAGAGTCAGAGTCAGGTTGCAGGAGTCAACCCTCCTACGCCTGGACCATCTTCATGATTCGAGCGACTCCATCCCATAACTCACTCATTTCTAAAGCTTCGACCATATACATAACAAGAGACATTGCCAAGGTTTCTTCCAAAATGGATATAATTAGAAGACGTTGCTGTGCTTTACTATCCTTCTTATCTTATACTAACAAGCAGTGCCGGACCTTGATATAATCAGACCATTCCTCACCCACTCATTCACTATTACTCACTGTCCATGTTCAACTAGTTACAGTATTCATTATTGCTTACTTCTTTTAATTACTTACGGTACAACACATTACATACAAAGCTACAACTATGCGATCCGTCCTTCCAGTCCCAACTCCACCACCCGAATTATGTCCCTACTCCCGCGCTTCAGTCAATCAAGCATCGGCCGATGTCATTCCCCTGCTCGTTGACGATACATACCACGTCTTCCACCTCAGCACACCACCTTCAACAAAGCACCATCCACAACGTTTGAGGACAACATGGTCACGCCTGCGATCAACAAACCTCCTCGAATGGGAAAGAGATCCGCAGCCTGTGATATCGCCAGGACAGTCAAGTACCGACCCAGATGCCGACGGCGCCTGGACGGGATGCGCCGTGCTCGATCTGGACCAAAGCATGAATATCTTTTATACCGGATACAATCTGTCGCAAAACGGCCGCCAAACAATTCTTCGTACCAAAGCTTCAGATCGTCATGGTACGAGATTCGACCCGACATCAACACCCATTACTATTGTCGGAGATGGGTTGAAGAAATTTGAAGATATCGACTTTCGCGATCCTTTTGTCTTTTACAACCGTGCCGAAGGTCGATATTGGATGCTTGTCGCTACTCGCTTGGCAAACGGCCCATATTGGAGTCGTGGATGCATCGCCTTATTGACTTCTCCGGATCTCGAGTCCTGGACAGTAGCCCCTGAGCCTTTATACGCACCCAACGACATCTTCTGTCCCGAATGCCCAGAGTTGTTCACCCTGCCCAACGGAAAGTGGTATTTGGTATACTCACGTTTCCACGCACCAAATGCAGGAACAGTGTATCGCATGGCCGACACACCATATGGACCTTTCCGCGTCCCACGAGATGGTTCTCATGGACGTCTAGACGGTCGCCGATGGTATGCAGCCAAGTCATGTCCAAAAGCCGGGAACCCTGGCAAAAGGATCTGCTTTGGCTGGATTGGAGACTATGCGGCCGACGAGAAGAAGTGGCTCTGGGGAGGTGATCTCGGCATCACGAGAGTCATGTGGGCAGACACAAACGCTTGTCTGCGCATCGACGCTTCCCAAGAATTTCGAAGTTATATCTGGCGAACTTCAAGGCCTGTTTCGCCGGGAGACGCTGCTCCTAGCTTGTACCTGTGTTCTCTCGGAACAACAGCGACGCATTTCCCTGAGCTAGGAGCCGCAGAGTGGAAGCGGCATCTCATGGTGGACTTCAAGGTCGCAGCATGCGATGCTCACACTTTTGGAGTGATGTTGCATGTCGATAGATCTGGAAAATGCCATCGTCTGCAGTTTATTCCTCAGGGCAATGGCTTGTTTTCTGTCATACTCATGACTGATTTCCCTCCCCTCGACGATTTCTGGGCAGACCAGTATAAAATGTACATCCCACGACCTGTCGACGGACCTGAACTGGTGCGACATGATAATGTCAGCCTTGTCGATGGTGTCTTCCTGTTCTTGAGGGGTCAAATCGTGGAAGTCTTTTGCGGAGGGCGAGCACTGAGCTTTCGACTACCTGAACCGCCCAACTGGGCAGACAGCGAGCGCGATGGCGTCCGCAGGTTAGGGTGGTACGTGGAAGATGGCATGGTTGATTTAGTTGACATTAATATGCGTCATTCCATGAGCAAGGAAGATGGTTTAGCCGAGTTGGACAATCTCGAAGACGCCGAGTAGTTCATCTATCAACCTTCCATCGTCACAAGATCATCCTCATTATGACTTCCTTCATCCTAACTCTTCCTGCGGCATCATAGGATTCTGCTGGATAACCAACCCACTGAGAAGATCATACGGACCTGATGCACCAGCTGCCAGGTCCCAGTCGCCAAAATCAGTGTATTCATATACATCTGATGAATAATGGCCCATCATTGGGCTAACTTTGTCATTAAGCGGTTCGTTTATATTGACCGCGAGAGAATGCTCGAGACCGCGCAATATGGCGCCTTCGAGACGGTTTACAGCGTATTGCATTGGTTGATGACTTTTGCTCATCATGCGAAGATTCCAGAGGTACGAGTTTAAAGTTTCTTGCCAGAAATGTTGCTCCTGGGAAGACAATGAGGTGACGAGAAGTAAGGTGGTAAAGGAGCCGAGGAGCGAGAAGAGGTAGGGTGATGTAAAGTACCAGAAAGCCTCGAGATGATCGGGCCTCAAACTTATCACGAAGCTTATTGCGCTTTGGGCAGTTTGGAGGGCGATCTGGCGAATGCTGGAGAGCACGCGATCGTCGGAACAGCGTGGAGGGAGGGCTGTAGAGCGGATTAGGCGACGCAGGAGTGTCATTACCACACCATAGTAGGAGAAGTGCAAATAGCCGTGGAAGCACAGCTTGCGCTGGTAGATGACATTCATCTGCAGCGTTGGTGGGATGCTATGGTACCAACTCGTCAGCATGTCAAAGAGCGGCCGGGCTTTCTCGAAGAGTATCACCGTGTCCTGCTCTCGGCACGTGCGAGCTGTGTAAAAGGTCGAGTAGACAACTGATAGAATCTGCGTCAACCGCACCATCTGTATATACTGCGTCATGCCAGTGTAAGCAATCGATCTCCGATCGTCGTCCGAGCCAGAGACAGAAACCGAACTAGAGACAGATCCAGAAGTTGAGGGAGCGGTAGGAGCGTCGTTTTCAAAATCCGAAAAATCAGCCGGAGTGAGATCGCCCACTGTCCAGTCATCGTCGTGAATATGTACAGGTCGTCCATAAGCCAATGCAGTCCAGCGGTCCTGCATGAATAGCGCCCAGCTCAGACGCTTACGAACGTTGCGTTCCCATTGGGGAATAGTCCAGTTGCTGGCATCGAGGTGAAGCCCAAGGCACTGACCGATAGCAAGCGCTTGGCAGGTGAGACCCCATTGGAAGGTATGGTCAGGGTTGAGGGGGTCTTCAGGCTGGCACTGGAGTAGAAGCAGGGCGGCCTGGATAGAACTGAGCTTTGGGCGGTGGTATGACGCCGGGATGGCCGTCCGCAGCATCCTGCGGAGGAGGGCGGCGTCCGGGGGACTTCTGATGGAGAGTTCAGGGTCGTAGGTCCACCAGCGAATGGCGGAGAGGTAGATGGCCCCGAGAAGGGCCGCGGGGATGCGACGGTAAGACTGGTTGTAGGCAAGGGTGAAGGGGTCCTTGGAGAGGATGGGATAGCACGGCTGAACATGTCTCCAGAATAACTCGACGAGACCGGGCCCGTGGGGGCGAACGCAGCTCTCGATGGCGTCGACCTGAGAAAATGTCGGATCACCCTCGACTGCTTTTTCGTCACGAGCCATGTGAAACGTTAGGGGATACTCCTGGCCGTCGTCCCTTTGGAGCACGCGGCGGATAGCATGCGTATCGAGACTAAACTCGTGAGTTTGAGGATCGTAAGGACGATGTCGCATTAGTATCGGCTCCATGTCACTCCCAAGTCCATAGAGTTCGGCGAAGCGCGTAGACGAGCAGCCCATTGTGCGATCTAGAGGACCGAGCTCCGGAACCATGCCCGACGGGGGAGCAAGAGGGATGCCACTATCAGCAGAAGCGCGCGTCTCGGCGGGTGAGAGGAAAGTCTGGATCGAAGGGACAGAGTAGACAGATTGGACGTCCTCCCGGGACTCTTTACGACTTTGCTGGCTCATACTCCTCGCTGGATTCTGGATCTGGGCCTGGGTTTGGTTCGGGGTCTGGATCTTAATCTGTGCTGGAGTCTCATCTGGGGCGATCTCTTCCTGGATTCCGGGACCAGCGGTCGAGCTGCTGCTATTCCCGCTGTTGCTTGTGACCTGGCGTTCTGGAGGATCGTGCTGGAAGGTACACGGTGTAGCTCTTAGCTGGCAATGGACACAGTCACCGTCGCCATCCTTGGTAACGCAACGGGTCTTGCGCTTCCGACAGGCGTCACAGGGGCGAAGACTGCGACGTTGTCGTTTGCGAGAGTTGTTCTGGTAGTCCTGGGGTGTGATAATTTCCATTTGAGGCTGTCGTGAGGTGTATCTGGGGTGTAAGAAGACGAGGCCGATGGAGGAAGTACAAGTTTTGTTGCCATGTCCTGGCAGGCCTGGAGGTTGAGTTGTGTGAGGGAAGTGTATGTATATGTATAAGTAAAGTGAGGTGAGGTGAGATGATATGAGGATTTGGTGTTGGTGTTTTGTGTTATGGGTAGTTATGGTTATGTTATCTTCTGGGTTGTTAAAAGGAAAACCCACCCCCCGCTTCTTTTTGGTCTGCTTGTCCCTGTCGTGTGGTACTGTAAGGCAGGCAAGGTATAGATAGGTAGGTATAGGTACTGTCTCAACTTGTGCAAAGACTTTCTTGGTATGTGCTTGGACTTTTTGACCCTGTTGGAGGTCTTGGTCTTGGTCTTGGTCTTTTGCCTTCCTCTAAGATTGGAAGGGGGAAGGAAAGAAATGGAAGACTAGACAGACTAGCTACAGGTACTCGATGTATGTGTATATGTACCTAGGTATAGTATCGGATGATTGGAAATGCAAATGCAAATGCACAGCTATAGAATAGAACTATGCAGATAGCTATGCAAAAATGCAACTACCGATCCTCGGTATGGTGGATAGGTAGGGATAGGTGTGTTTCTACAGTGCCGAGCTCTGTACTGTAATACTTGGCTTGGCTTGACTTTTCTTACTTGATCAAGTTCTTGGCCCTGAACAACATAAACAAGCTCTCTTGGCAAGAGGCTGTGCTCGATAAAATGTGACAGCCTGGATGTCGGGACTCGGGAAGGGGGATGAAGATCTTTGTCAATGGTGACAGGCAGCCTCAAAGTCAAGTCTCAGCTTGATCCAGGTTTAGTGGAGAGGGAAATAGCCATCTTGAAGCTTCTGGTGTGGTTCTTTTAACGGGGATCAAGCCATTTTGATGAATTCTGAATTCTGGCTGGCTGACATTGAGGCTTTTGCTTTTAGAACCCTCCCTCCCATCTCCCTCCCATCCCATTCGTGTTGCATCCCTGCCCTGGTCAAGGTCAAGGCTCAACAAGTCAAGGTCAGGGAACCTGGTTGACCTCTGTAGTCCACTGTTATTCGTTAGACACGGACGGCAAATAGAGTTGGGCCGGTCCCTTTCTGCAGACTGCAGAAAGTACGCCGCCTCCAAATCTGCATCCACCATCCACATCCACACACCAAGACAAGAAAAGAAAAGACAGTGTCAGCCATCGCCAAGACCAAGACGCCATGGCGTGTTATAGTGGCTCTACCATTATGAGGATAAGTTGCCTCCTTATCCGACTCCTCCATAACACAGTATTACAGTTCTTTCTTCGCAGGCCGCCCGGTTCCGTGGGTTCGGGAGTTGGGGTACCCATCCATTATCCATCAAACCATCCATATCCGTCCGTAGTTCTCTTTAGTCTCTTTGTAGAGGTGGAGGGCGTTGCCGCCCAGTCTTGACAACCATGAAAAGAGGGCGACCCTGAAAGTTTGTTGCTGCTTCTCTCGAGTCTTCTGTAACTATTCCAAAAGTCAAATGACGTTGTTGGTAATCGGATTGATCCGAAATGAGGTCATCTCTACAAATTACCCCTTTGACGTCAAATAAATTGAGCCTCTAAAGAATTGCTTCAGTTATATAGAGTAGTATCTCTGAGATGGGTCGTTCGCCCTGTCTTTGCCTTACGGATACATACAGCCATCCCTTACCAGATACCCATCCATACCCTTACCCTGTTCTATTCTGCGTGCCAAGACTTGTTGTATGGTAAAATCTGTTCCGTCACTAACCATTGGTCTATGCGTACTTGTGCAATCTTTTGCCAAGCTTTTTTGTGACCACAAAGTTATCTATGCTTTGACCATAATTCGAAATATCAAGAGTTGAAGTGCAGATCAAATAATCTGGAATTACTCCATTTCTTGGCACCACATTCTTTCCAATGTCTGTCTGTCTGTCACTCTAAACCTTGCGGTGCACATCATCAGACCATTTCCGAGTAACTCCATTAACTTCGCCTACTGACACTGACTGGCATGTAACGCACATACAGGAACCAACGTCAATGTGGGCTTTATCACCATCTCGATACAGCGCATCAATTCGCCTCAATCTGACATCTGCCACTTTCCCTAATCCATTCCCATCAGTAATCTCTAGTCTAGTGCTACGGAGACCAGTTCTATCCCCAGTCTGGGCATTCTATCCCGCCGAAACTGCCCCGGCGGGTCGGCCAACTTGACCCGATTTTCCGAATGTACACTCAATCTCTACAAGAGCGCCAATCCCAACCATTGCTTCATCACAGTATTGTATGAACTGAGTTGGAGTGGCGCTTCAAATTGCCTTTTGTCCCGATTAATCGGAAATAACATGCCGCATGCGAATTCCACTCAAGATCGACATCAAAGTCGACGGGTTCATTGCTATTCCCATGGTGTGTGGCTTCACTATCGCATCACATCCAAACCGCCAGCCACCGCCGTCCAACTCACACGGACACATCCGCAGTCTCTGATAAGTCGGTTGCACTTCGATACCCCCCTGGCCAAGCAGGCCTGATGATCGAGCGTCAACTCAATCAGATCAAGATCAGGATCAAGATCTGCTGTAACATTGTCGTCGAGGCTCTTGCATCGATGCATCTGAAGATCACCTCGTACCAGTAGCGAATCGGCATCAGCCCAGCTTGCAGCAGTGACAGCACAGGCACCAAGTTGCCCACAACTACCGGTTATGCTGACCCTAACTTCCTAAGCTCGTCAGCTCCCTCCCCAAAAGAACCCTGAGAATGGCCCCCTTCTAACTCCATCCAGCTAGCTACAACCGTTTGGTTCAAGCTACAGTGCAACTATCCGTACTGGTAACGTCTAGCTGGGGGAGCCAAGACCACCGACGCCATTCCCAAGCTCAAGAACTAAGAACTAAGACCTCGGTGCCTCGCAACGGTTTCTCGTGCCTTCGGCCCAGCCCTGTGAATCACGAGCTCCGATGTTCCATCCCCTGAGCTAATGTGACTGCGACTGTGACCATCTCGCGCGCCGTTCCGTGGCGATTGGCAGTTTGGCTGATCGTCGCTCGGACGTCGTCGCTATTTCAATTGGTCTTGGCACCGCAGCTGAACATTCATAGTTGGCAAAAAGGGCACTGATTTTCAAGACGCTTTGTTGTTTTGATAACTTTTTCACCTCTTGGCAGCTAGAATCGGCTCATTACTGCATAACCTAACGACTGCGTATCTGATGCCAAGGAGTTACGAGGATATTGGTCATCTCCAGAACAACCTGATGAATAAGAGGAATGGGATTTGAATTTTCTTTCCGATTATGTGATCAGACTTAAGCCGTTGATAGTCGAGTCGATCATGGAGTTAACGGGAATACGATGCTAGGTAGACATCTCGTTGTTCTAGCTAGTGGTTCCATATTGATGATCGTCCAGGTGGCTAATACATACAACAAAGAACTGAAAACAGTCAGGGGTCCTGTCATTTGTCAGAACACTACTCAGTTGACAGGGACTTGATCAAGAACTTGAACCGTGCAAACGAATATTCTCCTTGCTCGGTCCCGACACTGATCAAGAGGTATGGATCTGCTCATGGATGGCATTATGCTTGTCACTAGTAATAGAGCCACTCGCCGATACGGTACCGAAGTGACTTGGCGGTACCGATAAGTAATTTTCTTTTGTGGATGCGAAAGAAATAAAATGTAATGGGCTGCATCACATCGATGAAACGTATCACTGTGACGCCGAACCTGAGTTGACATGAGGTTATTCGCAACATGACATTGAGCTCACTGACTCATAGAGCTAGTATAGGGTAGGTTCTATGTGAAGAGAACCAACACTGAACAGCCCCTGGGAAGTGCACTAACACACCGCTCAATAGCTGACTCTACTGACTCAAAATAGCACAGAGAGCTATACGCCTCGACCAGTCGGTTAAATGATGTAATGAAAAGTCCGAAAGTCTTCGGGATAGAATATAGCGTTCTCATCTCCTGTAAGTCCTGCTACCAGGCTGCCGGTAGGTGTCGGACTTCCATCGTTAGTAATCGAGGCAAGATGTTTTTTGTTAGTGCCCGTGTGCCACGGACACTACCACAAGCCACTACGGCACTCCACCGGCTCCCACTGAAGCCCCTAAAGACCAGAAAACTGGATGAACATGTGCTTATAAATAATGACAATTGACTTAGTTTAGTCTGGCTATAGTATCAATCAAAAGTTGGGACGAAACTAACAAAGGTAATCAACTACAACTTTTTTAGTTTATACCTCGGGCCTGATGCTCCGGAACCCGACTTGGCTCCCTCTCTGTAGCTGTAGCTAAGGTCCTGTAGCTACAGCGCTTTGACTGGTGATCAGCCAGATTAGCTAGCGATTGGATGTTATGCAGCGAAAGCGCTAGATCGCAATAGGCATCTCATAACTTTGAGCAGTGGCCAAAATTCCTACCAGATGCAACATTACAACATAAACAAAAAGTCTCGGCAATTGATGATCGTCTGTAATAGGTAGTTCATTGAGAGTGCGATTAAGTTCAATTTCTTCCTAAACCCAACCGCCCTGTTGGTAACTGACAGACAGCATGACATGACCATCACCAAAGTCCCGGTTTCTGAGGCGTTCATCACGGGGAATAAGCTTAAAGGCTAATATTTGATGTTAGTTGAACTAGAACTAAATCGATGGCCCCGATTGCGGGTTCCAGGGATCCTAATCATGAGCAAAGATTGGGTTGATCTCTCCGCACGAGTCAGTTGGTGGATAGTGCTACCATCTTAATGATTGATAAAGACGAGAAGCAATTGACTCTCTAGACTCTTTCAACTGGTATGCAATCTGTTGGTCTCTACCTCAGTCTTACTGGATAAAGAAGGCATATCAGATAAACCTTCACATTGGCCAGGGCTATCCTTGACCCAGAAACCGTTTGACTGACGCTATAGTAAAAACCTTCCTCATTTGTCTGACAAAGCCGACGCGGCGTTGAGACACCCGACACCCCGAGTCTTGGCTCCATTGACTGTTCAAGCTTAACCTTTAGACAGTCTGCAATGATAGGCTGTGATACTCGATTGAACAGGCCTCTTCAATAGCAGACTAACACAGATGAAACAGAAGCATACACACGTTTCTCTTCAATGGCAGATTATACGATATGATAGTAGAGTCCCTTGCAGGCGGGTGTCAGAAGAAATGTCCCCCAAGACTTAGGCTACAGAAATAAAGTAGCCTAAATGCTGGCCTAAGCTGGCATAAGGTGATCAAATTATTTCGTCTCTTATGCTCCGGGGGCCAATTCTTATGACACCCTGAGGCCTTGTTATGTCAACAACAGCTGAGATGAATGATTCGCCTTGGCTTCGTGCGATAAGCCAGTCACGTTGCCCACGTGCATCTTGGCGATCCTTTATCTCATGGAACCTTTGCACGACTAACAAGAGACCTGTCACAGGCGACGATCAGGCCTAGGAAAGCGTAAAAAAACATGACAGGGTTCCAATTGACGAGTTAAAGGGAGAAGAGTTGCACTCTAAATTAATTTTTGACATGTTCAACTTCTCTTCGCGATTCTGGGGCCATTTGCGCACTTTTGGGAAGCCATCATGAAGTCGTCAATTACTCTTACAGCGCTCGCCTTGACCGGCTCCGTTATCGCTGATGATGCCCTCTACAGCAAGCGATTGACCAAGCGCTTCGTCGACGATGACGGAAATTACAACATTTGTATGTCTCATTCTCCCACCGTGCGCTGTTCAGGTCGCTAACCCTTGTAGCCTTCTTCCATGTCAATGATGTCCACGCCCATCTCGACGAATTCGCAAAGTCAGGCACAGACTGCGTCGACCCCAAGAAGGGCTGCTTCGGCGGCTATGCGCGCATCAAGCACACAGTCGATGCTCTGCGAAAGGACCACCCGGACAACCTGTGGCTGAACGCCGGCGACGAGTTCCAAGGCACACTGTTCTACTCCTTCTACGGACCCTCTAAGATCGCAGAGACCCTGAATGAGCTCGACTTTGATGCCATGACGCTCGGAAACCACGAGTGGGATGGCGGTGATGAGGAGCTTGGCGAGTTTTTGCAGAACCTGACTTTCCCAGTCATTTCCTGCAATGTCAAGAGCGAGTACGAGGGACTGAACAAGACCATCAAGAACTATCAGATCTTTGAGGATCATGATTTGGCGGTTATTGGTGTGACTACTGATACTACGCCTGGAATCTCCAGCGTTGGAAACAAGACTACTTTCCTGGACCCCATCACTGAGGTGCAGAAGGCTGTCTGGGAAATTCGCAACAAGACCGAGATCAACCGCATTGTTGCGCTTACTCACCTTGGTATTGATGTGGACAAGGAGCTTGCTGCCAAGACCGAGGGTCTTTCTCTCATCATCGGAGGCCACAGCCATACTCCTCTTGGCAACATGAGCAACTCTGAGGGCGATTATCCCACAGTAGTTGACAACGTCAAGGGTGATGAAGTTTTCATTGTCACTGCTTATCGATGGGGCGAGTATCTCGGTTCTATTGATCTGACATTTGACAAGGATGGAAAGCCTCTTGCCTACCACGGTGCTCCTATCCACATGACCAACCAGACCGACATTGACGAGGATCTTCAGAAGAAGATTGAGTCTTGGAGAGGTCCCTTCGAGGAGTTCGCCGCTGAAGTAGTTGGATACACAAGCGAAGAGCTCGACCAGACCACATGCCAGGATGGAGACTGTCTCCTCGGACAAGTCATGGCTGACGCTATGCTCGAGTACCGTCTCAACCAAAGCACCTCCGACGACGACAAGCCCAGCTTCGCCTTCATCAACGCCGGCGGAGTCCGTGCTACCATCGACGAGGGCAACATCACTCGCGGCGAAGTCCTAACATCTTTCCCATTCGGTAACGCTATCGTTGAGCTCACTTTTACCGGTTCCCAGATCAAGGGTATTTTCGAGGGTGCTGTAACAGGCATGAACCAGGACAACGACAAGGAAATCACCTCGTGGTTCCAGGTTTCCAAGGGCCTCAAGGTCGAGTACAACCCCGACAACAAGAACGGCTCTAAGCTGGTCAACTTGACGCTCGACGGTGAATCTTTCGAGGACAAGACCGAGTACCGCGTTGTCACTCTTGACTTCTTGGCTGGTGGCGGTGATAACTTTTTCAGCATCGAGGACAAGAACGCCGCTACTCTTGACACCCAAGATGAGGTACTTATCGGTTATTTCGATGCGCACAACCCTCTTAACCCCAAGTTGGAGAAGCGTGTTGTCGAGACAAATGGAACTAGCAGCGAGGATTCTGATTCGGAAGAGGCCAAGGGCAAGGGAGGTGACGGAAGCTCAGAAGAAACTGTCGAGAATGCTGCTAGCGGTATGCGAGTTTCGCTCTTTGCTGCTATGTTTGGTGTTGCGATCACTATGTTGATGATGTAAATATGTGAAAACAAGCAATTCTTATTTAGATAGATAGATAGATGGCTTACAGCGCAAGATGAAATGATAGGCCCTTATTCTAATTCTCTGTTCGGACCGTGCTGTACAATGAATTGTTAGTATCTGCAGCGAACATGACCGTTAGTCTCCATCAGGAGCAATGACCAGCATTGTCGCAAGAGTCCAACCTTGTATCATCCACTGACCCTCAAACCCCGGATCAGCGTCTGATAGTTCAACGGGATTTCCTCCCTCTGCACCAGCAAACCCTCTTCAAGCCACTCTACCTCTCTGTTCTCAAGACGGCACTTCACTACCAGCACTGTAATAAAGATAATGGGCAGGAGTAGCCACAAGGTTAGCTCAACGGCAAGAATACACAGGTAAACTGGCACAGCGTAATCGGAAGGACTCATGTTCGCGACGAGGAATAGATTTTCAACTTTGGTTGAGGACCGTAATGCTGGAATACGCTGAGCTTTTGAGATAATGGCGAAGAAAGATTTTCTTTGTGCGGGTACGCGGGAGGCCAAGTGTTCGGGTGGGAGTGTACATTGTACGATGGTCATGGTTGGATGAACAAGACAAGAGACACGAAGCTGTCAAAGTAACACTATCCAGAATATGAGTCGGGAGGACGAACAGCGGTTGAGGTAACAGAAAGAGTGCTTTGTCTCTTATGAGCAACATGTCACCGAGATAAGTGCAAGGTTATCTGAGAGACAAAAGATGCAAACAATAGATGTTATTGGGCTACTGGAACAGATACACCTAACAACAGATCATCCTCATCATAACGCTCGACATATATTCATCCATCTTAGTAAGTGTAGCGGAAATCGGCAGTGGCATCGTCCTAAAGTTTGTCAGTGATGAGGTTATGTCAGCACGAGGGGGCTTACTCACATCATGAGCCTCCAGAATCTTCTCACCCCTGTCAGCCTGAGCATTCTTTCTCTTGAAGTCCAAATCAAGCAGGATAACAAGAATGGTAGTGACAAGACAGCAGGCAATGCAGGCCCACATGCCAGGCTTGTATCCCGTCATCTTATCCTGCTCACGGAACACCAAGCTACCAGCAATACCACCGAAACCTCCAAAGCCGACAAGGGTGGCACTGCAGAAAGCTCGCTTCCATTGGCCTCGGATGTTGTTGGCCTGGAATGACATGGCAGTTGGGATGTTGCTGTTGGCACCAGCAGTGACGAGGAAGACACCGAAGTAGCGAACGTTCGCGCTCTCAGCCCAGCCCATGATGGGAAGTCCGATGAGGCAGAGCAACATGTTGAAGAGAATGCAGGGACCTCGAACGTGGTACTTGTCACCAACCCAAGCAGTAGCGAACATGACGATACCGGCGAAGGCGTAAGGAGGAGCAACCAGACACTGAGCAGCTCCAACGCTGAAACCCATGTTTCCAACGAGAAGAATAGGCAGAGTATAAGCAAGGGCGTAGCTGATGGTGGTAGTGTCGAAGAAGATCATGGCGTAGGCCCAGACCTTCCAGTCTGCGCCGCCGCTAAGGAACTTGCCCAGCTGGAAGGGAGGCATTTCGGTATCACCACGATCACGGCTGATGCGATCGACGACCCATTGACGCTCGCGGGCACCGAGGAAAGACCATGTCTTGCGCTTCGAGTCGGGGAAATCAACGAGAAGCCAGTAACCGGCGATACCAAGGGCGATGGTCAAGGCACCTTCGATGATGAAGATCCAGCGCCAACCGGTGAGACCCTCACGACCGTTGAGCTGCATAAGCTGTGAAGTGTAAGCAAGGGCGGGATAGTGAGAGCGGGGTGAGACGTACACCGTAGGCGAGAATACCGGAGAAAGCTGAGGCAACGCAACCGAGGAGATAGAAGACCGAGTATCGCTTTCCAACCTCGTCTGGAATATTGGTCAGTGATTGAGCCTTGAGTGGCGAAAACTATACTCACATCGAGTGTACCATGTGCTGAGCAGGTAGACACAGCTGGGGAAGAAACCAGCCTCGAAGAAACCAAGAACCGCACGAAGAGCCGCAAGTTGAGGGAACTTCTCAACGAAACCCATGCCAACCATGACTCCTCCCCAGAGCATAGTGATGATAGCCAAGTGGAAACGGGGACCAATTCTGCGGATGAGGATAGTCGAGGGCGGTTGGAAGATGATGTATGGGATGAAGAAGACCAAGTTGGCAATGTTCTATTCATCAATTCGTCAGTGCAATTCATAATCACTCAAAACGGACAAGACTCACGTATCGAAAACCAGTGAGTTGAAGCTCAGCACTCATACCAGCAATGTTGGCAGCACTCATGTTGGTTCGATCCATAAGCGAAACACAGTACATGGCGCCGACAGTCACAACCAGACGACGATCAATGCGCTTGATGATGCTGCGCTGCTCCTGTTCGGTGAAGCCATGGTCGGCATCTATCTCGGAGCTGACCTTGCTGGGAGGATGGTCGAGATGCTTGTAATCCGAGTCGAGCTGCTTTTCAACAGCCTCATTATCGTGTGGTCTCTCCATGATTGCTCGTTGTCAAGAGCAGAAGAGTTTGTGAGTGAGGATGTTGAGGGTAGAGAGAAAGGGAAGAGTGAAAAAGTATGTGGGACAGAAAAATAGGATGAGGAAGGAGCGAGGATTATGAGTGAATCCTGTTACACAGCTTCCGAGAGGAGAATGTAGACTGTGCAGTGCAATGCAGAACACAACCCCCCTTTTGAGCAAAACTAAAAAAGAATAGGAAGGCAACCAGGTTTCACAGCAAGCTAGGCTATTCTCTGCTTTGCTTGTCTTGGTTTGTCTTTGTCTCTGTCTCCAGTTTATTTCGTCTCGTTGGGTCACGATCATCGCCTGTCTTTTATACACCAGGTTAGGTCTCCTCTCCAGACCAGTCTATAGAGACCCTGGTCCAACCTCTTCTCTTATCGACCAATCCAGCACAACAATACAAACTTACCTCGGGTGGCGGTCAATGCCAAGCAACAATCGTCAAACAATACACACCCCCTTGGAGTTAGGGCTTTGTCGTTTCCTTGGAGTCTTTTGCGTCAGTATCAGCACCTTAACCCATCTACGCTACGACTCTCCCCCGCAAGATCTACCGGCTACACTCTGACTCCACACGATGATGAGGCAAAAACCCGGGGTGTGGTCATGGACTAAGGCTCAACTTTGCGGGGTAGGAGAGAAACTCCAGCTCCTACGCCCGGAGGATTGCCTGTTTTGGGGCGAGTAGCGATGGTGGGCTTGTCATTAAGAGGAGCATGCAGTATCAGCAGACTCGATTTTTTGGAGTGCGGAATAAGAGAGGAGGCTTGCATAGTACAGTCTTGGCTTGGCTAAAGCTAAACAATCCTGCCCTGCCCTTGCTTCGATTCGATCTCGTCGAGATTAATTGATTTTGATTGCTTTTGTCTGTGCTGCATGGGCTGAGTCTAGAAGCGAGCATTGGCATTGTTTGCTGTAGTATTCAAGAACATGTAACCAACACACTCACTGTACAGTACAAAATAGTACAAAATGCTGTGTCAAGCCAATTTCCTTTTTGCTACATATTTCATGGGAAACACAGCAGATTGCTATCGACCTGATCTCACTTACACCAACAAGGCTCCCTAGTCAGTGACAAAAATACTAGACAAGGGCTGTAATAAAGACAGAAATAGATGGTCAGCTTACACTTCTTTTACCCCAGCACTTGCTCATCTATTTCATGCATCCTTGACGGAAAGTCATCTATTCTATCCTTCCAAGACCTTAGTCGCAAGCCACCTCCTGTTCAATCTGTCTAGAGGCCTTCCAACCGGCTAGTAGCCTACCAATCTCATTCCGTCCCAAACAGCCACACCACGATATCTCGTGTGAATCCTAATGCTAATGCTAATGCTAATTCTTAGGGCAGTTCTCATTCATTTCCATCTCTCTTAGTCTCCCTCCCCCGCGTTTCTTCTCCACCCCCGCATCATCTGTCTATATCCCGAACCAATAACGGCTCATAGAGCGACCTTGGATGCCGAGGCTCTCACTTAATTCCCAACCCTTGACAGAAAACGACTAGACCAAAAGCGCCAATTCAAGATGCTAAAGTTGACAGCCCTAGCTTCTCGTTGGACCAACTGCGAACTACGCTAATTTATGGTTGTTTGGACTCAAGGTTGGTGGCTTGGTCTGGGCTAACTGAGCTGTTACAACTTACCGCCAGGAAGGCATTGCAGCAACACCGCATGGCATGGCAAACAACCCAAACCAAAGCATTGTCGACTCTTTGTGGTAATTCTTGCGGATCTTTAGCTTTCGAGGTCGGCACGCGCCGAGGCACTTTACCCGTCAATCATTCTTCATCGAAAAGGTCCAAAACGGTCATTCAAAGCTACTGTACTAATTCTTCTCATACGCGCGTTCTAACGTTAACTAAGACATGTCATTCACCTCGCCGCTTTCGGATACTGTCCGAATCCTTACACCGTCGACTCATCATGTCGCCTCTTCCCATGGATGCCTTCTTTCCAAGCAGAATGCGCCTCGGTACCTCCTCGACGCTGCAACAGAACGAAACCATCAATCCAAAACGAGGACAAGTCACATATTTACCGAAATATCCATGTACATTGCCCGTTTACCTGTAGGGATTTGTGTAACCTTGAAACCGTCAATACCTAACGCGCCACGTCCTGGTTCCATCCATCCCCTAAGTCTCAGTCACTCAATTCCTCCCGGACCTCGGCTTCTTCATTCTCCTATCGAAATACCGTGGTCATGGTCGTAAATGTCTTTTTGATGTTGTGCCAAATCAGTGCAGCTGTACCAACAACGGCAAAGATTTGAAGAATTTCCCATGGCTGACGTGTCTTGACCTCGGTCTCGATGTAGTCGACCTTACTGCCTACCATGCGGGGAAATCGACCAGTCGCCATATACTCCTCCATCAACGTATCCTTCTTATACCACTCCTCGCGAAGCCAGAGGTCGAAAGCCTTGGGGTCTTCAAGGGGAATATCGCTCACTCGGAAACGGCGCCAATGAAAGTTGACCGACTTGGGAGGGCGTCCTTGGAAGTATGTGCTGACAAGGCCAAAGTACTCTTCACCGAATCCACCTCGCCTACATTCGTCGGTCAGTCGAGAGTTTTCATGTTGTGTAACAGGGGCTTCAGGTTACGACTTACGGGATTCCCTCATACGCGACTGTACAATCGTAGACGTAGTCGATACTTCCCTTCAGCTCGTTCAGACAGAAGAACATACCCGTACTTCGTGGAAGCAAGACATGCTCGGGGTCCTTGAGATCGCTCTTGGCAGCCCAGCCAGCAGACTTTCTGCGCCCGTTATTTGAAAGATTGGTGCCTTCTGGGAACAAAAGCAGCCACATGGGATCCATATAAGATCTTCCATTGGGATCAACCTTGCGCTGCTTCAACTTGTTGAGACGATAAGCCATCCTGGGTGCATCGGAGGCCATTTTTCTCGACATGAAAATGAAACTATAGAACTGCATACCCAAGCCGACAAGTGGGATGCGCTTGAGTGACTCCTTGAGAATGATGTAGATATGTCCATGCATGCTTGGAGAGTTGGCATATGCAATCCACCAAAGATAAAGCCAGTCAGTGTAAATCTGTAACCGTCAGTACATGTCTGTCGACCGAGTTGTATCCTCGTACCTGATGATTGGCGATTAGGATCAAGCGCTCAGGGAACTCGAACTGCACTCCCCCATCGGACCGCAACTTAATCTGCCCAGCGACCGACTCGTCACCGCTCACTCGTATCGTTGTCGGGCCCCAGATTTGGGTCATGAGAGTTATGGTAAGACCAAAGGAGCGCTTCGTCATGGCCATCCAAGCGTAGTACCAGTCACGGTTGACAAAGTACAGCGGCGCCCCGATGAGCTGGGTAAGGAAGATGCTGCGACTATATTAGTCATGATGCGGTTGATGAATGGCACTTGGATCCCATACACTACAAGGCATGAGTTGAAGTAGAGGGCAAAACAAGAGCCGCGGATGATTTGCATAAAAGCTCCATAGCTCTCTTTTCCAGATGGATGCTCTTCCTTTGGCAGCTTGCTTCTCTGTTTGGTCAACTCCTCCTCGGTAATTCCAGCGAGAACTTCTGGTGCTGGGAGCGCCGTCTCTGGCGGGTCAATGTTTTTGGTGTCAGCCATGGCGGCGTCTATTGCTCAATTCTGTTGTTTATCTCGATTGATGTATTGCGTCTGAGGTCTCACAGCAAACAAACAAACAAACAAACCAGACAAACAAACCAGACAAAAATGGCGCTCTCAGGACTGTTATAACTCGTGCCTGCCTCGTTAATGGATGTCGCCTAGTAGCTGAGTGAAGACGAGGGGTCGCGTGGCACAGTCCAAAGTGATAGCAAGAGCCAGCCTCAAGGCAGCTGACGAACGAGTGTCGCAAATCTACTAAAGCTCGAGTCCAAGGTGAAGAAGAAGATGTAAAAGAAAACCTTCAAGGCTGCGAGACATTCCACACGAGCATGTGATCAAAGTTTAGGCATGAGCTAATTGCTACTGTAGCTTTGTACCTACATAAACTAAAGAGTGCCTGCCTGTAGTGTCATCAGGCGGATACGTCGGAGCTGGAGGGCTGAGGTCCTATGACGCCTTCCTCAAGGCGGCGGGGGCAGGGAGCATGGGGCGCTCGCTCTGAGTACCGACGCGATCTGGCCAATCAGGAGCTCAGTATATGAGATCTCACAGCTGTTGGATCTACATTCTACAGAAGCCTCAGCGTGTCAGAAGAATTGGCTCCTAGAGATATAAGAGGCGAAATACTTTGGTCACTTTACAACAGCTTAGAGTAGCTCTTAGGTTAATTTATTTTGATAGCCTAAGCCTTAGAGGACAATTCTTCTGTCATCCACCTGAGAAGCTATCGCGGGGTTCAATAAGACACTCTGCAGGTCATACACATAATACAGCTGATCGGGTCTTTATCTTTAAGGCTACATACAAGGTTTGAGTCAACTTTCAAGGGTCCAGATACCGTGATTCAGTCCCTTGGAAACCCTTCAAGGCTAAAATCACCATCATTCTTTCAAGATATCCTGGAGTTCAGAGAGGCAGGCGGTGAAAAAACAGCCCACCTCTACATCTTTAGCTTGATGGATTCTGCCAAAGCCGTCGCAAACCCGCAACTCGAGCTAGTCTGCTAGTGACGAGGATAGCTCCCCGTCTTCGGCGTCATCCATAGTCAAATTTAATCAGCCTGGACAGACAGCTTTTTCCTTTACAAGCTATGCTATATCATCTGTGCCATGTCTAGGAGATCTCTTCTAAGAGGCCTGGTGCTCATTGAGCACAGACTTCCTCAACGAACAACACGTCCGCTCATTGTTCGACCATCAACCTCCACTTCCATACCACGAACATGCCGTCTTCTATCAACAACATCCACCCGTCAAAGCGCCGAGATTCGCAGCATCGCAGAATTGCCTGATAGATCGAACCCACGATATCTCCAAAGTACAAAGCCCGGATCATCTCTTCTATCCTTAAACTGGACCAAGCCTCCAAGCAACCTTCTCATCATCCACAAGCTGTACTCAGAAGCAGTTGTCGACGCGGTTGTCAAGTTTTCCAACCACCTTCGCAATGAGTACCCAGAAGTCAATATTGTCTTCGAACCGCGCATCGCCGACTCCCTAAAGGATCGCCTCGACTTTCCCATCTTCACTTCAGACTCCCAATCGAACATGGCTGATAAAATTGACGTCATTGCAACGTTTGGAGGAGACGGCACAGTTCTTCGAGCCGCCAGTCTGTACAAACTCCATGGTTCTGTTCCTCCAATTCTATCATTCAATATGGGAACATTAGGATTCCTAGGCGAGTGGGACTTCAGGGAATACAAACGGGCTTGGAGAGAGACATTCATGAGTGGTAGTGATGTTGCTATGCGCGAGGCCAACTTCCCTAGGGGCGATTGGGATAAGACAACCCCAGTGGCCTATGCAGCATGGGATAGGCACAAGGGGAAGAGCATGGGAGCTCATCGAGCTTCCAAGGTGCTGCTGCGCCATCGCATCAAGGCTGATGTGTATGATCCCTCGGGAAACAACATCAATCATTGGCTGTCAGATACTTTATCAAGCGAGACGAAGTTGGGGGCAAAGGCATTGGCTATTCCCGAAGAGCCTTCCCCATCGTTGCGAGCTATCAACGAAATATCGGTGCATCGAGGGTCTCATCCTCATTTGGCCATCATCGATATCTACCAGAACGGGCATTTTCTTACCGAAACAACAGCTGACGGCATCCTGATCAGTACACCGACAGGTTCAACGGCTTACAGTTTGAGTGCAGGTGGTCCCATAGTCCACCCGCTTGTCAAGTCCCTTCTTATCACACCCATCAGTCCTTGCAGTCTTAGCTTTCGGTCCCTCGTGCTTCCACTGGACACCAAGGTCACTTTGCGGATGAGCCGGAAGAATCGTGGCCGTGAGCTTGACCTCAGCATCGATGGCAAACGATGTGCTGGCGTTTCCCCAGGGACTGAAATCCGAGTAGAAGGCGAATTTGTTGGACGCGCTGGCCCCGGTGAGGAGTGGCACGGCGGTGTGCCATGCATGATCAGGACTGAAGATGACGACCCTTGGGTCGGTGGTTTGACTGGCCTCCTCAAGTTTAACAGCACTTTTGGACGAGAACCTCCTGGGGATGAGTTCTCCGACTAAGGCCATTTACGAGATACGTTGATGACAATGTATGCACATCTAGACTACTGCGGTATTTGATACCCATGCCTTGAGCCGATTGGAATGTTACAAGTAGCCTTAGACATGACATTCAAGGACAGAAGATGACAATCTATCCAGGGCTGAACATCATATCCAATTGAAGGAAAACGGCGCGCGCGCTCTAAAGATGCATAAGCGGAATAGATCTACCCAAATCTCCGGATCGGCCGAAAGACACTGATACCATGGGATTGTCCGCGGACATGGGTTAAGCTAAAATTATGATGTGGTAAGCGTTCCTGAACCAGTCAACACGAGAGATTACTCGTTTTGGCGGTAAATGGTGATCCACGATGGATGCATGCCCGCTGACAGATGGATCATGGCAGTGCATAAACTTATCCACAGCGTATGATGAGATTATCTTTGGTTCCTTCGCTCTTCAACTGAGCCACCTGTCAGCCCCGAAAACAAACCGCGGACCACAAAGACATTTGCCTTACTTGATACAATCGTATCTAAGCGCCCTTGAGGATGGAGGAGAATCCCTTTGTCCAGATCGCATGACAGACAGACGTCACAAAGGGCGCCAAGGTGTCTTGGCTCTGAAATATGAGCTTGGGTATTCCCTTTAATTTCTCAGGGCAGGGGTCATGCGAAAGCATTCGAGATTGGCTGGGCATTTGGTCTTTGGTGCTTCTAGCGGTGGACCCCGGGGATTTTTGCGATCAGCTTTGATCGGCTAGTGTTTGATGTCCATTGAAATGTCGTTTGGTGTGTTCTGTTTTGCTGATCTTAATACTCAGCCTTTGACGATCTCGCTATATCTTGCCGTGATATCCAGAATAGGGGATTTGTGGATGAGGTGAGGTCATTCCATCCCATGGCTCGACATCATTATCCCTTATTCATGATGGTCCCAGGACTGGGTGGATGGATGCAGCGGGTGTCAGTGTGTACCTGGAACAGCCTCGAGGCTTGTGAGTGGCTGGTATTGCATGCAGGGGATTGTCGGGTCCCGTAGCGTCCTGTAACTGTCACCTAGAAATTGAATGTCACATGAATGGGACCGAGAAAAAGGATCAATACCATACGCGTATTGTGTGCGATGAATCGAATCTCAACGCTCAATTGCAGTACGCATAAACGGTTCCACTGGGTTTAGAACGATAACCGTTCTCGCTGTGATGTACCATGCAGCAACTCTAAATTAGAACAGCCATGTCACACAGCCTATGTCATTACATCTGACCGATACAGCTCAGAGAGGCGGCGCAGGGCTGGGCACATCTTGGCATGGAGGCAGAGGGACTTTGGATGGATTTTGACGCCTGTAAGAAAATGGTGCACTTGGCGGCTGATGACAAGAGGAAATGGAATGGAAAAATAAGAGACAAGCTTGTCCAGTCTGACTATATCAATGATACCTGAAGAACCAGTTGCCTCCTTCAACTAATATATTTTCCCCTTGCTCGGTCTAAAAGTGACAGAAAGGACGGACCCAAAAGCACGGATCAAACCGTTTAGACGACAATTCGATACGATACTCCCAATCAAAGCACCACCCCACATTGAATCCTTCCCTCTTACAAACAACTTTTCGACCTTTCTTGTGCTTCTTCAATTCTGTTTTATTATTCCCTTGCCTTAGCCTTCGTTTCATCTGTCTTCCAAGGGCATTTTCTTTTCTACTTCTCGTTTCATATATATCGTTTCTTGCATTCGGACAATTGTCATTCACCAACATCGAAACATCACCCCTTACTGTAACTTATTCCAATCAATTCCGCCGATCGCATAACCGTTTTCGATCCAATTTATCGATACCGACGACTGCTCACTTCCATTCCTTCCGGCGCCTTTGGAGCTCTTGATAGCTTCCACTCTTGTTATCGCTCATTTGCCTTGCCCGAGGCCACACTCAACATGGCCATCTCTACGGGCCTCGCCCTTTTGCTGGCTGCCGGCGCCGCCCTGCAACCTGTCGCGGCCAGCCCTACCAGTAAGTTGCGACCGTTTTGCGATCGCGCGCACTCTTCTTATGACTGGCTTCTACGGTGCATGAGGCTGGTGTGGCGTGATTGAACTTACTAAACTCTGGTTCTTGAACGAAGACTAATTGTGCTCCAATCGCAGTTGACGACGCCTTGGTCGCAATCTCCAACTCAGACTTCACTCCTCAATCCGTATCAAAACGAGGTACTCCCCAGGCTCCCGACGGTTATGTCCCCGGCAAAGTCGATTGCCCGAACACACGCCCAACTATTCGAAATGGCTCCTCCATCTCGAGCATGGAGCGCGACTGGATCCCCAAGCGCCGAAATGAGACCATCTCTCCTATCCGAGATCTTTTGAAGCGTATTGCAATTCCCGATTTCGACAGCGAGGCGTATCTTAAGGATGTCGAGACCAATGCTACAGCTCTGCCAAACATCGGTCTTGCCGTCTCTGGAGGCGGTTACCGTGCTATGTTGTGCGGTGCTGGTGCGCTGGCAGCTTGGGATATTCGATCGGATGGTAGTGACAAGGAAGGAAACCTCGGCGGTCTTCTGCAGAGTGCGACATACCTCTCAGGTCTTTCTGGTGGTGGATGGCTTGTGGGTAGCTTGATGATGAACAACTTCACCTCTGTGCAAGAAAGTGTGCAATACCCTGGTCTTTGGCAGCTGGAGAAGTCCATCCTCGAGGGTCCCGAGCGATACTCGCTGATTCAATACTATAATACCATTTTCGACGCCGTTTCAGATAAGAAGGATGCCGGTTACGAACGATCTCTTACCGATTACTGGGGTCGCATGCTCTCATATCAGCTCATCAACGCAACAGATGGTGGTCCTTCATACACCTGGTCCTCCATCGCCGACGACCCTGGCTTTTCCGAGGGCAAGGCTCCCATGCCCCTAATTGTTGCTGATGGTCGTGCACCTAACGAGCAGATCATCGCCTTGAACGCGACCAACTTCGAGTTTACTCCCTGGGAACTAGGATCTTACGACCCCGTTCTTGAAGGCTTCGTTCCTCTCAAGTATGTTGGTTCTGAATTCGACAAGGGAAAGCTGCCCAAGGACAAGTCTTGTATCGCTGGATTCGACAACGCCGGCTTCGTCATGGGAACTTCTAGCAGTCTCTTCAACCAGATCGTCCTTTACCTCAACGAGGACGACAGCAACTACGTCCCTGATGGTGTTCCTGACATCGCTATCGAGGCCGTATCCGCTGTCTTCAATGCTATCGGCTCCGAGAACAATGATATCGCTGATTGGACTCCTAACCCCTTCTATGGCTGGAACCCCGAGGAGAACTTGAGCGCCAAATCTGAGCGTCTCACTCTCGTCGATGGTGGTGAGGATCTTCAAAACATTCCTTACTACCCTCACCTCCGAAAGGACCGCGAGGTCGACGTTGTCTTCTCTTTCGATTCCTCAGCCGACACCGAGTTTGCCTGGCCCGACGGTGCATCTCCTATCGCTACCTACGAGCGCTCTCTTACCGACATCGCAAAGGGCTCATCCTTCCCTCCCGTACCTGGAAAGAACACCTTCCAGAATTTGGGTTTCAACAGTCGTCCAACCTTCTTTGGCTGCAACGCCACCAACATGACTGAGCCTACTCCCCTCATCGTCTATATCCCCAACTACCCCTACGTCTACTCCTCCAACATCTCCACTTTCCAGATGAGCATCAACTCCTCCGAGCTCTCCGCCATCATTGAAAACGGGTACGCCGTCGCCACTCAGCTCAACGGCACTCGCGACAAGGACTGGTCTTACTGCGTGGGTTGCGCCATGCTTTCACGCAGCTTCGACCGCACAAACACCACCGTGCCCGATAAGTGTCAGGAGTGCTTCACAAACTACTGCTGGAACGGTACCATCGATGATAGCGACCCTGGTATTTATGACCCCGAGTTCATCGGCGACGTGATTGCGCTTGAGAGTTCCGCGACAAAGATGGCCAGTAGTGCCTTCGTTGCTCTCGCAGCCATTGCGGGATTCATTCTCATTTAAAGCAAAAAAGAAAAAGATGAAAATATTGCATATAGGAGAGAGATCGTATTTATATCACTTATCGGAGTTGTTTATTTTTGAAGCAGGGTTCTTAAGCAATTGCATTGAGGGGGGGATATATCCCGGTTAGATAGACGATGAGTCTGAGGCTCGTCTTTTTCTTGTTATACTTGAATCGGAAGGGTTGCACGGTTTGCTCTTTAGGATACCTACTCTACTATTATGGTCAATCTAAATGATTTCGCACCCAATGCCTTCATAAGTACTCTGTACCTGAACTCGTCATCCTGGTGCTCATATGTGCTATTCAGATCGAAAACCTTTGTCAGCGAGCTTTTTGGGTCATGACAACATTCGATATTGGTATATTTTCTTGTCTAGGTATATCTCGAATCAACTACTTTTAGCGACTGTCTTCCCAACCTCATCCATACCCACTATATGCCGCTTGGCAGAGCCAGTCCTTGTTCACGACAGTAACACTCCCGTTCTACCACCGGCTGCTCTAAGCCGACATTACGGTAAACCTCCTCATACCCGATCTTGTACCCATGCTCCCGATAATCAATCTTTAGCACGTTGTTGTTCCTGTCCCTCCATCTAGTACCTTTTCGACTCTGCAACAGCGCGTCGATCTCTCGTGCAATACCCAGTGTCCATGCATAAGTGTTCATTCGCCGAAAAGTCTTCCATAGCCGAGAGATCTCGCCAAGTATCGTCAGTCCAGCCGCGCTTACAAAGGCAACGAATAGCCACGGGAGTATTTTTTGAGTCATGCTCAAAGAATCCCAGTCGAAGTCAAGCATAAACGGAACCATAAAACACATCCCACATCCAATAACGCTGAAGAGTTTCAAAAACCCTACAGGTATCACATCGTCGTAACTATAGATTAGACTCTCGCGGCCTGACAAGGCCATGACGTCGATATTTTCACCTGCTATGGTGAGAAACGCAGCTACTGTGGGGAGGAGAGCAACCTACGGACGATGGGAGATCTGGCATTATCCAGTTGGTGGTCATCAATCAAGTTTTCAAGAATCTGGCGGATGCTTGTGATGATCTGTTGAGTAACTAGAGGCGAGAACTTGGTTTTTGGACGTGAGTTGCGACATTCCATCTCAAGTTGCAATGAGAAGGCCTCGAAGAAATGGACGTGTTCGGCATTTGAGTTGTCGTTAACAGAAGATTCAGGGGTCAACTCTGTGTGCTGCGACGAATTCTGTGGCAGGGACTCATCCTGTTGAACAGAGTATAGCTCCTCGAGCTGGCGTGCAGCTTCTACACAATAGCTGTCCACGTCTACGGAGAGCTTTCCGCTTTCTTCTCTCACCAGACAGACGGGATACGCGGTTAACAAAGCGAGGCATTTGCTGCAATGGTCAGTCGCCAAGAGGCTCGAGGTAGGTAGGACAGCAACTTACAATATGCGAAGCCGCAGTGTCTTCTGTCGCATGTTGTAATCCTTTGAAGCATCACCAATATTCGTGCTTTTGAGCATAGATGTGGCTATGGTGGTGATCGTGTGTCCTATACGTTCCATTACGATTCGCGCTCCTCGTAATCTAGTCAATCTTAGCATGTATTCCGACTCGGTTTGTTGAAATACGAGGGCCGTACGAACGTCATAAGACCTTGAGCCATGGAGAAGGCTGAGCCGACTATACAAATTTCGAGGAAGAACGGGCGTGACTGGGAGAAAATGGTCCCAGTCTGAGAATCATGTTGTTTCCAAATAGACCGTCTGCGTCCGTCCACGTTAACCCCAGCGTCACTGCCGTCTAATGAAGATCTGCGTATGAGAGCTTTATCCGAATTAGGCTCAACAGCAGAGGTCTTGAAAGGCCAGCAGTTGATCAAAACCGTGGTGGCAATAATAGTCCAGACCAACATTATGAGAAAGCGACGCAGCCAACGTCTAACATACCGAGTATCCCTGTGGATCATTGTGATATATTTGTTCTTCTTGTTCTCTAAGTCGCAAAGCTTCCTCTCTATCCGATATTCCTCGTGGTAGTGCGCATATTTCATGCAAAGTTGGGTAAAAGCTTCAGGCCATAGGCACAAGATCCGATGAGCGATGCTAGACTCTTGACTCTTTCGATCTGTCTGTTGAGGACATGGAGATGCTGGCGGTGTAGATCCCCGCGAGTGGTGTCCCTTTTCCACATCATCTGAGCCCGAGGAATGATACTGGCAGGAAATAGCTTCGACGGGCGGGTTAGCGCGCCGGGGAGAAGAGGTAGGCGACACCGATGTTAACGGTAGTGATGGTGGTACAAACGATGGTGATGAAGAGTTGTCTCTTGGGGAGAATAGTCTCGGCGGGTATCTGGGTAGGTTTGATTGGTTTCTGCTCATTGTACGCGAGACTAGTTGTAAGTTTAATGAAAGGCGTTGTATTGTTCTGTAGAAAATGCTCGTTGAATTATGCGAACTCACGGGGTGATCAAGTGTTGATGACCAAAACGGAAGCGGGAAGATGAATACCAAGTCTGAAGCCTGAAGATTGTAGCGCGGAGATTCTTTCTCTGAGGCATTGGAACGGCGTCATGCAGAAGTTATTCTTCATCCAGGTGGTGCGAGGAAGGAACGACGAACAATTTGCGGAGACTTTTCTCCGCGGTGACAAGAAAATGGAAGGCACGGAGTGTTCCCATGATTGACCGATTCCAAACTTTTCCCTTCATTCAATCATTAAAGCTATACTTGATACTCTAAGCAAAAGTAACATCCTTTCCAGACTTGGCACTCTCAAAAACACCCTCGATGATTTGCAAAACATCTCGAGCCTCGCTGGCTTTGACAGGCACATCCTCCTCCTTTCCACTCTCAACAGCCTTGGCGAGCTGGGAGTAGAAGGCCTTGTAAGTGGGAACCTCAATCGAAGAGAGCGGTTGCTCCTTGGCCTTCTCGTTCTCATCAACGACAATCAGCTTGTATCGCGCAGGATCCTCCTTTCCGAAACTCTCGTTGGTAGCCTTGGTACCAGCCTTGAGGGCATCCTCTTGAGTGTCGAGACCGAGCTTGCGGAAGCTACCCTTTGTACCACGGACCCAGAAGCGAGGCTGCTCAAGCTCGGCGCTCAGAACGCTGATGCGGATGTTGACGAGAAGACCATCGGGGTAGGTCAACTCGGCTGAGACACCATCGGGGTTCTCAAAGTCGAACTTGCCGGTGCGCTGAGAAAGGAGACGGCCGTGGACGGACTGGGGCTTACCGAACAGGACATAGGCCTGATCGATGAGGTGAGTTCCCAAGTCATAGAGAGCGCTGCCGCCCTGAGAGAGAGGCAGGTCCAGCTTCCAGTTCTTGGAGGGGACCATTCGGTAGCGATCGAAGTGGTTGTCGAACTGGAAGATACGGCCCAAAGTACCCTCAGAAATGAGCTTTTTAAGAGTGACAAAGTCCGAGTCCCATCGTCGGTTCTGGTACACGATGAGGAGCTTGTCGTTCTGCTTGGCAATCTCAATAAGCTTATCAGCTTCAGCAGAGGTAGGCACGAAGGGCTTCTCGGTCAAGACATGCTTTCCGGCCTCAAGGGCAGCCTTTGTGAGTTCAAAGTGGTTGCCGGGAGGAGTGCTGATAACGATCAGGTCGACATCAGAATCGGCAAAGAGATCCTTGTAGTCTGTGTAGTGCTTGAGATCGGGATAGTCGGCAGGCGCAGAGTTTCCCTCCTTGGGCGATCGCTGGACGATGGCGTGCAGCTTGAGTTGAGGAGTCTGAGTGATGAAGGGGATGTGAAAGATTTTGGCGGACATGCTATTCGTGTCAGCTCATGAAGTCATGAGATATCCTGCTCGGTGAGGTGAACTTACCCATATCCCACGATACCCACGTTGAAAGTCTTTCCGCTCATTTTGGATGTCTTTGAATAAGTTGTTTAAAGATTATAAAGGAGAGTACGGGTGGAAGTCTTCACTTTATAAGTCATCGTCGAAGAGAAAAGAGTTAGACAGTATCATTCACATGAACCATTTCCCCAAACTACGATTCCGTCATGGTGCGGAGTCATTCCCCACGGATGCCTCGCCATTCTTGGAGACTCCGGAGGGGATTGAGTGTCATGATTGGTTCATGAGCTCAAAATAGAGTGGATTTGACCGAAAAGTCGGGGAGGCTCAAGAGAAAGTGAGAAGGTCCAAGCGAGAGAGCCTCAACGACTTAGTCAAGTTTTGATGTCTTTTGGGTGATTTCAAAGCATTGAAAGACTTTCAATATGAGATATTTGCAAGATCGAAATGACAAGAAGAATTTGTTTCTTTAGCTAAGAAAATTGGCGTGTTGCGGAGGTTCCGTTTTGGGAATAACACCTCAAAGCCGTCAAGTGAGGATTGTTGTACAACTGCGGAACCATCCATATCACACGATAAGCTTATGTTTATCGATACGACAGGTTGATATGTCCCTCGGAGCTGTGGTGGGTTCAAACGCCAATGATTTCGGCTCCGTGGCCGGACATCTTTGTCTCGCGCGCTCTGGAGTGGGTCACGGACGTTGATCAAGCCTGCCGGAGCCCGCACCGCAAGCCGAGCGAAGATTCCGTTCTTGTTCAATATCAATATACAAGTTGGAAGGATTATCTGGTTAACCGTAGAGTATCCGAATTCAATGACATTGGAGAATACAATTACAGATACATGGTATCCAACAAAACACCCCAACTTACCCTATTGCTCAGCGAGGCGCCTTTACTTGGACTTTCTTATCATCAAAAGGGAAGCACCTCTACGTCTCGCTATTATATGCTACCGGGTAAGAGGCGAATCACAGACATACGAATCTTGAGGAAATGTCCTTTCGCTACACTCGGCAATACGAGTTTGAACAACTGAATATTAGACCTTGTCTAAAAGTGCTTGTTGCTTGATTTCAACACAAACATATCACTTTTCCAAAAGTATTGAAAGTCTCACTCCGTCAGAGCTTTCATGAAAAACAAACTATACCATGCGCTCCTATATTCTTGCTTCGATTCTTCGGCCATTATAGGTGATTGTCGAATAGATGGTTCATTATGATACCGTGACAACACTTTGCGATCATGGCTATCAACGGGATGACTTGACAGGGGGTCACAGGCTTGAGAGAGGAATTTCGGGGGAGTTTTGATGCTTTGTTAACAGAAGCATGGGGAGGCCTTAAAGGAGATGGACCATTTTGGGCTCTTGATGGTGATGGATCTACAGAGTTTTGCGCGACACTTTTTCGATTTACCACTTCTGCTCTGATGTACTCTGCATGCTATGTTGGATCATGTGTGCTAAATATCCCGAACTCCTACTTTATGAGTGATTGCACGGCAGTACACTGTGGTTGATGGCCATGCGGATAGGGTTTATGGGAAATACTTTCCGGACTACGATATATGGCAGTGAGTCTCTTGACCAGTTAGCAAAATGTCGACTGTCTGCTCCGGGGATCAGGGAGAGTGTTGAGATTTGTTGGGCAAAAGATAATCTGACATGAGAGCCAATGATGATAGACAAGATGTTCTGGCACTACTACTGAAGAAAGAAGCAACCTCAATAATCTCGAGACTCACAATATATGCCATAGACCTAAGAGCCGATATCCATTTAACCCTTTTGCGGCTATAATACCGCATGGAGGTACCCATCCGGTTCTCTGAACAATACTATCTAGTTGCTTCTTGGAGTTTTGCGCAACTATAGCAGGGTGAATGTATAGGTTGACCTTGGCTTTTCGCACTATCCGAGTATGCCAGTTTCTCATTGTCGAGTAGCCTTGATTCACGAACCTGTGATACTGGTATATTGCGTGCGCCCAGAGATATCTCCAGCCAAGCTCAAGCATCTCATCTAGCATATGTAACCAAGTCAAACTGCAATCAAGAGATCTTGCTTATACCAAGTTTCATCGAGCGTTCTCGAACAGGGGCACATCGCCAAACTCGACGTCACTCTTGATCTTGGTAAAAAGAAAACCGTTGAAGCTAACTGAAGTGAATCTTGGAATGGCTGCAATGACGTTGGTTACAACGGTTGAGCGCCAAGGCACAGGGGTTCAACGTGTGGGTTGGAATAGAGTCGTGATGATTGGTGGTAATTTCAGGGTCGACAGATCAAGGAATCATGTTACTGTTACTACGATTGACGAGAAGGTTCGAGGGTATACTCGTGTAAACTATACCATGAGAACATAGGATTGTAGAGAATGGAAGTTGAATGCATATCCCATCATATGCTTCGCCCTCCAGCCTCGGTCTAGCAACTCTCCAGCCTTCTCTTCACCCCAGGTCGGAAATTCCCCGTGTCTCAAAATCACGAATGGTGCGGCATCCACGAACTCAGAGTGTGTGGCAACGTAACGCGGCCCTGCATGCAAACTCGAGCTGAGATGGTTGCATTTTCATTATGTACTGTACTGTGCTACGCAATGAGGCTATTTTAATAAATGCAGACCAGGGCAGAAAATTTGACATGACGGCAAAGTGACTCTGCTGCGCCAGTCAAATGCATGCCGTACCTAGAAATAAAAGCTCATCTCGGAGTCTTTTTCTTTTCAGGCTGTATGGGTGTGGTATATAATTGACTATTATTATGTATAAGGATATACACTTGCATAAAAAATAGATCTCTTCGTAAAGGTTCCCCATGCATGTCAGCTCATTCATAAACACCATGGATATATCACAGCTTTTGATCAGTAGTGTAACGGTTTATTCTTTGTTTTTCTGAGTAAAAAAGCAAAGAAAAGAAACCCTGCTTCGCTAGTCGAGTTTGCCAAGTCGGTAACAGCGGATAGGCGATGCGATTGAGGGCCCCTTGTCGTATCCCTTGTGTATCCATCAGTCGATTGATTCAAAGATCCATACAGGAAGAGTCCGAGTTTCTAGCTCAGACCATGCGATCGAGACAAGGCAAACGGTGCCGCAGGACATGTGGGTTCCTTTCCCATGTGAGTCCTCGGCGTGGCGGTCGGTCGAGAACAGGGCATGAAAAGAGTGAGAGTGCATTTGTCCATGGTAGGAAGGTCAGTCAAGTCTCGATCCTTGTTCGTTGACAGCCTTTATTCCCGTTGTGGGCGTTACTGGGCAGAGACAAGGCAGGGATTCAGCAGGATGTCATGCGGGGGAAGAGGTTGGCGCCATCACTGAAGGGGTGTAGCCTATAGCTTCCATGCCCGGGAACTCTTCAGTAGAGCTTCTGTTTTGTTTTCAGGTTACGGCAATTGAATAGAGAAGGAAGAGAGGTTGGTAAACACAGTCGAGTATCAACATGTTTCAGACCCTTTGGCCTCTAACCAACTCAATTGTCTACTCTTGGGGAACGTTAAGCCAAGAATTGGCAACGTTTCTTGTTTTTCTGTTCCTGCATTTCTAATTTTCCATTTCTGTAGCTGTAGTTGTAGTGGTTGGTCACTAAAGCCTGCCACACCAAACCTTGAACAGCCTGTTTTTCCAGGCTCTATCATCGGCCTTGCCGCTCAAGTCAGGTTTAGTCTACCCTAGCTGAATGAAGGACAGTCAATCGGCCCTCGGGTACTCGTCCAGCATGTGACCCTCCCAAGTTGAATAGTGATGTACAGTGATTGACCACTGTAATTACGGCACTTCTTTGGAAGATTCTGCAGTGGCCATAATCTAAAATAGCGTCGATTCTTGAATTTCCTACATACCCGCGATAACATGCGATAGCTTCTTATTTACTGCGGGTTTGCCAAGTATTCAAATTAATACTGAACCACTTTTCCCCGGAAGATCCATTTAGCGATGAAACTTGAGTCCATATCTGTATCCGTACAGTAAACCATTATTAATCCTCAGGGAAAGGGGATGCACTGCTCATTATCCGGCTACAAGTGGACCAGCATTCTCCATAATCTCCATATTGACATCTAAAAAGCATTCATTACTCGGGAAGGGCCATAGCGATACAAACCATCTCCTCTTAGCTTCAGGTTGGACGGAGATTTCTTTGACTAAATGGGGAAAGGGTCGACTTTTCTTGACTGGTATGCCACTAGACCCCTGATCTAAACTGCTCAAGTGGACGGACAAGTACTGTACTTGTGGACATCATCAGGTGAATGGAGGCCTATCTACTTGTTTCTACTCGTCTTTTCTTAGCAGGACCAAGTACCAATCTATCTATTTTCTTTCTAAATAACCCCTTTCCTCTATCTCCATGTTCCTGATCTAGTTTCTTCAGTATCCACGATTGGAAAGGCTAGTAGATCAGTCAGTCATAGCAATCGTACGTGAGTAATGTAATGAGGACCTTCTTGGTTTGACCTCATATCCGCTACACCCTGTAGTAATAGAGTTTTTGTACAGTACAGTACAGTACTGCATTGTAGACTCTCCGCATTCTCTCGCCCCCAGACTTGACTTATTATCCCCCTCGTCGATCTACTCGGCTGTGTGTGTCGAATTCGGTAACCGGCCCCGTTGGGCCTCGTTCTCCAACGACATAACATGTACCATGCAATACCATCCAGGAAACTCAATATGTAGGTAACATTTGGGCCTTTTGTCCAACCACCCCCTCGTCACTTAATTCCCCTGCCACGACTCTCAGACCTCATTGGTTCAGGTCCCTCAAAACTAGCCTGGCCCGGCTCGTCGCGAATGCAGTCCGACCACCAACTTGTACTCCACACACACTTCTGTCTAGTTGTTGGCTAAGGAATAGTGTTGTACTCGACCTCGACTCGAGAACCAAGTCCAAGAACAAGACTTCCAGATGCAATTGTAGCTGCACCTAAGAGGCTGGAGCTTCTCCGTTCCATGGAAACCGTCCGACGGCAACCCTGGTTCGAGCTATTGACTCTGAATACATAAAGCCTCATCCTCATCCTCCTTCAAACCTCTCTTTCTTTCCTCCTCATCCACTCGCTTCCATTGGACCATCAACTTCAACTTTTGCCTTGCCTCTTTACACTCGTTGCCTCGCTCAACACACCAACAAGTTCAACAAGACTTAATCAACATATTCAAAATGAAGTACTCCGTCGCTTTCGTCGCTCTCGCCGCCGCCGCTGCCCAGGCTCAGTCGCTCGCCGACGTCCCCAAGTGCGCTATTCCTTGCCTTGACAAGGCTATCGAGAGCAAGACCAAGTGTGAGACCACCGACCTCGCCTGCATCTGCGAGAGCTTCGACGAGGTCCGCTCTTCCGCTACCTCTTGTGTCATTGACGAGTGTGGCTCCGACGTTGCCATCAGTAAGTTTCACTCTTCGTATCTTCGACTGTGGTTACCATATACTAACCAATCTACAGACGAGGTCCTCCCCGCCACTGAGGGTCTCTGCAAGGACCCCCCCAAGAAGGAGGAGTCCGCCAAGGAGGAGACCACCTCCGTCAAGGTCGTCGTCTCTACCTCCGTCGAGGCCGTTGAGACCACCGCCGCCGCTACCACCACCGTCGCTCCCGTTGTCCCTACCACCATGGTCGAGGAGACTCACAGCACCCCCATGGCCACTCCCACCAAGGGCAGCGACGGTCAGGAGCCCGCTCCCACAGAGGTTGGCCAGAACAGCGCCTCCGGCATCAAGGGTCTCGGTGCCCTCGCCATGGCTGCTTTCGCCGCCCTTGCTCTGTAAAGAGTTTGATTCATCAGCCAGTCATTTATGGAAGCCCATTCCCCTAGTAGTTGGTGAAACGAACGGGATAAGAGGCATTGCAATGAGTTGAAAGTAGGATATGGGATATGTATATGAGAATTGGGAAAGCTATCAGCATTCGATTCACAGGTTAATAGTAATGGTCCTTGACCACCAGAACATAGGCGAATATACCAGTGATAATTACCTCAATTTCTTTCGGTCTCTTCATCAACATCGTGAATAAACAACACCCACAAAGTGCCTGATCGTAGATCGCGATCACACCACTTGGATCGAGCTGCACTGTCATCGGCCGAGAAACCCAGTCACTCAATGCTTACTCGCACCACTCACCCACGTTACCCCTTCTCCAGGCGGCTAGCCTCCCTCCAGTGGTCGACGTCTGTCCGTATTAGGTGCAGTTCCCTTTCTGGACCACATCCCGAAGGGCTTCTTTGTCTAGCTCAACAGACCTGCCAAGAGGCCAGAATCCTTACGCGTCCTCGATCTTCTTTTGGTGCGGTGCGGGGGAGCCGGTAAGCGATGTTACCCTGAAAATAGACCAGGGGTGCAAGACGGAAGCATTCTGTGGCTGAAAGATACTTTATATCGTGATCCAATGAAAGACGGTTTGTTATGCTTAACTTGGTGCCATGTGTCTTGTATTCATGGTCAGCTTCGTATATGCAATCATAGTCCAATGCTCACAGTACACGTCTAAATATTGATGATTGTCTTTGCTTCAATAACATTTCATGAGGCTTGAAAGTCATGTTTTCACCAAGAGACACTCGTCTCTCATTCGCTTCTGTGTCCTTCGATCTCCTCAACCCATTCGCATACCCTTCTCGCAACCTCCAGACTCGCATCTGAACTCGTTAGCAAACATCGAAAATTCGGGAGATTCCACTTACCTTCTCTCGTGCAAAATGCATGTGGAATATCACCATCATCAACCAGAATTCTGGCCACCTGTCCCCTTCGCTCCATAATGTCTTTCTTCTCATTGTCGTTAACCCAATGATCCTTCTTCGCATAGAACAAGAAGAACCGCGGCACTCCGTTCTCTTGTCCGGATGTAGCCCAAAGCTCTTCACTCCATTTCTCCTCGCTGATCACCTCCAGCTCGTCCAGCCCCAGATGCACAGATTGCAACACACCATCTCTGCTCTTCAGCCATCGCGCCGTGACGTCCGCGCTTGCAGGTGTGAAGCCCAGCAGGCGTTGCACAATCCACGTCACGGTTGCGACGCTTAGTAACCCGAACAGTAGACGCGCGAGTAGCGATGCTACACTGTCAAGAAACGGGATGATGCGACCCAGCAATACGAATTGCACGCCATTGGAGGAGCGAGCCAGGTGCGTCAGTGTTGGAAATAGCAAAAATCCATGGCGTAGCTTGAGATGTGGCGCTCTTTGGGGATCTTTCATATGTCGATGGAAAATCTCGACCGCGATGTATGTCCCGACAGAGTGGCCCATAAGTATCACAAAGTCATATGCCTCTCCCTTTGCCGCGATCTTGTCGTACATACCCTCGACCTGCCCGTCAAGATCCCAGGGTTTGTTACTCGAACTGAATGGCGTATGGTCGTCATCGCTGAATCCCAACAAGTTGGTGCCATATATGTCGTACGCGGTGTTGGTCTCAATTTTGTCCAACAAGCCACGTAGATTGCTGAGGAAGTCGGTGTAGTACTCGATAAGACCTGGGTTACCACAAAGGTAATAAATGAGGGCCTTGCTTTTACTTCCTTGAGAACGCTCCGACGGAAGCCATATTTGAGGAACCATGATGTGCTGTTAGTATGTGAGTGTGAAACTGAAGTTTTAGCGAAGGAGATATGAGCGTTGGTGGATGCAATTGCGTAGTTAGGATCCGAGCTACCCGGTAGAACAGAGACCATTGCGCAATAGGCAACCATCTAGGTGAACCGACTCGATCAGTCGCAGAGCCCAAATCTGACAAGGATTTGGGCTTTACAATATAGCCATACACTTGATTACGTGCTACGATGGTTACTGGTCGAGCTTCATATGGGTGCAGCAAACGTGCTTCATCTTAGTCATATTCAACAATTATATTCGTTGCGGCACTCAGGTTACTCGATCATTAAACAATGGGCTAGACCAAACTAACGAGACCAAATCAATCCCAAACTCCCTTTCCATGGCTAGCACCATATCACAAAATCATCCAGACTCATGAGCCACTCTAGAGATGTACTCGACCGAGTCTTCCAGGTCCCTCATGCATGTGTTGTTCGTGTACTATCCTCATATCCATTACTTAAACTTTGTGAGTCTTGCGAACTTCTACAAGTCCCACATTCTTCTTGGTGACTGCTGCCCATGCAGGCATGTACTTGAGAAGTTCATCAAGAGCCGGAATCGTGCCAGGGGTGTTGGCGTCGCTGTATGCGCAGCTGACTGTTACTTCGAGACGATCTGCTGACTGGTTTGCCGATCTGGTTTTTAGTTCTCCGTCTTCCACTATCTTGCTCTCTCCTTGTTCCGATTCTGCCGCTGCGGCCAACGAGTTGCGCTCGTTGAGGTAAAGATTCAAGGTCCAAGGCCGGTCGCGATCACGTCGCCAGAGCTGTACACTGCTGAAACCCTCCGATGGGAACTTTCCAAAACGAGGGTCTCGTGCGCTTGCACCATCAACGGCAAATCCGTAGATCGGCCGAGATGTGCGAACATAGCAAAGTCTGGAATCAAGAGCGTCGATTCTAAGTCTTGCTTTCGATTCATTGCTGCCGTCGACCGTCTCGATTGAGACCAACTGCTTGGGGGACTTGTCCTTGTACAAGTTGGGTGTCAGAGAAGAAGCGTCGTACTGGCAGTCCGTCAGATCTCGTCCAACAGCCGGCTGGCATTTGATCTCCTGTCCCGTGGTACTTGGCAGGGAACCAATGACCGAGCGCGCATAGTCCTCAATGCCCACGATTGAGACTGTGTCAGTACCGTTATCAAGATCTACTACCTGTTGGAAGTAAAATTTGAAGCGGTTGTTGGCAGAGAATGGGAATGCCACCAGGTTGTAGACCAAGGTGCCAATGAAGACAAAGAACAAGAACATGGGTACATGGTGGGTGACTCGATGCATGAACGGCGTGAGCGGCAGCAATAGGAAGATGCTGAGAATGCCCAGGGACAGAACAGGAACGAGGAGACTACCGCCGTCAGTACCTGTCATCTGCGTAGCAGTCATCACAACTAGTCCGAGATTGCCAAACAGAATCACGGGGACTGGAGCCAAAAGCAGGAATTGGAGGATCCAAGTCCAAGTAGGAAGGCGTCCAGACCAACTCTGCTCATGCTCAAAAGGCTGGTATCGTCGCATACTAGGCGGAGAAGGTGAGTTCTCGGCAACTGAACGACGATATGTATTGGCGAATGATGTCGGAGCGTTGGAGCCGTAGCCAGATTCATTAGCTCTAAGAGGCGTAGTCTCGGTCGCATCTTCATCGCCGTCATCACCGTCCTCAGCCTCAGCTTGGGCAGGTTCATTCTCTGTGTGAGACCTTGATTCTTGTTCAGTACCTCGGCTCGAAACATCGCGCGCCTGATGCGCATCATGGAGCTGCAGAGCAAAGTCGTGCTTGCTAAGCAGAGCAAACTGCTCCAATAGGGAAATCAGCAAAGCCAGGAATATGGCGGATTGGAAGAAGACGGTCGGATAGAGAGCACCGATGTGCATGCGATCCTCTGCCACGGCACAGACAACCTGTATGCCCCAACCGAGAGCGAAAAGCCAAACAAGCACGAAGCCTCGGTGTAAGGCACTTGGGCGGACGAAAGCAGATCCACGCATGATGAGCCAGAATGAGAAGTAGAAGATAGACAGAGTCATGGACCACCTAAAATATCCCAATGTTAGTTTATGCTTAGTTAAAATAAAATGTTCATGGCCACTTACACAGCGTAGCCACTGCTGTAGATGATCAGTGGGTTGAACTTAGCAACCAAAAGCGTGGCTGCAATAGTTAATGCGCCAGCAAAGGCGAGCGCAAAGGGGAAACGGAAGAAGCCCTTCCACCCACCCATCGTGACGGGATCATCGTTAATGTCGTAGTGCATCTTGATATCTCGGGCGAAGAAGTAGTACTTGTCGTTACGTACTAGGATATACGTGAAGCCAATAAGGACGAGAGGAGTAGCGACAAGGAGCGTTAACGACCATGCAAAGAGTCCTCTGAGTGCGAATACGGCCCATGCAGATCCGAAAATATCGAACCAGACGCCCTCAGCCTGCTTTCCGTTTTGAACGAGATCCGAGTTACCATCAGATCGATCACCGTTGAAGATGGTACCAGTCGTTTTCGACAGGTGCTCTGTTGAAGCAAGAGCAGCTGAGAGCATGTGCCAGATGCTGTTAACAGATGTATGCCGGGCATCGTCCTGGTTCGTATGATAGCGAGCACGAGGCGCATAAAAGGCGATATCAAGTCCACGCTGTCCGAAAATGTCTGCGAAGATCTCATAATCGGTTGCGCTCTTAATGACGCCTCTTTCAAAGGCATTGGCAGCAACAACGGATCCGAGCGGATGGGGGCTCTTGGAGTATGCTTTGGCAGCCTGCAAATCAGTAGTACGGAAAAGTAGAGCTCGACCGCCTGCTCCAGCACCTTCGAGGTTGACAAATGTATGGGTGAAATGCAATAAAGGACTGTAACCGAAAGCTCTGGCGCCGAGAAGTCCATCCTCCTCAGCGTTGTTGAAGAGCAAAACTATGCCATTCTTAGGCTGACGTCCTTTGAGTGTGAAATAGCTCAGAAGCTGAAGCATAGAGACGCAAGACATTCCATCGTCGGTAGCACCATAGCCGGTGGAAACGCTGCAGTCATTAGCTAATATAGCGTATCGCGAATGAGGACCACTTACGAGTCAAAATGACAGTTGACAAGGACACCTCCCTGGCCTCGGAACTTCTTGTACTTGGATTCATCGCGCCACCATTCACCTTCAGGATCTTCTTGGCCGTGGATGTAGACATAGTAGTTGTTTCCTTCAAAGTACTGTCCCAGCCATGTTCCCTTGGAGATGTTCGAGCCCAAGCGCCTAGCGGTGTTGTAAGTCCAGGAAACATTGGAGATTCTGTCGTCAAAGAGTGTGGCTCCACGAGGCTTTGCCTGTACTGTCTCTTCGGGGGCATCAAGGGAATCTAGTTTGTCAAGAGAAGAGGCTCTGCTCGCCGTTAGCAAACATCAGTCATTGCGCAATCAGATACTAACCTTGAGTGCCAGTCTACACCACCGACGCTCTCTATTGTATAAGAAAGGTCGTTTCGATCCAGAATCTCCTTTGTGCGGTTGATGAGAAATTCGCGAACTCGATCATTCTCATGACTGTTGTACGGATGGTAAGTGCGACTAATGGCTTGCAAATCTAACCACGCCTCAGTAAGATTGAGGCCCTGATACAGCGAGCGATCGGCCGGAGCTGGAGGAACAGTCTCGTGGACCCATATGAGAGGGATAGCAAGGGCGATATATATGATAGTGGTCCAGAAAGTCACGGGTCCTGGCCGAAAGGCAAGAGGATTCTTAGCCCTCATGATTATTGAGATGCGTCCGGGATGGAGGCTGAGGTAATCTGAGTCGAATGCACGACGCGCCTGTGCGTCGCGAGGCGGAGGAGAGTCTAGGTAGCGTATGTAATAATTATAGTTGTAAAACCATTGTTAGGACCAAAGTCAACGCGTAATAGTGAAGAACGAAGCACGTAGGACAGAAGACAAGAGGATGAAAGATAAGACAGTGAGGGAGAGGTAGGGCAGATGGAACAAGGATTTAGATCAGATGACCCTTGCTAGTAGATGGAAACAAAAGAAGAAGGTACAGGAAAGAACCTTCGAGCGCGACTTCCACAGCGCGTCGCAAACCTTTTTGAGATAAACCCAAAACTAAAGTATCGTTCTCGTTGTGTCCTACAAACTTCATGTTATTTCGAGATTCAAGGTAACTCTCTCATCAATTATCGATTGCGTCGCTTCCGCTGTCACATGGCCCAAGCTCCCTGTTCCGGCAATCCAGAATATAGGTACGTACAATGACGCCAGAACCACTGCAATGCGGGGTCTACAGCACCTTTTAAGCATGCATGAGTTGCATCGATTATCGACGTGCATAAACTGGGTATTTTACATTTCCATAAGCATGTCATCCATTTCACTTCAATGGCCAAGTCACATGGGAAGGATTTATATAAACGAAAAGACTTAATTATCAAGTATTTGCCTACGCGATTAGTTCCATGCTTCGAAATGAATCATAACTAGCTGCAACACACGGGTTGATCATCAGAACTCATCATACTGAGCAGTGAAATACAAGCTTGACTTGCAGTGGTTAGTCGCTGCCACGTTAGAAACGATCGCTTATCCTCCTTCCTATTATCCGGGTCGATATAACAATCTTTAGTCTCTGGTCAAATGTTTACATTATGTCAGAAACTCGCAAACCCAATGATCCACGTTAGTTTCCTGGGGGAGGAGGCGGGGGCTGGTCACTGGGAGGTGGTGGAGGAGCGTCGCCAGAAGGCGGCGGGGGAGGAGGTGCTGCGCCAGCATACTGTTGGATGAAGGCGTTAAGGTCGCCCAGACCTGGGGGCGCACCAGGAGGAGGGGGAGGAGCTGCACCACCGGGAGCAGCGAGGCCAGGAGGAGCGCCCATTCCAGGAGCAGCTCCGTAGGCACCGTAGGCAGCGTAAGCGCCATACCCACCCTGAGTTCCAGGAGCTTGTTGCTGCCAGGGAGCAGCAGCGCCTGAAGCAGCGCCATATGCCTGACCATAGTAGCTGTCGCCGTTGTTACCAGCGTGTTGATCTTGGTTACGACCATCACGGTCCCGAGCCCAAGGAGCTGCTGATCCTCCTTCGTTAGAATCTTGGTTGCGACTGCGCCATGGTGCAGGTCCACCGGTAGGACCTCGTTCCCAGGGCTTCGCGTCGCCGCCGCTCTGGCCACCAGGGCCGGCCTCGATACGTGCAGGAGCTCCGGAAGATCCTCCGCCAAGCTCTTGCATGAGTTGCTAGGATTTGTTAGCATTGTGTGAATATGATATATAGGATATGACTTACCTCGTATTCACGGTCGACAGCATCTCCGCCATCAATACGGCCAGCAGGGCGGGCTCCCGCTTCGCCGTTACGCCAGCTGGCACCACGCTGGCGGTCAGGACAATCGCGAGCCATGTGACCCGCGTTACCACAGACGCGACAGATGATGCTGGCAGTGTAATTCTGCTTCTCAGGGCAGTCGTACTTGCGATGGCCAATCTTGCCACAGTTCTGGCAAGCCTGGTTCTCGTCGTCTCGAAGGGTACCGTTGAGTGCAGCGAGTTCTCTGAGCTGGTTACGCTTGAGTTCGTTCTGACCTTCGGGAATAGACGCAGCCTAGATAGTTAGTGAAAGTTCTGTAAAGATTGGATATTTACTTACAGTCTCGATGACGTTGTGAATAAGCTTCTTGGCCTTGTTGACCTTGTCCTCGGTATCGGCCATGATGAGACAGTGCAGATCCTCTTCCTGGTTACTGGCATGCGCGGCATCAGACCGGCCTTTACCCTCCTTGACGGAGCCCTTGCCACGAATGGCGATCTTGGCACCTGAGTCTCCCTCCATTTTCTTCAGAGTGTTACCACGAGGGCCGATAAGTAATCCAACTTTAGTGCGAGAGAGCTATTGTTAGTATCTGATTGGTAAAGATTAGATGAACGGGTAGAGGGTTAGTCCATTCGATGAAGGACCAGATCTCGCAGCACTGGGAGTATGCCGGCGAGTCTGATCAAACTCCAAAAGGAAGACAAAAAGCAAGGACAGAATATTGGTAAGTAGGGTTAAAGGGTTAGCAATCATACTGAAGTTAATCTCCGGGTAATCGTTGACAGGAACGTAGACCTTCTCCTGGGTCTTGGTAGGTCTGCGGTAGTCCTGAGGAGGATGGTAGTTAGGAATGGTCTTCATGGCCTTCTCAATGAGCTTGTGGCGCTCATCTTCGAGTCGCTTTCGGTATCGGTATTCTCGTGTGTTGATACGTCGGCCGTGGTTGTCGTACTGGGGTGCGGGAGAAGGTGATCTGTCGCGTGTTAACATTGAAGAGATAAAATTAGGGGATAAAGACTTACCGATCACCATCAGCTGGGACGACATCGTCGATGCGAAGCTTCTGGGAGATTTCCTCGATTCGCAAATGCAGCGTGTAGGCCTCGAGCTGCTCGCTTGTCATGTTGGACAAGATAGCAGTGGGCAAGCCCATGAGGCCAGCGGCTTTGTTCTCGGATGCGTCACCCCATCTGTTTCGCTTCTTTCGTCGTCGGGGCCCATCAGATTCGCCGCGAGGTTCAGGATCGCGTCCTCGCTTCAGGTCGCGATCAACAGCGGAATCGCCACCATCGAATTCCTCTTCCTCGTCGCCCCCAAAGCGGCGCTTGCCAAGAGGGATGTTGTTAGAACCGGTGATTCCTTGGCTTCTCCACGACATTTTTGATTGCTGTGCGGTTAGAGTTTGATGCTTTCGAAAAAAAAAGTAGATGATACAGGAGAAGAGAGCCAGTCCTTTGTCCTAGCGTCAAAAGTTCAAAGTGGGTGTTTCGATGCTTCCAAATCTGGGGCCACTTGGCGGACTCGGCGAAACGTTCAGCCAGCTAACAGGCACGTGACCTTTCTCAATGAACAACCCGCAATTTAATGTCTGAAGCAGAGTCACATAGACTAAGTCATAGGTAATTTCTAGAAAGTCGGGGGACGGGGCTTTTAATGTGTTTAAGGCATTGCTGCCTGGAATCCTATTTATCGTATGAAGGCTATACCGAACGTAATGACCAAATGCATATAATCATTGGACGCAAGCCAAGGATGTTAGGCTGCACACCACCTCGCATTTCGATGCACAAAAGTCCGAGACTATAATCGATACCTGAATCCAACAACTTGCCAGTCTGTTACATCTTCTGACTCTGTTGTTGACTCACTATTGTCCTCCCGTCTAACAAATCCTCCTGAGTCAGCACTCCCCGCAACACCCTCTTCTTTGATTCGTCTTATATTCAACTGTTTGAGATAAAACCTCAAGCACAATGCGCAAAGCATAGCTAAGCTATAACATATTGTGATTGCTTTGAAGGCAGTTTCGTACAGCGGATCCTCGGATTTGAGGAAGAAATGCGGCCCAGCCATGTTTCCAAGGCAGTATGTGGCAAATAACATAGCTGTTATGGTCATCTTCTTGGTGACCCCTCTGTAGTTGGACTGCACAAGAGCCATATTAAGAGGCATTGCCGCAGAGCCGGTTGAAAGGAGAAAGTACGCAACCAAATGCAGGCTCTGGGGCACATGATTCCGCCTGTAAATGACGGCACTGCCTACAACACAGGGCAGGATTACCGCAATGATCAAGAGACAGTTCAGAGTACGGAAGCGACCAGCTAGATGATCGCTGCCTGCAATTATACCAGCCGAAAGAAGCGAATAGGGTATGTTGATCAACGTAGACTGCAAGTTAGTGAAGCCAAAAGATTCGACGACAATATTGGCAAAGCTTTGAGAGCCACCGTTCGGAATTTGGGTAAACAGTTCGATACCAACAATGAGCCAGGACTTGGGATCAACCAAGCATTCGCGCACCTGGTCCCATCTCCAGTGCGTACCCTCAGTCTTACCGGTGCCAGAAGTGGACACGCGCTGTGCTGCGACTTTTTTCTCTTCTGGTGAGAGAAACCTGGCCTTGGAGATGTTGTCTGGAAGGAAAAGGAACAACGGAATGGACCAAAGAAAGGTAGCAGTGCCCAAAATGATATACATCCATCTCCACGGTCGTATTGTCGTGCTCTCGATATGTCCGATTCCGAACGCGAGTAAACTGGCGACCAACCCTCCAACAGAATTCCCAGAAAACCAAATCCCTACACGAGCTGGCATCTCGTCACGAGTGTACCATGTAGAGGTGAGAAACATGAAGCCTGGTGTTATTGTCGCTTCAGCGATACCGAGTAAGAAGCGCACGGTCAAGAGACCGCCAAAGTTCTGACATGCGGCAGTAAACGCAACAACCAAGCCCCAGAATATCGTGTTTGCTGTAATGTATTTTCCAGTCGGCAGCCGTGCGACAAGAACGGTGGTTGGGTAAGTCCACAGGAGATAACCTAGGTAAAAGACACTTCCTGCCCAGCTGTACTGTTGACCTTTGAGATGCTGAGACGCTATCAGTAACGATGTACCAAAATTGAACTGACAAACTTACGGTATCTTCGCGTAACCCGAATACAGCCGCACTAGACAATATGACCTTGTCCATGAAATTGAACATGTACGTTATGAATAGAAGAGGAATAATGGCACGGTCTATTTTAGCCAACGTCCTTTTCCCCATCTCATCATCGATACCATCTTGGTGAAACGACGTCTCTTCATGTGTCGAAGATCTCGGGTGGTTGCGAAGCAAAGGAGTAGTAATGCTTTGGTCCGGTTCACGTGCGATAGAAGCCTTTGGGGGACCATCGACTGATGGAGTATTCCTCGCGGTCGAGAGACCTTTATAACGTGGTTCACTCATCGCGATGACTGTGACCTCACTGCGCACACGCCGACATTGCGATAATAGCTTGATAAATTCATCTGACAAAATATAGTGTGACGTTGAAGACTCGCAAAAACGGGATTAAAGGTATTTCCATGCTATTGATGAGAGATACTAATGATGATTGAGCCCGATAGTGGATTCGAGGCGTCTGGGCGAAAGTGCGAATATCTCTTCCATACTGTGCTGACAATAACCGGTGCAAATGACGAAGCTACTGTGGCTCGTCCATAAGTGATTGTAAGCAATAGAACGTCATTGTTTGAATCTAAGGGTGCTTTATTAAGTATTGCTTTGTGAAATTATTTTCCGATTTGACAAAATGACGGATCGGCGTCTCAGATAGTCTCTTCCAAACTGTCAACCTGTGCAAGTCCCCTACCTAGCGTTTGGAGTGATGCTTCTCAGTTCGTGGTTCTCGTGGTTGTCTGCCAAAGTCGCAGCACCATCTGCTGAAGTCTCTACTTGTGTTTTGCTTTTAATACCCAAATGAGCATCTTTCCGCTCTTTGCTTAGGTGCTGTGCCCTCATGAAGAGACTGAGCAACAGCCCGCCACTCGAGAATACGGTATACTGTGGACCATTAGTTAAAACATCAACAAGGGCAACACAGTTCGACTGACCATTATCCACATCTTATCGAGAGAGTGGAAGAATGCGGCTCTAACAGTAAGCTGTGACTCAACAGGGAGCGTTTTGACAAGATCAACACTTGCGGATGCTGACGCTCCATCGAACAGCTTGGCGAGTTCAGAGCCCAGTTTGTCCACGAGGATTTGATTCCCTGCCTTCATCTCATTTTGGAATAGAACACCTCCAATAACCACGGAGATCGCTGTTGCGATAGTCCTGGTAAAGCTCATCGAGGTTGTAGCTGCTGCCACATCCTCATGCGGCACCACAGCTTGAACCGATAACAGGGGCCCCTCGAAGTTCATTCCTACACCGATACCAGTCAATAACTGGAAGCTAGCAAGCTTTGCCCAGTTCAAATGCATATCCAGGTTGATCATGAGCCCTATGCCCAAAGTCATGATGACCAATCCAATACGTGAGACCAGAAGATAATTTCCACTGAACTGAATATATGCTCCCGTAATTGCAGCAGATATGGAAATAGAGAGAATGAATGGAAGAAGGTAGATTCCTGATTGAAGTGGGCTTGCCAGAAGAACTGCTTGGAAGTATAAGGGGAAATAGTAAGCAACACCCATAAACACGAAGGCGTGGAAGAAGGTAACAGCATAGGCTGCTGACGATGACCAACTTTTGAAGATATGCACCGGTATCACAGGATATTCTGCCAACTTCCACTCGTTCCAAACGAATAGAAGTGCAGTGATGATACCGAAGACGATAAGGCAGATGACCTTTGCTGAATCCCACGGTTCGTAGACTCCGCCCAAATAGAGACCCAGTAGTAACATCAGAGTCCCTCCGACTATGAGAAAACTACCTGGCCAATCAATGGCTTTGAGACCTGCCCATACAGGAGTGTTGGGAGACGGCAATTTGAGAGTGAGAAAAAGTAAAACGAAGACTGCGGCGGTAATAGGTACTAGGCGTGTTAGTCATGGTGCAGGTCCACGTATGTAGCTAGACTCACAGTTGATCCAGAAACACCACCGCCAACTGATGATAGTCAATAAGCAAGGTCGCTTTTTAGGGGATCTCAACTCACCTGAGTTGATCCGTGAAAGCACCTCCAAGAACAGGGCCAACACCAGACGCAACTGCCCACACAATCGATGTTAGGCCATAATATAAACCTCGATCCCTCTGCGAAAACATATCGCTGATACAAATGTTGACCAACGTCTGCATGCCTGCAGCGCCTAGTCCTTGGATAGCACGCCCGGCAATAAAGACAGCCAGGTCATCGACAAGAGCGCACACAAGACTTCCAGCAAAGAAGATAACATTGGCAACAAGTAGAATCGGCTTTCTTCCCCAGATATCAGATATCTTCCCCCACGATGGAGTTGAAGCAGTGTGTGCAAGGACAAAGGATGTACCGATCCAGGTATAGCCCGAGTCAGAAGCGAAATGGGCCGCGATTGTCGGAAGAGCAGTTGAGACGATTGTTACTTCGAGAGCAGCGAGGAAAACGCAGGCGCAGAGGGAGACCATTACCGTAGCGATTTGCGCCAGGGTTCTCTTGGATTTACGTTCTGCAGTTTCAGATCCGCCGGAGGCGACAGGAGAATCATTGTTATCTCCTGGAGAGGGAGATGTATTCTCTAGTACTGTACTGGATCCGTTCTGATGATGAGGTGGTCCGGAGTTTCTGACATGGATGTCAAGTTCATTGGGTTGCGTGAGTGTCTTAGAGGCCATGGCCATCGTTTGCGACATGACTGTAGTGCGGGAAGCGGCAGTTGTTGGTGCAGTTCTGATCGATGTGGGAGTCAGGTGGGTTTATATAGCCGTTGGGAATTGATAGAGTAACATTTTCGACTCCATGTTGTCTGTAATGTTAGTGGTTGATTCTCAGTCTTCAAGGTGAAGTTCGTCGCTGACATTGATAGACCCGCTCGTGAATGCGATCGCATTCAAGGGTCCCTGCCAGAATGAGTGGGACAGTGGACGGGGAAGGTCCGCTCCCGCCTTCCATGCATAGTCCCATGTCAGATCGATCCTTCCTTCCTCAATCAACAAGAAACACAAACTTCAGTTCTGTTTCCTGTCATTGAACTTGACACTTACATGTCAAATTCCCATCAAGGCGTATTGCCTCTTTTTCAAGACATCCACCGAAATGCAGTCGACTTGGCCTTGCTGGGTTTCTCAGCTGAAACGATCACTTGGGGTATGACAACCTACCAATAGTTATCAAACACTGGGCTATGCTCAAAATGCCTCTCTGAGAGCCTCACCTGGTGATAACTAGGACTCAGCCTCACTACAAAATTGATCTCGCTCTCACCACATCCTGCATCTGGACCAGAACCTGTCAACATTGTTCCCAAAATGCGGTTGCTCAACACGCAAACTATTCAACTGGAAAGCTTTAATGGCAACGAAGAGGATATCCCACCCTATGCTATCCTATCACACACATGGGGAACCGACGAAATCACGTTCCAGGATGTAACGCAACAGCCGCTCGAGGAGATTCGTCGACGTGAAGCTTTCTACAAAATCCAAGAATGCTGCGCACAGGCTCGAAAGAACGGTTATAACTATGTTTGGATCGACACATGTTGTATCGACAAGTCTAGCAGCGCAGAACTATCCGAAGCCATCAACTCCATGTTCAAGTGGTATCAACAGGCTTCCATATGCTATGCCTTCTTGGTCGATTTCGACACTACCTTGTCACATGCTTTCACCGAGGATTTCAGTGGTAGATTTGTTCAGCTCGAGCCCTCAGATACTTCCTTTTTCTCTAGCCGCTGGTTCACAAGAGGATGGACATTGCAAGAGCTTATAGCGCCTCGCTACGTCAGCTTCTTTGATAAATGGTGGATCAATTTTGGTACTAGGGATGGGAACCTTCTTGATCGCATATGTCGAAGAACAGGCATATGGCCTCAATTATTTCACGAGCCTCGATGTTTGTGTCTCAAAACCTACCCCTGCCCTCCAGTTCGCGATGGTATATGCCGATATTGCTTGAGCCTGGATACACTCCCTGAAACACTCGCGTCATTCACAGTTTCTGTCAAGATGAGCTGGGCATCATCCCGCGTTACATCGCGCAAAGAAGATTCTGCTTACTGTCTTCTTGGAATGTTCAATCTGAATATGCCAATGCTTTATGGAGAGGGAGACAAAGCTTTTTTGCGACTCCAGGAAGCAATAGTTCGACAGGCGAAAGACCAGTCTGTCCTCCTATGGCGTGACGAACTGTATCAAACACCGATTGGTCGTATTCCTGGATGTTTAGCACCCTCGTCTTCTGTCTTCAAAGAACCCGTCCATGTTGTTGGGCGTCGAGTCTTCAAGAGAATAAGTCGAATCTTTGATATCGACTTTATGAGCTCCATTACGCCGATAGAGTTGACTGATACCGCTATACAATTGGACTTATGGATCTGCCCTTGTACTGTGAGTGTTTACAATCCAAGTACAATGGAGTCGTTTGACCAGAAGCTCTCCTTGGGAATACTGGATCTTGCTTATGACAATGACCATCTCGTTCGCCCTGCACTGCTTCTTGAACACTTGGGTGCTATAAACTTGTATCGACGCCTATATCATAACTTTGTTGTTCCAGTTGATCCCAGGCAGATTTACGACAGCCTTGAATTAACAACCAACCACGCCAGTTCGGGAGCATCACTAATCCCAAAATTTGTGGACACTCTACTACACCCTTCTGTGCTTAAAGTCAGAAGGTATCTCAATCAAGCTGTCCAGAAGAATGTCGGCATTCTGCGACATCCGAGCCCTGACAACGCTGTGGGCCTGGGCCCTTTATTTGACGTGGGCCCAAAGACTGGACCAGTTTATCTCCTTGCCAAGACGATTGTGACGCGATACACTTCAAGGAGAAAGCGCATGTTCGATTACACCGTGAGAAGTGGTGGTAGTCACCCTCCATTAAGTAGCTACGATGCCCATGCAACCGAGATACCCTCCCCATGGGTCTTTGAGAAGTGTCAGCATTCTGGAGTTGATCGACACTTGGGCGGCATTCATTTTATGGGATTCGACATCAACAAAAAAGGCAACTCCCATCCGGACAGTGAGAGTTTATGTGGGCAGGTGGTAGTAATATGGGGGATGCATCGCGAAGTGACAGCAGACGGTGAAGGCTACACACCTTGGAAGCCTTGGTGTCGTGTTTTTAACACGCTCGCCTTCCTTACTTACGCTCGCACATCGAACTCTGATTTGAAACCATCTCAGTTGTACCATGGAAGTCACGCTCTACACCCTTCCGAAATACAGAATCGGTTGGAAGATCAGCGACGTCAACTGTGCCTTAGCAAATATGGACAGCTGTATATCCCCCAAGAGTCGGAGAACAAGGCTCTATTCCCGAACTCTTGTGGGGATGACTGGGCGGAAGATCGAATGAATGATATCGCCAATGATCCCGTGATGGATACTCACTTGACAATCAGGCTGGCGGTGACTGAAGGTTTGGGTCGAAGGCTATACGAGGTTCAGTTCGACATCGACCAAACGAAGAGAGCAGTAGAGCCCTTTGTTGACCAGTAAAGACGGTTCGTGGAAGCAAGGATGCGGTATAGACAACTCTCATGAGTTGTTGGCAATAATTGTTTCAAGCCAAAGGGTCATGCGTTCAAGCTGCGTACGAGACAGGAACTTGCATACGGTTCCTGAGAACCACGTCGCAAACTCCTACTTGTGGCTCATGAGGATCTCTACGCTACTGTTACAGATGCTTCCCAGCACAACTTACACGTATTAGTACAAGGATTGCTTGCACCATCGGTTCATTGCGGTGAAGCATTTCGACGTGACTCATTTGACACGCATCTCGGTACTAAAGCAGTTCTGCAAATGCCTGTCACCAGCGTTCAGTGCGCGATTAGCCGAGGATCGGAGTACCCTTACTTACAATTGCTTGCATTACTATACTTTGATCAAGCCTGATCTATATCCATGAGTATGGAGACCCTCCATCGGACTCCAGACCGGGGAGATCCGGTTGAAGGGCGTTCATCCATTACTCATCTTAAAGTCCATAAGGCTTCATCATAGGGCAGAAAATAGCTCGAAGCTTATTGGTGTTATTTTGACGACTCCAAGCTAGGACACTCTTAAATTCTGGAGGTGTGAACAACCCTCGAATCACGTCATACAAAGCCAATGTCTCAAAGACTGAAACATAACTCGATCAAAGGTTCAAAATCGCCTCAGACAAAGTCATTGACTCACCCAGCCATAGGGTTAGAACCTCGGAGCTGCAACCACATTGCCGCCCGTTTCCCAACCCCTTGTTAACGGCATCAAATAGAAGGTGCATTCAGCTGCACAGTCATCCAATGTTTAACCTCTTCAGAGTCATTCTCGTGCCTTGTCAGAGCTACGTGGCATTGATTGGTGTGTCATTGACGAATGGCGATGCTAGAAAGCCATTTTACAGGGGTTTGCTCAGCGCCACCCATGCATTCGCTTGTTTAGTCAAGTTCGCTAAGGGCTTTCTTATCTTGAAGACAGAATAACAGCTACACCTTACAACACATCAGAGGAGGATACTGCAGGAGAATTAATGCTTCATGCAGTTCGACAGGGGAAAGATCGACCGGGCTGAGGATGCCCCGCTAGCAAAAACACTCAATCATGGTGATTGCTAAGAATATCCTCTCCTCCACTGCCTCGGTCGGGTCATGTGTGAGACTATTCATGATTCTCGCCATCTTCCTCCTATTCTTCCTTTGTTTACTGTTTTTATTCTCTCCATAGAGCTTGCACACACACACCTTTTGTAACTCTTGCTTTGTGTGACTGCGGCGTCTTCCCGCCTGAAATGTAAACATCCTTCCTCCCCTCATCCCTCCAACTCGAATCTCATCATGGGTTGGTGGTTTACTTCTTCGGCGTCTTCTTCCAAGAAGAAAAGATCGAAAAAGTCAAGCTCAAAGACCAAAACTTCCAAATCCTCTATACCCAAACCATCATTTACAGATCCCCCAAACGTTTATCGCCAAGTATATCCTCCCCCAGGATCAAATCAATCTGGCGCAGCTCGTCCTGCTCTACCTGCGCCGAAGCCAAAACCATCACAACAACCGCCTTCATACCTGTACAGCAATCAGAATGCGGCGCAATCGCAACCTCAATTCCAGCCAGCGGGTTACCTCCCTGCGCCGCCAGGCTGGAATGGTTACCAGCAACCAGTCGTGGTAAATCATCATTACCACATCTCTCACCAGGCGTCGCAAAACCTTGCGCCTGTGAATCCTCCTCAATACCACACCATCAACCATCAGTCTCAAGCTCTTGCGCCGCCGCAACATAACCTCTCATCAATGCACTCGCAGCCAAACTTCACTTCGTCGTTGAACCGCTTCACAGGGTCAATGGCAAATATGGCCAAGGAAGCAGCCCCGCAACTATACGACGAGGGCATGTCTGCTTGGCACGGCTGTACGCAGATTGCACAGTCGACAAATGCGCTGTACGACCGCTTTAATGATATCATGACTTGTATTGATCATGAAAAGCTATGTGGAAATGAGAACAAGCTCTTCAACTGCGCGCCGGTTCCTGAACAGCACGTTGATGAGAAGGGCCTCAACAAGAAAAAGCATAAGGATAACAAAGATAATAAGGATAAGCAGTCTTGCAATGTCGCTGCTTCGGTCGTGTCGGGCAACTACTTTTCCAAAGTTGAGCAATACGCAAACTCCAAACTACCCATGGACCTCCACACGCTCTCTTTGTACGTCACACATCACCGTCGCATACTATAAGCACTCATCTAACATATCTAGGCACATGCCCACTTGGCCTCTCCTATGTCTCGCAGCCCAATACTCTCAGCGCGTCTACGAAAAGCCCTCCGGCTCCGAGCGAGATGCCCACGTTTCGTCCGACTGGCTTGCAGGCCCTAGACAAACCTGCATCAAGTCCGTATCCGTCGACAACCGTGGTACCATCGTCTTCGCCATCCGTGGCACCGCAAGCTTTATGGACTGGGCCGTCAACCTCAAATCGGTACCCGTCAGTCCTGCCAACTTCCTCGATGATTCTGGCAATCTGTGCCACGCAGGCTTTCTGTCTGTTGCCAAGAAGATGGTCAAGCCTGTCGCTGCGCGATTGAGACAGCTTCTACAAGAGGATCCGGCGAGATCTGCGTATAGTCTCTTGATCACAGGCCATTCTGCAGGTGGCGCGATCGCTTCACTGCTGTATTCCCACATGGTCGCCCAAACAAGCGAGGCGAAATCCGAACTGAACGTTCTGACGGAGCATTTTAAGAGAATCCACTGCATAACGTTCGGCGCACCGCCAGTATCTCTCCTCCCACTCACCAAGCCTGACGCTCCATCCCTCAGAAAGAGTGTCTTCCTCAGCTTCGTCAACGAAGGCGACCCTGTCGTCCGCGCCGACAAGGCTTACGTTAAAAGCCTCCTCGACCTGCTCTCCTCGCCACCACCCTCACATCACAAGGACACGAAATCGAAGCAGCGCTCGCGCTCTTCCTCACGCACCAAGAAACCAAAATGGAAAGTCCCGCCCTGCACACTCAGCAACGCCGGCAGGATCGTCGTGCTGCGCTCGGGGAACCCTCATGCAAAACCCAAGGACCGCAAAACTGTTAGAGAAAGGCTCGACGAGGGCGTCGTAGCAGTCACCTGTCATGATGAAGACTTGAGGGAAGTCATCTGGGGCGATCCCGTTTGTCATCTGATGAATTTATACGCTGAAAGAATCCAGGTGCTTGCCATCCGGTCTGTGACCGCCAAGCACTGAGTCTGAAATATTTAAAGATTGGTTTACGAAGTAATGACGGTTTTTGTTTTGATATTGGCGTTTAGTTATTATACCTGACGACTGGAAAATGAGATACCAGAAAGAATACCCATAAGTGTTAGTTACATGAATACATCACAGCTCCTAAAGTTTTAAAACATACGGCGGACAATACCAGTTGAAGTTTCAGTTTAAAGACATACTCTTACCGGGTCACAGAACGGTTGTTCTCTAAGCTTTAGTCTTGGGTGCCAAATACTGATCTCTAAACCAGCATAAAATCACAAAGTGTCTGGGGGTTACCTCCTCACTTACTCTCGTCAATTTTCATGATACGCCGAAGCCAGATTCCTATCACAAATTTCATGTCTTGTGCTCTGAGACGGGTTTCAAATATTGTAAAGATAAAAGAAACAAATGAGTAAAGTTTTATTCGTGATGTCTATAACAATTCCATCAGAACACCTATCCTTCTTATCCATATAAGGGTCTTTTCGCTTGGCACAGTTCATCCCATACCAAAAGACTCCGATTTCACTCTTTAGTGGGCATAACATAAACATCAAATAAGAGCCCTATCCTTCTTCCTTGCCCAAACTCCTCAAGTGGCGATGACATAAAAACTCCAGAGCGCCTACCATGCGATCGACTTTGGTTCGATCTCCGCGATATTAAAAACAATAAGCAACCCAGCCCAACCAGCTAACGTCGCAATTACTCAGTGCAAAAAGTTCGTAACAAGAAAAGAAATGACAAGTGCTTGTAGATCGGTACCAGCCAGTAGCTCGATCGTTTCAAGACTCAGCTTTTATGCCACGTTACCGCGGTAGTGTATTGAAATCAAGCCCACCGGGCATTGACCCCATTGCGGATAAGGGAGTCTGGCCCGGCATGTTGAAGCTGCTCTGGCGTGATGGTTGGCGCACGCCACCATACAGAGAACCTATACCCTGGTTCAGAGATGGCGTATTGATGCTCTGGTTAGGTATCCCCTGCATCTGAGGTGCATTGTTCAATTGCTGCTGCTGTTGCATATTCATGGCATTAGGCGGGGCTGGGCCACCCATAGGACTCATGACCATATCTGTCATGTTAAAAGCGCCCATGTTATTGTAGTCCATGCCTCCTGGGGACATGACGGTACCAGGGGAGCTGACAAAGTTCTGGGGCATGTCGTTGCCTAGTTGGGAATTCGGTGGAGAATTCGAGTGATGTGAGTGATGCGAGTGAGGGAGCGAATCAGGGCTGTTGCCACTCATATCCTCATACTTGTTGTCATATTGCTCCATAGGCATGCCGGCGTTGTAGTCGTTCATAGGCATGTGGGCCATACCAGCGTTGCCGAAGCCGTCGAAGATATCGGCAGGCATTCTGTTGTAGTCGACAGCCTCAATTGGTGCGTTAAGCAACTTCGGGTCAATGATGCGAGGGAGGATTTCTTGAACCTTGCTCAACAACAGAGGCACGAACTGGAAGTGATCATTGCCGATGGCCATGCAAATACGCCAGAGTATCTGGAGGTATTGCTCGGGACCAGGAGTTGTCGGGCTGCGCGAAGGAGGCGCATTGGTCAAGTAGGGGATCAAATCCAAGGTTATCTGGATCAGCTTGGGAATCTGTGTGTGTGTTAGAAGATAAGATAAGAGACGAAAAACCATAAGAGACGAAAGAAAGCACGTACCAAACCAGAGTTCACCAACATCTGATAATCATTGGTGGGGAAATTGGAAAGCAACTGGGAGACTCTGATCCTAGGATCGTTTCCTTGTGTTTCGGTGACCTCCCACAAGACCTTTCGAAGCCAGTTTTGAACACCGCTGTAGTTGGAGGGAGGGTATTGTTGAGGAAGGACTTCCCGAAGACTAGTGTTCAAAGAAGTGATAGTCTGAGCATCCAAGTTGCGGCAACCAATTCCCCAAGCCTTGAGGAAAGCGTCATCGACATTTTGATAAACCCCACAGAGGTTGAAGAAATTGTTGTTGATACTAGGGTTGAAAGGGTCGTCGGTTGGGCAGTCACCATTTTGACCGACGTGAAGAGTAGCTTGAAGGGTGACGGGATGGTTGCGCTGGAGGGCATACGCTCGTTCAGCGTTGTGGAACAGCCAGAAAAGACGGCGTCGTCGGATTGAATCGATATCTTGCTGCTGGTAGTTCTCCTCACTGCCCAGGTTCGCCATTTGGATAATGGTTGTGCCCTCTCGGAGATAATACCAAGCGCTGCTGTGATTTTCTTGGACGTAATGGTAGGCAAAGAGGAAGAAGTTGGTAGCCAAGACATTGAGGCTGGGTTTCTCCCAGTGCTCGAAACCCTTGTTGTCCTGACCCTTACGGACGCGTATGCACTCTTCAATGAGTATGGTACTGGCTGCAATATTGGAACCGTAAGGCATCTCGATGTTGTACTCGGGCGTCGGGGGCAAGGCCATGCCTGGTTGAAGCAACGTGAAAGCGCACAGGGAGGTGAATAAGCAGTACGTGTCCGGGTTTCTCTCAAGGCTCGGCATCTGGCTTTCGATCGTTTCACGGTGGAGGATAGGAAGCTTTGTGTAGACATGGTCGAAGAAGAAGTTGAGACAGCTCTTGGCGATGTCATGAGTGAGCAATCCAGGTGTTGGGTTATGGTGCGTAATCGGTTCAGTCTGGACACCATTTAATCTGGCCTGGACTTTGACTGGTAGACTGGTCATGCGTTGATTCTCTCTCAGCTCGCTGATAACCTTGGCGCGCGACCCCTTGGGTCCCTTCTTCTGAGGGATAGCATTGTATGTGCATTGAATGTTGGCGGTACCACAGTTTCGGCAGGGACTGTTGGAATCACATTTAACCTTGCGACGATGGCATCCATCGCAGGCCCTCTTCTGTATAGTACCCATGACGAAGGTTAAGTTGATAACGGCCGGGGCAAATCTTCGGAGCAGGCGGTGGAAGCAGTGCTAGCAAAGCACGACAAACTCCCAGGTTGATGAACGGTAGACTGTCGGCAGAGCGTTTATATGCTCGGTCGACAATATGATAAGCTTAGGATGATGGATCGTGGGGAGGAAGCAAGCCAGCGAGCCAAAGTCTGGGGATTTTGCGGGGGCAGCCGCGACAAGAAATGTCGTTTTCGAAGGTGTATTCGGGGCGACTTAGAATTCAGGCGGGGAGATTGGGAGATTGGTGAAGACGAGACGAGCGTGCATGCGTTATTCGGCCCTTTCGCAATGGATCATAATGCGGGGGGTTGCTCGCCGGGGGTGAGAAACCTTTGGGTTTAGGAGGCGCAGAAATGTCGATATTCGGAAGGTCGAATATTGGTTGAGTACGGAAGACAAAGTCGTGGTGTTTTTTGGTTGATGTCGTTGTGTTGGACAGGGGAGAGTGTGGATGTGAAGGGGACGGGAGAGGGAAATAGGAAGGGAAGGCAAGAAGAGTAGGAATAGGAATAGAATGAGGTGAGAAGCGGGTTCGCAGGAGAAGGAGATTTCGAGGAAACGACCGGGGGTGGACGCTCGTTCAAGTGCAGTGGACCTCGACTGCAGGTGCAGGTGAGGTACGTACACTTCTGGTCCAAGCTGTACTGTGCCAAACTGTACAGCGCCAACCAGTCAGTTGTTGTCCTGGAGGACTTCTGGGGGTGGGACAACAGAATTGCGGGTAGAAAGTATCTCTGCACGTAAAACTTGCGTGAGAGATACGTGAAGATCCAATTTTTACTCGTACCACCTGGTTCTCAAGAGCCAAGGCACAAGCAGCCAACCGCGTAGGCGAACGGATGTTGGAGCCAAAACAGGAAAGGTGTCAGGAAGAAATTAGCAGACACCATAGCACAGTGCTTGAAAACCAAGGATTCCATGGATGGATCGGAATGGAAGCCAGGGGATTAGACAGGAGGTTGGCCAATGTGTATTTACCGCTGTAAAGCAGGTGAGAATTGTATTCGAAAGAGGGGAAGGCTGATGGATATTTCTATTGTAATCTGGTCATGGCTTGTGTTCTCAACATTTTCAGAGAGGTTAATTTCTATCGTTCGTAAAGCGAATGCAACAACGTCGAGTGGAGATTGATTTCTTGGTGGCGCTCACTAGCTAAGCCTCTGAAGTGCTAGTTACTGTACTGTAGGGAGGATCGTTCATTTCACAAAAAGCTACCTTACACTGTGCCACGTCGACCCGGCATCCGCTTTGACCATTCTAATCCCTCAGCTCTCACAGTGCAACTCAATGCTAGGAGGACATTTCAATCCGGGTTCCAGGCTTTACAACCAACAGCGAAACAGTACAGCACAGCCAAACTCGCTTCCACTCTACTAGCCAATGCTGGCATACCGAGGTTGAGCTGAGGGACAGACATACAGTAGGTGAAGCCTAACAGACATCGTCTTCATCGACGATCGAGTACATGTTGCTGCACCATAAATTCACGCGAATCGCAAGTCTTTGTAGGTACGTCGGTCCGACACACGTTATGGTCGTCAATTCGGCATGCTCCGAGTCTTTGAAGATCTTCCATTCCAGAAAACCATGGAGTTCCGTGACCTCAATTGTTTTGCTTCATAATCTTGGGATCATGCCATTAAGGATCCGATGTTTGTTCTGTTTGCCTTCCATTCGCTCCGTTCCGTTACGGTCTCTTCAGGTTTCTCAGATGGACGCGAACTACATGTTGCAGCCCAACTCAGCCTCACTATCATCCGCCTTGTATCACAATCCAATATCATCAATGACCTCAACCATCTTGTAGATTATCTGAAATATCGTCGCCAATTGTCACTGTTTCGGGCATAAGAGCCGTTGTTCTTCATTCCCGTATTAGTTCCAGCTTCCTGCGATTGCTACCGAAAAAAGACAATCCCCGAACCAACTTTTTTTGCTGTATGGTATGTGCCCTGCTACTGCTACTGCTACTTCGGATTCCGCATCGTCGGAATTTCATTTCAATGTCTCAGTTTCCACTTGTTCATGTCCCCTACGTCTCGCTCTCGCTCTCTCCATGTCTCATCCCTGATCCATCAAATCAACTCCCGCCCCGCTTGGCCTTGACCTTGACCTTGACCTTGACGAGAATCAAGACTGTTGTTTCCCATCTCCACAATTTAACTTCCAAGGACCTGAAAGACAAAGCAGAGCCACTTTGAGCCTCATGTAACGGTAACCGGGTTGAGGTTTGTCTCGTATGAGCCTTGCAGATTTGATCCTTCGATATAGATTCGACCACCTCGCTATTGTTGAATGATATTCCACTTATGGGAACGGATAGTAACAATCCAAGCCGGGTCCTCCCGTCCATCCATCGTATCCTCAAGCCTTGCAACTCAAGACAGCTCCATAAGGAACGTAACATATCACGATTTGCTCAATGCTCAACGATGCGACAAATGAGAATTCTATTGTAATCGATACTGTGCTTAGTGTATACCGCTTCTTGCATCTTAATCAACCATCGTATCAGTCCCGCTCAACCTCAAACATATTCCCCCTTCCCCATCATATCAGCCTCCTTTGTTTGTCCTCAGTTATTGTACTTTGGTCGAACAGGCGACAACGAGTATCGTCGTTGGCTCCTCTCCCTCTCATAGGGTTGACTCTCCAGCGCATACCCATCCTGACTCACAATCCGCGTCCTGTCCAACGCACCATTGATCACGCGACTAGGATGGAACCAGTTGAGGGAGACGACCACTAAGCTCATGAGAAGAGCATCAAAAACATAGATCCAGAATTCTTGAGACTGGAGCTGACTGTCTTTACCCATGATGTACTCGGCAACACGGAAGACGGATCGAACGAGGATGGACAGACTGGCTGCGTAAAGGACGAAGAGGAGCTTCTTCCAATGAGTTGCAATCTCGAGCGATTTCTGCGTAGGGTTGCGGTTGATGCGGAGGTGAAAGATGAGGGTCACGATCATGAAAAACCCGAAGAAAATGATCTGAATGCCTAAACCACCGACGATGATGTTTTCGCCTCGCTTAACGCCGTCTCGATCCTTTGCTGTTGCCAACATGCCACCACCTATCGGCGTCAGTAACGTAATAGAGTATACGGCAAGTTAAACTTACCAGCACTTTGAGCGAGAAAAGACAAGACATCGCCAGTCACAAAGACCTTTGTCAACCATTTTGGACCAATGATTGAGAGATTGTCTGCGTCCAAAAGCTTAATAAGTCGACCGAGGACCATGTAAATAGATGCGGCAAGCAGCGCTGGCCCAAGTAGAAGCAGGATAGATTGGATAATGTAAGGGTTTTTGCTGAAGTCGGGCGCTTCGTTCGCTGAGAGGGCTCGACCGACGTAGCCAACGCATTCGACTGTAATAGTCAGTAAGTAGGTGGTTCACAGCTATCCTTTTTTGGGACTTACAAAGACATCCTATTAAAAATGGAATAAAGTACCATGTTCGAGCGCGCACAAGTTGGTATGTGTGCAATAATGAAGAGACGCCAAATACCACTATGAATATTACAGCTGCCACCATACTAGGGTTGTAGTTGTAAAAGACATAAGCCTGTGGTGCGTCTGAGCCCGCCATGGTGAATTATTGGTTGTTCGGTATTATTGAGGCTCTTGATCTTGGTGGTGGGGGTCAATCTCGGTGTTTTTGGAGTCGCTACAAAGCAGAACTGAAAGAATCGCTGAATTGAATGTAAATATTTACAATTGTCGCGCCAAGTATCTAGACTATATACTCATCATTGCTCGTAAATTCTTTCCTATCTTCTTCGAATGTCTCTAAAAATTGCATCTTCTATACGCGGACAGAAAGCTATACGTGAATAATCTAGATCTCAGTAGCGCGGATCGCAAATTTGTGGGGGCTCCATATACGCGGATAGGCAGATCATACACCAAAACCGCTGGAAACAACGTATGAACCCATGAGCTCAGCCCTATTGCATACGCAAGATTAACGCGGATAATGAACAGGCAGAGAGTCGATTTTGAGGTGGTTATTAAGTATCGTCGTTGCATCGTCCCGAGAGTCGTCAAGTAGGTGGCTGTGTCATACAGCAACAGTTCGGCCCTTTGGCAGTTAATCGTTGACACGATGAATAGTACCTTGACAGAAAGTCATCACGAAGCGTTGGAATAACGGTCTCTGCTGCATACACTCAAGGTGAAAAGTCTAGTAGTTAATGAAGAGTTTGAAGCAAAGAACTATCTTCATATCTTAAGCCCACTCCAAGGGCCTGCTAACTTAGAATTCCAAATGCCAATACTGTTATATCAAGAGTTGCTATAAGTAAACAGTCATCAGGCTAAGGGACGAAATGAACAAAACGACTCAATGACAGCTTAGACCAGCATTTGGGCTATGTTGTCTTGGCACCCTAAGCCTTGGGAGAATGCCAGAATGCTAATATCCAGAGTTACGGATAGATGTCGAAGAGATTCAGATATGGTTGACTGATCCACACAATAAACGTCCTAGTACGTGTCCACATTGAAGGCATCTCTCTCAGGAACACTACCTCGGCCTGTGTTAAATGCCCCTGATAACTCGTCGCTCCTAGCACTACACTTACGTCGTCAGTGAAACACCATCATTAATACCTAGGAAAACTTGAGCGGCCAATGACCTCTTTCCAGAGCACATCTACAGATCTAATAAGGAAGCTATGGTGCAGCTGTCATCTCGCTTGAAACAAGACTATCCGTGCGTCCGCGCGCGGTTGTGTCACGTATCAATTTTCTTTCCGGGGTAACCAGGCTACGCGTTACTGTACATGGGACACTTTGCTATAAGCCTTCTTTCAGGGTCTCAAGGATAACAGTTCAACGTGAATTCTTCTCGAGGAAGTTTCCGTTTCGTTCCCCGCAGAAGAGAGAAATGGTTCGACTTTGTATGTCAAGAGGCGTCCAATCTGAAAGGCTGATGGTGTAAATAGACTCCATCACGACAGCGTGGCTACGCAGTGTTCGCTTAAAGAGTTTGAGTATGTTTAACCGACCCTTTGGTGGCACGTCGTTCCTGCAATCATAGAATAAAGCCAATGGCTGAAGGCTCACCGTACTGTAGTAGGCAGCATCAGATCACCCAAGCTTTGTGCATTGTAATATGTTGCAAGGGGTAACTTGGGCGGCATTGTCCAACTCAGCTGGCAAAGGAACATGTGGTTTTTTGTTGATACGTAGAGATTGACGGGATTTAGCAATTGAGTTGAGTCTTGTCTCGTCAAGGATCTCAAAAGCCAAGGTTGCTTGAAGATTGAGTTTGTTATTCCCAGACATGTTCCCGTCTCGTCTCTTGACGCTGCAAATACCGAAAGATGCCGATGGTGTCCGGACGGTGTGATGCTCCCTACAGCCCGGTGCAATGCTCCGGGGAACTTCAATCACAGTGTGAGATATGAACCAATTGTAGGTCATGAACAAAAGTCTTGCATGCACTGTATACTTTGTCATGTTCGTGGCCTCATCGTGCAGTAGCTGCCGGGCAGGCCGTGGCTAGCGTCTTTCTCGAAGGAACTTGGAACACTCGTCGTGTGCTTTTCAGTGGGCTCTTGACGCCTGCGCATGAATCGTGCTGCGTACCTGTTGTAGATCAGGGTCCCAGCTTTTTATCCTGTTGACGATAATTATCTCAGGTTTGAATGAATTGATTGATGTAATCTTAAAAACAACGCATCTACCACACCCCAAACCCCAGGAGTGAAAACCTCCCTTGGCTGAACCTGGAGAAACACTGTTCAATTCATGGGCTAAACCCCAGACTAGACCCAAAGAAGAAGCGTCTTTTGACGGTCGGTCCGAAAGGGCCCAGCTCTGTGAACTGCAAGGCTGAGGGCAGGCTTGGCCTTGGGGTATTATGATTGGCTGACTCGTAGAGCGGTGACTGGTGACGCAGCAACCACTGCACAGGACAACTCAGCCATCTTTGTGCGATGCGATGCTGATGCCTCAGAAACTGCGAGGTGAGATCAGATCATACTGAGAGCCACAGTTACCTGAAGTAGGACTTGGATGAACCCTAAGGACAGCAACGAGTCGTCATGTGTCAATGTTCCATAGAATGCAACGTCGCATACACGCAACACGAATGTCAGATCACTCAGCCTGTCAATTCGATCACGAGTATGAGTCTTAGTCAGCTCCATCAAGCAAGCTACCCTAGACTGTCTCGTGATTTCATTCTCTACACGATGTTTTATCCTGGATGAACCCTACAATCTTGTGAGGAGCCTAATGGTAGTCTTCAGTTAGCCATGATTTTGTATGTTTATACCGCCATATCATCATCATCGGGTAAGACATGATCATGATGGACGGCCAACTCTTATGTCTGTGCCCATATACTCCAACAAAACTCCATAAATATGAAGCAAAGTCAAACCGTCGCCGCAGATCAGTGGATTCGATACTCCAAACCCGAAAGCCCGAGAATCACTACTCTCTGGTTCTTTCTCCCCAGTCTAGACTGATCATGATATGACAATCCTATTTTTAACGCACAGGCACTACCGGACCTCGCCAAAGAGCGCAATTTTTTCTTCTTCCCCATGGATTAAAGGGGGATCCATCACACATAAGCTATTGGATCAAGTGGAGAGTTCTCCAGTGTAAGATCGAAAGATTGGACGTGCCAAGTGCTTCCAGAGCTGTCTCGCTTCGAGGACGTGCAGCGACGCACCCAGGGACTGATACTGATAGCAAGCTCAACAACCTACCCTACTGCTTCTTTCTCAAAAGGCCCTTCTATTCAGAATTGCCATTTTAAGACAATAGACCAAAGGTTAGCCACTTACCGATGGGTGGTCCGGGGATCGACATAAACGGCCCCACAACTGTCCGTCCAGGCCCCGGCGTGCCTGAGGACTTGCTCCGTCTGTACCTTGTGGCTTGTGGCTTGTGGCGTCGGCGATAGCCGGGAGCTGTCAAATACTGACGATGATCTCATAAGTTCAGTCTATTTCGACGTCGCTGTTTATTGGGAACTGGCAGCTTGAGATCTGGCTCATGATGCTCAAAGCAGCCACTCTTTAGATGCTGGCGAACTCAGTGGATGTAGCTCTAGAGTGATGGAAGGAACCGAGAGGGGTTTCGTACAGAAAGAGGAGAAGCAACCCCCCTCTCATTGTATTGGTGTTCCCATCGTAGTGATGCTCTTGAAGGGTTGGCCAGCCTCCTGGTAGAAGTCAAGCGATAGTGGCAATATGTGTAAAGCAAACTGGCCCCTCTTACCCCTCAAGCGATTGTGAATTGAGATAACTTTGGCGTCTGAGTTATTGCTTAGATATGGAAGAACCCGGAACATCTTTTGCCAATTCCAGCGGTGCTCACAAACGCCCAGACGATCTGGTTTCTGCATTGTATAGCCACTGACCAGTAGATCTGTTACCGTCCAACAAACTTGAAGAGCAAGAAAGCTTATCGTACCGGTATATGGCAACTGAAGCGTTGAACTACACATGTGAAACTCAAAACGGACACAAAAGTGCAAAGAAACAAGTTTCTAAGTTGGGTTGTGCTTTATGTGATCCGCAAGCCATGTATGACGATCCTATCCATTAAGCACAAGTTAAGAGCTGCACCAAAGGATCCTCGATAGTAACTGATGAACCGCATGCAATTCAGCAACCTTGTTGGGATTCTCTGCCACATGTAGCCTTTTAATTCGGTACTTACTAAACATCCAACTTTAAAGGAACGCCTGCAGTATAGCTATACCATCATCTGCCAGGCTCGATGAATGACTTGATCGGCAAGCGCCTGAACAAGCGAACAGACTCATGAGACCCAGCAGTAGCAACTAGCATAAGATATGAAGATCTATGAGAGAAGATCGGCTCGAAAAGTGTCGCAGTAGTTGTTAAGCCATGCGAGTATTTCTCATGTTATCCTCCACAGGACAACTTCCTCGAATAGCAGCGCACTGTTACTTTCATGACACTCAATATTGCGAATATGAAAGCTGTACCAGGCGCTCAACATCTTGTTCCTGGAGAACATATAGATATGACAGTCACAAATACAACCGCGATATCGTGGGATGATTCGAGTCTCTCTATCACACAATGCACGAATGAGTTGTCGTGAGCCCCCCTGAGCCCGATGAGTGAGACATGATGGGTTGTGGTAGCGCGAAAGCTGTGAAGACTAGGCCGCAATGGAATCTGTTGTCTGCATTTCTTATTGGGCTTCTCGCTCATATTTCTTCTAGAAAGACTTTGTAATTCAGGTGACTAGCCTTTCTTTGTAGACGGAGTCAGCAACCTGCACAATGTAATATCTGCTGATGATGACACTGGACCAGAAGAATCTCTTCATCGTTCTCATCAAGGTGTCTCAAGTAGTATGATATGACAGGTCAGACATAGGGTCCGGCAACTGTTTCGGACGGGAATCTCAGATTTCGGAGGTCTTCCCGACGGGTGCGAGTAACGCTCTTTGCAACATGGGTGAGGGAGACCTGGTTAGCTGTATTGAAGAGTCGGTATGCTATGTCGAGAGAAACGAGCGGTGATGAGAGTTGTGTAGAGAGTGAAGACTTGTCCATCCTCGAGTTGATGTATACCTGGGCGAAGTGAGCAAGGGTGGAGGGTCTGGCATTGGCAGTGCCTGGACACCTTATCTGCTATACCATAGACTAGAATCCTGTAGACAGGTCTAATTTGAACAGGGGTCATCTTGCGGAATCCGTAGCTGTGTTATCATTCGCCTATGGTGTGAGGCTCATGGTTTGCTTCTACCATCAACGTGTCCCCTCCTCTTCTACACCACTCACCCTGTGTTCCCCTTGTCAAATCTCTATTCAGAAGCTTGAATTGAACTACACAAGACTGTTCTTCTCTCGCCCGATTATAGAGACTTGAATAGCGGTGTGTCCCGGTACCAAACCTTCAGGCAACTTCAACCGACATCAACGTTGCACTCCTAAACGACCACTCTTCGCCCAAAGGAACGAAACTCGCCCAACCACTGTGAAACCAAGATTCAGCACTGCCGTCGGTCAGCACTTTTCTCACGTCGCAAATGCCGGCTCGAACCTATCCGTTTGAACGAGTTGCACGGGCAGTTGCACCGGATGCCGTTACCCCTATCTGTACAACCAGCAGTTCCACGGTAATTAAAGGATTCTGAAGAATGGTTGGAGCAACTCTAATGCACTGCAGATTTGACAGAACATGCCGTGATATGTTCCCGCGAAACGAAAAGAACAGGAGAGGCAAACATGCCTCATGCTCAACGTGATAAGAAACTCGAATCCTTCAGTCATCCCCGAGCCAGCGGCGGCGAGAAGAATGCTGTGTAATAGAGTTAATCTCTCTCTACTTAAGGAAGAAGTTTTGTCTTTGTTCAGGGGTTCGTTGTTTTATGTCTCTTGATACGAACTGAATAACCGAACACTGATTCACTCTTTAACTCTACAGTAGTGGTTTTGCTTCTCCTGCAACATGAACGTGTTCAGCCTTACTTTTGTCCTTCTGGCCTCGCTAGTCTCTACAGCCGTGGCTCAGATGCCTTTTCATCATTCTAAACAACCCGTTATCTCTGTTGACCTCCTTCCTCCGCTCCCGACCTCTGCTGTTCCTGAGCCAACAACAGTCTTGACTGTGGATTGTCTCTTTTGTTCGGCCACGGATGATGAGGTAGTCGCTTTTACTGAGACGAATCCCAAGCATATTACAGTCGGTGGGCATAGTTTCACGGTAATTACGGACGAATTTTCTCGAGAGTCCAGCACTACATATGGAGTGGCTTCGCAGACCATCATCTGCGCTCCACCGTGTCAGACACTTGTGACTGTACCTTGGTAGGGTATTCTTCTTCCTCCTTTGACCGGATGCTAACCGTCGACAGGAGGAGTGGCGAATCTAAGGCTACTCCGGTCACTCCATCCCCGATAATGACTTCGTGCATCACGATATACAGTACTCCTTCCCCCTCAGTAGAGACATTGGCCTTGCCGGAACTGTCAAGCTCTACGTCATGTACCAGTACTTCGACGCACATGTCTCCTTGGACGTGGGAGCGACCCGAAAGTCCTTCTACAGAGGTGGCTTCGAGTGAACTTGGTCTTCCCCCATGGACTTCAGCAGCGACAGAAGCAGCAACGTTGACCTTTGCATCCGAAGTCACAGACACAGTCGTGTACCCAAGCAAGACGAAGCTGACTTTCCCATGGTCTTTTATCTCTATCGAGACGTCCTCTACAGTAGAGGCGTCGACAGAAACGATGACTGAAGTAGTCCCAGTCTCGGAGCCTTGTACAACAGACATTACGGTAACGATGACCAAGACTGTTGTTGAGACATGGCAGTCCAAGACTCCTCAGACAGTCACGTTGTCTAGTACGATATCAACAACTATTGAAACAGTCATCGTTGAGGCGTATTCTACATCGACAGGAGAGGTCGTGGTCGGGGGTACGAGGACAGAGTTGACTACGATCGAGGCAGTGAGTTCGGGCGCAGATTGCACCGAGGCAGCTGGCAAGTGCTGCAGTGGATGCTCAGCCACAGCCGAGTCTGAGTCTGCGACCATCGAGACAATATCTTCCACGTTCGTGTCGACTCTAACGACTGTGGAAGAGTATGTGTCATCTGCTGGAGGTTCAGTGGTGCCAGCCGCTTCGGTGACTGGGGAGTCAGGCAATGAGGATTCATCTCCTACCACGTCGCTGACACTCGTTGAAACAACGACTTTGTCCGGATCGGAGACGGAGACGGATGCTGCAACATCTGTTCAGACTGCAGGAGCCGCTCATGTGACGGCGGCGATCGGAATAGGGGCTATCCTTGGTCTAATGGGAGTGTTGGCTTGATCGAGAGTGTAGCAGCGGCTTGAGGGTAAGCAAAAACGATGCAGAAAGATTGATAATAGGTCGACGAATTCGGTGGGTAACGCTGTCGATGGTTGCATAATGGGCTTGTTTTCTGGATAAGGATCGCGTATGCGGCGTAATAATTTGAGGTAGTCATGGAAGAGCAAACACACAGCAAGTTAGGTCCACAGATTTGAACTTCCCTTCTTCTTCCCAAATGCTACGGGAATGTTTAGCCATCTATCCCACAGGCGCCGATGAGCCCGATATGAAACCGGTCGATTGCTTTCCTATATCTTGTTGGTCGAAGTTGGCCAGTCCCTGCTAGTCCTTGGTTGCATAGACCGAATCAGAACGGTAACTCGTCAAGAAGCGGAACATAGCGTCAGAATCTAGAGCGGACGATCGTGACTTGGAATAAGGCGTGGGGCATGGGCTGGTTGGGCGGTCGTTGCGGTGGATGGTATCAATGTGATGTGCTCTCTTTTACTAGAGCCAACACATCCCCCATCCAGCTCAGAGAAGCGAAGATTTCTCAATCGGGAGTCCTGATCGTGATATCGGATCATCTTTTGCTCCTCCTTTCTCTGTTCTGATTTCGTGCTTTCCTCGAGTATACCCTCCTTTTTAGTTCGAGGCCTGCTTCTCCCCAACGGGATTGGGGAACCACGTAGAGCCCTACTGAAGTATCACAGAAGTACTCTGGTCAAGCTCCACGTAGACTACTGTACACCCTCAAGGTATATCCCGGTGTGAGCATCCGGGGAGCTTCCCTGATGCAAGTGTTCTCGTTCCGGGCCCCCGACATGTTTCCCTGATCAGTACTCGAGATGAATGATCCTGGCTAGTTAAAAACGTTTTGATGTCAAAGGAAATTAGAGACCCATCTCCTAGAGACTCGGAGCTTTTGCCGCAGTGGAGGAATGCGCCAAGGACGTTAGGTCTAACCGTGCTATTGAGACCGGCGCAGTTTCAAAGACACTAACTTATAGTCCGGATAACCAAACATACTTATACTGGAGCTGTCAGTATGTTTATTAACAACGCTAAAGAGCTTACATACCCTTTTAGCTAAGGGTAAGCTTCTTCTAAGTTAGCTCAATTATAATCCTTTTGAATTGCCACAGTAAACTGCGTCAGTACTCATGGGGAAGACCAAAAGACGGGTACAGCTACCGTGATTCTGCATCAAAAGATCTCGGTGAGTGTTGTACAATTGGTTGGCCCAAGCTTCTGGAGCGCAGCTGAACACGAACCTGTCGATTGTAGAGTTGATAGGTGATCCCAAATCCAGAAAGGGCGAATCGTGGCTTGGCCAAGGGCTAAGGGGGTGGCCCTGGTTGCTCTCGAGTCGTACAGACGAACGTAAGATGGACCCTTCTTTCGTCTGTGAGAAGAGAAAAGAAGGCTAAATCTGTGTTTCCCAACGTTCAGCGTACTCCACGTTGAGTATTCCACCTTAAGCGCCTCCCCTCAATGTCTAAATTGGGCGTCGCTCTTTGACCGAGGCATCTCGCATGATGCCATCTGGAGATGTACACCAAGGCAAGGTACTTTGGGAGGGCGCATTGACATTGCAGTCGTCCAATCTTTATCATCCCGAGGTTGCAATAATGTAACACCGTGACATCTCTCTCTGGCAGGCCAACTATGATCGTGCATGTAGAGCTGAGTTGAGTTGGAGCACTCATTAGTCAACCCATCTCTCAACAGAAGTGGAAATGGGGAGTCCCAGTACGACGATCATGCACACCATAGTTACTACAGACGAAACGAGTAGGGCACTCTCCCCCATCACACACTGACCATCTGACAGCCACCCCTGAACACAGGAAATGGGTACCGGGATCTGATTGACACTCGCTCTCTTGCCCAGCGGCACAGCCCCGGAACCTACCTAAAAAGTCACTGAACAATGAGTTGTTCGCAGAGGTGATCAGGGTACCTCGAGATCAGGCCTCAAGGCATGGGCTTCGGAGTTCGTCCAGGGTTGTTGAAGCAATGTCTATTGGTTCGGATGCGCATACCGGGTTTTTACGACGATATATGCGGGTTTAAGTAGCAGTGACGTGTAAATGGTATGCTGCAAAAGGTCGACAGTGAGTACAAGATAAGGTCTTCATAGAGGGAACGAGAGCTGCTTGTACCTACCAAGAAAAGAACAAACTTGCTACTTCCGGCGTACCTAGATCGGCTTACCACTTAATAAACATACTTAGTTTTTATACAAAGTATTGTAACTACTTAAATACAAGATCAGACACATATGGAAGGAGCTTCACAGTATTTAGACAGCTTAAAGCTACTAATATATTAGCAGTACTTACACTAGTAAGTGGTAAGTAAAAGGTATTATTTAATGTTACTATAGTACTAAGACTAAGAACAATTGTACTTAATTCTATAAGTAACTACTGTGAGGCTTTATAACCTTCATGGTTAAGTTAAGTTAAGTTTATATTTATAGCTTAAATATTGAAAGAATTACTATAGAAGTATATTATATGTATCTTACAAGACAGGTACATCTTATACCCCTTTCCTGGAAACACCTCTATAGGGGGTATCTTATATAGGTAACTTTCTAGGCTGTCCTACGAAAGAGTGACAGCATGTAACCAGAGACAGTGGATCAGAATCTCGGCACGTATTATGGTTGTTATAGCCAAACCAGGTACCCGCATCAGGTCTTGTTCTCACGCTAAGGGCCGGACAGCAATGTCGTGCAGCCGGAACCAGGACTAAGATCATTAGTTTGATATCGATCAGCCTTGTGTCTGTCATGCTCTTATTGCTCCAGCCGAGTGCTGCTCCCGAAAGAACTAACCTAGTTCAATATCCCAAGGAATGACGGGTGATGACGAACATGCTCATGACTCTCGATTCAATCTAAAGGTGCCCATAAGCCAACATTAACAGAAATCTCCCTCTATGTCGTACGATCTTCTTTCATTCTTCTCGAGCAGGAGCTCGAGGCTCGGCTGACTTCTAAGAGGTGACATCCGAGCCCAGTCCAACGCATCAACACCCCCTTTCGACACCTGCGCACCATGTCCATGTCAACACTGGAAAATGAGGCCTGCTGCTTTTTGCAACAGCCCCACGATTCCTGCGGGCGAAATTGAACGATATGTACCATAACAAGGCCGGTCATCAGGCTTCCGGTCGAGCACATCAGTGTCGAGATGGGCACATCGAGATGCATTGCAGCGACAACTGGTCCATCGCGCATCGGGGAGGCATCCGGAAGACGACCAAAGTCTGTGGAGATCTTCACTTTGCATCCATTTAGTCTGCAGGAAAAAGAATCGCTCGTAGGATGTCTTAAGATGTTCGAGATCTGGTGTTGTGCAACGGGTCGAGAGGAGGCGAGCTATCAACATAAATAGGATGGCTTACTGTCTCGAAACCCGATTGTATATTTAATCCATCTATTAAAACCACAAAAGCGAATTCACTACTGTCTTCTTATTATATCTCCATTCTAGGAGCTTTGTACAGTTTCCGCAATGTCATCTCTCAGGGGTTATACTCAAGACTATGCATCCACCATGCAACGCTCTGACGATGGCGTCGCTGGTGTAAACTCTGATTCTTTCGGAGCTTCGCCTATAAAGGATGTCTCCAGCGCTGCCCTGACGGGTCCCCTTGTCTGGTCCGGTCAGGACTTCCAAGGTGACCAAGCCTATACTCTTCGTCTGAGCCATGAGGAAGCTAGTGAGGTCGACAGCGCCCTTGCTAGTTTCAAAGGTCAGTTTCAGTGGGCTCCAAACCATAACATGAGTCAAGTGGAGTTGACTAATGGGGACTGATGTAGCTCTTAGTCTCGATGGCGACGAAGTCTCAGCAGACAACTTTCCTCTCCCCAACCTCTCTCGGCGTCTGCGTGCCAGCGCTGAGACTGTCCATCTTGGCAGAGGCTTCGTTATTATCCGCGGTATCGACGGATCGAAGTATACTGTTGAGGATAGTGTTACTATCTTCTTGGGTGTGGCTAGCTACATTGCCGGCAAGCGTGGTCTTCAGGACCGAAAGGGGAATATGCTCTGTACGTTTCCAGACTCCTAACTTGTTTTTGTCGGGTATTCCAAACACAAAATACTGGACCTCTATCTGACGCTTTCAGCTCACGTAACCGACTCCAAGAGTTGGACTGCTCCCACTAATGCACGTCATGGTATTCATACTAATGGATCTCTGGTAGGTCTTACCGTAGTAGCACCCCAGCGAAACATACCCCCACCTAACCCTTCACTCTTTATAGCCTTTCCACACTGACATGGGATGTGACGTTCTGTCCCTTCAAGTTCGAGACAGTGCCAACAAGGGAGGATATACCTATCTTAGCTCCGCTTGGACTGTTTTCAACGACTTGCTCAACAGAGAGCCGGAGGTGATCAAGACTCTTTTGGCCCCCAACTGGCCAGTTCAACTGTACGATAAGCCTTCTCGCTCTTGATCTTCGAGTGAAACATTGCTAACAAGATGTCTCGGGCAGCTCCGGCCGCAAAGCCTCTTTTTATCTTGCGCCTGTCTTGTCCTTCCATGATGGCAAGCTCCTCATCAGCCTCGACCCGCACCGACTCGGCCCGCACCCAACAATGACGAACAAGAACATTCCCGCTCTCTCAGAAGCCCAAATCTATGCTCTTCAGGCTGTATCAGATGCTGCTTCTCGAGTCGAGCTGCAGTTGAAGCTTGAGACAGGCGATGTCCTGTTCTTCAACAACCTCGCCCTCGTCCATCGTCGAGACGCCTATACAGACGATGATAACTCATTGCGACACATGGTCAGGCTTTGGCTTCGTAGCCAGAAGTATGGCTGGGCAATCCCCGACGGTATGCTTCCTCCTTGGGAGGCTGCCTACGGAGAGAACCGCAAGATCAAGACCCGACACTACCCCATCGTTCCTATGCCAGAGTACCCTGTACAAAAGTACACCACGAGCTCTGCTTGCTTTATGATGGAGGACTCTGAGACATCTGACGAGGAAGAGTAAACGATGTTATGAATTGCGACGTTTGATTTTATCTCCCTTGTGATATTTACAGTCATTTCCGAGTCACGACGTGGGTTGGATTGGGTTGGTTTTGCTGGACTGTCGAGCCTTTTATGCTGTATGAATTCGTCACGTTCAGCCTCTCATAGGTCGCTATGTCAGACTCGAACTGAAATAGCTAGAAATTATCCGCCACACAATACAACCCACGATCGTCCCAGCTATCTCCGTGACGTCGGAAAATCCTTATTACGTGCCGTATCCTCTAGATTTCGTCATGCAGCTAAAGTGGAGAACGTCGGCCGATTGTGATTGGATCGTCTCTTGAACCAACCAATTAACCTCTAGGCTTACTAAAGGGTGACAGAATTCCGGAAATGCATCTCGCATCCATGTCATTGTTATGGAAGACCCGGATATAAGATATCATCTCGTTACATCCTGTTCTCTCGCGATCCTCCCTATTTACATTCCTAGGCTTAATCTCATTTCTTTATCGACCCATTCTCAACATATCGTAAGATGCTATCCATATCTAAGACAGTTTTCAATTGAAAGCTCGGATTCTTATGCCGGAATATGTTGATCCACTACTCAGCATCCGGGAATGATGATCCATCATGATGCCTTGGCACGAGCTTTTGGTGGCTCAGCTCAGTCATTAGTCTTTCGAACAAACGACTCAGGCAGTGTTTCCTCTTTTCATTACGTACAGGTCCGTCGACATTCATCAAGTTGATCTCGGCTGTCGTGATATTGATGTAATATCCGTGAAGATCATTTCCAGAGGACAGGGATTGACAAGTCTTTGGAATCTCAATCACTCCTCTTCACGAGAACTGGACTGTTTCCGTAAAGCAGAAGCATTTGGGCAGCCACCCTTGTCGAATGTTGAGTACCCTTGCGATGATCAATATCTTGATAATCTGGACTAGAGCGACTGGTTTGACGGGCGATCATGCTTTTCCTTTGATGGCTGGCTGGCTTATCCTTTCTGGGAGGACAAACGACAAAAGTATCTAGCCTTCGAGAACCGCCCCCTGCACGAACGCAACTGCCGAGATGCACCCCTGTGTTTATCACATCAAAGATGCCGACTTGCATCTGGAAAGATTGGTATGTCTGGAATTCTCCAATCCTGCCGCTGTGTCTGTCTCTCTTATAATGACCCCGAGACATATACATATGTAGCTACCGCTGGGTTCTAGTTCGATTCTTTCGGCACAATACCGCGAGACAATTATGTCTGATTTTATCCGTCGCTGGCAATCGTGTCTCAATGTTTGCGGCGCTACAGCCCGCAAGGGTGTATTTTCCCAACTTCCGCTATTCCGCACGTATATTCCGCTGTATCGATACCTTCTTATTGGCCTAGCCTATATCTTGCTCAGTGGCAAGTCAGTATATATGTGGCAAATCTCTACACATAATAAGGCTTAAGTATTCCTAGTGGGAAAATACACCCCTGTGGGCTGTATGTGGGATATCCAAAAGCTCCCTTAAATTACCCACCCACTCTCATTTGAATTTCTCCGCCTGTCAGTCTGTCCACGTATCGTCCCGACCCGGGCCGTCAAGGCTGCTAAACCGATTCTGTCTCAGATTTCCCTGAAGCGAGAATCCGAAATTCGTTCTTCGTGGCATCCCTACGATGGAACCCTGCTGTTCGTGGCTGGCTTGAATGCGAAAGACTGGGAATGATTTCAGAGATATTGAGCATTGAAGAATGATTGATGCCAGAAATGTAGACTGTATGTTATCTATGTGAATTTTGGGTAATTATGAGCAGTACTCGAGGTGCGTCCAGCTACATTATAGACCAAGTGTTGATTGACTGTTGACAACAGTAGGAGCCTAAGGTAAGCTGAGATAGCCTATCAGCAACCCGGGCTATCCCAGTTCATGAGGGAGTGACACAGAAACTTAAAATATGTACCGTTGACCAGTCATATCAACCGGTGAGTCCAGCACGAAGCCTCTGTGGAGCCAACTAATCCACTCTGGCTCGTTGTTAATTGGTCAAACCTCTAGAGAGAGCACGAGCCTTGAAGTACCGACAACCCGTTAAAAGTTAATTATTGAACCAACGTTTAAGGCTGTAACATTATCAACTTGGTGCAGTATAACCTCAGATTGTCGAGAATAACTAAGAGATCTTTGATGCATCAACTTTAATAAGGAATTTATCAATCAAGATGCTCAACTGCAACTCAGAACAAGGATGCTCATGTAGAGGGCACAAGGATGTGAATGTCTCACAGAACGGCTTGCGAGTGGTAGAATCAACGCCCCTGCATCCCCCCAGACAAGGTCTCAAGGGGGACGAGTGGGTGATGACAGGGCATATCACCTGAGGGAGGCTGCCAATATTGACCCTGAGTTGTCAATCTCACCGGTCACGTATTTTCTCCTGTCGTGAGAGTCACCAGTACCTTGCTGCAGCATTGCGACACCCGTTCGAGGTATGGACAGATACAGTACGCCCTGAATGCTGCCAAGCTAACCATACGGAGTATTTCTCTTCGTTGCCGGCATGGGGATTGAGGCCACTAATTCGGTTAAAAAGCTCGTAAGTGAACGAACGACCAGACTCCATCACATGCCAGCCCGGCCTGTTCAATGAATGTAACTCTCGCGTCAGAGCAGAGACCACCACATAAGTAAAGTAAACTGTTCAAGCTCAGGTTTGATGACACCCCTGTGGCCACCTGTAAAGCCCTGTTGCTTTAGGGAGTGTCTACTGGCGCGGGGCTGCTAAGCTGTGTAACTGGAGGAACCGGATTACTGGGAACGATTCCAATATGTCAACTCATTCCGTCCTGCGTTCTAACAGGGTCTCTTGGTGACACAGAACCGACGGAAACGTGCGGATGCGGATACCGATCATGCAGCCAGCTCTTGTCGGCTGAAACGTCATTGCTCGAACCAACTTCATGATAGCGGTGAGCTCCAAGAAAAGAAAAAGGGTGCTTGCACAGATCTAACAATTATGCAGATACCGTGCCACCGGGTCATTGGAATGGGGGTGTTTACCAGCAAGATGTAAGCCCATCCGAGTCAAGTTCGTCGCCAGATGATAGTCAGCGGTTATCCGTCCACCCCGGCCCAGGCAATGTCGCTTCTAGTGTTACGCGAGTGCATACCGACGATGGGAGTGTTGAAGCTGCAGGCGTTCAGGGTTCAGGGAGTATAGCTCAAAAGTCGCCAGCGCACCAAGATCGTCCGCCAATATCAACATTTCAACAATGTCTTCCCTGCGAACAGCCGTCAGGCTTTGGGTATGCAAACCAAACCAGAAGACAAAAGGGACAGGAAAAACTGCTTTCCCCACCAGATGAAGATGAGAATCCATCTACCAAGGAGCTAAAAGCCTTTGAATCAAGGGACTTCGAGTCAAAGTCAGATTTAGTGGTTGGTCCTGAAAGGAGGGGCGTTGGGAAACCACCTTCGCCGCTCCTGCCCCAGGAGCAGAGGAAATGGTCCCCGAGTCGTGGGGAAGTCGCAGCTCAAGCGCAGCCCGAAGCCCAAGTTCAGGAAGGACCAAGCCTAGACCTTGATACCATACGAATCGCCCCTAGCCCAGACTTCCCAGTTACATCCAACTTCTCTGCACTGAACCATAAACTTCCCACTGCCGGTTCATGTTGCAGTATTGTTCAAGATTCTCAAAATGAGGACTCTGATGATCATATCACAGATGCCAGCGAGGATGATGTTGATGTCGAGGTCGTCGACGACTTTGGATGTCGCCATGACTCCTGCAGCGACAGAGTTATCATTCACCTTGCGCAACCTCACTCGGCAATCATTCGAGGTCGCTCCCGTAACGATGAATACGGCCATACTGATAGTGGCGATGATATTGCCGACAAAGAGCTTGGGGAAAACAACCAGGTAGGCGATGATGAGTCTACTGTTGAAGTAGTCGACGGACAAGATGAGGCAGGGGCACCAGGCGCCGAGGCTTCCACAGGGGAACGCACTAATTTACATACCCTTTCTCAACTACTAGGCGCAACAAGTCTTGAAGATCCGATCCCAGAACGACATGCGAGAGATAATAATCATATAGCCAACGTACCACCTCCCTCCACTTCTCCGCCCGGGCGAACCATCTCTCCCCCAGGAACTTCTTCATACTCGGACGTCGAAGCCTCTGACCAAGACCCTTCGTCTTCAGAAACAGGCGCATCCCAGGAAGACTCTGATCGCGATGTCTATGGTCATGGTTATTCCGACGAAGAGATGGATGAAGAAGAAGCTGAATACCTGTCGGATCTGTCGGATCTATACGAATCTGGCAGTAGCGCCTCTAACCCAACTACCAGCAAGATACCTACGTCGCCAAAGACCTCGTCCGGAAGACGTCGACTAACGTCACCGGAGCGCGAGCTTGTTCGGCAAACAAGGGAGATCGGTGCTTGTGTTCGTTGCCGATTTCAGAAAATCAAAGTATGATACTACCCTTGAACAACACAATAATAGGCGAATGGCACCGTGAGAGCAGCGGATTTATTCAGGCTACGCAGTTGGACTGCGTATCTTCTTATTGATCTTCTCTTGACGGCCATGTTCCAAGCTTCCTGCTGTTCGCTGTGCTTTCAGTCTCAATCCCCCGCGGCGATACTGACAAGAAACAGTGCATACCCAACCTTAGAAACCCCGAAGGCAAATGCAAGACGTGCAAAAGATTCTCCAAAACCTCACCGAAAACGATCCATCGAGTTCCCTGTTTGCGACTTCGAATCACCGAGATTGTGCTTTATCGAAGTGGTGGTCTTAATCTCACACAACGCTGGAAAGGCATTGAGATGCGAGACATCCCAGAACGCGTCGAAATGTCCTCAATTACCATTGAAGTTTCTCAGGATCTTTGCAAAAAGCCCATACGCTTGGACGTAGTTCAGTTCATACCTCAAGACGGCGACGTTACAGCTAGGTACTGGACAGAATGTCTAATGGGACAAGCGACGTTGAAGAAAAAGGAATTGGCAACATATTGTCTCAAGAGTATTTATGACACAGCTGGATCTGTCAGACAATACACCGTGGAAAATGCGATCCCCGCGTTTGTACACATGATACAAAAGGAATCGGAGTCGGGGTGTGAAAGCGAGCCAATCCGCAGGACATACTATACGGCAGTCCGACGCTATGTGGCACTCAGCGTACGAGCGACCAGACCAGAGTTGACGGGTATATGACTAACGAAAGTCTTAGAGAGACAAGCGATCCGGCAATCCGCTGTCGTCGGAAGACAAGAGAGAGGTGGAAATACTTGGAAACCTCTTCGTTTTGTGGTGTGCCATTCGTAAGTCTATTCATTCTTGGTCAACATCATTATCCAGGCGCTGACGGCACCCAGAACATACTGTGGGATCTCTTTACATACAAGGCGACGAAACACTAGGCATGATACCCGAAACCCAAGATAAATCCTATCCACTCTACGGCAAGATAGCAGCCCCCCGAATGCTCGTCGCCCAATTTGATAACCTCGTATACAATGCGGTCCTCGAGACATACAGAGAGAAACTGCTTCGGGATCTTGACTGGCTCTTCAGTCAAGACAAGCGTCGTTGGTGGTTTACAATATACGCCATCGTTTTCATTTTGTTGCGCGAAGTCAGCCGGATGACTGCAGATCGATATCGACATGCCAGAGAGAATTTTGGAACCATGGTAAGCGTCGCGCGTTTAGACTCGCATCCAAGACGTTCGTTCTTGTCGCCCCAAAGCTTCGATAACAGCGTTTCTGATACCCACAAAACTGTTTAGTGATAACAAGACTGACCAAGTACAGCCGCGATATTCGATTCCCGCATTCGTCGAAAACCTCCATATAAGCTGCAATAGCATCCTCACACTTTGGCATTATTACAACTGCGGCGAGTGGCCTAGAAGAACAAGTGAAAAGAATGCAGCACATTTTGCGAGCCTTACATCTGACGACGCAAGTCTCATAAGGGAGACCCGTAGAGACAAATGCATCAAGGAGCATCTGTCTGTATGGAAGCATTACAAGGCCAATAATGGCAAGGGTACGTATGACCGACCCTCTGTCCTTCGGAGCAAGCTAACAACCAACACAGTAAACGAGTCTACTCTTGGAAAATACCCTGGAACTGTTCACTACACAGGCAACCAAAACAAGTATGCGTGGGATCACCCACTCTACTGGGTGGCGCAGATGTTCGAGAAGAACTGGTATCCCCATGAGACGTATCAGAGGGAAACTATACCCGCGAGTCCGTTTCCGGCACCCATCAGTACGTCTGGTTAGGACCATCGAACGAATGGCAGAAGGTCATTTGAGCATCTACGACATTAATAGAGTTGCGTTTTACGAATTATGTAATGAAGACAGATCATGATGCGCGCAGGATAATGACAGTCAAAGCTTTTTGAAGCATTACAGCTCAGGTCCTTATTGTAATGATAGCATAGCAATTAATATAAAGACCGCACGTTGCAAGACTTGGCTTACCAAAACATGAGGAACTTTAATAAAGAATTAAAATACACCATCAAAGATGCTGATAGTGATGCAACGTATGGGCCAGAGGGATTTGAGATTAGTTTTGTTAACATCGACACAACCATTCGAGCGGAAAGCATGCGCTTCAGCGGTCCGATTACCCTCTATCACTCGAGTTATGGCCATGAAAGAAAAGACAAATTGCTACAAGAGTCATCATATTGGCCTAGTCAAAGTTCGTTCTATTAATACACTGTCCCGATTCTTATGCCTCGTGGCTCCTGAAATATTGACAAAACCCTATGACTCTAATACAGCCTGGCATCCTAGTTCTCGTGTCCCAACTGAATCTGAACGATCAAGATGCCAATATGTAACATTCTTTCCGAGTTACATTTTCCAATCTACTGTCAATGTGGGAAAACCTTTCTGTCTTGACTAAAATGCGTATGCCAATAAGACGTATCGATCTGCCTTCAAGGCGATTGTGTACAATCTCTAGATCCAACTGATCCAACTCGGGGATACGGTCCTTTTTGGCCGCCAAGTGTTGGTCTAGATAAGCTGTCGCTGCTTCATGACTGGAGACAATCCCCAGTTGTCTTCGCCTAGCTCCTCTTCATCATCGACGCTGGTCACGAAGCGAAGGGAGCTTCTAAGACCCTTGCTTCGACGGCGCAGCAGTGGTGAATCCCGGCCCATATGATGACGACGACGGCCTTCGATTACATCGGCGTCGATTGCATCGATGTTTCTTTGAAGCGCAAAGACGAGTCGCTCGGCATTATCGACGAATCGCTTCATCTTGAAGAGCTGGGTACAGTCCACGGTTGGCTTGCGGACCATGTTTTCGTGAACAAAAGTGCGCAGAATAAGGTCGACCTCGGCCGGCGACAAGGCTTTGTTCTTGGTGATAGTTTCAACCAGAGCATCCTTCTTCGTGACGTAATCCCCATACTCTGTCGCCTTCGGGAAGAACTTTTGCATGAAGTGAGTGGGCCAGTAATATTCTACCGGATGGAAAAGGGTGTTGTCGCCCAGCTCTAGCTTCTCAAGTCCGTCGTCAATTTCCTCAGACTCCATCTCGTCTGAGCTCTCGCTGTCGTCCGCCGATTTCTCAGAACTCTTGTCATCAGGGCCGTCATGGGCGAAAGGAACACAGTGGTCGTCCGAGTGAGATCGTCCAGTGTCATACCAGATGTCAGAGCAGGTTTCCTCATGAGAAGCAATGGGGTCATTTGTCTGCCAGGAAGATCCATCGTTGCGATGCATGCTGGGTGAATTTTCGAGAATGTTGGAATGGGCTTCTCCATTGTCTTCAAAACGAGAATCCAAGAATGATGCGAAATCGTCGCAAAGGGCGTTGTAGGAAGACTCAGGTGCATTGGTGATCCAAGGGTAGGCTTCAGGGGTATCTTGGTTGGCGGCAGATTCGAAGGGATCAAAGTCCGCATTGTCAGAATTGTTAAACCCTTCTTCATTTGAGCATGGCTCAGGATCGATGGGCTCCTCAACGTTGGGCCAGTCGTAGCTATCAACGGCACCATTCCAGATAGGCTCAGAAGTAGTTGTCGCCATGTAAGGATCAGAAGCGACATTCTCAGGGGTGTGCATAGTGAGATACTCGTCATCGTCAAGACTTCCTTCGTAACTTTCGAAGTCTTCATCTTCAGTATCTTCCTCATCTGGCAAAGGGATCGCCATAGCATAAAGCTGGATGGCCTCTTCAGTCGCATAGTACAGTGCCACCCCAAGCATATCTTGCAACGCCGCATGGAGTTTCTCAGCATCGAACAGAATGATGCGTCGGTAGGAGGCCGGCACCTTGGCCGTATCGTAGAATTTGGGTTGCCAAAACATTGTGTTACCAGTACCTGGATACATGGAGAGGTTAGAAGATGTCTCGGTAACAAGATATGTTCGTTCGTTTTGACCTAGGTGGAGAGTCCAATACCAAAGAGTAGGCCAAAGCAACAAGAACAGGATGGGGGTATCAAGAGTGAACGATGCCAACAGGCCAAAGTTAAAGGAAGAAATATGATCAAAATAGTAGAACAAAAAGCTGTTACAAAAAGTGTGATGTTGTGTGTATGTGTATGGAAAGAAAAAAGATTAAAGGTGGTGATGGGTGAGGAGGGAAGTTAGTGGTCCGAGAAGCAAACGAGACGAGCAGTACTACCTAGTTTGTAGGCACTGCCACGGTCATGGGTGGGAATGGCAGTGACAGTGATTCACTGTTTTTGATAGGAGACGTTTACTGTCACGGCCAAGGTCACTGGGCATGGCAAGAGCTTTCTGCAAGTTCGCGTGCCCAAGGAAGGACTATCCAAGTGCCAGAAGGTGATGCTATCGCCAGTGACTGGCAGCTGATAGTCTATTGCCGAGAACAAGGACAATTATTTAAATGAACATTGACAACAAGTTCAACAGAACTAATGAACAGATACAAACAGTGCCTTGTTCAAATCCCATATTACTAGCGTCTTGTGTACAAAGGACGAACATCTACTCTTCAAAGGCATGATACACTTCTTTGACTCGCTACACTTTATTGGCGACTTTTCCTCATTGCTATACGCACTACCACCTTTACCGTTTGTTGTATCCTGTCTTCCGCCCCTACCGATACATCGAAAAAGCTGCTATACCTTCTACTCAAACAAAAACCAGGAGTCCAGATTAGTTTCCTTCTCAACTTGCGTTAACATATAGTTCAAACACTTGCCCCCTTGGCCTTCATCTTGCGACGCGACCGCTTCTAACTCCCCTCGTCACGCATTATGAACATTTCTACTACCGTCCTCGCCCGGTCCCTTGCGCCTTTCTCCTTCTCGTCTATCCGACACACTAGTGGCCCGACTAGCTCGGCATATCTGTGTTCTCTCATCTTTCGTTTCTTTGAGTCCTCATCTTGTGCATTCCCTCGACGAAAGCTGAGACGACGGGAGAGACCACCTTTGGGATCATTTGTCACGGGTGTAAGCTCTGATGCTGCACGAGACAGCGTGGCCGTTAGGAAGACAAAAGCAATGTTGTGGTTTGGCGCTGTCGAGAGTATGTCAAGAACCCCGGTCTTAGTATCGGACCAGGCAGTCGGAGGTATAGACGCTACGTTGGGTAAAGACGTAGAGAGCTTGGCCCAGAGGTGCGTAGGAATGAGCCCATCAGTAAGTGACTCGAGGAAAAGGAGCAGGACGGAGCAAACAACTTCTAACTTGAAAGACGCAGGCCATTCTAACGGGAGTGCATCAAGAAGAGAGCCATCATTATCAAGAGCATACACGAGCTTGACTTTTGCATCTTGCATATCAGCTTCGCCAACCCTCCACGTCGAAGCCTCGAGTGGCCATCCAGGATCTCTCGGTAATACCTCATCCTCAAGCATCGTTGCTTCAGCCAGACTGCGCTCAATGAGAGTTTGAACCACTTCAGTAAGCTTGAACAGCTCTTTTGGCGCCGAACATTGTACAGCTGAGTCGTAGGAGATCGCCCCCTTAATACCCTTATTCTCGATAAACTTACGAATACCTCCATCGGGGATCCGGATCAACTCTGCAATGGAGCGACCCAGACAAGACGGTTGCCAGGTCCCACGAACAGGAATGAAGTGATCTCGGCCGTCCTCCACACGAAGAACTAGGACCTCTTCGATCTTGGCGCGGGCCTCGTTCAGTGCCCTGATGTGAGCCACAGTCGATACTTGAAGTTCCAGCAGAACCAAGGCGGTCTCTCCAGGATCTAGCGTGACAGTAGTTCCCAAAGATGTTTGGGTTTCTTCGTCGGCGGACACAAAAGTCGTCGTCAGCCATTCAGGGATAGCGTCATCCCCGTCATCTGTTGTTGGTTTCGTCACAAACGAAAAGGTCGCCGCAACACTTCCAGTATTGGCAACTGTCAAATGGCGTGTCTGCTTCTCTAGTGGCAGAACCTCCTCAAAATCGACAATCTTGTCCTCATTGCCTTCACTTCCTTCCACGACAACCGTGATACCTGGTCTACCCTCATTCTCCGCTCTGTCTAGTTCTCGTGCTACTTCTGAATGGACCTTGGCCTTGAGTTCTGGTACAACAGCATCGTAGTCGAGGGTAAAGATTGAAGTGATAGGCTTGTGGTCTGACGACGTAATGCGTTGGTGCGAGGCGTAGATCTCAAGACTGATACGATCCCGGAAGCCTTCCTTGGTTACAAGCTCATCTCCTTCTTGGTCGTCGTCGTTGTCATCATATTCATCATACCCAAGGTTGTCAGTAGAAGATGTTGGGTCCTCTCCATCAGCGTCAGGGTCGTAACTAAAGAGCACGTCTTCATCCTCTTCTAAGCCTCTAGACTTCATCTCTTCGTCTTTCTTCTTAGCTTCTTCTTCATCTTTGATCTTGTTTTCGTAATCTTGTTTGTCCTTTCGAGTCCTGAACAAAATGCGATCACACCAACTTGGAGCTCTTTGCTTCTCACTTGAGTCAAAGAGGCCGACTGTACCAATATCATACTTGTATGTCGGAAGAAATGTAATTGGTCCTTCTTGCCAGCCATCGTGGAATGCCTTCCTCTGCTTGATAACCCTCCGTAGTTGATCATGTGGCAGTAGAGAGTCAATCGTGGCCTGCAACGAGGTGGGATCTTGACTGGGGTCTTCAGGAAAGTCATCAGGGTCTGGCAGGTCGCTAGCTGTATCGAAGCTTTCTTCTCTTGAGTGCAGCGATGGTCGTGAAGAGGACTCATCGTCGCTTTCGGAACCCCTCATGACAATGATACCCTGCTCGTCAAGTGGTTTGGACTCATCCTCGCTTGCGCCATACTCACCCCGAGCATGCAACGTGAGTAACCGTCTTATATCATCTCCAGGTAGTCCATCCAATCGGAAGTTCAAATCTCCAAACCAGAATGCAAGATCTTCGTCTCCAATTTTCTCCCCCTCATCTTCCTCGACGCCTGAGTGCACAATTGGGTCGAATTGGGTCCGCGAGAGAACTTGTCCAACGTCCCAACAGCGGCGGTCCAAGTACGAAGAGCCAGCACCACTAGCCAAGTGGCTGTTCACGAAGACCATACGCGTTGTTTCGCCAAGCAATAGTCTCGTTGTGACAGCTCCCTTGTTTCCAAAATACCCCAAGAGACCCGTGCCAACCTGCTTCGTACTGACGCTGCTGATGGTAGGCGTAATTTCTGGAGAAGCGTATACCAGGAGCAACAAGCCAGTCATCTGCTCGGCTGTAATCAGTTCGTAACCTTTAGGTAATGCTGCCTCCAACGCTGCCTTCCATTTATCCATGACAGTAGTGTCCGTGTAAACCGCACGGTTCATGTAATCCTTGGTTGTGTTCAGATCTACAATTTCTTGCAGTCCCAGCACATAAAGACCAATGTCGTTGCCAGAAGTCAAGTGTAGGGGCTTGGGACTGCCACCATCTCCATCGTCTTTTTCCACAGCACTATTTTGAGAAAGATTGAGGCTTGTCAATTGCTGGTCCAAACCTTCACCGCATGTAAACCATGTCGCAAGGTCTTTATCCGTGCCTGTACATGCAGCAACGTTCCACGTTCCAATCTTGACCTTTAAACTATGCGGTCGCACGAATTCCGATCGTCGGGCATGAACAGCTTTAGCGAGGGACTGAGGCGTCGTGGATGTAGGATCCCCCAGTTCAGAACCGGGGGAATATTCATTTTCTTCAGCCATGGACGCCTTTACTGTTGCAGTAGAAGAGAGAGACAAGTTATATATACGGCGCCGTCTCGAGGTTTCGCTGGGAGGTCGACTTGTCGTTCTCTAGATCATGACTTCGAACACCCTGGCTTGACCGTAGACGTGAATCAAGGGATAATTCTCGGCTATGGGGGACCCAAAAGAATGTTGGAATAATTAGAAAACAGATTTGTAAAGGGATAAACCTCAGCTCTGGCGTATGACGTCGGAGTGTCACTGTAATTAGTCTTGGTTGACGATGTAGGAAGGGTCCTAATGAGCGCCCCGCGGCAGCGTCATCTTGCGCCTTATCGATAAGCTGGTCACAGCACAGCAAAGCCCAAGAATGCTCAACCGTGCCTATGAACAGGACCTGACCTACCTTATGAAACTTGACATCACATCCATACCAAGCCAATATCGATCACACGACATTCGATCATCTTTGCAGCATACGACATAGCTCAAGAAGCCCCTTGTCGATCAAATCCCTTAAGCTATCTAGCACCAGCATTGTCACCCACGCATTGAATTGTGCCCAACCTCAAAACACCATACCCACCACCATGAGTCGACAAACACCACGAAAAGCGCGACACAGCAGACAGCCATCGAATCGCATACCAGCCGTCTCCGACTACGAATCTGATGCCGCAGCTATACATACTGACTCGTACGCGCCACCACCTCCACGTACAAACACCGAACTCAACCTCTCTGTGCTCCAGCGCTATCTCCCCACTATCCACACGATTCTTAGCATAGCCGCCAATGCTGTCATCTACACATTTGATAGCAGTACTGAGGGCTGGAAAAAGTCTGGTGTTGAAGGTACCATGTTCGTCTGCGCGCAAAGTCCACTGCCTGAAGATCCTGGCCAACGACCACGAGCTTGCGTCTTTGTCCTCAACAGAAGAGGCCTGGACAACGTGATCGTAGATCTATCGCGGGTGTCTCATGCCGAAGTTTCTGGTGAGCTCGTCATTATGAAGGTCGAGGGCGATTGGGAAGAGGGCGACAACGTCATGGGAGTGTGGATCCACAACGACCGGGATGAGACGAGAGAGGTGAACGCTGCTATCATCCAAGAAGCTTGGAAGATTGCACGCTCTGCTGGTCCTGTTGAGTCACAAGGACCTGAGGCTGGTCCAGCCATGCAGGCCATGGGCAGACGACTAAGTCTAAGCGATCTGTTTGGATCGGGGAATGGTTTTAATGCTGGACACTAGGTGGCGTCCGTCATGGTCCATGGAAAGCCCGAAGCTGAAGACTCAGAGTCTGAAACGAAGAACGAAGACGTGAAGGGGAAGGGGAAGGGGAGGCAGAAGGCAGAAGATTCGACACTCAAACCAGAGGCCATTGAGCATGAGTCAGAGCCAGAACATGAGGTACAAGAGGTGGATGTACCCAAGACTAAGGATTCGAAAGGCAAGAGATCAGAATCAAAGGGTCCGAAGGTTCAAGAGTCAGAAGTTGAGGATACCAAGATCGGGGACACCAAGATCGATGGAGCACAGCTTAAGCTGCCAGAGAGTGAGAAGTCCGAGTCGGCGGGATCAGAGTCTGATGTTGATACCGCATAAGCCAGTCTTACGACAGAGGTGCTGGCGAAAAGGATATTCTATAATTCAGTATGAGCCTGTAGCTGGATGGGGCTACAAACTGATTAGTTATTCAGCAAGGTGTTCGCCCAAGAGCAAAGCACATAATAATAAAATCATAGCAAGTGGTCTGCCTATATATGGTACAACGTGATAAAGCCAACTAGAATCTATTTGCTCATGAATCTTCATGATACTAGCACATGCCTATAAACAAAAACTGATCCGTACGCCGTTCCCCAATCCTGATAAGACGTAAATCCAATTAAAGCTTATACCGTACCGCTGATGCTTAACTCGCGAATCTCCTGCAAAACCTGCTCCACTCGGGCGTCCAATTGTCCCTCAGCATACTGATCTCTCGTGTCAGCATCCAGGTATTGCTGTACCTGCGCCATACGCGAATAAGCTTCTGCGCAGAACCGCAGCTGGATCTTTACGAGAGCTTCGAAAGTGGGGTCTAGGTACGGTACTCGGAGTTCGATAAGCTGAGGGAGTTCAGTGCTTAGCTGCTCGTTCAACTGCTCGTAAGCCTGCTTGGCCATCTCCATTTCCTTTTCGGTACGGGGCAGCTTTGTGGCGTCCTTATCAGGCTTCTCGGCGAGCTTCTTTACTTTCGCACGGAGCGCGTCGTAGTCAAGCAGTTTGTGGGCGCGCTTCTTGATTGCCTCGTTGACATCGGGAAAGTAAGCGCAGAATCGTGTGATTGGGTCGAGGACGGTTGTTCGGTACGGGCCATCGAGGGCTTTAATGGTTTCGGCGTCCAGATCCTCGACCGCCTGTTTATAACTCCTGCTAACACCATCTTTCGCGCCTGAATCGCCGTAGAAAGCATCTATCGTTTCGGCAATTCGCATTTGCGATGCGGTCATGGCTGTGTCGGGTTTTAGTATCTGAAGCTCTATGCGGTGAGCAACAAGCCTACCTCGGAGAGAATCAAGATAACCCTTTGATTCTTTTTGTAGTCGCAAAGCAGCTGCCTCCATAGTCTTGAATCGTCTGTTTCCGTTAGATGTTGTCCTCCAATGGCTCTCGTATTGCTGACCTCTCTTCGACTTCGTAATCACGATCGTTTGTCTTTTCCACATGCCCTACAACACAATCAGCTTCATCCATGGATAAGTGTTACAATTCGCATACCCGTCTTCATCATAACCTGCGTCGTCGCGCGGTTGACATTCTTCTTAAACCCTGCCTCATGTTAGACCCCTCTGCTCGATTCCATTCCTGATTGCGGGGTGATGGCTCTCGTACCCGCCCACGACATATTGAAAGATTATGTTTATAGAATTAATCTGCTCGCTTCGATTAAGGGGACGGTTCGGCAGGAAGTTGTGAGTGCGCTCGAGGGTATCGTTGACTTGCTGATGGTATCACAGGAGGTGGATGGCAATAAACATGGAAGTTGGGTTAAGAGTGACGACAAAACTGGAGCTCAGCCACAGTAGTGCCTGGCAGCCCAATCGAAGGTGAACGACGTCAGCGATGGGGCTGTGTTGGATCCCTCCAATTGGAGACACGTGATCACGCGTGGGTTCTCATCTCTGAACAGCCTTATGGAAAGAGTTTGACGATCTGTTTCAATAGGGTCGCGTTCTGGGGCAGGAAAAAGTTGAAACACACAGACAAAGCAATTGATCACATCAGATCCATCCAAGGTGTTCAACTTTTCTCCGACCCTGTCTCACCAGCATGTTCAATCCTCGGTTCCTGGTTGTTAGCTTGGGAAATCCCTTGCCGAAATACCAGAGTCTTCATTCTGCTGGTCACTTTGCTATCAACGGCCTCGCCAACGTTTTACGCCATCCTTCATTTGAGGAGACGAATTTCGGTGGCCAATCATGCCTGGTATCTCAAGGCCCAAAGTATACTCTAGTTCAATCACCTACACTTATGAACATCTCTGGACACTTTGTTGCTCGTGCTTGGAAAGAAATGGTCAATCGACATGATCCTTCGTCACTTGCATTGATCATCGTACATGACGAACTCGAGTTGAAACAGGGGGTTGTTCAACCTAGAGCTTGGGATCGAAGTCCCAAGGGGCACAATGGCATAAAGGACATCAAGAAACGGCTTTCGCAGGATAAGTATCCTTCCTCACCATTTGTACGAATCGGTGTCGGTATTGGAAGACCCCCAAGTGGCGCAAGAGACCCAGACACTATCAGTCGCTATGTTCTCGACCGGATCTCAAACCAGGAGAGGCAGGTTTTCGAGGAGGGCGAAATACCACGCAAGGTTGCTGAGCACCTAATACAAGTGGAAAAGGAATGGGAGGCCCAGCTCGACTGATAGGGCGATCGTATCATCATCAACACCCTAGGACAAAGCTGCAATTATTGCATCATTGTACGGGTGTCTCATGTCGCAGAGCAGCCACTATTTGGGCAGCTGTCTATTCCCAGACATGGCGCAATGTCAATCTTGCAGCCCGTCGGAGCTTAAGACCTACGACAGGCGCATATCGACCTAGAGCTGAAGACTGCTCAACAAGAAGGAGACAACTCGAGCAATCCCAAAGAACTACAGTCCAAAGTCGTACCCAAATGCACTCCAGATCCCTTCTGTGACTCACATGAACTAACCCAAAACCCAGTACTTCATCTTCAGATTGTCCAGCTTCCGGCACTCGATTTGACTGCGAAATGAGAGTCCTGCAATGCTCCTTCACGCAGTGCGCTATTTGCCTTTTGACCTACCTCGTGGCATGCATTTTCTTATCTTGCGCTAAGTACGCCACGGGCGGATTAGCCAGGTCGCAACCATTACTCCCTCTTTTACTCCCTTATCTATGCCAAGTTCAAACAAATATGGCGCCCCTCACTCAGTCTAATGGCTTCTGATCATATCATGTTATGGCCTCAATCACCACACCCATGATGAGCTTGGGTATCACAACATGGAGCTGGACTGAGCTGAACTTGTGCCATCGGCAAATTGCTAGTGCAACATGGCGCCTTGGTATCCGATAAGGCAGAACAAGTGTCGAGATTAACGACTGATGAGTGTCGCTGTACTCTTGGTGTTATACAAATCGGACTAGCAAGGACGTGTTGGTAGGGAAGGTCGTCGTCAAAGCGGCCGGTCGGGATTCTCGCAAATATTATGATCAGCTGGCGAAATGGGCGTCCTGGAAGACGGCAGAGGTTTGAAATCTCCAACATCGAAGTAAGCTCAAGCTTCGAGAACGGCTGGATATACCACGCGACGCAGGTCAAGCTTATATACATGAACGGCGATTATGTCTATCGCTCAGGGCGTCTCGAATAGCGGGTAGTCCGCATGCTGACGCGCGCAACGAAGTTCGATCGAGGACGTTGCGGGCGCAAAAGCATAGTTTACATTGCAAATCCGGGGTAAACTTGTCAACCATATCACTTTTGCAAAATAGTTCCACGACTGTTGCCCCATCTCCGGTGTAGCTCTATTACCAGAACCTCGGGATTCAATATCACAGAAGAACACCATTCAACGTAACATCTAGATCTGGCAGGTCGTACGACAATGCAGAGATTTTGTTATACGACGCTTACTTCTCTCTCTATAATAAGCACTATAAGAGGTTTGAACTAAGCAGGATGCCGATTCCCACCGAACTTTCAACTGCTTGCACATGAAGATATCTATCTACCTGTATCAAGTATCGGCCGAGCGACACGACATACAGGGACAAGGATCATATTCCCTGAGCTCAGGGTCTCGACGCTAAGCGCTCCACCAAACCTGCCAAGAGATAAGAACCGTCCAATTATATACATTCTACGCCGCCTTGATCAACGTCTCTTATTGGAATTCGGCAACCCTGAGGTCGAGTCTGATAAGAAGTATAAACGGCACGGACATGTGTCGGATATGCAGTCCGTCGGGTCTGGGGAAACGCAAGAGTCACTGCATGTCCCAGAAGAAGGTGTCCAGACTTAGGTGTCTCTTCGGAGCTTTTTCGCCATCTAAATTTGGTCTGGTCATCCATTCCGGCATTGTCAGAGTTGATGTCTCTTAGAAGGATCTCAAGCCTAAAATATGCTGGACAACAGCGAATCGGAATATCGAGTTCAACACTGCGATACAATTGCGGCCGCACGCTCCTTCGATTCCTCATCTCAGTCAGAGAGGGGTACGACAAATCAGAAGCATAGTCTTGGTCCGCGTTTCTTCTCTTCCTTCCCGAACATGCACGCCGAATCATCAACTTCTCAAATGCCTGCTACTATGGCCAAGAAAAGATGTTCATCGCGGACCAACTGCCAAGTCAAGACTACGAGACGCGCCCTATAGGCATATCTGAGCTTATCAGTGCAGGCTATTTAGACGTGGGTGTGGCGTCCATCCAACTACGACCGCATCGGAATGCTAGTGTGATAAGCAACATTAGTAGATTGGGTGTGCCAGACTCAGGAACAAGCTAACAGGGGACCGTTCACACAACCAAAACCTCATCTCTGGGACGAAAGGAGTTTCCCAACTCAACGTCAACGCTTCGTCAGAACAAGTTTCGTATTCAAGCTTATCGTTGGTTAAGTTTCGAGCTGTGGAGGATCATCAACTAGTTCTCCTTGGCAGCTGACTCTCAAGCTGGCCGTCATTGACATGTCCCTAATGGACTCGACCGAGATGCCATCAACCCGAGCATGTGGCTCTTTTGGCTCAATCCAACGGAGTGTCCTTCCTGTTGCTGCTTAACCTACGGGCGTCTTATCAAGCATCCCCCACACTATCTGCCATACCCTCCCCTGGTCGCCATGTCCAATGTGTCTTGGCTCGTCGCGAGCTACTCGGGGTTTTTGTGGTTTAAATAACTATCAAGCCTTCCAATCCCGGGTTCCTTGTCCTCCCTCATCCCATTCTCTTTAGCTGTAAGACTTGATCTGGACTTGCACCAGATTTAGATCAAGAGCTTGCGCCTCAGCAGCGCATAGTGTTGTCGCGATGGCGTCTACTTACAATGGCACCTCTGACTCTGCCGATGATGGCTACTCTTCTGGTGTCTCGGATCTCAACGTCTTCTACGAGGTATGTTCTGCTGGAATAGCTGCAGGACCTCGACTAATGCTGTGTAGACGGGCCACTTGGTCTTTCTGGTCACCTGCGCCGTCCTCGTTCTTCTCATGATTCCCGGCGTGGGTTTCTTCTACAGTGGACTTGCTCGACGTAAATCGGCCCTGACTCTGATTCTTTTGTCCATGATTTCAGTCGCTGTTATCAGCTTCCAGTGGTTCTTCTGGGGTTACTCCTTGACCTTTTCGCGAACTGGAAATGCCTTCTTGGGTGATCTTACTCAGTTTGGTCTCATGGAGACACTCGCCCAGCCCAATGGTTCTGATGCTCTCCCTGACATTCTCTTTTGTTTGTACCAGGGCATGTTTGCTGCCATTACGTGAGTTTCTCTCTAGTTGTCTACTATCGTCATACTAACATTAACAGACCTGCTCTTGCCATTGGTGCCGTGGCAGACAGAGGTCGCATCCTCCCCGCTATTGTTTTCATGTTCCTCTGGTCCACCATCGTCTACGATCCCATCGCCTACTGGACTTGGAACGCCAATGGCTGGCTCTTCAACCTTCCCAGCTACGACTTTGCCGGTGGCGGTCCCGTTCACGTTGCTTCAGGAACATGTGCCCTCGCATACTCCCTCATGCTCGGCAAGCGCACCGGCTACTCTCGCAACAATGGTCTTCCCTACCGTCCTCATAACGTCACACATGTTGTCCTCGGCACAGTCTTCCTTTGGATCGGATGGTTTGGCTTCAACGGCGGTTCCGCCCTTGCTATGAACATCCGTGCCGTCATGGCATGCTATGTGACCAACCTGGCTGCCTCATGCGGTGCCATCGCCTGGATTCTTCTTGATTATCGCCTAGAGAAGAAGTGGAGTACCATCGGTTTCTGTTCCGGTGCCATCTCCGGCCTCGTTGCTATCACTCCCGCCGCTGGCTTTGTCAAGCCATGGGGTGCGGTCATCATCGGAGTCTGCGGTGGTGTCATTTGCAACTTCGCTACCAAGCTCAAGTTCCTTATCAACATCGACGATAGTCTTGATATTTTTGCTATCCACGGTGTCGGTGGAATGGTTGGTAACATTCTCACTGGTATCTTTGGAACGTACGTCTCTCATCATCTTTCTTTGCATAAACCATTCGCTAACTCCCTACAGGAAATCTATCGCTTCTCTTGATGGCGCAGAATATGATCCCATCGGCTGGGTTGACAGCAACTTTGTTCAGCTGGGCTACCAGATTGCTGGCACTCTAGCCTGCTTTGCCTGGTCCTTTGTGTTGACCTGCATTCTACTCTTCCTTCTCAACCTCATTCCTGGTCTGTCCCTGCGTGTTTCTCCCGAGGAGGAGGAACTTGGCACGGATGATGGACAGTTGGGCGAGTTTGCGTATGACTATGTTGAGATGACCCGTCACATGGCTGACAGCACTCATCCTAACTCTGATGCAAGTGCGCGAACAAGTCACGAGAAGGTTTAGAGCTGTTAAGTGAGGGATACGATAATATTCAAATTGTCAAGGTCAAGGATAAAGCTCATTAGTGTGGCTCATTTCCTAAGTTAGAAGTAATATACCATTGTAATATCATTGAAGCAAGCTGTCATCAAAGTTCACAAACGCAGCAACAACTTATACATAATGTCCAAGATAAGGTCATAGTTTTACATCACTCAACACAATATATTGCAACCTCTACGGGTGCTTAAACTCCTATCAAAGCTGTACATAAAACCAAAGCTCATGAATGCGGATGATCAATTGTCGTCGCCATCCTTTCCTATCTGTGCCCTCTGTGGTATAAGTATACTGGTCTTTGCCGTTAAAGTCATTACCGCAAACCGCGGCTCGTAGGGGAAGTAAACGCAAAACTCCTTGACACGCTCTGTCCCGTCTAGTCATACCGTCCGTGTGCGAGCACGCTTAATCTAATTCTGAGACTGTCAGCCACTTGTCAAAATGTCACAAGATCCGCACGTACCGTGAACAGGAAATGAAAACACAAAACAAATCTGATAGCGCCGTCTATGTATACTAAAGCAACGTCTCGTCATTCAGTTCGTCGTGTCAGATTGATCCCCATTCTCTTGCGGTCGGTGGATCGTCGCTGTGCTTGCGCCAGTGGGGGACTCCCGATTTGTAGATGCACCATGGCCCAGAGGTGCTGCGCTAGCCTGACTGGTCGAGTTTTGTGGCATTCCGTCTTCTAATATGTTGTTAATGGTGTTCTGAAAGAATATCGGACTGAGCACTCTTGGATCCTGTCGTAAGAATGGCGACGAAGGCAAGAAGCGAGCGAACGAAGGGTAGAATGTAGGGTGCTGACCTATAGGGAAACCTGGGATCGGAGGAGGTACAGGGATGGTTTGTTGGAAGGCGTTGTTCATCAATCCGTTGGGATTCACGGTTCCGTTGCCGTTAACTGGATTCTGTGCTTGGGCATCCACAATCATCTCACTGCCGTCCAATCCCTCGAAGTCGTTTTCATCATCGACCATCTCATCATCAGCTCCCTCTCCAGTGGGAGCTGCTGGCTGGTTGGCTGAAGCAGCACGTGCTCGATAGCTGACAGTTGCTGCTCGGTTCCAGCTATTATCCCACATATCTTCGAATTGGGGTGAAGTGTTGAGAAAGTCTCGGAATTTGGATACCATGGTGCCAGAGAAAACGCAGAATACGTCTCTTTGGTGTTGGGTGAATTCTACGATCCAGTTAGTGACGGTGTAAGCAAGTCTCGGCGATACATACCAGGAGGAGCTTGCCGGCAGTACGGCTGGAAGTCATCACGTTGGAAGGCGTTGACTCCAGTCAAGCTCAGGTGGGTTAGTCGTGGGCAGGAGTTGAGTAACTTCATAATGCTCTGTAAAGCGTCAGTAATAGCTATGAATTAGACAAAGGCCAAACGAACCTTGAGGGTCAAGTTGACGCAATAACTCAGATGGACTCGCTCGAGGCTAGAGGCGTAGTACTCGTTGCCAACAAGTAATCCGTTGGCGTCTCGTCGCACTCTTGGACGATACGCAGCTTCGGCAAGATGGAAGACTGATTCATCAGTAATAGAGCTACATTTCACCAGGCCGATACGCTTCAACTTGGGCAAGAGTGCCAAGCGCTTGACACTTTCGTCCGTCAGGTTGGTGCAGCAGCCAAGATCAATGTATCGGATACGGTTACAGTTCTGAACCAATTTCTTGACACCCTCGTCGGTGATATTCCCACAGTGACCCAGATGCACGTAATGCAGGTTCTTACCAAGCTTAGAAATAGCATGGACGGCGGTATCAGTGATGTTTCGGCACTTTGCAAGGACAAGGTTGCGAAGGCGAGGGGCCACATCAATGATCTTTTGTACAGCAGCGTCTGTCAAGCGATGACATGAAGTTAGGTCGAGAATACGAAGGTGTTCGAAGGTTCGTCCGTAGGGTAGTGATAGGAAAGCTTCGTCATCGATAAGTTCGCAGTTTGCCAACCGCAACTCCCGTAGACAGTTGCCCTTGACCATAAGGGATGTCACTGGGCCGTTGCCGACGCGAACGCATTGTTGAAGGTCAATTTCTAGGATGTTAGGACAGTTCTCGGCGAAGGCGTGGATGGCATCATCCCGCAACTGGCTGCATTCATTGAGTTTAAGCTAAATTCAATTAGTCATTGCACATGTATAGAACCGTCACAAAACATACCCTCTTGATATAACGACAGCTAGTCGCCAGAGTGATCATGCTCTCATCAGAAATGCTGTCACAACCCGAGATGTTGAGTCCTTGAAGTCGGTTGCAGTGCTTGGCGATGGCGTTGATAGACTGTTCTGTAATGTTCTTGTCGTTGGAAATATCGAGCGCCAACAACGAGTTGCTGTTCTCCACGAGAGCGATCAAGCCGGAATCGGTCAGGTTACGACAGTTTGTAAGAGTCAAACGCTCGACACGAGTACAGACCGAAAGAGGCATTACACTGCCATCGTTGACCTTGTCGGCGAGGGCGGCAAGGTTCAGGCGCTTAATGAAATCGCGGTATCTAAAGGATGGGTTCTGCATCCCCAAGGTCTGGCAGATGCTGGCATGGTTCTTCCAATTTGTGCAAGCGGGACGGTGCCATAACTGATCCACGGTGTTCCGAGCCCAGCGTTTGCAAACAAGCATGCAGTGAAATAAGTCGGAGGTGGCACTAAGCTTGGCAAACACGCTGATGAGGATCTCGTTTGGCAACCGAAGAACGGGCGGTTGGCAGTCGTCCTCGACCTGCATATCTTGAAAGTTGGGTACGCCTATACTCGACTGCGAGTCGTTGCCTCCAAGAAAAAAGTCGGATTCTTCGTTGTCGGCTGGCGCGGGGGAGGTTGACGAGGATGATGATCGTGAGTCTTCCCGCTCGTCGGCGGGGGCAGGACTCGGCCTCGCACTCGCAGCGACAGAAGGAGTGGCAGCTGCGGCCATTTTGTCGACGTTCGAGGAAAGAAGCGCTTTACGGAGACGCGAGAACGATTCAGAGCTTTATGTGGTGACGTCTTTCGGTGTGATTGTTTGGGCAGGATTAAGGCGGGAGGGAAATCAGGGATCACAAGGGTGATTCTTAAGCAGCGGCAGTGGGCGGTTCCAAGGCTCCTTCTAGGTACAGGCGGTCGGCGGCAAGAAGTAGCGATGCGAAAGCAATATGATGTTTCTCGTCGTAGCCCAGAATCAATACCGCGACCAAGAAATTTTCGGTGATGGCCGTTGAAAAGAATGGCGGCAGGAGTTGAATTAGGTTGGATGAATCAAGTTGACATGGAAGGTCAAGAGCCAAAACCAAAACGGGCAGTGGATTTTTGGGCGAGTAGGATGGATAGATTAGGTCGGCTTTGGGCGCAGTACCTAACTTAGTGGGCGGCGGTAGCGTAGCTGACTGGGGTACCTCGAAAGCAAGGAAACCAACACTTATGACACAGCCAAATGATGAAGAAACACAAGTATATATCCACGGCGAGCGGCACGACGGGATTCGGGGCGTTTATGTTTTGTCACTGTCCTGCACTTGGCGATTTGTTTCAGCCGCGTCCCCTGCAAATTGCCGCTATCTATCCGTAGACTCTCTTGATCTTGATGACTGATTCCCGTCCGATGAGACCAGCCCAGGCCAGATGATCCTCAGCCCAAGTCTCCTCTTTACGTCGTAGTCGGGCGGGATGGCCGTGGTGGGGTTGGGGTTGGGGTTTGACACGGTCTTTTTTTGTCGTTTAGGTCTGTTTAGGTCAGGGGTTTGAGGTCTGCGGGTCTGTGATCTGTGATGGTGATGGTGATGGTCGTGTGTGACTGACTTAGTCTAATGTTTTGATGGTTTCAATGCAAGGAATGATACATGTTTCAGAATACCGCGTGCTTGGTTCATGCAGCTGGAAAACACGGTCTAGTTCTGTTTCTTTTAGGCACAAGCCGATCCAATAATTATAAACCATCACGTTACGACAAACTAATATATTTGAATGAACTCTGCTATATAATTAAAATCGCGCTCGTTGCCATCTTCAAGATCGTAAACGCCGTGATTCTCAGGTAGGTGATAGCTGCGGGGAAAGATGACAGGCATGGATGCATTCACACACATGAAGGAGGTAAGCACGGCGATTTGATTTGAGGTTGAGAACAGCTAAGAGCACAAATCAATCTCCTTCTGCAGGTGGCTTGGACCGATAATAGTCCTAAGAGACATGATTTAAAGTGCCAGGTTGATATACGTATCCGGGTTACAGAAGTAGGTCAATAAATATTGTCCAGAACTAATGAAAAGAAATGACTGATGGTTTAGACTTATTCATGATCGAATTCGCGCATGAAACAAAAGTCACGCTCTAGTTGCAGGTGAGATACAGATAGACATGGTGCAATATTGGTTCGGTTACGCATTAGCGAGGGCTCTTCCTGTTGTTGAACACTCTGCATCATGAGCAATAAACCCATCTCCGCCATGACGTTCTAAACCTGGAGAACCATGATCCCTCCACTTCCAAAAAAACCCTAGCTACAGGGTAAGACCCTCGCGATGGCATCGCTGACGTAGCCGTCGATTAAGCTTGTCAATCAATTTAGTGGGGCTGTCGCTCGGATTGGGTTTACCCGTCTGTTCCGCAACTTTCTGAGGTGATCGCAGGTTCCTGACTAGCAACCTAGACCATCACCATCGAGGTCTATCGTTTTGCCCATTGTTCAGATTGACGTTGCTTTTTGTTCGCCTGCGGTTTGATACCTCGATATCTCTTCCTGAACCCCGCGATGCTCCGTCCCACAACCCTCCGCCCTGCGCTTCGCGCATCAGCCCATGCCAGATGCGCCATCCCACTAACGACTCGCCGGACTCTATTCTCCCAACGATCAAGCCGATTGACCGATGACCTCGACGTGAACCAGCTCAATTCGAAGCGACGAGATTACGAGCAAAACCGAACAGCTTTCTTGGCTGCCGGTGCCATTGCCGGTATCGTTTCCTTCGTCTACACAGCATGGAAGCTCAAAAAGGCCATCGAAGCACAGGGAGAAAAAGAGAAGGCAGCGATCAAGTGCGATACCGAAGTGCCCAAGGAGATTTTTAAGACAGAGGCGGGCGAGAAGCGAAAGGTGGTTATTCATGACGAGGACGGAAACGAGGTCGTCCCAACAGGCAACACAACAGTCAAGTTGTTTCCTCGAACATTAGAAGTCGAAAATGTCGGAGCAGCCGGCGATGTAGCTGGTCCAATTGCTGCTGCTGTTACAGACAAGCATGGCACGGAATTCACCTTGGTCGGGTTGGGTACAAGAACAGTCACTTTCCTCGGCTTTGAGGTGTACGTGGTGGGTTTCTACGTCGCTACCCAAGATGTTGAGAAGCTTCAGCGCTACTTGGTCAAGAAGATCAACCCTCTTGCTACAACACTGATTCCTTCCGAAAAGGAGGACCTGAGAAAGGCTCTGCAGGACGCTACTGAGGGTGAGGAGACGTGGAATTCGATTTTGAAGGATGCCGGCTGCCGCTCAGCGTTCCGCATTATTCCCGTTCGAGATACCGACTTCCCCCACATGCGCGACGGTCTCGTTAGAGCTATCCAGGCTCGCTCGGCACGCAACCCCGATTACAACGACGAGACATTCGGAGAGGCCATGAAGCATTTCAAGGTTTTGTTCCAACGAGGCCAAGTAGCCAAGAAGAACGAACTTTTGCTTGTTCGAGACGCGGCCGGAAAGCTGACCATCACTTATAACGACTCCACACGCAAGGAGCCCGTAAAGAACGTTTTGGGAACTGTCGAGGACGAGCGACTCTCAAGGTTGCTGTGGCTCAACTACCTCGCTGGCAACAAGGTTGCGTCAGAGGAGGCCAGGAAGAACATCATCAATGGCGTCATGGAGTTTGTTGAACGACCCGTTGGCACTGTCGCCACTCAGGTTCTGTGAGAGGGTCAAACTTGCAGCAAATAATGTACATACGGAAATTTAGGCATGTACTGTATCACTATAATGCACGCGGATCAAGACAAATGTCGAAGGATCATGAATTCAACTCAATTGGGTCATTTTGCCCAGCTGTAGTACCGTCTAATCTTCAGGTGACGCCATCTATCCATGTCGTATGCGCTCTATAGATGTCTAGAGCCTAGAACTGAGAGCACCAGATATCCTTAGCTCATAATATCGATTTGTCGTTATGGTTTTGTATTTCTTACGCCACGGCATTGGCCTCCTTGATCAGGCTCTCGAGCTTTCCGCCGGACTTCAAGCTCTGGACATCCGAGTTACCACCAATGTGCTGTTGCTTGATGTAGACGTTGGGAACGGTGCGCTGGCCAGAGATCTGCTCTAGAGCGTCTTGCAGGGCAGAGCCATCGGCTGCAGTCTGTTAGCAACCCGTATAATACCTTCAAGACTCCAGGTAGCTAGACTTACAAACTTGATCAAGCTCGAGGAGCTCGTATTTGGTGTTGAGCTCGTCCAGTGTCTTCTTGGTCTGCTTGCAGTAGGGGCAGTAAGACTTGGAGAAGACAACTGCGAAAAAGTCAGTCGTTATTCGATACCCATCTCGTAACGGGATAACATACCAACAGAGTTGTTGTCAATCAGTTGCTGAACCTTGGTTGATGCTTGAGTCATTGTGCCGGGGCTTGTTGCGCGAGTGAAGAATGATCGAAAGAAACTCATAAGGAAGCTTGTGTAGGGGTGGGGGAGGTATTTATTCTAAGTCAATGGGGAAAGAGGGACGAATTGCGCAAGATGTATGGAAGTATGCGCTGTAGCTGAGGGCGAGTTTGCTTTGTCAGTGGCTAAAAAATGCAATGATGCAATCAGCTAAGACGCCCCAGATTAAGTAATCATCCAATATGTGGCTTTGGAATCAATCTGCGATTTGCGTCGCTCTATTGCGCCTCTTCAGTCTACAAACGCCGAATTCGTCACTGCTTATAGTTCTGTTTTCATCATTTCGCTATATATAAGCATAATAGGATATCTAATTTATTGGTGTTGAAAGGAACACCGTAAGCACTTGCGTTGAGTGATCTGCTAACTGCCGTTGAACCCTTGTAAGTAAGCGCAGCCGAAAGATTACCTACATGATGGTGATAAGTAAGCATTTGAATTAGAAGAAGAAATGAAATGTTGAATAATCATAGTGACTGCAAGTAGTTCCAGCTAAACCTCGACATTAGATCCGATGCTGGCCGCCATCATGGGACGGACACGATGAGGAAACCTTCCGTTCTCCATCGCGTAAAGCCGTAAAGCCATGAACGATGGCTTTCTTACTTTTGGCCCAAATCGCTGTAATATGTCCGTAAAGTAATGTCATTCGGTCGCTGTTTATACGTGTTCATTGTTATCAGAGTTCAGCGGCTGAAACAACTTACTTCTGGCTTCTTGAGATTAGACTTCAATAAAAGAGGTCGCAAGTGGTTATAACCTTGAGAAAAAGATTTATTTGCGGCTTGGAGTCAAAAGAAAGGAGGAATGTATCATAATGCCATTGAGTCAACTAGATCGGCCATAATATCGTGAAATGACTCAATAATCCGATTTCTGCACTGTTATTTCGCCTGCAGTAGGGTAAGCGAGCAACGAAAAATGCCCAAGCAGAGGTTTCGAAAGGCACCATGGAAGAGGGACATCAGGAAGAAAGAGGTTCCAGAAACTCTTGTACTTTAGGCAAATGTTTAAATGAATCTCTTTCCAGACTAGCCATCAGTGGTTCGTCTTGATGAGGGTCCTGCTGTGGTCCCTCGGGCTGACTACTACTAGTCATGATAACTCGATCTTGAACCTCCACTCGAAAGGGAGAGAACTAAGCAACAATGGTCCGACAAATGGAGCTTTGTTTTAGTCACGGGTTTATTGCTGTAATTTCCATCTCTTATTGGGCTTTTGTGTACCATGAACGAACAATGATCTAAGACAAGTTTGTGGTGGCTTTGTATACCCACCTTGAAAATACTGACAAACTTCATGATATCTAACATCTGACATCAGCCTAGTGTTCGTAATGGGATCATAGGACTTTGCACAAATGACCAAATTCATGTAGAAATTGAGTCATTATTACAGTTTCTTTTTGAGTTATACATTGCTGTGTTCTACGCGTTACCTGCAACAAATGCTGGCATAAATGACTTCAAGGTTGATAATCTCAAATCTAGTGGCTTCTGAACCCCTTGATTACGATTTCCCGCTAGAACAGTCTGACACATTCCCCCAGCTTTCGATTGCCAATTGTCAGGCCATGGACCTGGAACAGAAGCCCGGCTTGTTGGAGACTCGGAGTCCCCATGCGGCTCTTGGCTTTTTAGTACCCAGGTCCATAGATTATCAAATTTAGAAAAGTTCAAATCTGGCCTCTCCCTTTTTATAGTTAGAAATCTAGATTTTTCATCTGCAACGCAACCTGCAAACTTTGCTATTCTCCAAAAAGGGAAAGAAACGAAACCCCAAGTCTTCAGTGCATATTTCTTGCATTCGATTTGATTCTCGGGGCGACCTCTTGTACAGCACTTGTCCCCTCCCGCCCCCATCTCCACCAATCGCCGGTCTCACGACTTGCAGTTTTCAAGTGTCCCCTAAAAAGCTGCCCGGTTTCCTGCATTGCATCGCCCCGTCATCATCAATACAGAATACGTACAGCGCTTTAGACTCACGCTACAGTCCGGTACTTGGCTTGGACAAAGAAAGACTGACTGACTGACGCCTGAGCCCCTCACGGTGTCACCCTCGAAAGAGCCCAGCCCAGCCCAGCCCGATACACCCGTTTGCCCAGTTTCGCCGTGTACCACTACCGGCTACAGTGGTTTTACACTTCCCCCTACTACCAAGTTACTTGTTTCGTTGCGCAGGACGAAACCAGGCCGACAACTTAGGTTCGGCGCAGACCCTAACTTAGGGGTCGTGATCGTCGCATTCCGCCTGCGATTCGCAAGCTTCTGGTTATCGTTGCACGCCTTGCATCGTAGCCCACCTGTTCTGCTCATCGCTCCACATCAGCCCACGGGTCGATCACAAGAGAACCACCAGTCACTCAGCTTTATCGACCGACCGCCCTGTCGTTACCTTTTCTTCCTGTCCAGGACCTTGGTCAATTGCTGCACTCTTATTCCCATTTGCCTCTAGGGTGTCCTGTCTGGGACCACCTTAGAAACCGTCGAACAAGGTGGATTCCGCCCAAGAAATCGTGGCATCTCCCGGTGCCTTACAAAACGTCACGTCCTACCTCAACGGGGCGCTGGCTAACCTTTCGTCTGCATTTCAAGATTCAGGCGAATACATATCAGACACACTCGGCGTCCCTCCAACCCTCGTCTACAGCAGCCTCGCTGTTCTAGTTGCCGTCCCCCTAACAATGTCGAGATACGGCTGGTCTATTGGCCGCGAACAGATTTCGCCCTACAGTTCTATGCCCAGCGGCGTCCCCGCTGTCACCGACGACGATTTTAGCTACATCACCTCTCAAGATCTTGATGGCGTCACCGAGGACCGATACTATCCCAGATCTCATTCGACAGCACCCCCAGCAATCGAAGACGATGTCCTCCTAATCAAGAATCGCGGCATCACATATCCTGCTCACTTCCCCGCCTATGCGATCGGGGATGGAAAGCTGCGAGTGATAGATGTCAAGGACCGGGTTGGATTGATGATGGAGCTCCCTGAGCGCGGAACTTCACGCATCAAGCTTCTTTACAAGGGAAAGCAACTCAAGGATCCCATGGCGCCAGTCCGCGATTATGGTGTTAAGAACAACAGCGAATTGATGGCCGTTATGCCCGAGATGGAGGATGCAGCCAGCAGTGGCTCGGAGGAAGAAATGGTCATCGTTGATGCTCCCCGGGAAGACAGGAAAACACGTCGCCGCAAGAACAAGCGCAGCAAGAAGAAGGGCATCACCAGTGACGGTGATTCTCTGTCAGGCAGCCCCCGCGACAGTGCTTCCACCTTCGATCACCCAAGATCACCTCCGGCGCCGCCTACATCTACAGGAGCCGCCAGCGGACCCATGAAGGTTCTGGATGATCTCGCTGTTGAGTTCCAGATCAAGTGGCTGCCATTGTGTTCCGACTACATCGAATCCCCACCTTCCGATCCTAAGAAGCGTGAGGAAGATCACCGCAAATTATCTGAAAGTATTATGATGCATATTATGTTGAAGCTGGACGGCGTTGAGGCTGAAGGAATGCCCGAGGTCAGAGCGCGAAGAAAGGACTTGGTCAAGCAGGTTCAAAAGACATTGAAGGATCTGGATACTGCAAAGGAGTCTTGAGCCCGCATTTAAGCGAAGGCGTTGAATTATAGGTGGTCGATTGAAAAGATTGTCTGGTTTGAGTGCACTTGGCGTTATTGGGAACGACTTATCGACTACTACCTGATTGCTCTTGATATAGAACAAGCTGTACAATAGATTCAAGGAATGGCCTTGACGATGATGACAAAGATAGACAGCATTTGAGCAGATTGGCAAGAATTTTGATTGAAATCATCTGACACTGATATCTTGTGCCAAGTAACTGTGTTAATAATCATTGCGATAGACGTATGAAGCCTTGACTGGCAACGATCCCCAGTTATCGCATTCGCATTGCATCATGCTCCAGGTCCAACAGCCCAGATTTGAATCAATCCACGTGACATTCTCGAAGCTGCGGAGACCCCGCTATCAGTCACTTTCCATTTGGCACAAACCTTTAGTGATCCGGAACAACTTCGGCTTTTTGCACCTAGGGCTAACAAACCTAAGCTCTTGCCGACCGTCGCTTGCTCTTCACTGAAGCGTTACCCTATCAGGTTAGCGTACAGACACAACGAGCCCTCTTCGGCCCATGGATTTTTCGCCCTCAATCAGTATCGCGACCACTTGCACCCAACATTCGAGGGACGACTAACCCCAGCAGCACAGGAAATCCAAATCTTCGCCGAGGATTTGTTTGTCTTAGCCGTCGACTGAGCTGCCCTTCTTTTCCTTTTCTTTAATCCCCCAGAAAAGACGGTTACGATGTCCAGCTTCGAGCAAGTTGTGAGTGCCACCGACAGAAAAAACACCAAATCAATATTGCCTTGAGGAAAGACGAGATGCGAGCAACTGGGAGACGTCGGCGATGGGATTGGGGACGCTTTGGGATCTCAACAGTTGGCGCCTGCAACTGTTGTGGGCGTTGCTCGTCACTTGCTTTCAGATGGGAATATTGGTCTTGAAGACGCATTTCGCTGACCGTTGTGTGCGTTTATAGGTTGTCATCGATGGCAAGGGCCATCTCCTTGGCCGACTCGCCTCCATTGTCGCCAAGCAGCTCTTGAGCGGTCAGAAGATCGTTATTGTCCGCTGCGAGGCCCTTAACATCTCCGGCGAGTTCTTCCGCGCGAAGCGTATGTTCATCCCACGATACCACAGACTTTCGATATGTGGCCGAGCATCCTTGGATACAACTACCACAGCGATGCTACTTAAAGAACATCCAAACTGATCATGACAACAGTCAAGTACCACGCCCACCTCCGAAAGATCACACGATACAACCCCACCCGCGGTGGTGAGTCGAAACCGTTCCTCAGCCTCAAACAACAGTCATTGACTCGATATAGGTCCCTTCCACTTCCGTGCTCCTTCCCGAATCTTCTACAAGGCCGTCCGTGGTATGATCCCCCACAAGACTGCCCGCGGTGCCGCCGCTCTCGAGCGCCTTAAGGTCTTCGAGGGTGTCCCCCCTCCCTACGACAAGACCAAGAAGGTCGTCGTTCCCCAGGCTCTCCGTGTCCTCCGTCTCCAGCCCGGCCGCAAGTTCTGCACTGTTGGTCGTCTGTCCCACGAGGTTGGCTGGAAGTACCAGGATGTCGTTGCTCGGTATGTTCTCCCGATGATGTGTCTACTCGACACGCACTAACTCGCCACAGATTGGAGGAGCGAAGAAAGGCTAAGGGCGCTGCTTACTACGAGCGCAAGAAGATCGCTGCCCGACAACTGGCCGATGCTAAGAAGAACGCTGATGTCAAGGAGTCAACCTCCAAGGCTCTTGCCAACTACGGCTACTAAGCTGGCCATATCCCTCGACCTGGGATCTTGCCGGTCTAGGTATAACTTGGCAATGTCTATCATTTCTCGTGCGTTTCATTAGATTGGCGCGGCGGTTCACCAAAGGGATTTACTTGATTTGCTGAGTGATGGCAAGGGTGGCTCGAGGAGTAGATGTCGATTCCCCCCAAAAGAAATGTTCTAAATGAAAAGTCCCCCAACCACGATCCTCGATTTGCCCCATTTGCACTTATCATCCGAGACAAGAAGAATCTAAAGCACAGAGATTCGAAGATTCAACATGATTGAACGCATGAGGATGACCGAGACTCAGTGTGGATACCTCTTCGAACTTGGGTTCATGTGTGAGGCTTTTGATGATTAGGAGGAGGGATATTTCATTAATGAACGTTTGACGGGTCTGGAATTGCCATCAATCCCCTGTTTTATCCAAGGACGCCAGAGTTCGGCGGACGGGTTTTATGAGTGATGGCAATGGGAGGTGATCTTGTTACGCTTCCCTGAAGGGACAGGGTCTCGCATTTTGCACAATAGGAGTAGAAAAGGAAAGGCTCTTGTTTGATCAATTATGATTACATGTGAATGTAATGTGTCTGTTTATTCCTGTTGACGTCAGTGCTTGAGCTTAAGCTCCCAATGAGCGAATGTTTGTCATGAGTGGTATAGTGATGCTGTAAGTTTGTGCGCTTCTGAATTACAAACCTCTGCAGTGGGATTACGCTCTTATGCTCATTTTTTAAACTACCTACTCAGTCTATTTCCTGGTAGATTGATGGAGACCTACTTGAAAGTACCCGTGCTGTCATGACTTGAGTTCATCGGAAGTCTTATGATAACGCTCTTACAACATCTACCACATCATCTAACACGTAGTTCATAACCCGTCTCCTGCTCAGCTTACAATATTAGGTAGCTGGGCATAAGCCAAAATCATTTCAACATCTTCAGTTGATTAGAAACATTATCAAATAAATTGGAGGCTTGATATAAGCTCTTTTTCAGAAAGTCGACTCGTTGTAGGGTAGCACATGTCGGCTTCTGGGTGTCATGTGCCGATAAGATAAGCTTTTAATGTGAGGTGTCCTCACCCACTCTATTACTTTGGGACAGCGGGACAGCATCCAAATACTTTGTCACTTTACACTCCCAACCAGTCACTCTTTTACGACCAAGAGACTTACCAGAAAAGAAAGGAAGAATACCCTTAGAAGATCAAGTCGCATATAAAGAACAAACCCAGAAAACAAACGAAAGCCGTCAACATGTCGGATCTCGACCACTTCGACCTTCTCCCCATTCAGATGGACCCTCAGTCCAAGGCCATCACCTCTCAAAACGCATCGCGCTCTCTGGCTGCCGAACTCGAAGCCCTCAACACCCTCCACCGCTCACTCCTCACCATCGAGCACCCCTCGGGCGCACCCCCGCCTCCTGTGCCCGTCCACCCCAAGCGCACCGCCAATGTGACCAAGCTCCGCGATTCGGGTAACAACGAATACCGCAAGGGCAAGTTCCCTGAGGCCATCAAGTTCTACACATTAGGCGTGCAGATGGCCTTGCAGCGACCCATGTGGGAACCCGCTGCTCTCGTGCGGGAGGAGATCAGCGGCCTGCTTGCCAACAGGGCGCAGGCGCACATGGCCATGCAGAACTGGGCTGAGGGTGCCGTGGATGCGCATGCAAGCGTTGAGGCGCGCTGGGTTGGAAACGCAAAAGCTTGGTGGAGAAGAGGAAGATGTCTGGCTGAGATGGGCAGACTGGAGGAGGCCAGAGACTGGGTCAGAAGAGGACTCGAGGTTGAGGGCGAGGAGGGAGAGCTAGTGCAGCTTTTGAAGGATATCGAGGAGAGGATCGCGAGACAGGAGGCTTAAGTCAAGCATGGTAGTGTGCTTGCCATTGGGCTTATGTGCTGAGACTGAGACGGAGTAGGAGGATTCACCCGAGACATGAGAAGCATAAGCAGAGGCCATGGAGGAAACATGAGTCTCGGTCGGGAAATGCCATCAACACTGGCATATTGATGTTTTATTGACGGCATATTTTATTCGGTCGTGGCTATTACTAGGAGTTTTGTTAATACCGACGCAATGCATTTGATGGATCACACGAATACCCAAACCATCGTAGAACTTCAAGGTGCTCAACTTCACAATATCAAACACCATATAACGAGCTGGCGACTCATGTAGGCATTTACTATAAGTCGTATGCGAAACATAACAGCCACCGAATGTGTATCCATGAATATTATTCGTACAATGCAAAATCTCCACCCTGATCGCTACGCCTGGTAAAATTAAGGAAATGCGAAACCGCCCCTTCCCTTATCCCCATCCATAGCCCTGATCACCTAGTCGCCCGAATTCCATTCCAATGGTTCATGCATCTCATGCCCCATTCCTGCGTGTCTCTGCTACTGTAGTTTCCATCGCAGCATACCATTAAAAAGTAAACAAGAACATATAAAAAGAAAACTAAGAGGAGGGAATTGGACGCCAAAAAGCAGCTATTCCAGCTTCCGTTTCGCATGTGTTTGAAATCATCGAAAAAGATCCATGCTCATGGGCTTTGCGAGTATAAATTAGGGACAGTTGAGGCTGGTTGGCTTGTGGCTCGAATTTCCACACAATTTCCCCCTAGTTGATTGTTGGCGTGTCGCCTTATTCCGTTTGCGAAAAATGCGACAGGAGCAGGACACCGCACGCTACTCTCAGCAGCGAGATCAAGGCCAGACCAGAAAACAAAGTATTTTTGTATCGATGAAATTGAAAAGAGGTTCTCGTTTGCGGGGGTATCTTATCTGCAAGACATTTGCTTTGTTGCGTTTGTTGTAGGTTTTTGGTGGTTCCCTTTTGACAAGCTCTACTCCTTTTCGCTGAGCTTCTCGTTGAGGCTCTGGCCGCGAGGTCGCATGACAGCGTCCTGACCACTCATTCTCCTGTCGAGAGCGCGCTCAAGCTTTGCGCCGAGGGCGAGCTTGCTCATAGTATCTGTCTTCTCATCGGTGAGGGTGACGCGCTGGGAGGAGAGGGCCTTGTTCTCCATGCGGTCGAGGCCAGTAGCGATGTCGCGAATCTCGGCGTGTGCAGAGTCGGTGGTTCCAACAGTAGGAGTCAGTGAAGGAGCCATGCTGTATGTGCTGAAGCGGACCGAGTTGCGGTTCTTGGGAGAGTCAGTGGATGGTTGATCCTTTTCTTTTTCCTTGGTAGGTTGGCGATTGGGTTGGGTATGAGCGTGCGATGAGATCCACGGCTTGGCCATGGTGGGAGATAGATGAGATTGAAGTAGGCACAGACACAGAGGGACGGGACGAAAGCAGTAGACAAGAAAGAGAAGGTAGTTTTGGAAAAGTGAAGGAGGTGACAGGGGAATGTATCAAGGCAGTAATGATGAGCGTGGTGAACAAAGAAGTATGACGACCAAGTGCAAGGTACCGGTCCAGCGCTGGCTGAACCACGCGGCCGGCCAGTCAAAGAGTCACATTTCAGCGGTTTCGGGTTTCGTTTCTCACATTCTCCAACACCGATCACTCAATCAAAGTGGGCAGACGGCAGAACAGAGGAGACTAGAGGCGGAACTAGACGGTACGAGCTTGACCGGGGGGTTCCAAGCCAAGTGGATGTAGGATGGACAAAGGAGAGAATGAGAAAAAGAGAAGATCCGAGCGGGCATAACATACCGAAGGGGCCATGATGGGCCGCGAAGAATCCAAGGAAGCGGGCATTGTGATGATGCGTTGGGTTGTTGTTGAGCGGGTACTATGGATGATTTATGAAACTCGAGACGAGGATTCCCAAGCAAAGGAGAGAAAGGGAGAAGCGAAAGCAAAGATGAAGAAGAGAGTGAGAGGATCCGGATAGATAGTGGGTTTTTGAGTAAAGTGGATAAGGTACTAAGGCAGGTGAAGACGGGACGTAATAATAGCTGGCAGGCCAGTTGTTGATATACAGTAATAGCGAGTGAGACGATGAGTGGGCTTTGACCGTTTTGCTGTCGATTTTATTCAATAATCTCCTTTCTTTTTTCTTTTTTTTTTCTTTTTCTCACTTTTTGACTTTCGGACTTTCTCACAATGGGAAACAAGAAACGGGACGGGATGCAAAGGATAAAAAAGAAAAGGACAAGGGGGGAAAAAGGGGAGAAGAAGATTTGTTGGAGATTAATGGTGGAAGCCAACAAAACGGCACAGGCACGAGTCTCAGCGGCTGGCCCAGTCTCGTCTCGTCTGGTTGCCCCCCGCAGATGGGCTGTTTTACAGGGGGTGTGTGGTACCTACAGAAGTACATGCGCTACCGTTTAGAGGACGGGACGAGACCTGACACACTAAGTAGCTGAAGCTTTCCCAAGAGCCCGCCTTGCAGAGAGATGGACAGTGAACTAGACTGGACTGGACTGAACTCAAAGTCAGTTGAATTTGATGCGATAATGAATCAGCTATACGATATGTTGGTGGAAGATAAATTGATCCATCATGCAAAAATCATCAATTGAAAAAGTTGAGGCCAAGATCATGGGTGTTTCAAAACATTCAAGGGTGAGGCCAGATGGTGCCCCTGTAACGAACACCCCAGGACCCATCATGGTCTCCACCTGCCCTGAATCTCTAGGGGACCTCATCTTCATCTCCACCTTGACTGAGCCGGTGTGATCAACACCAAAAGAATGCCTCATGAGAATCTGACAGCCCTTTTCATTACTGGAATGCTTCTAATGATTCCAGGAAAAACAGGTCTTTGGGAAAACCCGTCTCTTGTGTGTAAGCCCTACCCGCATGTAGACAGGTTGGTCTAGTACAAGTTTTGGGCTTAGGGGGTCATAATGACGATGGTATAGCAGAAACGGAAACAGAGAGGCTCAAGAGGGACAGCCTGATCGTCATTCCCACATGGCATGGTACGGTGGCGACGAGAACGACAAGACATCCTAAGAAAAGAGAGGGGGGGAGAAGCACATGGCTGCTGCAACGATCCTAGCATCACACGTGGTTTGAATTGGAGGGGATGAACTTAATATCATGCATTAAGTTTAACTCGTACAGTAGGTGGTAATATATAGATAAGGTAAGCTGAGCTTGGATGAGCTGGATTCCATGCATGTGGATGTTGCTGAGACTCGTATTGCAGTCCATGTCTGTCAGCAAAGAGATATATCACATTTTCAAAGTGGTCAGCTCAGCTGGACGCTGTTATCTACATATCTTTCGCCCTCGCTATCCGTACACTGGTAGCTTGATTGCAGCAAGCAAAATGGATTGAGCTTCAGGATTTAACCGGTTATACCGAGTGTGTCACTATCGCAAAGATCCAGATTCATCTCGGTCTGTCCAAGGCATCGTCGGAGCCGCCGCTCACTACCCAAAACCGACATAGAACTTAAGCCATCCGTCTGGAATTAGACTTGGGCCTTTTTCTAGTTAAATTGACGGACTCGGTGGCTTTCGGGCTGTTAAATTGGGCCTCAATCGTCGCACCGGTCCGTCTTGAATTACTTTCTTGGCGACTACCTAGGAAGGAGCCTCAAATGTCAGTGTTTGTTTAATATTGGCAAATATTAATAGAACAATACCCAACCTATATGACTATCGAGTCTTGTGTCAGGCCTCACTGATCTTGTTCGTCTTCGGGTTACCGAGGTCAAGAGAATAGTAGGCTATTGGCTGACGTTTCAGCCCATCGCAGATCATCATCACCACAGTTCCTCTTCCATCTTTCCGGTAATGAATGATAGAGTAGGGCGGTCGATTGTACAATGGCTGTTGGTTTCCGAAGAGTTGATAGCTGCATCGCTTGGACGCATCTTCTTCCTGGGCCGCAGAGTGGACTGACTTGAGTCGACTTGTGGCTTGACTACAAAAGTCTATCTCAGACCGAGCGGAGATGGAGATGAGCAGTGCATACATAGTAAGCTGAGAACAAAGTGATAGGCTTTGACAATGTCTTTAAATAGTTTAAATCGATGCTGAGATCACTCATGTTTCTGTTTCTGTAGATGCTATCTGCCAACACAGATTTGAAAGAGGCAGGAGCATGGGCTTCCCGACTGCCGACCAGGACAACTTGACTGATCGTAGATCGTACCTGCCTTGGCTTCGCATCAACGCAAATGGGTACTCAAAAAATAAACAAATCTATTTGCAAAAA